ACCCCACGGCCTCTGTGGTGAGTTTCCAAAGAGCATTTGTCACAGTTGGTTGGTAATCGGTATCGTTGGCTGTACCATACGCTCTCAAGTCTCTATAAGCCACACCCAACTTTGAAGGCTTGTAATAGTCTGGATTGTTGTCGAATAGTTTTCTCATGTTCTTGACCCAAAACTTGGCATCAAAACTGTCTGAGTTGGGATCCAATCTTTCATCTTTTGCTTCCTCTTGTTCAATTGGATTTATACCTGGCACCTGCGACATATGTGACAAATATCTCTTTAAACCCGAGGCTGAATTGGTGTCGTCATTTGTGTAAGTCCTGGCCAACTTTTGAATGTCTTGGGCATGGAAACCTGTATACTCTTCAACGGAGCGGTCTTCGAGAGAGGACAGATGGGTCTGGAGCTTTTCCACATCTTCCTCGTTATAGTCGTTTTGGGAGTTCACTCCTACAATCGACATGGCTTGTGGTTTTTCTCTGTAACGATTACTTTGTATTTGAATTTGAATGGTAGTACCTCTTGTAAACTCTTGAGTGAAAGTACTTTATTAGAGAAGGAACTGTAATGTGAATGTAGTAAGAGGAAAAAAGGAAGGAAGATGGTAATGGACAAAAGAGGATTCGGGATGTCATTTATATTTTAGTCTAACGCCGAATTTCATTTGTTTGTTTTGAATGTTTGTAGTTACTCATCCATGCATACTTGATCAGATAATTATTTCACAAGAAGAAAAAACAAAAACAACAAAAACAGAAGACAAATAGCGAAAAAAAAAAAAAAAAGAAGAAGACAAGAAAAAAAAAAAAAATTCGGAACATTGTACATTACACAAAGAACGTCAATAGTAAGGCTGAATAGAGGAGAAACACGGATTCGGACTAACGAATGAGAGAAAGAGAGAGAGAGAGGCCTGTAAAGCACCACGTTATATAATGAAACACGTACTTGAAGGAGTGTAAAAGATGACTAAGGTCCATGATAAGGTGTAGCTTTTGCATTGATGCTTTTCACAGTTGAATGTCTACAGGAGTTTGCTTGAATGCAGAATACACGGAATAAAATATTTCTGATCCGAAAAAATGGGCCGTGTTTTAAAGAATCGAAACCTTAATTCTTTTTTTTTTTTGTTATTTTTTGTTTCATTGATTACAACCACTTCTCTATTTGAGCCACAGCCTACTCTTGATTTCGTGACGGCGTACCTCGGCCGAAACTGTGGCCCCTTCCGTGATTATCGCTTATTTGCAGCCGGCGATACTCGTGGGGTTTGAGATGGTGTAAGTTGAACAGGGACTCTAACTCAATCTTGTCACAACCCCATGAACGACACAGGGCCATAAGCTTAAAAACATAAAATATGGTCGTGATTAGGTACTCAGAGAAGAATTAACTGAGTTCAGCTAGCTTTCGCTGACATATGTGATTCTCGGCCTAACTCCGAATTGCCTATCGAAAACACGGAATCAACAACGTGAGAGAAGGGTAAACTGTTAAAAACCTTTCTTATCATGTGTCATCGACAGATTAGAAAGCACACCGTTGTAACTGAAAATGCATTGTCTGGTTGATAAGACTGAGAGGTTTTCCCACTACCACCGTAATGATGTATACGCAGTGGATTTACATATCGGGAAAGCAATCACCGTGATTTTTCAATACACAAAGTACATTTGAGACAAGAAAATTTAAAACATAAAAAGAAAAAAAAAACAAAGCAAAAAAAAAAAAAAAAAAAAAAAAAAAAAAAAAAAAAAAATTTTAAAAAAAAAAANAAAAAAAAAAAAAAAAAAAAAAAAAAAAAAAAAAAAAAAAAAATAAAAAAAAAAAGAAAAAGAAATTTTTACATACAATACACATGGAAATGTAACTACCACAGCGAGAGTTGTGGTTTCGGCGTTTTTCATGTCCATTTTTGGTCCGAAAAAAAATATTTACTCGTGCAAACGTTCCGTGTTTATTTTACCTTTCCTCCGTATTCAACACAAACTGCTATGCACGAGAGAGACTCAAAAACTAACATCCTTAAAGAGGTAAGACCGAAATCCAAAGTCAACGGTTTTAGGGGTTAAGCTGCAAGGGAACACTCAGGCTCCCACAAACGTATATCTTCCCTACAATTATGTCAATGCCCCCAAGCAATTTATAACTGACATGCAACTACTTTGCAATGATATAACCTGTCAAGGAACAAGGTAGTCGCTTCAGAACAACTACAGTCTAATGAAAGGAGACTTTGACACATGGTATTTTGGATGGTAACACTTCAGTTGTACTCAACCTGCAAGAACCGGTAACGTATTGGCCCCGTGGACTCAATACCTTGATTTCCATTCAAAGCAGAAAGATCATGAAAGGAACCAATTCATACATGAAAAGGCTCACACCTCTTATTCAGAGCAAAGTTGTAGCAGCAGCCAGCACTCTGTCTAACACCACCCACCACCACGTCTCTGTTCGCGTTTGAGATTTGAGATCAGGGACAAAATAAAAAAAAAAAGAAAAAGAAAAATGTAAACACAACAGTCTCTAGATCCTACATACCGATCTGATCTCCTACATAATGGCCCCATCACAAGAAGATCAGGGTCCATACTTGTCCCTTTTCAACCACATTTTTGAATTCATTCGAATTATAGATGGAGAGAGTGCTACTCTAGACGATAATGACAATCGCATATCGGATTTCTATAGCAATCACGATCCAGACACGCTTCTCGTTACTAAAGAGAAGGGTCATAACCATCACGTTATACACAACGCTACTACCTCCATCAAACCTACACTAGATGAGGTTGAATCTATAGTGTTCATTATAAAATCAAAAGGAGCTTTATTGTTGGACAAGCCATTGGGATCTCAACTAAATATCATAAATCTCCCAGTAAGCACTGACACCAGAAGCTCAAACGACGTGCCCATTGACGCGTTGAAGTTGGCTCTAGAATTGGGCCTTCTCCCCTTTTATAACCTCATATCCTCGGAAGGTGGCTCAATCTTGACTAGGAAGAGGTTCAATGAATTGTCGTTGGCGTTACAAACAACACGATCAATTCTGATCCCCAATCTACTCATCACTACTCACCCCAAAGTTAAAAGTATATTGGCGGGAGAAATCGTCATTACATCAGATTTACTTGACGACATTGCATTCATTAACGAATTGACCGCCATCTCAAATGACTGGATCAACCAAGTACAATCCATAATAAAAGTTGCTCATTCAACATCCGAGAGTAAATCAATCCAGGATGAAATGCAATTCTGGAATACAATAGAATTAGCATTGACATCAATCGAGAAGCAGATAAAAGCCCCAGAAGTTATAACAACGTTGGAAATCTTGAGCAAAGCTCGTAAATTCCACGTCACATTAAGTTTTGAAAATGACATTGGTATAAAGGAAGTGCTTTCTACCGCAGCATCTTACAGAGCATTTTTTCGAGGTATGCCTCTCGACGAACTTTTGGACACTGAGTTAACCGACTACGACTCTTTCCGTAATGCAGTATACGATGCATTGTCCCATATGAATCAAAAGTTGTCCCTATTGCCTACGTCTTCGGGAGTCAATATTGTTCAATTGTTGTTGGTAGATGTTGTCAGAAAACTACAGGAGTTGGTATCCAAACAAGATATTATGTCTCTAGAATACAGGACGTTTTTGAAACACCAAACAACCGTGTCAAAAATTACTCAATTGATAAAAGACAAGGTCAAGTTGACGACAAGTACCCTACGTGAACTCGCTAGGAAACGCCAGGAAAAGGTTAAACCAATTTCCATTGACGAAACAGGGCTAGATACTCTCGAATTCAAGTTTCTGGTATTGACTGCTTTCCGCGGAAACCATGAAAGCTTGATGTGTAGCGTTGAAAATGCACTTGATGGTGATGAAAAAGCAAAGTACGTTCAAGAGCTCATAGATGCGTACAACAAATATATCATTCCAATCAATGCTGCAGACACATCTCATGAAGGCAAGCTAGTTTGGAAAATGCACGAAACCGCATACAAGCAAGTTTTTAATTCTATATTCACAGTTGTTGTTACGAAAATCAATGATTTTCTCGATAATGCTGAGCAGTTTTCTGACTATTTGAACATATACCGCCAATTCATCCCTAATGTTGACCCCACGAATGAAGGAGGTGCACCCTTCATGATAATACAAGACACTTATAAGCTTAAAATACTTGATCGTGCAATGATGGAAATTCAGTGGGTACGAGAAGACATGGACATTGATACAGATGTCATTAGTGAGAAGATCGTGCATGATATGGGCTTAATATCCAAGTTGAAGTATTACAGAGAGTCGTTGAGCCTTCTTTTAGGTCATGAATGGGTGAATTACTCAACTGGCTTAAAAATTGACGCCTTGACAAGTAATTTAAGTGCTACCTTGAGTCCAGAGAAGACATTTGCAAGGTGGCTTGCTAACCACAAGCCTCTAGATCCTAATACGATGGGACAAGTTCTAAAGCACACTAGAGGCGTGGATGGGTTGCACACGCTTGAGTTAAACGTGGACTTGGATACCCTTCAGCAATTTGAGGAGGCACTAGTTTTGCAGAACTTTGGTCTAAACGTCCCATTTATGGTGCCTTACAAAAAACAAGTTGCCTTATCTCACATGGCAGTCGAACTTGAAAATATAATCTTCATGGTTCAAAGGGTGTTTGCAATAGCCCATGAAGGAGGTAAGGCCCGATTTTTTGATTTTGTTTCAGATGATATGTACAAACTCACACCCCTCGTGAAACAACTTTCCAAATTGGAATGGATTCATTTGTCGCAAGCGATTGATTTGGTTAATCAAAACGACGCCTTGTTGTTGAGAAGTGATAGCTTGGTTGAAATGCAAGCCTTGAACTGCTTACACTCAACAACCCAACTATTGGCACGTATAAATGCACAAATCGCCAAACTTGAAAACTTTTTTGTATTTATGGAAGAATGTGTTTCTCAATTAAAAACTGTGCCGTTTGATGCAATCCACATTCAGGAAATCTTGGGTAAATTGCAAAACAAGTTGGACGAAGTTTCGTTGGAGATAAACTCCTCAGTTACTCGTTTGACTGACTTGGTTCGTTGGGAAGTTCAAATTTGCCTATATCGAAGGTTACATGATCAGTTGGCTATCCTCCATGAGGTAATTTCTTCGGAAACGATAGAGTTGCCTGATGCGCTGGAGCCAATTGCATCTTTCACTGCCTTCAACCATAGACTTACATTTCATGAGGGTGTAATTGTTTCCAACCCTTCCTTGACAGATGGAAGAAATCATCTCTTCACGATAACCAACGATATCGTGGCCGTTGTTGGAGATCGAGACTTTTGCAAGAATGGGAGAGAGATGACAACAGTCCGTGATGATACCTTATATTCCATGCACGAATCTACCAGTCAAATTTTGAACGTTGTTAATGAGAAGATCGATCTGATTTACGTCAATCTTGAAAATTACATTGAGAAATGGAAAATTATACAAAACTTTTTGGATGCAGACCTTGACGAGGGGGACATGGACTGGATTCTATCTCGAGATGAAGGCATTAATAGCTGGTTCAAGACGTTGCAAAAAATATGTGAATTTGGCAAGATGTTTGATGAACCGAAAGTCGCATTTGGCAGATTGGTCTCCATTGATGTAAAGCAAATGGTGTCAAAGTTTTCGGTTCCATACGAAACTTTCAAGAGACACGTGATTACACAATTTGCATTCAAGTTTGCTGAAGAAGTCAAGAGCTTGAACTCGTTGATCAACAAGGCCCAGATCAACTTAAATAAGCGCCTCAACTTTGATCTGATAGGCAAAGAACTTTTTCTTGATTTGGGAAACATGAGTCAGGTACGTGATGAAGCTTTGGAGTGGGAAAACTTGATAACTTTATTCAGTACTATCGAGAAGTTCATTTCGAGGCATCGATTCAAGTTTCCTCTGGACTGGTTATACACGGCACAACTAGAGGCAGATTACTCCAAAGTGCTTGCAATATTGAAAGAGAAGTTTAAGTTATTGGAGAAAAATAAGGAAGTGGTGATGTCAACTCTCAAACATGAATCGCTAGAAACAAGTAAAGCTTTAAAGAGCTTGAACATCGAGTGGGAACAATCAAGGCCAGTTGATGGTGCTTCGAAACCGGCAAATGCTCTTCAACTTTTGCATGATTTCCGGAACAGGTTTGAAGACTTCACGTCGTATGGTGAATTGCTTAATAGAGTTGCAAAGGACATGGAAGTGGCCACAGCATTCAACGATGACATCCTGGAAACGATGGACGATATTATTCATCTCAAACAAGTTTGGTCCTCTGTAAACGGGTTGTGGGAAGATTTGCAGCAATTGAAGCATATACTTTGGAGCAATTTTGATCCACAAGGTGTGAGTCTGCACTTGCACAGCATTATGAATTCAATCAAGAAACTCCCGTTTAGTACTCGCCAATACCAGGCAATCGATGACATACGAACCGAAGTTAACCGTTACTTGAAGGTACATCCGAAATTGTTTCAATTGAGCGACTCCTCACTTAAAGAGCGTCACTGGAAAAAAATATTGGACCAGTTATGTCCAACGTTTCAAAAGGGCGACAACCTTACGCTTGACGTGGTATGGAAATTGGACTTGGATTTGAATTTTCAATTGTTGCAAGATGTGTTGGACCAGGCACGAGACGAGAGAACAATTGAAGACAGCATCAGCAAGATTGACCACGCTTGGTCTGAAACATACTTTGAGCTATTCAATCACGAAAATAAATGTCGTTTGGTAAAGAACTGGGATGCCATTTTCGACCAGTGCGAAGCGAATCTTGAAGTGATTAATTCGATAAAGAAATCCTTATATTATGATACTTTTGAGAAGAGCGTTTCGGAATGGGAGAGCAAACTAAATACTCTTCATGCAGTTTTGGACGCGTGGGTCGAGGTCCAACGTGAATTTATACATCTCGATGGTGTACTTGGTAAGAATAACAGCGAAGTCCGCAGTTTATTGCCATTGGAGCATTCGAGATTCCAGAACCTTAGTTTTGAGTTTGTATCGCTTTTGAAACAAATTTACAAGTATGATCATGTCATTGATATACTTGTGATTGGAGATATCCAGGACCAAATGAACCGTTTCTTGAGTAGTTTGAACAGAATTCAAAAATCGTTATCTGAATATTTGGAGAAGCAGAGAGATTTGTTTCCCAGATTCTTTTTTTTGGGAGATGAGGATTTGCTCGAAGTGATTGGGTTCTCAAAGGATATTACAAGAGTCAATAAACACATGAAGAAGATGTTTGGTGGCGTTTCAAAACTCAATTTTGATGGTAATAGCCATTCAATAATAAGTGTGGAAAGTGAAGAAGGCGAAGTATTAACATTGAGTCAACCAATTTCCTTGGTGACGTACCCAATGCTCCATGAATGGCTCGCTCAACTTGAACTTCAAATTCAGCAAACATTGAGGGACCAGGTGGCTTTGAATTATGTGACGTGGGACGACCTTCTCAAGTCAGGAATGGAAAACGGGGTGTTGGAGCTTTTGAGTAAAACTACTGGCCAGGTTGCAAATCTCTTGATCCAAATTATCTACACGCTGTGGATTGAAAACTCAATTTCGTCTGACATGGCCAATGTTGGAGCAAGAACTGAACAGCTCATCCAAATTTTCACTAGCTTACTCAAAAAATGCCTGGACACACTAACCCGGAAACGGTCTCAAAATATAATCATTGAGCTTTTACAACAACAACATCTCATAAACACTCTTTGTGATGCAAGTATAAAAAGTAGGAAAGCACTTTGGTCAGTACAGCAAAAGTTTTATTTTAATCAAACCACGTTCGAAGTCGTGATGAAGCAAGCATTCTCTTCCTTTGCATATGGGTTTGAGTACTTGGGTATCTGCGACAAGTTGGCGTACTCTCCTTTAGTCAATGACTGCTTTTTGAGTATGACACAAGCTTTATCAATGAAGTTAGGGGGCTCTCCTGTTGGTCCATCCGGAACCGGAAAAACCGAATCGATCAAAGCTCTCGGACAAAATTTGGGGAAGATGGTGGTTGTGTTTTGCTGTGATGAACAATTCGACTACCTGTCCATGGGGAGGATTTTCCACGGGCTATGTAGAGTTGGTGCTTGGGGATGCTTCGATGAGTTTAACCGGTTGGAAGAAAAGAGCTTGAGTGCAGTATCTTCACAAATTGAAACAATTCAAAAAGGGCTTCACGATGCACTTGAGCTGATTGAGTTGTCAGGTCAATTTTTGCAAGTTAATCCCGAAACTGCCTTGTTTGTGACCATGAATCCGGGGTATGCTGGTAGACAAGAGTTGCCAGAAAATTTGAAAAAGTTGTTTAGACCTTTTCAAATGGTGAAACCTGATGTTGGAGTAATTATAGAGGTGTTACTAACATCAATGACTTTTGCTTATGCTAAAGATTTGTCAAAGATTGTTGCTCAGTTTTTTACTGAGATTGCGGCTAGTGTGTCGAGCCAGAAGCACTACGATTTTGGGTTGAGGGCTATAAAGACAGCACTCCGATTATGTGGACAATTGAAATATAAGGATACCGGGAAGGATGGAGACACCAAGTTGAAAGAGCTCGCAATAGTGAAACAAAGCCTACAGCAAACTTTATTACCAAAGTTAGTTTCAAGTGACATCAATGCATTTGAGCGTTTGCAAGATCATTGTTTCCCAAATGTGATTGTTGCATTATCATCTGACGAATTGCGTTCACAATTGGAAAGGAATTGTAATGAAATGGGGTATCAAACGAGCCCCGAAACCGTGGAGAAGGCTTTGCAATTGGCGAACATTCAAGATTCCAATCATGGGATTATGCTATGTGGAGAGTCAGGCTCTGGCAAATCGACTGTTTTGAAAATAACTATGAAAGCGTTGTCAGCTATTGAAGGTGTTGAACACACCTCAGTCGTCATCAGCCCTAAGGTATTTGCCAAAGACCATTTGTATGGTAAGTTTGATAACCTCACAAAGCAGTGGACTGATGGATTATTTACTAGTGTGTTGCGCAGAATTTTAGAAAATTCGAGAGGTGAATTGGGGAAAAGAACATGGATTGTATTTGATGGGGATATTGACCCAATTTGGGCAGAAAATCTCAATAGTGTTTTGGATGATAATCGGGTGCTTACCTTGCCAACTGGGGAGCGTTTGCTGTTGCCCTCGAGTGTCTCGATTGTGTTTGAAACCACGAATTTAAATCATACAACACCCGCTACCATTAGTAGATGTGGAATGATTTGGTTTGATAGAAGTTCAATATCGAGCCAGAATTTGTACACACAGCTTCATTACCGACTCAGTCACAATAACTTTCGCTTTGAGGATGAGAGTGTACAGAACAAACCTCATTTAATTGGATTGGAGAAGAACTTGATGGATGAAGTAGTATCAATGTTAACGCCAAGTTTGATTGAATGGTTAGATGGTACTGCCAGAAGGCTGGAGCACATCATGGAGTATTCTTGCGAAAGAGCCATCCACTCGTTAGAGTCGTTAGTCTGCAGCTATATCAGAGGTATATTACCAGAAGCCGCTTCGTTGGAACTAGGATCCGTTAATAACAAAAGATTTGCCGGTAAGATCATCATATTAGCTCTAGTTTGGGCATTTGCTGGTGACTGCAATTTTGAAGAGAGGGTTCAGTTTGAGCAAGAAGTTAAATCGTCTGAAAAGTTTGCCTTCCTTGACTTTCCAGAGGGTCATATCTTGGATTACGAAGTGAGTTTCCCTGATGCCGAATGGATCCTGATAGAATCAAGAGTCGAAACTTTGGATCTACAGCCGCAAGAGATTACAAATCCAAACATCATTGTGCCCACAGTTGACACAATAAAACACGAAAGTTTGATATATGCAATGATCCAGGAACGCAGGCCTTTAATCTTGTGCGGTCCCCCAGGTTCTGGAAAAACCATGACCTTATTCAAGGCACTATCAAAATCTCCACAAATCGACATTCTTTCACTCAATTTCTCAAAGGAGACCACTCCCCAAGCCTTGATCAAGTCCATGGAGAGCTTTTGCGAGTATAGGCGAGTAAATGGAGGAGTGTCTCTTTGTCCTAAAATAAACGGGAAATGGGTCGTTGTGTTTTGTGACGAGATAAATTTGCCTGGCCTTGACAAGTTTGGCTCACAAACAGTGATATCATTGATAAGGCAAATGGTTGAACAGAATGGATTTTGGAGACCAAGTGATTTGCAATGGGTGACTCTTCGTAATATACAATTTGTTGGTGCTTGTAATTCGCCAAAAGATCCTGGTCGTTACGAATTGAGTGCCAGTTTTTTGCGTCAAGTGTGCTTGGTGCAAGTGACTTATCCAGGAACTTCTTCCTTGTTTCAAATTTACCAAACTTTGAACAACGCAATTCTTAAGTGCGCCCCCGCTATCAAGCCATTCGTGAACCAAATAACCAGTGCCTGCATAGATATATACGAGGAGTCAAGGGCCAAGCTTGTGAATTACGTGTACTCGCCACGAGAGTTGACAAGGTGGGTTAGAGGATTATTCGGTGCATTGAAAAGCTCCGAGTACAAAGATTTGGGCCAGTTTTTGCGGTTGTGGTACAATGAAGGATTGAGGCTATTCTACGATAGGCTATCTACAAAAGAAGATAGGGTATGGACGTTGGACTTGTTTTTCAAAGTTTCTGCCAAACATTTTCCGGGTATGGATCTCGAGACATGCTTCAAGGGACCTGTGTTTTTCACCGAATGGTTGTCATCGAAGTACCAATCAGTCAGCAATCAAGAACTTCAACGTTTTGTTAAAGAAAGGCTCCGGGTGTACAGTGAAGAAGAAATAGAATCAGATTTGGTGTTGCATGAAGAGATGCTAGATCACATTTTAAGGATTGATAGAGTTTTGAAACAACCACAGGGCCACTTGATCCTTGTTGGGTCGAGCTCCAGTGGTAGAACTACACTTACCAGATTTGCGGCATGGATGAATGGAATTAAGGTGACCCAATTGAGTGTCAAGACTGGATACAATATTGAGGACTTTGACGAGTTTTTGAGACGCTTGATATTACGAGTAGTGGATGGCGAGAAAATATGTTTGGTCATAGATGAATCAAGTATGATTGAGGCTTCGTTTATTGAGAGGATGAATGTTTTACTAGCGAACGCCGAGATACCGGGGTTGTTTGAAGGAGAGAACCATGCTAGTTTGATAAGTAAATGCGTGGAGCAATCTCAATTACAGGGGTTGTTTCTTGATTCGGACGGTGAAATCAGTCGATGGCTCACGGATCAAATAGCACGGAACTTGCATGTCGTTTTCACAATTAGTGCATCCCAGAGTGGCAGAAGCAACGAAGTTTTATCTTCGCCAGCTTTATTCAACAGATGCGTTTTGAGTTGGATGGGAGATTGGTCAAAGTCTTGTTTGCACGAAATTGCGTCATCAAAATTGAACAATTTGATTTTGGACCCACCAAAGATTACTCAAAACGAGGAAGATCTTAGAGGATTGGACACCACCGCAAGAAGCTACAAAGACACTGTCATTGAGTACTTGATATTTGTTCACGAGAACATGTGTCATCTAGAATTTGTACACGAAATTAGCACACCAGGCAAGTTTTTGACGCTCGTAGACACTTTTGTCACATTGTGCAATCAAAAGAGAACTGAGGCGTTTGAAAGACAGAGACATATTATAGTGGGCCTCGAAAAGCTTCAAGAGACAGTGATACAAGTGGAAAAGATGAAGGTGTTTCTAGCTACTAAAGAAAAAGAATTGGCGGAGAAGAACCATGAAGCCCGAGAGATGTTGAATCAGATGCTTTTAGATCAGAATGAAGCTGAAAGGAAGCAAGAGTTTTCTATAGAGACGCAAGCGGAATTGGAGAAGCAAGAGTCGGAAATTCTCTTGAGAAGAGACACAGTTTTGAAGGAGCTCGCAATGGCTGAACCCGCTGTGTTAGAAGCACAAAGGGGGGTTCAAAATATCAAAAAACAGCACTTGACCGAAATCAGAAGTATGACGAATCCTCCTGCTGCGGTGAAGATGACCATGGAATCTGTCTGTGTCTTGCTAGGCTATCGGGTGTCCAGTTGGAGAGACGTACAGTCGGCAATCCGAGGAGACGATTTTATCCCCAACATTGTAAATTTCGATTGCGAACACCAGCTACCAACACGACTTAGAGAGTATATGGAGCAGACCTATTTGTCAAGACCTGATTACACATTTGAAGTGGCTCATAGGGCTAGTAAGGCGTGTGGGCCGTTATTGGATTGGGTTCGCGCACAACTTGCATATTCTCTGATTTTGAAAGAAGTTGGTCCACTTCGTGAGGAAGTTATGGTGTTGGAACAAAGAACAGCCAAAACCAAAACACATTTAATTGCAATCGATGAAATGATCAAGGAATTGGAAGTAAAGATTGACCAGTGCAAAAATGACTACAGTGAATTGATAAGAGAAACGGAGAGAATAAAAATGGAGTCTTCTGAGGTTCTGCAAAAGCTTCAGCGTAGTATGGCGTTAGTCAAAGACCTCGAAAATGAAAGGCTTCGATGGAAGGATTCCGTGAAATTGTTTGATCTTGCAAATGAACAATTGGTTGGTACAGCTTTGTTGTGTGCCTCCTTCGTAACGTATGCAGGTGCACTGGATGAAAAGGGCCGTCGCTATTTGCTCAAAACATGGAAGAAGTGTTTACGCGATTTTGCTATAACATACGACGAGGGTCTACCAATTGCCGAGTACTTAATTGGAAGATCTGAACTTCAACGTTGGCTCGAGAATGGATTATCAAACGACGAATTTTTCAAAGCAAACGTGGCATTATTGAAATGGGTAGACAATCCAATAGTAATAGACCCCTCAGGATCCATTGTGGAACTTATGTCCAAGTCATACCCAACCAACATGCTCACGGTGACAGCTTTCGGCAGTGAAGGCTTTCTCAACAGTTTGGAAAACTCATTACGTTTTGGTGGTGTGATTGTTGTAGACGATGCAGAGCAGTACAATGCCATTGTTAACGATTTGTTGAGGAAAACGATACATAGAAATGGTGGGAGAATGATGATTGAACTTGGAGGGAAATTTGTGGATTTTAATCCTGGGTTCAAGATGATTATGTGCACTAAGGTACACGAGCTAGAGCTAACTGATTTTGTGCGGTCAAGAACTAACCTTGTTAACTTTTCCATTACTAGTGGAAGCTTAGAAAGTAGGGTTCTTGACAAAGCTTTGCAAATATCACACCCCGAGCTCGAGAAACAAAGAGCAGAGTTGATCATTGCAAGGAGTGAGATTTTGAACAGTTTACAAAATCTTGAGGATGAGTTGTTGGTGTCATTGAGTGCTAGTACAGAAAATATTTTGGAGGACGACAACTTACTTGCAACTTTGGAAACATTGAAGAAAAGTTCTGTGGATTTTTCAAAGAGGCTTGAGAATGCGAAAGAAGTCATGGCAGAGGTGGACAAGACAAGAGAGACTTTCAACATAGTTGCCAATCACTGTGTGGCTATTAGTCTGTTATTATCGTCTTTGGAAAGGTTCTCGAAACTTTATAAACTCTCGATGCCTGGGTTCTTGAAGCTTTGCTTTGATGTCATGAAACGAAGCAACTGGCTGGACATCGCAAATCTTACTTTCAGCATATACTGCGAAGCGTTTGATGTTATCTCCCCAACATTGGCTTATGAAGATAAAGTGGCATTGGCGATGACATTAATTATTGTGTGGAACAGCTTTAACATGAGTGGGACTTTTAGGGACGACATTAAAACTATCATGCAACACTTGATTGCGCAAGAGCGTTTAGATGAGACATTTGCAACTGCTGTTTTGGAAAGGTGCCAACTAGAGGAAACTAAGCTGCACAGTGGAGTACTGGACAGGACTATCACAAATGCGCTTAAGGATCTAATGGAGCTGGCAAGTGATTCGAAGATGCGCATCATTGAAACTTTTAGTCAATTTTGCCGCCCTCTTTTCCACGATATTCCATTTGAGTCAAAATACAATACACAACATTGGATCGAAAGCTATCAACTAGTTTTGGCATTGGCACCCAGTGGGTTTGATGTAACATTTAAGCTACTCGAAGTAGCTGAGGCACTAAACCAGAAAACAATGTTGGTTTCAATGGGATCAAAAGAGAGTTCTGATGTTGTTGAGAAAGGAATCAAGAGGGCAAGTAGTGAGCCACTCTGGATCATTGTTCAGAATGTCCATTTGGCTCCCGCATGGTTAGCCCATTTGAAAGTCATGGGGTCCAGGCTAAACTTGCATGCAAATTCAAAGCTACTAATGACAAGCAATTCTCGATCTAGCTTGCCTCAGGTGTTGACCTTAGAAAGCAAGATACTTTATTTCGAAAAAATCACCTCGTTTCGAAGGGGGGTATTTGAGGGATTCACAGCTGTCACCGCTCGTCTATTAACCAGGCCGGTAAATTTGCACGTGTTTCTATTATTGGCTTGGTTTCACGCTCTTGTATCTGAAATGTGTCGTTACACTCCGTTTGCATTCAAAAGCAAATTCGAAGTGAACGATTCTGATTTGCAGTGTGGAATTAAAGTGCTTGAAAATGCAATTCTGACATCTAAAGGACGTGTTGACTCCATTCCTTGGGAAGAAATCAGGATTTTACTTGGAGATGCTGTTTATGGAGGCAAGATTTCCAACTCTGAGGATCACTCGTATTTACGAATGATTTGCAGCCGTATATTCTCCAGTGACTCGCTTAAACTGGGATTCAATATTATCGAAAACAAGCTAACTTTGAAGAGCAAAGAGGTTCTACATTTACCGGACACAAATACTATCCAAGCCTACCATGCATGGATCGATACCTTGCCAACGGATGTCCCACTTTCATGGCTTGGATTGGAACAAAACGTCAAACACGCAATGTCATCGAAGTCAGGCGAAGAGGTGACTAAAAAGGTATTGCAATTGATAGACACAGTTTAGAGTATTTTATGAAATTAAATTACCATGGTGTTAATTTAATTATTCGTTAGAAAGATAATAAATAAAAAACAAACAAAAAGCCTATAGTACACGTGGATTGGATTGCAAAATTACATTAGATATAAAGTTTCAGAACTGACTCCATACTTATTCTTCTTCCTCATCTTCCAAAGTTTGAGCAGCAATACGGTCCAAATCTCTTTGACCGTTTTCGGAGATTCTTCTTCCGCCCTTTGGGGAGATTTCCAAGACACCAATCTTTTGCAAACTTTGAACAGCTTTTCTGTTGATGGATCCTGAAGCATCAACGTGCTTATGTGGTCTGAATCCTCTGTTCTTAGCACCTCCGTACAATTTGTTCAAAGCACCAACACCAACTTGCTTTCTCAAGTAGATGTGTCTGGCAATGGAAGCAGCTCTCTTGTAGAACCAAGTTTCGGCTTCTTGAGGTGGCAATTCGTTACCAGCAGAAGTCTTGACGAGATCAACGTAACCTGGAACTTCTAATTTACCTTGTCTTTGCAAGAACTTGGCGTAAGCATTGATGAATTCTTGAGCTGGAACGTCTCTTTTTTTTTCGAGATGTTAGTATTGAAAAGTCCTGGGACTGAATGTCGTTTGACAAAGGTAACATGACTGAAATCTGCGCTGGCTGAATTTGTTTTGAAAAAGCTTCTTCGACAAGTTATAGATACACTCAAAACTATTTGAAGGCATTCCACTTCCTTTGCAGTCACAATTCATTTAGAAAGTTGAGAATGATCTGAACTTTCTCTATCCACCACGACAGATTTCAAGTCAACGATCCTTCAAGCAAACCTTAACTGTAAGTTTTTGAAACATACCTTACTGATACACCTGGCATGTTTGATATAAGGTTTTGCTTTGGTTATTGGTGAAGAAGGAAAAAAGGGTACGTTTTTTTGGAAAATTTCGCTATAAACACAATCTATGTTTTTTTTTTCTCCCCCCCCTCTCTCTCTCTCTCTCAATTCCAACTTTTCAAATTGGTAGCATCTATCACATAAGCACCTTTGTGCGTCTTTTGTAATAACTAGGGCTTCTGCCCTATATAATCAAAACAACAAGCTTCTTCTTTGGCGTATGCAATACTGTTCAAAATCACATAGTGAAGTTTCCGTGCTCCAAAAGTAGTTCTCCTCGCCGTCCAGACCAGTTGATTGCGACGTTAAAATTGTAACAGAATCTGTTGGCGTATTTGATGTGCCGACGTAATACCCACCTTCTGTCGTGACGTTATATTGAGACTGTCGATGGTAATGTAGGTCCAACATTTCTCTCCTTCTGTATCTCGGGGAGTTGAGCACTGATCGGCTCCATATTTTGAAATGGTTGACGTCAGCCTTTGTCTTGCCTTCTATAATACAATTTTCCAAAACCTCTCGCATGATGGACTCATCGGTTATAGACCAGCATTTCTCAATTGAGACCACACTCAAGCCACAATAGGCTTGGCTGTTGGTGGAAATGGGATCAACTATCCAACGAACAAAATCAGTGACAATATTAAGCACAAGGAGATGACTTTCTTCAAGCGACTCTCCATAATATAAGGACAAATCTGCAAAGCCACATACCCGAATTATCGTTCCTAGAACTTCTTTCTGGTGCATGGTCATTTTCGGTCGCAGTACAGCACGATCGACTATGATGATGCGATTGCTTCTGCCTGGCGTGTTTTGACCCCAGAGCTCCAATGCTGGGACAAGCTTGATCTCATCCAAAAGAGAAATGTCTATTATCAATTGTTCAACAGATTGAAATACTGTTAAAAGCTCTTCATTTATGTGCTCTCTGTAGAGCAGGTGCTCTCTATGCTCCAGCCTCATCAAACACTTTCGCCTGGTGACCCTGATTGTCAATTTGCTCAAACATGGACAAGAAGCAAATATCTTCAATAACTGAATTGTATCGGAATACCGCAAATTATATGGTTGTTCTAAGAAAAGTGACACTTCAGCCAAACTGAGGTTGCTTTGCTGCAATTGCGAAATTAGTTGCCTAGCCCCCTCAGTACTAGTTATATCTGAAAATACTAGAAATAGATCCAAACGTCGCAAATTTTGAAGTGAATTGAGCAACATCTTTGACGTTTGCAAAGTTTGTACATGCACTGCCAAAAATTTCAACTTCGGTAAACCTATCTCAGTTTGACTTGCTGTAGAATTGGCGCCACATTCCTCCAACACTCTCAACTCTGTGAGATTGGGAAACATCAGTAGCTCTCCATTATTGAGAACCCCATTGTCACATTCCAAGTAAGTAACAAAATTGCACATGCATAGCTTTACCTCATAGTAGCATTTGAAACCGGGATCTCCAATGATATGGTTTCGGAAACTAGATCTGGCCAATTCACTCTTGCTGCAATTCTCTATGTTACCACCAATTAACTCTTTTACAAACTCCCTGTGATAGGTCTTCTTATCGCTGAATAACTGACGACTCTTTGGTGTTGATAAAAATGAATCGATTTGATTTTCACGAACTAAACTGAGGCTGTGGAAGAGAATTCTACCTAACTTCATTCTCATGCTTCGACTAGTGGAGGATAGGGAAAGCAAATCGCGATAACAATCTCTATATCTCTCGCTATTTGTTATGAAAGTGTGAGCTGGATACTTATTGTCATTATTCTCTGTACCATACAAACTTGTTTGTCCTTGCGAAAGCTTCTCAATTACCTTGTTGAAAACCTCCAATGGCAAGCTTTCAATCAGCAGCGATGACGTGGTCACATTCTCTTTCATTTCCATTGCAGCCAATAAAGGGAGCAAATTGAGGGTACTTTTCGACTTCTCGGTACATCAAAAAATGTGTCAATTGGGGGATTTTTGCTTATCAGTGAGAATCATCTCTCTCTCCCGCCTCCGGAAATATAAACTTTTGCTTTAACAATAAATTACAGCCGACTACACCACCAACTGCACTCGATTTACAACGATATTTAAATTGAACATTACAATTAAGCATAAACAAATCTATAGAATCCCTATTGACCAGCTTAAACCTTGAAACCTCTTGATCTTCTTCTACCTCTAGCTCTTTCAAATTTTCTTCCCTTGGACAAGATTCTTGGAGCTTTACCCTTGTGTGGACCGAAACCAAAATGTCTGACGGCTTCTCTGGCGTTTCTTGGGCCTCTGACAATCAAAGTGTTTTGACCTTTTGGTGCTCTCAAAGCCAATTGATCCAAAGTGATGGCTTCACCACCGTTTTTCAAGATTCTAGCCTTGGCGCCAGCAGTGAATCTCAAAGCAGCAACAGTAGCCTTTGGGAATTCCAACAATCTGTTGTCATCAGTAACGGTACCAACAACAACAATGGTCTTTTGAGAAGCACCCTCGTTTCTCAAGGCACGTGAGATTCTTGAGACGGAAACTGGTGGTCTGTTGATCTTGGACAAGTACAATGATCTCAAGATAACCTTGTTGAATGGAGCATCAGTACGACCTAGACAAAAAGTTAGTATACGGGCAAAAGGTCTTCATACCTTAGATCTGCTCAGAAGACGCACGCGTTCTACCTTTAACGGTAACACAGCACTCGCAGATGAACATTCAATCACATTCGTAGAGCAAAGTCTAGAATGGAGAATTTGTAAAGCAACGACTGCACTGAAATCGATCTAGCCTCAGATGACGAAGGAGAGTATTACCTCTTTTGATAATGTGTCTATTATCCGGTGCACTCGTCTCATCTCAGAGGGCTTTTTGATCGAAATCACGAAGCAGGTCACTGAATGAACCTCTTTTCAATTCCGTTTCTCCTAGAGTGTATGACCTTTGACAAGTAGTAAATAATCAACGTCTTCCAATGTCCTAACCTAGTTTATTTTTTCCGGATATTACATACGAGCCAAGAATGAGTACAATTTAACCAATAACTTCAAGTAGACATTGTCTGACTTTGGAGCGGTTCTGTGACCTGATCTGATGTGTTGTTTGCTGGTGTGATCTCTACCCATGGTTGTTGATTGACGTCTTGTAGTGAGGAAGGTGTGATGTGGTTTGAACCTATTTGAAAATTTTGTACTTTTGAAAAAGTGCGTAACACACACACACACCTCTCTCTCTCATCGCTCAGTGTGTGTTTTGTAACTCCAAAAAAAAAAAACGTATACATCACATGACCTATAGTGACTGCTTGTTTTCTATGGCGCAATAAATGTGCCAATTAGCTCTGGAATTCATTCATGAAACCTCAACAAGCTAAATATTCTGGAACTGTAACATCAAACCTCATGGTTAGGGTATACATGCCAGAATATCGAAGGGGGGGGGGTCTTGGCACAAAAAAAAGGTATCAACCACGGGATCTTCACCTGCAAGTGTGCAGTCACGTGCGTCGGTATTTACTCTCCGCACTTGGTGCTCAGGAAACACACTTTTGTGTCCGAAGTCAAGGTGAAGCAACGTATGGAGAGACATATTGTGTGCGACCCGTTATCAGCACAAATCACCACCACCACCACACATTTGGCTCGTTGACGAACAAAAGTGGTTTAGGTACAGCGTACGTCAAGAAGATACGATGACCCAGTTGACGCCTATACGTGGGTTCACAAACACGCCGGTCTCAAAATCAATTTGCATAATATCAACAATATTGCCACTCATTTTATCAATCTTATCAATAAAATATTACTTAAACTTGGGTATTGACCCGTACATAATTGAATACCATCAATTCTGGAGATTGATTACCTATCAATTATCTGTTGTGAATGAATCCGACTATCTACTAGTTATCCTTTTATGGTTCCAATTCAAAATTCTAGAAAGATTCTATGGGTCAAGGAAGTATCTATCGGTGATTGCCTCTTTTGCAGTGACAAATGCAGTTGTTTGCTTATTGGTGATGAGTATCGGCCAGCTCGTAGTATACTACGTGGCGTATTTGTTCAAAGTGGTCCTTCTTGGGCATGAGAGTGAAAGCGTTCAGTATCAGACAACAATTTTCAACACCATCATACCTGGCCCATTGGGTATCATCTCATCGTTATATGTCACATACGGTGCAAACATACCTGTCTCTTACTATTTCAAAATAGTGTTAAAGAAGCCAACTTCAGGTCAAAACAATGTCCAATTACCAGGACCGTGGTCACAACAATTGAATTTAACGAATAGATTTCCAGTGCATATACTATACACCTTGCTTTTCTTCAACAACGGATTCAAGTCAATTATTCCTTGTGTTTTGGGCCTATTGATTGGCAAATTGTACACCTTTGAGCTCCTACCTATGGGATCGACGTGGTTGTTACCAAAAGGAGTTTTCCATTTGTTTATTGATCCTCGCAAAAAAGCAGAACGAAGTTGGTATTACTTACGGCAAAGATTTACGCGTGGGTATCAACCTCTATCCATTGCATCCACAGAGGAAGAACTTCCAGATCGCAATGGAAGCGAAGAACCGGAGGATAATGACGAACTTCTAGATGAAGCTAGACAGGAAGAGAGTAGGATAAGAGCAGAAACACCCGTTAGACCTTTGGGAAGTCAATTTCTCGATACATTCCGATCGTAAGTTGCATGCAATAGGCGTAATATTATATATGTTCTACTACTTCTTTGCTTGTTCCTTTTTTCTTCTCTCAACATCCCAATTGTACAATCTGGCCGTATTAACTTCCATGGTGGTTATGTTTTCTCTGAGGAACTCTAGATCTTCCTGCACAATTGCCTTTTGCTCCTGATTCTTGATGAGCCTTTCTTTCAAAAGATCTGTAGCTTCGTCCAAGGGGTATTCAAGCATGACCTCCGCTCCCAACCACAAATAAACTGAATCGAGTTTCTTCACGTCAACCGAGGCCCTATTGTACAATGTTTCGTTAAGTTCATAATTGAATGTCAAGTTCTCTTCCTTGCTCTCGTCGTCGTCGTCGTCGTCGTCGTCATCATCGTCATCATCTTCTGTTGCTTTACATTCCTTTATATAGTTTATAACTTCCAAATTCTTTTCAATGTCGGGGATCTTGAGATCAACATCGGCCAATTGCTGCTGTTTTGATAGCTCCATGTACTTGTATTGTTGTAAACGTTGCTGAAATTGTGACATCACCGGTTGGAATTCATTTTCAGGATCTTTGATAATGGAATCCACCTTCTCGATAAAGGGTGCTTCTGGAATTCCCCTAGGATTGGTGTTTTTGGGTCTTCAATAAGCAGGTTAGTATCTCTATTGGGATATGAACGTTGTGACATGGTCCACATACTTTAATATTTCGGCCATTGCGAATTGATGTTGTGTTGGAAATAATACACTATGGAATCGAAAGCTCATTTTCTTTTTCTGAATTTCGCAGACCTCTAAAGTTTGCATCAAATCTCACGCAAAAAATCTCAGCCTAGCCCACTCAATTCAGATCCGTCAACGGAAGCCAATACAAAATATCAAAATACAAAAGACACAATGAAAATCAAAGTATACATCGCTACATAAACTCATATACCACTTAAGCTTTCAAACCTCCGTAGCAGGTTTCATTTTGCTTTTGTCTGAGGTCAATTGCATTCAAAACAGACTCGGCAGCCTTGACACCCAGGAGAGCCATGGCACCAAATGTAGGTCCCATTCTGTTGGAACCATCAACTTCTGCCAACTCCATACCAGCAATAACCAAACCTGGTACAATCTCTCTAGTACCTTTAACGATAGCATCCTCTGCCTTGTTCATGTCAAGACCTCTCATACCTCCCAACTCAAATCCAGAGGCAGAGTTGGCAGCTTGTGCTGGCTTTCTTTCCTCACTTGGTTTGAAACCAGCGGTGATATCCTTTGGAGCTTTTCCCAACTCCTCCAATCTCTTGGCAGAGAAAGCTCCGAAAGGACCATCATGTCCAGTAGTCGACAAGACAACATTACAATTGATAGTGTTTGGATCCATACACGATTGGGTGTCATGGTTCAAAGCGACCAAAGTCCAGTTGGTAACAACACCAGCAATTCTCAACTCACCGGTGGTGTCATCACGTCTTGTAATCAAATCTTCCACGGCAGTGGCATTGAACAATTTAACGTTGGGGAATTGCAAAACCTTTGAGAGCAAAGTGGACATGAATAAAGCAGCATGTTTGACAACAACGTAATCACCCTCATCTTCGTAGGCAACACCCAAGTTGTCCAAGAATTGGTCAGCAGGCTTTCTCAACACCATGGCCGAGAACAATTGACCACCCAACCAACAGCCACCTCCTGGGGAAACTGATGCTTCGATGATAGCGATCTTCAAGTCTGGCCTATTCTTGGCCAAGACATAAGCCGCAGATAAGCCAGCGGATCCAGCACCGACAATAACAACATCCGATTCTGTGTACTTGTCCAAGTCAGCAAAGTATCTCTTGGTCATTGCTCTAGAAACAGTCGACTCTCTGATTGGAGCAAATTGGAACTTTTCCCAGTCAGCGAATTTGACATCACCATTTGCTGCATTGGATTTCAAGTTGATTTGGCTCTTTGCAGAAGGAGTCAAATGGAAAGCCTCTGCTGGAGCAGTTTGTAACATAGTTGGCGGAGTCATGATTGTAGTTGTAATTGAAGATATGGTTGAGCCGTTGGAATCGCTGGGACTTGAAAAGAGAAATCGTTGGCTATTTATACACCAACTTTTGATAAGCTGGGTGGGATCAAGACATTATAAGTGCATATTTACCCCCCACTCCCCTTAACTGAGTTTTGTAGACAATTGGATTGCTTCGATTTGTAGATTGAAGAAACGGAGTCGTTGGTATGCGTTAGCGCATACTTTGTCTCAGACAAAAAAATATTCGCGTTCCCCCCTAGTTTTCCTTCTGTTTATTATGTAGTAGCGCAAATCTATATAACTGCATACTTTGAACCAACAGATCTAACCATTCTCCCAACCGATAAAAATGCACATGCCTGGCTCAAATTATTCTCTATCGGCTCCGTTCACTAAATCCCCTAAAATACCGATCTCGGAAGTTTTTGATGTTCAATTCTTTAAGACCGTTCCTCGTCTCACCTACATACAGCTCATCCATCTTGACATAAACCAAAAGTCTTCGCGACCACTTGTGGAACTCCTGCTCAAGGTTGAATTGTAATTTGAGACGCTCATGTTGGGGTATAATTGTTTCCGAAAAGTCGTCGTTGGCTGTAGGCATCCAGAATGCCAACTTCCCACCAACGGGTAATCTTTCTCCCGCAAACAGCAAAAGATCATTCAACATATCTGAGAGCTCATACGGCTTCTTTGGTGGAACAAAGTCCCGTCTGAGATGGGCGATTTCGCCATCTACAACATTCTTTTCCCTCCCTGCTGCTTTTTCCTCGTTCTTGGCACCAAGGACTCGAAGCCCTTCTCGCACGCCGTAAGGAGGATCACAGACTATTGTGTCAATACCAAATCCTCCTTTTCTCAATGCATTATGTGTAAAGTCCATAGTCAAAACATCAATAAAGTTGGAGTAGGTACCGTAGTCCTTGAAATTGGACTTGACATTTTGGTGTGGACCGTTTCCCGCAAGCATTCTAACATCGATATCGGAGCCAATTGTCAATGCGCCAAAGTGAGCGGCAGTTACCAAGAAGGATCCAGTTCCAGCAAAAGGATCATAAACCGTTTGGCCAACATTTACATGCGCCAAATTGCAGGTTACCAATGATAATTCCGCATCAAACGAGGTTGTTCCTATGTACCCTCTCTTTTTCAAATCGTATGTTTCAACCACATTCTTATCCGTTCTTTCTGTCAAGGAAACAAGACGTCCGAACCAAATATATTTCGGTTTGTTTGCTTTTTCCATACCGAAGACCTCGTATTCCTCTAGTACAGTGAAACACTCTTGAGGCTTTTTCAAATCAACGGCCCCTTCAAGATCCAAATATGCAAACGACTCTATAATTGCTCTTTTGGCTTTAGAGCTTTGCCGACCTTTGTAGCCTTCAAAATCAAACCTGAAAGTGGACCTCTTGTATAAGTCAAATCTATCTCTACTCTCCTCTTTAACGTTTTGATGTAGGTTGTCGTAATTGTCACCTTCACCCCAAACCTCGTATATTGCTTTCGATAATACGGCTCTCAGTATAAGTGAACGGGCATCCAGGTCATCTTTTAATTGAACTTTGAGAAACGGTCTGGTTGGGTCGTGTTGGGACAAATCCACTTGTATTCCATGCAAATCAGCGAGAGCCTCAAGCTCAGCTAGCCTAAATTCCGGGTATACCTGGGCAAGTAGGATCAAGTAGTCTTTCATATTGCTTATTCGATTTGCAACAATTTGGTGAAATTTTTTTTTTTTTTGCAGGGAGAGAAATCTCCATTAAAATTGTGCGATGAGTTTTACGTGGTTGCAAGCTTGTAATTAGGAACGAAACACGAAGATAATCTTCTCGTGCGGGGACAGTCCGGCTGCGTTGACAATGGCACCAAATCTCGCTCCAACGCTTTTTGGATGTCTCAATTGCCATGCAAGCACAAGGACCACACCAGTCAGTTGCCCAAACTTTTCCTTCACCATACGCGCTACCTTCTCTTCACAATGAAAGGAATTTCGCACTCTTCACATCCCCCCTTCTCTCGTTTGGAAAACTTCCACATTGACATCACCCACTCAAGACTTTCCTTCATCGAGAACTACAACAACAATTTCAAAAAGATTCTGTGAATTGGACCTCTTTGAGAATCCATTAGAGAGAAAACGCCAGCAGTACTTCAAATATTGATTGATTGAAGAACGACACAGAGAAGTCTATACTGTATAACGTATACATAGTTGTGTTTATCCATCAATAAACTAGCGTATACATAATAACAAGCATCAATTACACCCTTTTTTTTTTCACGTTTATACATATAGAACGTACCATATCCAGTGACTCGGATTGCTACGCAGATTTTGGATCAACTAAACAACACCAAATTGACCAGCCCTTGAAAAATGTCGAATCTAGATGATGATGAAGCCCTCTTTGAGGACTTGTACGATGACGATAAAACAAGCAACAAAAAGGACGCACAAGAGGCGTCCGTGTTAGATAAAAAAGCAGAGGAAAATAAGCAAGGTGCTGAGGAAGGAGTGGAAGCCATTGGAGAGGGTGCCACAAGTGAAACACCCACAGGTACAGCGGCAGAAGCTGCTGCTCAAACTGAAGATGACACCCAACTGGGGCTGGGTGCTCCACCACCACCTCCACCACCACCGCCTCCAGCAAATGAAACTTCTCAAGTACCATCAGAAGCTCAAACTGGAGAGCAAACTCAGCAAGCCCAGCCAGGACAAGCAGCAATGCCTTCCTTCCCATTTGATCCGGCCCAATTTGCCCAGATTGCTAGTATGCTTCAAATGCAGGGCCAGATGCCAGGACAAGTACCAGGGCAAGTACCAGGACAGACACAGGCTAATATCCCACCACCACCACCCAAGCAGTCTGTGTCCGAAATTGGAAAAGAGAGCGGTAAAATGTTTATTGGTGGGCTCAACTGGGACACAACAGAGGAAGGATTGGTGAATTATTTTTCAAAATTTGGAGAAATTACCGATTACACGATTATGAAGGATAATGCCACTGGAAGGTCAAGAGGGTTTGGATTTTTGACATTTAAAGACCCGAGCGCTGTAGACATAGTTATCAAACAAGAACACATACTTGATGGTAAACTAATTGATCCGAAACGTGCCATTTCGAGAGAAGATCAAGACCGTGTTGGTAAGATCTTCATTGGAGGTATCGATCCAATGGTTTCAGAAGATGAATTTAATGATTTTTTCTCCAAGTTTGGCACTATCATCGACTGTCAATTGATGATTGACAAAGATACTGGAAGATCAAGAGGTTTTGGGTTTATTACGTTCGACTCTCCCGATGCTGTTGATAGAGTGTGTGTTAATAAGTATTTAACTTTGAAAGGAAAAGCTATGGAGGTTAAACGTGCAGCTCCAAGAGGACAACATAATCAACAAATGATGATGCAGCAGCAGCAGCAAGCCCAACAACAGGGCGGCCAATATTACAACCCTTATGGTGCAAGTCAATACGGACAGATGTATTCACAAATGAACCCAGCCATGAACCCAGCCATGAACCCAGCCATGAATCAGTGGTATCAATGGTATATGTTTCAGCAGGCTCAGGCCCAGCAACAAGCAGGCTCTTCAGATTCACCCCCAGCACAGCCTCTCAACCCACAACAACAGGAAGATGAAGCAGATGCAGATGAATCTGGTAATGCGGCTGGAAGGAACTCAGCCTCGGACTCTCCACAAGCTGGAGAAGAAGGCGCTTATCCAACGAGACCAAACATTCCACGCGGTCCAAAGAGACCCAATGGTCCCTCAAGCTTCAGAGGAAGAGGCGGCTACAGAAGAGGTAGGGGTGGATTCCATCCGTATCAAAGAGGGGGAAGAAGGTACTGATTTGCTTAAGGTGTGTGTACTAAATATATGTGCTCTATAAATATCACTTTTTTCTACTAGGACGAGCATTCTTTGCTCTTCTCTGCTCCTTCAATGCTCTAGCCTTTCTAATTTGTTCAGTAGATTTCAACTCTTGCTGTTGTCCAGGCTTGTTGTATCCTTTGACTCTCAAACCTGAATCAAGCGCCTTTTCAACCTTTTTCTTTTGCTTGTGATAATCATCTCTGTATTTGTCTGGCAATTTGGGCGTGCTTTGCTTCTTGTGCTTGAATCTATGTGCATTTTCCTGTGCTTCATTGGCAGCAGCAGGAGCAGTAGTATGTTTCAAGTTTCTTTGCTTTTTCCATTCATCAAATTTGCCTGATCTGAAAGATGCCGGGATCTTTGTACCGTTCTCACTGATTATATACTTTTTATCTGTAGATTGCGAATTGATATACTTGCCTTTCTTTTTATCCCACTTCATCACTTGTTTATTCACTTGAAGTTTGTCATCATTATCCAAGTCAAAAGCTGCGGCTTGGGCATCGTTGGCAAACGAAGACGCAATGGACAACTGTTGGTCTTGAATGACGTCGGCAGGGGCATAATGACTGAGAAAATGTTGGGGATCACGAGACGATTTCTTTCGTTGCAACTGTTCACTGTCCTCGAATGTATTTTGCAACTCGTCATCTGCCACTTCCTGGACATACCCACTGTTTTCATCGTCAGCCTTGAGAAGCTCTTCTTCAATGCCATGTCTTAATCCAGCCAATCGCTCCTTCTGTAGCAACTCACGACGTTCTTGCGCTTTACGCTGGATAGGAGCTATTTGACGTCTCCTCTTGTGCATGAATTCTGCAAGACTATCGTTTTCCTTGACACCCTTTTTCTTGATTTCAAACACAGTCTCCTTGACATTCCTGTTTTGTAACTTTGCCAAAAAGTCCTCTTTCTTTTTCTCCAAATTCTCTCCAAAAAGCAAATGCTGGTCATCCCACGAGTTTGTATCCAAAATTTCCTTACTTCTTTTCAAGGACTCCTGCGATGCGGCTTGTCTCGTTCTATGGTACAACTTCTCTCCCTTTGTAGCCACATCTTTCAATACCTTTATCTCATAATTGTTCTTCAACAAGTTCTCGTATAATTCCTGGAATGTCTCCAAGTCCACGCGCGGTATCGATCCAACAACAAGTCTTTCCGTATAGTTCACGTGAGGTGGTATATATGAGTCACCTTGCTTGCTTCTCAACAATTCACACTTGGCCTCATACATTGACGTTAATAAGACCTTTTTCCCCAAAAAAAGCTCCAAATCTAGTAAATACGGCAATTCCTTTTCGTTGACAATTGAATACGCCCAACCTTTATTACCAGCTCTTGCAGTTCTACCAACTCTGTGTATGAATATTTTTGAGGAGCCTGGTAAGGTGAAATTAATAACATTGGCCAATACAGGAATATCAATACCTCTCGCAGCAACGTCGGTGACTACCAATACCTTTGTAAGACCAATCTTGAACTGGTACAACTGGTTCTTTCTGGCGTGCTGGTCTAAAGTACCATAAATGTATGACACTAAGTAGCCGGCATCTCTTAGAAGTTTTGTTATATATTCGACGTGATGCTTTGTTGGCACGAAAACGATAGTTGATTTTTCCGAGGGGAGTTGGTTTGCCGCAGGCATCCTTTCCTTTTTGAACTTGTATTTCTTCTTCTTTCCCGAATCGTCCTCTTCGTCGCTCTCTTCTGCTTCCCTTTTATCCATTGTTACAAGCTTCTTTATTTCTTCTGGAGTCCCCAACGGCATCTTGATCACCTCTTGCAAAATGTATAAAAGATTTGCTTCTCTTTCGTTGATCTTGGTGGTGAAATAAGCCATTTGTAAATTTTCGGAAATTTTTGACTCGGCATCCAAACGAACCAAAACCGGATTGGTTAAACCAGCTTTCGCAAAGTCCACCAAAGTTCTGGGTAATGTGGCAGAGAAAAGTAGTGATTGTCTGTTTTGGGGCAAAGCTAGCAATAGCTCATTCAACTGCTCAGCGAACCCCATTTCAAACAATCTGTCAGCTTCATCAAACACAATGTACTGCACAGTTGATAAGTCGTACTGCATCTCAACTTTTAAATGCAAGAACCTTCCTGGAGTACAAACAATTATATCGGGTTTACTCACCATTTTCCCAAAATCCTCCTCCAACGAGTCTCCACCAATCAAAACAATCGATTGCAAGTCAGTTCCACGACTGAATTCCTTCACCTGTTTGTATGTTTGCAACGCTAATTCTCTTGAAGGAGACAAGATGACAGCTCTTACCCCAGTTGGTCTTCGCAGTTTTAATTTCTCAATGAGTGGCAAAACAAACGCAGCCGTCTTACCCGAACCCGTTCTCGCCATTCCCACAACATCCCTATTATCAATAATCAAAGGGATCGACTTCCTCTGTATGGGTGTTGGTAGTTTGTATCCCTTTTTGGCGATATTGGTGAGCAAGAATTTTGAAAATCCAAAAGAAGCAAATGTTCCTGCCTTTGCCTTTTTGGCAGTGGGATTATTGGAAGTGAAGAAGGATGTGAGAATCTTGTCATCCTCCTCGGCAGAGTTCTCATCGTCGACCAACTTAAGACTTGGCAATGGCCTCTGGTTGTTGGTTTTAGCCTTTTTCTTTGGTGGTGCATTTGATTCTTCGTCATCCAGTGAAAGTATCTCGTCTTGGAACTCTCCTCCGTCCGAGTCTTGTTCACTACTTATCTCATCATCTGATAATACTGCAAGCGAGTTCGCGATGTTGATATCCTCCTCGTCCGACATGTCTCTCTCTCTCTCTCTCAACTGATCACCAAGGTAGAAACAAACGCTATCAATCGCATCTCCATCTCATTGCAGTAAAAAAAAAAAAGAAAAAGAAAAAGAAAAAGTTTTGTGCGATAGTAGTGTCGTAAAAGTTTTTGCGACAATGGAGAATGTGACAATCAGATCGGGGTGTTCTGTTTGATTCTTCACAATATGTATACAGTGGTATTATAAGATTCGAAGTCTTGCATAAAAAAAAACAAAAAAACGTGCCGTCTGCGTCTGCCAGCTAAGCCCAATCGATGAGTGGAGGAAGTCAGAACTTTGAACGGAGCTGCGGAATGGGCAAAACACTGCTTTCGTCTCGTTTCCAAACACATTCACTAACCAATAACCAAGTAGTAAGCATAAACTATTTTGACACTTTTCCGCTCTATCTACAGAGACTCCGCCCAAACGAGCGTGTTTATAGATTTCTCTCTAAAATCCTCTGGAATCCTTTGGATTAACTCTATACAGGTTGTTTTAGGTTTAAATGTGCATAGTTCCGGGATACATAATAACCTTGGAGAAAACTGAATAATATGATATCTATCCAAATAACAAATTATGAGGCGCTTAATTGCGTCGGCTCGGAACTGTGACCTTCTGATCTAAAACGTTGTCAACTTGGTGGTGATTAGGTCTATGAAAGTATTCTTTTGCATGAAAGTGGAGGTGCCGAAGCATTTTCTAAGTAGTATTCATCAAGGATCATTGCTATTCTTCCAGTTTCTTTTGTATACATAGACCATCAGTCACAAAGTCGGGGGTCGGGCAACTTAATCCACTACACCATCGTCGAGAGTGTATTTATTCCTTTATCTTTTCATTGGGTAAATTTTCGTAAACGAGAACAATTACGTCGCATAGTTATATTGCCAGCCGAAGGTTATAGTTGACAATCTGACTATCAGCAACTTAGTTTCTTGACAATCTGCATTCCTTGGCTCTATGTCTCTATCTTTTGCTAAGCCATTTTTTTTAAAGGGTCGTCCCTTTTCTTGGGACTCCTTTAAAGGCGAACTCGTGCGTTTCTAAAATCCTCGCTCTGTGTTATATCATTTGCAAAACTACACGTGCGGAATCTCGGATCTTCCAAGCAAGCTTTCGTACTCCAAGAAAATTGCGTCACAATAGTATTTGTCCCCAGTGCCGATCACACGTAAGTAGATTGTGCTTACTTCTTAATGCCCCGAGAGACCCACCGATTAATAAAAAAAAAAAAAAAAGAAAAAAAAAAAAAAGAAATAGAATTATCACTAGTTATATTTTTATTACACAAGCTCTTTGTAGTATAATATACGTGTGTTGCTGTCTAGAAATTTTTGGACTGGTAGTGGTTCAAGGTTCCGTGTACGATTTGATGGATGTGATATTCCTGTGTCTGTACTCAGCGAGAGTTTCAGGGGGGTGTAGTAGCTTATCGCACCGTGTCTTATCGTCAGCAGAGTTCACATTATTCAAAATAAAGCATTATTGTCGCACCAATTATACTATGCAAGATCCCGCCACTCCTTGTCGTAGCTGCAAGATCGTTCCTGTACAGTTCCTGTTTTATTTTTTATTTTTTATTTTCTATTTTTTGTTTTGCTGTAACTCTTTTATTCTCTCCTTTAACTTTTTGTTCTGCTTTTTTTTTTTGTTCAAGTCACTTATTGTTTTCCAATTTTGGATAATTTCCTGTTAACAATAGCAGGTGATTCATAGTTTTATTGTTTGAAATGCTATCGAATATTCTTTAAAAAACCCACTGTTCTCTTCGCGGAATTTCAGAATGCTTCTGAGAAATAACCAAGCAGTCGACTTCATGTGCGTAATAGCTACAACTGAACAGCCCCTTCCATCGTCTCAACCAAACAATCTATAAAAGCTTTTGGTAGATCTTTTGTGTGGTGGAGATTGAAATGATTTACGTAATGACACAAGATGAATTTTTGAAAGCCTTCAAAGTTTTTTAGCATTTTGCATTTGGGACAAGCCTATCGTGAATCTGAACTAAAAGTTTTTTTTTTGTATTTTTGTTGAGTTCTTGGTAAGGCTGTACACAAAGCACTTGTTGCCAATTAAAATCATCAATTCTGCGCTGATCAAGCGGTGCGAGTTAGTACGTTGACCTTACCAAAAAAAAGAAAAAAAAAAGAACTCTATTCTCTTTAATTCTTCATTCTGTGATTATTTACAAAGGAGGAGTTATTGGAAAGGAAGAAGCCTTTACCTTTCTTTGTCCTTCGATTGCGTTGGAGTGTACCCCTCTCCCATTTTTCGTATATGTAATGGTTGTGAATTTTGGAAAAAAAGGTACAAAATGACAGGGTTCGTTTGGGGGAGAATTTCAGGTTGTGTGGAACAGCAGACAAAACCATGCTTCGAGAATGACGTTAGCAAACATGCACACGCGTGGGGTTATAAGTATATAAAACAGAAATAGCAGTAACAGGACTGTATGTAGTAAGTTTTGTATAGGAGAGAGATGCCACTGCCTCAAGCAAGATCGTTCCACAAGCTTTCCCGAAATTTAGTTGCACTAAGATCTAAATGTGCATTTTTTCTATTTCGTAAACAAAACATGAGCTGACAAACATGGACGAAAATTTCTCGTAAACCATTCAGCACTAGTATTTGTTGTGTTTTGTGTATAGATTGAGGTCATAGAAGGGCAATTTTGGCTGTATGATTTCAATATTAACAACGAAGGAAGTGTACGATTTTGTGGCAATTGTTATTAGCCAAGTCCAAACGAGATTGGTTTGTTTATGCAAAAGGTGTGATGTAATTACAAAGAAAAGCTTTGTGACATTTCCATCCAAATTTTCTGCATTTATTATTTTCTTTTTTTTCCCAGTCCAAGAGATTACCGTTTTCAGGTACGTGAAAATTGTGTAACCGATACGTTTCTTCAAGGAGAATAAGTAGAACGCTTAAAATTGCATCCGGGGCACAATAGGATACAGCTTCGGGCTAAAAGAATGTACATGTTAACCATGTCTTGTGCAGTTTACAAGAACTGAAAGTCTCGACAATTCCAACGAGTGAATGTGCTTGTAAGTGCACACAAGCAAGAACGTACGACTTTACATGAGCAAGAAGTACAAACGAAAGTGGCACAGAGTCTAAAGCTTGCACTAAAAGCCTTGCAACTACTTGCATTACCGCGTGAAGTTGTTTAAAGGTTAAACTTTTCTGCAAAGTCTAAAAACGCTCGAATAAAACGTTTTGGTTACATAGCAATCATACAGAATTCGTAAACGAGAAAAAAAAGGAATAATTTTAAAACAGCAAAGCCTACTATTCTGCTGTATTCTACAACAGCCTACATGACAATTACATCATGCATAAAAAAAAATGTCAACTTCTCCGCTGCGGCAACAATAAAATGCGGTGCTTATTGTGAGGCTTTTGGTCGTTGACAATAATGTCGGAGTTAGCGGAAATAAGCATGTGTCCTTTTGCACGGTTTATTTTTATGCGTGATGAAGTATCTAAAATCCATCGGGTAAAGTTGCACAGCTAAAATTTGAGAGCTTTTGTACCGCTTGCGTGGGGGATCTAGAGACCAGCTCTGTGTGGGGTTTACGCAGCACCATAGTAATTGCTGTATCGCTAATCGCGACTCCTTTACGCAATAGAAGATGTTGGAGTTAAAAATGTGTGTATCGGAGAGAATTTGGTCTCAGTTTACCCGCTTGCCGCGGTGTGTCCGTCGTCAATTGTCGTTAACATATTTTCTTTTTGCTTTATTTTCTTTTTTTTTTTTCAAAAAAACAATAACGTTTCGTGCTGCTAGTTTTGTGTGCATTAAGGAGTCATAGTTAAGGCTGCTGTGCCACATTGTGACTCAAGCACCCAAACTATAGATTCGTTTGCACTTGAGCACAAACTTTCTCCTTTTTGAGACCTCAGAACTACGCTGCATTGGCAAAGATGCTGAAGAGATAAAAAAAGAAAACAAAAGACAAACCACGTGGTCAAGTATTATATTTTTATGTGTTCTTTTTTTTCTTTTTTGTGTGAGATTGTTTTATTTTTGACTCGTTTTGCCAAAAACAAAATGTAGCAAACGAGATTTCCTTTACCCTATTGCATGACAGAAATCGTGTAGCCGAAATCGCTTGCAAAACTTCAGAAGCCCACATTTTTCGCTTTTGAAGAAGGCTTGAACTGGGGCAAAAATACTCGGTACTACTACGAAGTTTAAACAATCGCCTCAAAGAAGAAAAAAAAAAGAAGCAAGGAAACCTGCACGAGAAACGAGAAAGAGATGCGGCGTGTTTTTTTTTAACTATATTGGTTTGGGCGACAGAAGCACAGTTGCATCGTTGTTGCATCATTGTTGCATTTCCTCTGAAATTGAAAGGAAACTCTTGGGTGTGAATCAGCTTAGACAGCTAAACCCTTTCTTGGCAGAGGATAAGCTCTCTTAGCTCTATGTCTCAGTGCTTCACTACGATGTAGTAGTTTTCTGCACACCTGTCGTCTTTGACCACAAACAGAAGATATTTCGTTAGCACCTAAGAACATGACTACAAGGAATGGGAGGATAAGCGAGAGTAATAATGCCCTTCATGTTCTCGAAGTTCCTGTAACGACGGAGTTGATATTTTGTATGCAGTAGGGCATTTCCTTTGAGGAAAAAGAAAAACAATAATACAAAAGTTTTGTACTTCATGCACAGGGTGTTAAACTGTTTCAGATTTAAAGTTAACTTTATTATATTTTTTTTGTTTATTTTATTACTTTTTATTATTATTCTAAGTTTAGCTTGTAAAGAGAGTTTATCATGCACGCTTTTGGTTGGAGAGCATGTGCCAAATTTGAATGGAAATGTCATTTCTCTCTCCCAGTCTAATTTCTGAAATGCAACACCAACTATAAAACCCAGTTCTTTGTGTTAACTCAAATCAATAGAAATCACATGTAAGGGTGTGATTTTTAGAATTTCAGTGACATTGGGTGTGTACAACTGTACAACTGTGGTCTGTCTCTGTGTGGGTAGAGCTGGCTAAAGAAGCTTCCTCAGCATATGAACGGGCCTAGATTCGTCCATGACAATGGCAACACAAAGCTACCGACCCAAAGCCTGCAGTTGTTGTAATGTTTTTTCGCGAGTTGATCACAAGAGTGTAATTGCCTGATTTTTTTGCTTAGTTTTGTGTAGGGTGGCCCAACAATACAGTGCATTTGAAGGTCGACGGAAAATCTAGACAACGGAACAATAGTTCTAATAGAACAAAAAGGAGGCTTGAGAAAACCGTGTTTACCTAGTGGGGGTGAGAACAAGAAACAAATTGCTATCGCATCGGGTGGTGCTGTGCGCTCTAATAGTTGCCTCTATTGTCCTATATTTTTGCGTTGAGCTTAAAGAAAGAGAGCATTCATCAGAGAGAGCCAAAAGAAAAAAAAAAAGAAAGAAAAAAGAAAAGTTGAAACTTCCGAGACAACATCTGCGTCTAGCTTAACCTTTACCGAAAAAAACCTAAAATAATAGATGGTTATGAGACAACATTTATAGAGGGCGGTGCTTCCGTGTGACCCTTGTCAAACAATACATAATCAGCAATCGATGCACTCAAAGAAACCGTTGAAAGAAATCTACTGTAAATGCAAATAAGTGATTATACCAAACACAAGGTGGGCGCCGATGCCGGGTTGAATTAATTCAGCTGAGAACAATACAATTATACCTATTTGTGAGCGTTCTACAAGAGCTGGATTTCTAACTTTCGTTTTTTTTTTTTTTTTTTTTTTTTTTTTTTTGCTTCTGTCTCTCTCTGCTCAAACTGTGTGTATGAATATAGCCGACGTGCTGGAAACAAAGCTCATCATAGCCATGCGTGTGAGGGATCGATAAAAGTCGGCAGATTTGTAAGCATCGTTTTGAAACCAAACGTTTTGCCTTTCCGGTTTTCTTCGTGGCGACTTTAAGACGGTACACTTAACTTTGAAGATCGACAACCATTTTGTAGGCGTGAGGAGGTGGTCAGTACTAAATTGGCTTCTGTTACTAACGAGCCGATCACTTTACTGGTGACTTTGCCTCGTATATGCCCGTTCTTCAAACATGCAAATTATGTAGAATTTTCTTTTTGTACTTTATTCATCCTCCATTTTCGTCTAGTCTCCTCAAGAGCATACTACCATGATTGTACTACATTCCATTGTGGTTTTAGATTGCTATTATATTGGAACACCCATAAGTACTGAATAAAGGGTACTATAGTGATAGGAGATTGAGAAGCGAAGTCACTAAGTTTCTTGCGCTTGTGGGCACAGAAACAGAAAGTAAAAAAAAAAAAAAAAAGAAAAAGAAAAAGAAAAAGAAAAACAAGTGAAAGGGGAAGGGAAAGCAGCACAAAAAGTGCCTCCACATTTGGGGGATGAGAGAGAAATAAGGGGAGAGAAATTTGGGTCAACAGTTTTGTTTTGCTTTACTTTGTTTGGTAAAGTCTAAACTGCTCTCTCTTTATGCGCGATGTATTCTATTGCTGTTTTTGTTTCTGATAATTTATTTTGTGTTTGTGTCGGTTGATAAGTGATGATGAGGATGATGTTACAGTACACATTGAAGTGAGTTTTGTGTAGTTTCAAATGTGTGTATTGTTTGCGCCTAATAATTCATACAAACGTACCGAGAGAAAGACGTAGTTTGTGTAATGTCAGCTTACATATGTATGATGTTATAAAAATAGTGTGTGTGCTGCACCTTTTTTTTTTTCGGCTCTCTCATGTAATTTTATTTTCTCCAAACATAAAGAAAAAAAAGATATTTCAAACTGAGAATAAAAATAAAAGTTTTAATAATATTTTGAAACTTAAAGAAAATAAATTAATTCAATGAAAAACTTCGTATTTGTGATGTTATAAGTTTTTTAACCATATCTGTATCAGCTCAACTCTGATATATACTTCTTTACCAAGGCAAAACAAAAAAAAAGAAAAAGTAAAGTAAAATAAACATGATTGACTTATGTACAAAGGGTTACGTTGTCATTGCTATTATAACATCAACACATATTACTTTTTTTTTTTTTTTTTTATCCATCCACTATCGTCATGGATGAATAACTTTTCTTTCATATGTCTTTTGTTACATTTCATAATTCCGTCACTTCTCCCAAGCCCGTTCGTGATTCTTTTTCCCAATTGTGCTCTGTTTGTGTAAAAGGTATGCTCTAAGTTGTTTGGCCTAAACCAACTAGGAAAACAATATTGTACAAATAATTTAGTTAAGAGTTAAGCTATTTCGGTTTGTTCCTGTGCTACTTGCTATAAATAATAGAAAGCTTAGTATTTTCTTTTTTTTTTTTTTGTCAATAATAATAGCATAATTGTTACAAAAGAAATACAAAACTGAAAAAAATAAATATTATAAGAAAACTGGTACCTAATTTTAAACTATATAAGTATTTATATATAAATATATATATAATTACAAATTCCGTAGGATTACTTAAAGAAAGCGATTCAGATTTGAAAACATCACTACTCCCTACACTTTACACCCACACACACACATATATATATACAACCTTTTACCACCGTCTTACTCCAGTTTTCAAGACGTGTATTTTTTCGTTTTTCTTTGTCAAACTTGATCAGTAATTTTCAGCGTCCTTTTTGATTTTAAGAAGTTCCAGTCAAAACACGCATTTTAATTCGAAATTTGTGGCACAGAAATATATCTTTACAGATTCTCAGATCTCATACAAAGTCATTGACACAGGGTGACCACTAGCTTTATTACCCGCATCATCTTAGTACGGCATCGACTTGACTTACTATCACTGCGGCCGAATCAAAACACACAATAGTTACTTGGAAAGCTTGACACGTTAAACTTTACTGATCATCCTTGCACTGCATAATAGCTGAGCCCCTCCCCGTCACCACTTAGAGGTCTTTTTGCATCAGCTTGTCATTTGGCTCAATTTGAAGTGGAAATTACGAAATACAATCAGGCGGCTATATTAATGAATAAATTGAGATGCCTCAATTACCTTCGGTATCTGAACTAATAGGCTCCACCAGAGTTGATACAGCTGCGAGCACGACAGTCGGGGCTTTTCCACCATCAAGTTCATATGCAGACTACAGTCACAGGAAGGATTCAACAACGTCGATTTCCTCAAGCGGCATACCAAGTGAGCCATATAGGAGACAATCCACAGACCAATCAAGACACCAGAGACTACCGTCGATATCAAACACCATTTCAGTATCAAACAGCAAGCGGAATTCGATCGACACGTCTCCACGTTCCTCGATTCATCTACCAGGTGTCTCATATGCCCTAGTTTCTCGCAACGAAAACGTCAACACTGATAGCATGGAGTCACTACCGAGCTCAAGGAGACTGACGGAATCGACTGTCTACACTTCTGGTAACAATCCCGCAGTTTACCTGACTCTTCCAACCCCGGGCTCTGCAAACTCGTTGCCTGGTCCATCTTTCAAGTTTCAACAGCAACAGCAGCAGCAGCTGAAATTGTTACAGCATAGCGAGTCACAGAATGCAGGAATAGTGCGGCCACCGGTTGGCTCACCCATAGGAAGCACCGATAAGCTTCAGCCGTTGCACATGTACATTAGTTCACCTTCTACTTTACACAAACCACAACCACCACTACCATCAGTTGCAACACAACTGACAGTATCTCATAACAGAACCAACTCAAATACAGTGTCTCCTACTCATAACGCACATAGTGCAGCTCAAGGACACGAAATAGTCGCTGACAATGTCGATACTTCCACAGTCCCTCAATTAATCAGGGTGCCTTCTGCAACCCCGTTACATATGAACCATGGTTTCCCCGTTTCAAAAAGTGCTCCAACGAGTACCACAACGACTTCGTATCCGCTGTACTTTTACCATAGTGTGTCATCAAGTGATGGTCCACCCGCGCAGAATATGCAGCCGCCGCAGCCACAACCGCCGTCTTCGCAACCACCACACCAAGAACACTATTACTCACACCGAGCACCTCAAGCGGTATCAATTACAACTCACACACCGCCTCCATCTACATCTTCTATCCAGCATCAAAATCCACTCGCTACTGGCCCTGGATATTACGTTGTTCAACAACATCAACAACAATACCAACAGCCACAGCAAATTCCACTTCCGCCAGCGGCTCCAACTCCCGGTCTGCACCAACAACAAATGCAACCTTTTGCTCCACCATTTCCCCCACATGCAGTTCACCCGCAAGCCCTGCCCTACCATGTTCAAGCACATTATGATCCCCGTCAACTACCACCACCACCACCACCACCAACACAACTACCAGGATCGGGTCTATTAATGGGTCTTCAACCTAGCATGTATCATCCTTATGGTGTTCCATTCAATGACGAGAACCAGGCGCTTATGAATAAACGCAAGATTATTAAACGAAGAACAAGAACTGGGTGTTTGACTTGCAGGAAGAGAAGAATAAAGTGTGATGAGAGGAAACCTTCGTGTTATAATTGTGAGCGTCTGAAGAAGGTTTGTTTGGGGTATGAGAATTTATCGAATTTGCAACCTAGAAAGAGAGTTAGAGACACAAGCTTGGATTTGCCGACTGATGGATCAGGTGCTATTGTGCAACAGCAACAGCACCACCAACAGCAGCAACAGAGTGGGGTGGATCAACAACGAGGATTTAGCGAACATAGAAGTGCTGTGTTGTAGCTTTACAAATTATCATTCGATATGGGAGTAATTGACGGATCCAGCTGCTCAAAGTGAAGAGCTAAAGGTAGTCTTAGTATAAGAGACCGTACATAGGGGAACTTTCGCAAAACTAGAGCCTAGTTCACGTTTACATTCGCTGTCACACTGTATAGAGAGGTGTTTAAATGGATAACGACTTTCCAAACAACGGCACTTGTAGGGCCTACAAATTGTAAGCTCTCTATATACAAATTCAGTCTGATCCAACATTGTCAGATTGCAATATACGAGAAATGACATACTCTGACCGATTGAATTCGGATCTCCAAAATATAATAATTTTGACGTACAATAAGAAATTGTTTTAAAACCCACTCCCCCCCAAAAAAAAAAATAAAATAAAATAAAATCAGAAACAGAAAAAAAGAAAAAAAAGTTCGTAAATTGGAGAGTTATTGAGAACACAGTTTTGCGATTTCGAAAGAGTACTAAGTGGTATCTCCGTCGGATCAACAACTACTCTATTTGAAAAGGACAATAATGATCCTCGTTGTTTTGGGTGAGTGTAGTTGCCAAGTACAACCCAACAAACGCAAATGGTCCCAACTGGTCACACAAGAAAGCAAAAAAAACAATACCAGCAATTTAGAGTGTGTTTCTGCAAAAACGCCAACACCAGTGGTTATGAGCTTGTGGTTCCCTCATCTGTTTTGTTCGATTGCTTTTGTAATTTTTTAGTTGTAGTCCATTGTTGAGCTTTGGTTTTTTTTTTTGGTTGTAGTTGAGATATGGTTCCCATATCGGGTAATTTCATTTTCCATTTGTTTATAATTCAATATTTAAACGAATTACAAATATAATATTGTTAGTGATGTATTATTACATAATTGTGTTTGATTCTCATATAATAAAAACAAAAAAGAGAAAGAAAAGCAAAAAAAAAAAACAAGGAGAACAATGACGCAATTCGTGTTAAATGAAAGAAATAAAACTATCAAGCGGATTTATAGGGCGTGTACCTATTTTCAAAATCCTATGCACTTACAAAACCTTAGCAATCAATGAATAACCTAAGTGCTTTACAAGAACAATATTCGTAATTACATTAAGGCGTCTACACACAGCCTAGTGAGAGATCTCCGTCCTAACTATTCGCTCACCACTGTAGTGCTTTTTCGTATGTTTGGCAAAATGAAAAATAAAGTTCAAAGCTGCTCCCTCTTGTTGAAGTGGACTCTATCACCTACGTGACAATCTATGCTTAGTATTTTCCTAAGCCACGGTGCACTTTTATCCAACTTTCCTTTTCAGTTTTTTTTTTTCTCAACTAATTGGGTAGAGTATAAAGTGGAAGGGCTGAAGGAAAGTTGGTGGGGTGGGGGGTGTAAGAGGAAATAGGAAATGTGATTACGCCCTGCTAGTTGGGTAAAAATTGGTGAGCACTATGAGGAAAAGAAGCAATGGTGCTCTATTGTGTTCGTTTTGTGTAGAAATCTTAATTTTGTACACTTCAAACTAAAAATCCTCCACCCTCACGCCCATCTAAATTTAATACAAGTTTATACAAAAACGGATGACCCAACAAATATCCGCGCGAGTAAATTGGGAAAAACGTTTGCCTTGTAGATAACCATCAGTACACAGAGTCTTCATGAAACGAAAGAAAGTCGTTGCTGTAAGTGCAATCCTAATACCAAGAGACAACTGAATGTCATTTCTACTTTTTTGAATTTGGGGGAGCGTATTGTACCTTAAACAATATCAATTGTGCCTGCAACAAAAGAGAATCCGAAAAACAGTAAAGACGGAGCGGAATACTCTTTTTCCATACATTCGTATGTTGCTTTGTTGTAACTGCACGAAGCGAGAGAATGAAAAAGTCTACTCCCACACTTGTGTATGTTTCAGAAATAAATGCACATGAGGTTAAAGTTTAATGACTCCAAGAAAAGGATAGTTTATTCTCTTGACAGGTTTGCACGCATTTTTATTTTCCTTGTTGTGCCCCCCACAATACTTAGGTTTTTTTTTTTTTTTCCGTTGCAAAGTGCTGCTCGATAACTGAAGGCACCCTGTGTTGAGCTTCGGCTATTGTACAATTTGTTTCACTCAAGAATGGTTTTCTTTAGCATAAACATCCAAACGTGCATAGAGAATCAGCTATAGCGTTCATAAGCATGCAGGTTTTGTTCAACGGTGCATCAGCAAGATTAACCGGACTGAGATCACCGGCTTTGCTCAACTACTAGCGAAGTTCTACGCTTACTTTGTCGATCCTTTTTTTGTTTCTTTTCTTTTTTTATTTTTTTTTTGGCTATTTTTTGGTACTACTCCGTCGAAAATCGCAGACCGCCTTGACAACAGTAGGAATTACACTTCTAACAATCGAAAGTTTGTCTCAACTTTAGCTCCCTTGCCCCTTTGGTAAATTAATTGATTACGAAGTGTCTGTCTCAGCTTTCCGCCTCTTTTAATAAAACCAAAAATATGAGGATCAACCAAACTTTAAAACGGATTTGTAATACATGTACTATAAACGCTTTCTGGCTATTTTTTTTTCTAGAAGCGTTTGGAAATGGGGGTTGGTGGGGGGAAGGGGGGGGGATACTGGCGAAGTTAGAAGTTAATCGTGAATTTGCATGCTGATATACCCGGGGGTTTCAAAGCTATTTCTTTGATTTGGGATTTTACGTACGATGTGTTATTTGTTTTAATTTCAGTGCAAAGTTTAGGAGGAAAAAATAAGGGACCGTATTCTAGAATTGGCACTTGCTGGTGAAGAAAAGAATTTATTTGTCCTACTTTGTCCTTTCTGGAGGCATCTCATCAAACTGATCCCCCATTTGAACCTTAGCAACCTCGTGCAACTTTACCAGAAAAAAATGACTCTAACTATTTTATTTTTCAAGAAATCACACAGCCGACTAGCTGCTGCTCCAATAACCTGGAAACCCAAGAAACTTTCTCAAACAGTTTTGGGGCAGGTCCAAATTGGGTTTCAAAATAGCTTGACATGTGGATGGTGCGAATAACTTTGTGTGTCCTGTGCAAGGAGTTGTTTCCCTTACAGGTTGCAAAAAGAGAATTCCAGTCAATATTTTGCGGCTTTTCAGTAATCTCATTTTAGCCGTTTAAGGAATATTGTAGTAAGGTAGTGCGCCGCTGACAAAAAAATAACGCTTTTTAAGCGACACTTCCGCCGGCGAAAGCAAGTAAAAGCAGCAAGCGAATATACAGCCCGATGAACTGTGTTACTTTCCCGTTGATTTGCATACACTGTCCAATATCATCGTAAACACAACTTGAACTTTGAGAAAAGAGGTGTGATTCGCTTACAAGTTTCAAAATTGTCATTTTGCCGCATCAAAATTTCTTTTTCTGCTTTATCGACTGGACAAACGGCGGTGTAACCATACTGTTTGACCATATTGTAAAGTTACTAAACTATCTAAACGAAACGCTGTTACTGAACGGGACACCCATTGTAAGCACTTCGAAGCATTTACTTATGGAAGGTTATAGATGCCCATTATGATCCACCACTTATATCGCCTTTTTCTTATCAGACGATCTTTTTNGGTGTAACCATACTGTTTGACCATATTGTAAAGTTACTAAACTATCTAAACGAAATGCTGTTACTGAACGGGACACCCATTGTAAGCATTTCGAAGCATTTACTTATGGAAGGTTATAGATGCCCATTATGATCCACCACTGATATCGCCTTTTTCTTATCAGACGATCTTTTTTTGAAAATTATTTTCTTACTTAGAGGGGACCTTTTAAGCGAGCGGAATCGATCCCGCGCTCACTTGCATTTCTCAGTACCCCTCTCTCTCTCTCTCTCTCGTGGTAAACATTGTATACTTCTGCGCCAGCTGCTGTTAATCTGTTTGAGTCGCACGGGATTGAAATTTCGTCCCCACTTTCATTCTTCGATCGGCACTTTGCGGTTTTTTTTTTTTATTTTTTTTTATTTTTTTTTTCGATAAGAAGGCATATAGAGTAGTAATCAAGCGCACATACAGAAACAAGAAAAACAACGGATAAAAAAAAGGCAGAAAAATCAAAAAAAAAAAAAAAAAAAAAAAAAAAAAAAAAAAAAAAAAAAAAAAAAAAAAAAAAAAAAAAAAAAAAAAAAAAAAAAAAAAAAAAAAAAAAAAAAAAAAAAAAAAAAAAAAAAAAAAAAAAAAAAAAAAAAAAAAAAAAAAAAAAAAAAAAAAAAAAAAAAAAAAAAAAAAAAAAAAAAAAAAAAAAAAAAAAAAAAAAAAAAAAAAAAAAAAAAAAAAAAAAAAAAAAAAAAAAAAAAAAAAAAAAAAAAAAAAAAAAAAAAAAAAAAAAAAAAAAAAAAAAAAAAAAAAAAAAAAAAAAAAAAAAAAAAAAAAAAAAAAAAAAAAAAAAAAAAAAAAAAAAAAAAAAAAAAAAAAAAAAAAAAAAAAAAAAAAAAAAAAAAAAAAAAAAAAAAAAAAAAAAAAAAAAAAAAAAAAAAATCAAAAAGAAAATAGAAAGTAAAAAAAATTTTAAAAAAAAACCTGAAATTGTGCCAAAGGGAAGCAAAATTCATCTCAAGATTAGAGGGAAATTTCACTACGCTTCGAATCTACTTATTTCGGAAGATAGCAATCTCAGTCATCGATAATATTCACACATTAAACTCCATTTAGTAACGCGTTGTAAACGAATACACATTTTCCGAGCAAATTTCGACCAAGGAAACCATATTTCGCCATGTCAATCAAGACTCGTAAAATAGCAGTTGTGGGATCTCGCGCAGTTGGCAAATCATCAATGACAGTGCGCTATGTTGAGGATCATTTTGTTGAGAGTTATTACCCCACGATTGAGAACCAATTTAGCAAAAACATAACTTACAAAAATCAAGAGTATGCCATTGAGGTATTGGATACAGCCGGCCAGGATGAGTACAGTATGATGAATGAAAAGCATCTTGTTGGCATACATGGTTATTTGCTTGTGTATTCCGCCACGTCGCGGCAGTCCTTTGAATTGATTGAATTTATAAGAGACAAGATACTAAATTCAATTGGTAATGAGAATATACCCATGATTTTGATTGGAAATAAGCGAGATCTAACGCATCAGAGACAGGTTGAAGTAAGCGAGGGAGAGGAACTTGCTCGCAAGTTTAAATGCCAGTTTTTGGAAACTTCAGTTAAAGAGAATTACCATATCAACGAAGCATTTGAAGGGTTAATTGATAGAATTGAAAGGATACAGAATCCGCCTGTGGTGAAGAAGGAGGACAAATGTGTAATTATATAGAATCTACAGTACAAATGGTTTGATATTGAAATATACAATACAAATTGTAAGCCATAGATAGACGGCTCCCACTTGTAACTTCCGGTTGGCCAAGCCATATTTTAACACTGTCTCCCACCTCCACTCTAGAAGATAAATTGCAAATTACAATCAATAGGATGTGAAGCCGTCAATTGTGGTTTTTGACTGTATTTTGCTTGCAAAATTTGTCTCATATTTTGCAACAAACTCAAGTACGATTGGTTAGGATTCTGGTTCATCACAGTGAGAAACGCATAACTCATTGCACCAGTTGATTGTCCGCCCTCTTTGGCGTCAGCACTTGTTTGGTCGTCTTTACAACCACTAAATGAAATAGCATCACATGGAGCAGTTTTCGTTTGTTTACTGTATTCATTTGCTTTCGATGCCCTTCCTTTATTCATAAAGCTTTTGACTGCTGAACCCAACCCTTTAACCATGTCGACTCTATCTCCAGTAAGATACGACATACCAGCTTTTAACAAACCTTGGCCTGCTTCGGCCATAACGTTGGGCTCTTTCAACACACCCTTGGTTGAGTACATATATGGCAAGTCCAAAACTGAACCAGAATGACAAGAGTCAAAAATTGCCGTCAATCTGCAGCCCGGTGGTATCGTCTTTACCATCATGTCATGCAATAAATCATCAACAATAAATCCATTGGTTTGGAAGTCTAATGGGTAGATAACCTCATCGTACCCATCATCTTCGTCATAATTTCCATATTGATCCGGTTGATCTTCAGTTTGACCCCCATGACCGGAATAGTGAAAGAAAAGAGAATCATTGGGTCTAGCATCTTTAACCAACCATTGAATAGCATCCAAAATGTTTTGTCTAGTTGGAATAGCACGTTGCGTACGCTGATCGTCAGTGAGCTTGACAATATTATCGTCACTGAAACCATGACGAAGCAAGAATTGTTCAACATTGTTGACGTCATTTATACAACCATTCAATTGGTTTTGAGAACCCAAGTAGTTAATACCCACTAACAATGCCTTTTTGCGACCATTACACATGGAATACTGATAGTTGTAATTTTCCACACCAAAAGATTGTTGATTGGCAGGTGGACGTGAATAACTTCCAGAACCATATTGATGTCCGTAGTCTGGTTCTCCATTCATACCAGGTTGTGCACGTGTATCACCGTATTGATCTTGTCGATTATAGCCACCATATTGTTGTTGACCAGGTGGAGGACCAGAAGGGGGTCCGTAGTTACCATACTGTTGACCAGGTGGAGGACCAGAAGGGGGTCCGTAGTTACCATACTGTTGACCAGGTGGAGGACCAGATGGGGGTCCGTAGTTACCATACTGTTGACCAGGTGGAGGGCCAGATGGGGGCCCGTATCCTTGCGGTGGTTGTTGTTGTCCACCATATGTGTGTCTTCCTTGACCTGGAAACATGTCAATAATTGCAAATGTGCTGTAGTCGTGGGAAAAGAAAGATTGAGATCAGATCCCGATATTGGAATTTCAAAAGTTGACTTTTCGGTAAAAGCCTCTCTAAATTTTCCTCTCTGCACTACCAATTTTTGCAACTCATGCACACACACACAGACACACACACACATATCACTTACAACACAGTCTCACTGCTTTAGCATAATCTCCGTTAAATATAGAGAGAGCCTCAATGGTGGTTGCTGCTGTGATTTTAGTATGTGACTGTCGAGCTACCTCCTCAATCCACGGACTTTCATAGACTTTACACAACTGGAATAGGACGAGTAGTTCTATTTTTAGAAAAATCCAAACTTCAAACCTCGCAATGAAGGTGCAGTAGAATAATCCAAAATATCGACCGCGTGGAAAATCAGTTCTTGCTGAAGCTAGAGAACATTGTCAAGAAAGAGCGGAAGAAAAGTGTCAATAGGAATTGAGGAATCTAAGTGACATTATTGACAGACCTAACAAAATTCTAATTTTACCGTATAGAATTTTGCTATTTTACATGGAAGTAACTGACACAGCTGCTACTTTTTCACTCCGACTAATAGTGCAAACTTATGAGATTGGACTGCCCAATCTGTGTCCAGACCCTTTTGTAATGGATTTCGGATCAACAGAGAAATATCTAGATAAAGAATTTTTATTTTTCTTTGTTCGGCAATATCATCTTCTACGATGTTGATTAGATTTGCAAAGTCAATCAAACAGTCGATACATTCACACATACGACCCCGTTGTTGCTAAGCTCAAGACAGTAACATCGTCAAACAACTCACTCAATACAGCATGGATCAACATTTACCCATTCTTACAACGCGAAAGAATAAGAGCAAGGGATCGAAAAAGAAGCCATTGAAAGCAGGTCCGGAAGTTGCGAAAAATGGTATACCTTACGATTACATTGTTATTATCGATGCGGGATCAAAGGGTTCGAGAGTCCATGTATACAACTGGTTGAATCCTGGGGCGGCATTTGACAAAAGGATTGATTTACATCAGTATAAACGATTGAAAAGCAGGATATTACCCTCAGAAGAAGAGGAGGAATCTGAGAGTGAAGACGACAGCGACGACGAGGATGACGGTACCAAAGAAAAGAGCAAGGTGCTATACCCCAAAATAAGGACAAAGAATAGATGGCACAAGAAAATCACCCCCGGCATATCTTCATTCAACAAAGCCCCCCACAAGATTGGCAAACATCATCTATCAAAATTACTTTCTCGAGCAAGCAAGATTGTACCTAAGGCACAGCATTATCGAACTCCAATTTTTTTGCATTCGACTGCAGGGATGAGATTACTACCACCTACCGAACAGCAACATATATTGAATGAGATTTGTTTGTTTTTGGAAAACAAATCAGATTTTTTCATTCCTGATTGTGCATCGCATGTTAACGTCATTGATGGTGATTATGAAGGACTATATGGATGGCTATCGATAAACTCCTTGATTGGTGCATTGGACGATCCATCTTCACATCAACATGGGAAAAACCATACAACGTATGGATTGTTGGATATGGGAGGAGCCTCGACTCAAGTTGTGTTCCAACCCAACACCACCGAAATCGATGAACACCAAAACAACTTGTACCACTTGGACCTTCGTCAAGTACCTACCCTAGATGGAAACAAGCAGACTTACAAAGTCCCACAGCAGGCTGAGTACAATGTTTACTCTGATTCATTCTTGGGGTTTGGAATGTATCAAGCAAGAAATAAATACCTCAAATCACTTGTTGCTGCCGACGACAAGGACGACCAGTATCATTACTGGGGATTGACTAAATCCCCAATCAACGATCCATGCATGCCAAAGGGATTTACAACGTCCGATTATGTTAATGATCGTTCGTACGACTTCATTGGCGAATCAGATTTCGAAAACTGCTTGAACCAAATCTTTCCTGTTTTACAAAACTCGACGCATGGTGGAGGAGGGCCCAAAAAGAATTGCAAACAGTTTAGCGAAGGTGATGAAGTTAGCACTTGTTTGTTGAATGAGTTGATTCCATCTTTTGATTTTGACGTGAACCATTTCATAGGTGTTAGTGGGTATTGGGATGCAATTGAAGATTTATTGTTGCATCAGGATGATAACGAGGCTGGCAAGTCAGTACGTGGCAAGGTGAAGGATCAGAAAAATACCTACGATTATAAGCAAATATTCAGCAAAACGCAAAAAGTGTGTTCTGAGTCCTGGTCGAGTATATTGGAGTTGAATATGAAGAAGGAATATAAGGATCAATTGAGTGAAGATGAGTTATCAACTTTATGCTTTAAATCGTCATGGATTCTTAACTTCTTGCATCTAGGCCTCGGATTCCCCAGATTCGGTATCGACAGTGTCACGAATAGCAACAAAGGATTCCAAACGTTGCAATTGGTTGAAAAATTGGATGGCTCCTCGTTTTCATGGGCGTTGGGACGAGCTGTACTTTACGCCAATGACGAATATATTCAAGCTTACAATAATTACACGAAACGGATATCGAAAGATGATGTTACTGCCGCCGACGGTGTCACTCAACTCAAACGACCAGGGTTTTTTCATAGCTCATCGCCAAATATTTATCAATTTGGAGCTGAGCAAGATGGCATAATGTCAAGACCAGAGTATACCAAAATGGATGCTAGTGAGTTACATTACTTTGACTATGAAATGAAGGAGGAGACAGATCATGAGTCCGCGTGGAACCTTGAACCTCATCGATGGTTTGGATTTGTCATATTTGCCGTATTGTTGAGTTTTGTTGCGTGGTTAATGGTGGGAGCTAGAAACAGGAAGTTATTCGTTACAAAAGTTACAACTGGATTTAGAAAGTTGGTGAAGATGACACCAGGGTATAGCGAAGCGAAGTATACTACTGTGTCTAGGGGAGATGCTGATGGTCTCGAGGACATGGAAATGGGGTTGGAGTTGAGTGAGTTGGACAAAGATGCTGACAAAGACCAATTCGAAATTGGCGATGAAGCTGAGGGAGAGGAAGGTACCGAGGCTGATGGTGAACGGCAGAGAAACAGAACTTGATCCAGTGCTGCTGAGAGCCATTGCAAAACTTGCGTAGAAAATTAGGACACTCTATATAACATTACCTATTGGCTTTTACTCTCTAATACTAACAACGTATTTTTCACCATTTGCTCCAATTTTCTCTAAATCATTCAATGCATCTTCGATAATTTCAAGTCCACCATTAAATTGCTTGTACCTAGCCGGTTTGATTTTAGACTCGGCAAGGAAATTTGAGGTGACTTGGATAAACTGGGCTCCGAAATCAACATCTTCATGGAAACGTTTTATAATCACCGGTTTCAATACCACCAGTTTGGGTGCCTGATCTTCTTTGGGCACGCCGACAACTCCAGCAAACAATGGGGAACGTTCAGCCAGTTCTTGCGTTGCTTCAGAATTGGATTCAGGACCAACCTTGGAATAGTGCTTCAATTTGCCACTATTTGCATCAAGAATGTTCAATACCTTGATTGCGGTTTCTTTCGATACACAATCAATACCGTAATCCATCCCATCAGGCGAATACTCATTTGCCTTTGCTTCAATTTCGTCATCACTCAAAAATCGATCAATAACGTAATCGACTCCCAACAGCTTTAAATACTCGGCGTGCCTGGTTCCCGCGATGGAAATCACCGTCAATCCATGCAATTTCGCCAACTGAGCCACGTAAATTCCCACAATTGTTGATCCACCCCAAATCAACAAAGTACCTTTTCTTTTGCTTGGTGTTGCGGTTAAATCAAATCCAAATGAACTGTAAAAGAGAATCCCCGCAGTGACTAACCCCACGCCAATAGTCGCTCCATCTTCGTATGTGAAATGGTGTGGTAATTTCCAAACTAAACGCGAATCAATCGCGGTGAAATGCTGGAATGTCGAAGTTCGATTGTCTCTATAACTGGTTGAGCTGACAATCACTTTATCTCCCACTGATAATGATGCATCTTTTGTTGTTGAGTTTACCTTGGAGCCAACTTTAACTATATCTCCACTTGACTCGCGACCGTTTATCCAAGGAAAATGATAGATTCCAAATCCATATTTCTTGCCCTTCCAATCAATGGGGTTCAATCCAATAGCTTTGTTTTGGACTAGTATTTCATAAGGCGAGATTTCTGGTATGGGGTATTCTGTTTGTATCTTTAGAGGTTGCTTAAAATGGATGACTGAGAGAACTGACTGGTGACGTTTGTCAAATGAGATTTGCGAGATAGTTTCAATTGAGGTGTTAGATGCCTCTGCAACTGGAATAGGGATGGAGGTGTTTGTATTTGCTGATGTAGCCTTGTCTGACTTTTGCTTCTTTGTGATTATCAGTGGATCAACTGCATCATCCTTTTGTTCCTCTTGCCTAGTATCTTCAAACCTTCTTGATCTCTTGTGGGATTGGAAATGTGCTGTAGCGTAATCGGGCGAAGCTAATCTCTTATGTGTGACTTCTTGAACTTTGGTTGAAGACATTGTAACTATTTCAATTTGAGGAGCAGGGGTTACGGCTGATGAAAAATCAAAGATATAATTTCAATTAAATATGGATGCTTTTAACAGGGATGAACAACAAGCTTACAGTAGGAATGAAGGGCTCGAAGATGGGAGGGGGGGGGGAACATATATTACCTCAACGGTAATGCATATCCAGTTCAGAGTGTGTAAATTGTGTGCAGACATGATAAGCCACAAAACACTAACCGACAAGCCGATCCAGTGGCTCCTAATCAATCATTAACAATTTCAGAAAGTGCAAACTGTGGCTCGTAGCACTTTTGCACCCGAAACAAAAATATTACGAGCGATTACGTAATTGTGTGTAGCCACAAAACGTGCACGTGCAATTTGTTACGCAGCGCAAAAATTGTTCACATTAACAATGGTGGAAAACGATATCCCGACCCGATTGCTACAAACACAATTTCAGAAAGAAAAGTCTCTATTAGGTCTAATACACGAACTGTAATATCTTCTCTCTCTCTCCCCACTTCACCACACTGTCCTTCAATCACTCTTTATATCTCCCAATCAATAAACTGCTGTTTACTCCTCCAAATCCAAATGAGTTACACATACCATACTCAACATCAACACCCTCTTTTGCCTTGTTGGCAACATAATCAAACTTGGAAAACTTGTCAGGTTCATCTCCTGGTTTTCCACCTGGATGATCCAAATTCAAAGTTGGTGGGACCTGTCCCGTTTTGATAGCTTGTAATGTGAAGATGGTTTCCACCGCACCTGCAGCGCCTTGTAAATGACCAATTGATCCCTTTGTTGATGAGACTAAGGTCAGTGCAGGAAACAACCTATTCAAGGCATTATTTTCAGCTCTGTCGCCAATCACGGTTGATGTCGCATGTGCATTTACGTATTTCACCTTTTGCGGATCAACTTTTCCTCTATTCAATGCTTGCAACATGGCATTATAGGCTCCTTCTCCATCGTCTTGAGGTGCAGTAATATGATGTGCATCGCCAGATACACCATAACCCACAATTTCTCCATAAATTTGATCGGGAGTAACACCTCGTTTCAATGCGTGTTCCAAACTCTCTAAAACGACAATTCCACATCCCTCACTTAATACAAATCCATTTCTATCCTTATCAAATGGCCTACTGGCTTTGGTTGGCTCATCATTGAATTCAGTCACCAACGAACGTGCTCTTGCAAAACCGGCTAATGCTAAAGGATGAATCGATGATTCTGAACCACCACAAACCATTACATCGGCATAATTCAATTTGATAAAGTTGTACGCGTCACCAATAGCTTGCAATCCCGTGGCACAGGCCGTCGATACGGCATGCAAGGGACCTTTCAAACCAAACTTGATCGAAATGTTTCCTGCAGCCATATTGTTCAATAATTTGGGTATAAACAAAGGTTGTACTTTCCTGTACCCGCCTTCATTAAAAGCAGTAGTGATATCGTACACGTCCTGAATAGAACCAATTCCACTACCAACGGCAACACCAACGGACCTAGGGTCCTTCAAAGTGGATGGATCCAATTGTGCGTCCTTGAATGCTTCTTGAGTACAAGCAATACCATATTGACTGAATTTGGCCAACCGTTTGAATTCCTCCTGGGTGAAATGTTCATCTGGGTTCCATTTGCCTTCGGATAACGGACCTTTGGGCACAACCCCTACGACTTTGGCGGGGATTTGGTCCCACCCTTCTTGTTTATAGTTTGGGAATTGTGTTGTTGAAACCAAACCTGATTCATTGGCGATAAGTCTTGACCAATTCTGTTTAAGCCCAACACCAAGTGGCGAGATCATACCCGCACCTGTGATCACTACTCTAGTCATATTTTGATGTGGAAGATATGTAATAAGCAATTGGCAAAAGGAGTGAAGGAAAAAGCAAAAAACAAAAAACAAAAAGAGCGTGTGTCAAGATACGAGTTTTGCTATGTAACTATTTAATCTCTTTTCGTCACCGAGAAGAAAATTTATTTCCGATTCTGCAATTGTCGCGTCTGTGATAAATTCATTCAATAGGTTAATCCAATTGTCGAAAAAGGACAAGTTGGGATCAATGGTGAAGTGGCCAGAAGGAAAATTCTCTAGTGATGAAATATACTCTTCCAATTTCATTACTTTAACATTGATACCCTTTTTGTACTGAGGTGACTTTTTAAACTCCTTTTCAAATTTAGCAAAATCGAGAATGAATTTCTTGTAACTGCGAAACACCTCCTCCTTTGTAGTTTTTGATAAGTCAATTTCATTTAAAGCCTTGTAATGTAACGTGTAAAACTCTTGATAGAAAGATGATTTCACTTGATCCTTGTGGTTCTGTAGTAGGGAGAGAAGTAGCATCTTTTCAGTGGGGAATAACTTTTCATCAACAAGACCGGTGCTCTGGCTAGTTCTCTCTCCCAGCTCCTTGTTGTCTACCCAATTTTGGAAAATTTCAGCCTTTTCTCTTCTTGAACCAATGGAATGGTACACTGGGTATTTGATGAATTCTTTCACTAACTGTTCTTCGACAAATTCCCAACTATCAAATGATGATATTTGCGATGAGAAATCACTCAACATTTTCTCAAACTCAAGTGTTGCCACAGATTTGTCATCGGAATCATCATCAACTGACAAATCAAGTGATACTTGACTTTCATTGTCTGATTGAATGTCGTCGTCACCTTGTTGGTGTAGCACTTGGGTAACTATGTCATCCAATTCGTCTTGGTCTTTCACTCGCAACAGCGGTAGCAATGGCACCGACTCCCTAGTCTGCGCTTTTTGTTGTTGATCTTCTTCTTCTTGATCTTCTTCTTCTTGATCTTCTTCTTCTTCGCTGGAGGAGTAACCTGTAACCACACCCACTGTGGAGTGCATCTTCTCTTGGCGATTCTCACCTTGCACGTTGGACAATTCAATGACCACATCACTAGCTTTGTTGATGTACTCATTTTCGTACACAATTTCAAACTGGTCAGGCTCACCATCGTTCGGTACTGTTGGATCATTCGCAAGATTTACACCATTGCCCCGCTCCTCCTTTCGCTTTCTCTTTCGAAGCTTTAATCCTCTGGACCTTGCAAATAGTAATTCCAATTGATCATAATTGACCTCAGATAGAAACTGGCTTATATCTATGCCATATTTTTCAGCCACTTCGCTCAACTGCCAATAAGAAGCGTCATCCTCGGAATTAAAGTAGAAATGGTTCAGTGTGTCAGTTATCACAATGAACCAAGTAGACGATTGGGGGATAGGATAAATGAACAATGGTTTCATTGGTCAGATCGTTTGTATTGCGTTTTTTTGCATCGAAAATCATCCAGTTTTTGTCCCATGTATTCTTTTTTTTTTTTTTCTTGAGTGAGGCTACCATCGGAATTGTGTTGTTTACGAAAGATGTCTGTCTAGGCGATAGCATGGCTTGATAAAGTCAGTTGTTCATAGTTGCTGTTGGCTATGGGATCAACTTGCGAGTGGGTGGAGAGGTGCCCAATTTTGTCCCCGAACAGAAGAAGACTGTCAGTCTCTCCACTTCCGGATTTGATTTTTGAAATCTTCCCGCCCATTCGTTAAACTCCGACTACCCCCAGTAAATTCTGTCAATAATAATCGAGGAGATTATATATATAGTAGAGACGAGATGAAGATACAGGCGCTCTGGAGCCTCATTACAGAAAGTACGATACTTAATCAAGCGTGGACTAGTATGAACTTTCTTTACAACTTCATACCCTGCAACTTTGTACATCTAAAGAAAAATATATAAAAAAAAAAGGATAGGCAAGCCCCACTTTTAGTCAGTTACACCTGCGTAGTTCGCAGCTAGCTTGGTTAGAAAAGAATCACTGCAGTTCAGTGGGTTTCTTTGAATGGCAAGTTGATGCAATGAAATGGAAGAAAAATGCCCTCAAAGTGAAAGATCCCTTCAAATGGCTTCAAAGTGAAAGATCCTTTCGGATGTAACAACCAAAACTAGGGACAAGAGGAGGTAAGTTTTAGACCAAAAAAAAAAAAAAAGAAAAAACCAAGAGGGGAAACTTTTGGAATTTGCTTTTTTAATTCTCAGTAAACTCAGCAGCAACATAATCTTTGCAAGGCATGACCATGAGCAAGTGGGGGGGGATCTACGGTTCTTACCTCTAAGTTCTTTGTATTTAATCATGTGGGTGGGCGGGCGATTTCTATACTTTCCTCTTTTATATTCTCTTCCCCTCTTCTCTATTTTTACCTTTTACTGTTTCTTCCCCACCTTTTCTCTCTCTCTCTCTCTCTCTCTCTCACTTCAAAAGAAATATCCCCGTGGGGAAAATCCTGCCTGCAGCAAAAGAAAAACAGAACAAAACAAAACGGATTAAAAAAAAAAAAAAGAAATTTCGGTTGCGCAAAAGAGCAAAAATAGCGGAAACAGCCGGGTGCTAGAACAAAAACAAGAGGACAGATGGAAGGCAAGAGATACACAGAGACCTACAAGAGCGTACAACATTACTAAGTTGAAAAGAGTACTTCCTTTTTCTCTAGTTCAAAAATAAAATACCATATACTTCATTAACTAACTAGCATATTTACCGACATTTTCAACCGCTTAGATTCTGGTGATTCGTCAATAGGCGATGTCAATTCATTGGTAGAAGCGCCCGCATTTGTATCTTGGCGATGCTTGTTATTCTTGATCAGCGAGCTCAAAACTCTTTGATCTGTATAAACTTCCTGTTGCTCTTCTTCGTTATCTTCTTCAGATACTTCAGTCTCGTCACTTGTTGAACCACCTCTTTGTACTCGTATACTACCAAGACTAGTACCATTACCCTGTCCAGCTCCGTAGTCAACCGTTTTATTCTTGTAAGACCTCCGTATTCTATTGATTGCCTTTTCACTTCCATCATGTAGATTCTTTGCATGCCGAAGTAGTAAATCTCGCCTGGAAAATGGTCGCGAACAAATACCACATACAAAGGGTTTCAATTTGTTGTGGGTCGATTGTACATGTCTAGTTAAATGCTCTTCTCTGGTAAACGCTCGCTGGCACAACTTGCAATTGAAGATTCGTGAATGGCCTGAAGCAGTTTTGGATCCAAAATTTTTGGTGTCTACTCCCTGTCCATCCACTTTGCTTGTTGCTGACTCGTCATCGTCATGTGAAATTGTATAGTCGGTATTTCGTAGCAGCGAGCCATTTTCCTCTTCAGATGTGCCAGAGTCTGGTGAGCTTGTGTAATTGTTTGAGGTTGAGATGTTTGTGGAAGACGCAGTGTAGTTGTTCTCTTTTGGCTTGTGGTCGTTGCCGTTGTTGTTAATACCGACGGAACTTGCGTATTTGGGGGTATAAATTTGGTTCAATGACGCTGAGTATGGTCGTGTACGCTTGCTCTTGCCATGAGTTTGTTGCTCTTGTTGATTATCTTCGTTGGTTGGAACTGATAGTAAATTTGCGATAATTGGCGAAGTTGGGGCCGATGACACCATCGTTTGGTAATTTAAGTAGTAATTGAATAGGTATTGTAGTTGTAATCTGTAAAGTGTGTACTAGTATAGTAGAAGCCTTAGTGAATAAATAAATCTGTAACAACCCCAAAGAACCGTTTGAAAGCAAATTGAATGATATTACAATTGGAGTAAACAACTGACTTCAAAAAATGTGGAGCTGTTTAGTGGGTTTATGAAAATGAAGCTTCTACGAGTGCATATATATATATATATCACATACACATAATGAAAAACAAAAAAAAAAAAAAAGAAAGTACGATTTTAATCCAAAGAGTGGGGAAGGTAAGAAAAAAAGGAAAAAAAAAAAAAAAGAAATGCGTATGGCTGAAAGGAAGTAGAGCTACCATTGGATATTTCACTAAAAACTCAAGTTGTGAGTAACACCACTTAATGACTAAAATGGATGAAGTGATTTTGAGAAATTCTAAATCATGAACTGCGGCAGCACAATGCAGCATCGTCAAGGCATCACTCAATAGTGACCGCTTTTGAATGCTCGGAGTCTTAGCCGCTATTTGCCAACCGTAACACCAATTTAAAGAAGAAACCCCCCCCTAAAACTCTGTAAGTCATTTACAAAGCGTCGTCGTTACAAAGTGGGGAGGAGGGGAACAATAATATTAGTGAAACCTGCCAAGTGAAAAATAGTAGTCATCTTCCAAATTATATATAAATAGATATATATATATATATAAATCAATTGAGATTTATTATTTATTGATGGGAAAGCTCATCTGCTAATCAATCTGTGTTGGTAGTTAAGAAAACAAAGATATAGTTTGAAAAAGAAAAATAAACGCACTTCCGAGTTTTCTAAAAGTCCGACTTTAATACCGCCCGGAGTATGGTGGGGACGGAGTGAACATCGAGACGATTTGTTTTGCGAAAAGGGTTCGTGTCTATGCGATTCAGGGACACAAGTACGGGACCCATTCTCGTGATAGTAGTTCTCGTACTTCTTTTAAAACTTGATAGAGAAGCGTGTGTGTGTGTGTGTGTGTGTTGTGAAGAAATACTTTACTTTGAATGAATCGNGGGGGGGGGGGGGGGGGGGGGTGATATCTTGAGGTCAAATAATTCATTGTACGTAGCGATGAACTGGATATAGACTGTATGTCACCCTTTCCCCTCATGAATGGAAGTTCCATTGCAGCTCTTGCAGTAGCGTGTCGAAGTAAACAGTACTGGGTGGTGATCTGTGTGACATTTTCTTGTTTCCACGTTTGAGATTCCAAACGTTTGGATGTGAAAGAGGGGAAGAATTTCTTTGCACTTTACACAAGCAGTCAGCAAGACATGGTTGAAGCCTAATGTGTCGTGGATCTTCCATGCATGATTGTCAGTTGCTCCTCCAGTGTAGTTAGACTCGAAACCTGGAATTCAAAGTTATAGCGGCAGAGACATGCACTTCGCACATCTTGCATAAAATCCGTGGTTGAGGCTCTCTTTCTATTCAGACGTGGTCAAGACAGGCAATTTATCTGTAGTGCTAAACGAGCTGACATCGTTTCTGAATGAACATAGTTTTCCTATGTTAATCTGCAAATCGGGGGTGTTGCTAGGAAGCTTGAAAAAATGCATAAACTTTCGAAAAACAGACAATTTAAGTCCTTGAAGATTTACGTGGCAACAAGTGGAAAATGCTAGAGCTGTGCTTGCAGTTGAAGAAGTAAAATCTGAATGGCACTTGTTAGGCATAAGGAAGCTGTCATAGTCTTGTGAAGATTCCCTTCCTCGACCGTCTTCCGCATTTTGTAATCCGTCTCCTGTCGCAGTTTGAGAGCTTTACTTCCGCCACCATCTTGCATTAATCCCTCACCTAATTGTACATCCCTTTTGTGATGATACACACAGAGTCCACTTGCACAGCTCTGTGATTGTCGCGAATTGAAAGTCACAAGCTTCCCGGCCTATGCGACATGAAGGTGCTACACAAAATTGCAAATGGCAATAAAGTAAGTACTGTCGCGCACATTCCTTAGATAACAACCACACATTTTGACAACCCATAATCAACCTTGGCTATCAACTCTTGTATTCGCCGTTGCATCTCATAGATGTCCATCTCAACAGCATGTCATCAAACCCATACAACAATGAATTCAATAGTGTATACAGCCAGGAAAGTGCAAACGTTGATGAATCAGCCACATTTAACAACAATATCGATGACCACCAGCAGCCAAATGCCAATGATCAGGACACTTTCTTATCACGAATATTTGGACTAAATTCGATATATAATCAGTTGCAAGACAACTATCAGTTTTATGATCCCGAGTTTGATAGCCCAGCGCAGCAGCAGCAGCAGCAGCAGCAGCAACCACATCGAAGAACAAAGGTTGGAAATAACGCAACTGGTGGTCCTGGCAATAGCTTGGATCTATCTGACACACAAGCTGACGAGCTGTTACTACCTAATACTATACGAATGGATAACCTTCAAGATGCACAGAATATCGCTACAAACTCGAACAGTTTGCTCGAATCTGAATCTGATTCTGATTTATCATCAAGCTCAGATTCGTATGTGAGGCCAAAACCAAACAAGGTCAAAGTAGAAAAAAAGAAGCGGCAGCAGTTGCCGGTAACTGGCAATACCCAACCTCAAACTTTGGGGACAGAACCTTCTTTGTCACAACTCAATCAGCATGCACTTCAAGACAACACAACCGACCCAGATCACATTCTACCACTTCACAATGCTACAAACTCATATCGAAAGCCATCTCAACAAGCGTATGTGAACACCAACTATAAACCAACTAGAGTGAGGGCCAATAGATTGGTTATCCCACCCAAGGAACGAGCATTGTACTTGTGGGCCAACATCACAAATATGGACGAGTTTTTGAATGACGTTTACTACTATTACAGAGGTAAAGGTCTCCTAAACATTGTTCTTTCAAGAGTTGTGGATTTAGTGATACTTGTTTTCATAATCTCATTTACGATTTTTCTAAAATGGGGTATCGATTATTCATTGTTCCGTGAAGAGTATCGGGACGGCGCTCATTACGTATTGGCCGACATTGTTGCCGATAATTTCACCTACAAAATCCCATTCTTGGTCAAGTTTCTAGTCTTTGGGTTCACGTTATACATTATTTTACGATTGGTTCAACTATATTTTGATTTTAATTACAAATTGAAAGAAGTTCAAAACTTTTATCGGTACTTGCTAAATGTCAGTGATGAAGAATTACTGACTATTGGTTGGAAAACAATTGTGGAGCGGTTAATGTTGCTCAAAGACTATAATAGTTTAACTGCTACGCCGAACCTTGCTGAAAGTCACTACATCAATGATTTGTCGTCAAAGGTGCGCTTGGACGCTCATGATATTGCCAATCGGATCATGAGAAAAGACAATTACACGATTGCTTTGATAAACAAGGATTTGTTGGACTTGTCGGTATTATTCATGGATCAGAAACAGTCATTGACAAAGACATTGGAGTGGAATTTGAAGTTGTGTATTGACAACTTTGTCTTCAATCAACAGGGCCAAATCAACGGATCCATTTTAAAGGATTTTAACCGGAATCTGTTGGCACGCGAGCTAACTTCGAGGTTTAAATTGGCTGCTTTGATTAATGTTGTCCTTTGCCCATTCATTGTGGTTTATTTTGTCTTGTTGTATTTCTTCAAGTACTTCAATGAGTACAAGTCAAACCCTAGTTCAATTATCGGATTAAGACAATACACGCCGTATGCCGAATGGAAACTTCGCGAGTTTAACGAGTTGCCCCATTTTTTCCAAAACAGATTACAGTTGTCGACGACGCCTGCAAATACTTATATTGACCAGTTTCCCAAGGGGTTCTTAGTGATAAATAGCATGAAGTTGATTAATTTCGTCAGCGGGTCCATTTTGGCAGTGCTTGTTGTACTAGGGCTATTCTTAGATAATGAATCGCAATCGTTCTGGTCATTTGAAATAACCGAGGGTAAGACAACCTTGTTTTACATCTCGATATTTGGTACCATTTGGGCCGTCACATCATCTACATCGTCATCGGTGGCCAATGCACCCACAGAACACACCCAACAACATTTTTCTACGACACGCACCATCCATGATCCTGAAGCCAATTTACGCCACGTTTCAAGGTATACGCATTATCTTCCTCGATCATGGAAGAAGAAACTTCACACTATACAGGTGCGGAACGAATTTTGTCAATTGTATTCGTTAAAAATTGTTATTATTGCTTATGAGATTCTAAGTTTGATTTTGACTCCATATATACTATGGTTCAAAGTATCGCAGAATAGTGGAGCTATCATTGATTTCTTTAGAGAATATAGCATACATGTTGACGGGTTGGGATATGTTTGTTATTTCGCAATGTTTAATTTTGAAGAAAAAGATAAAAACATGATGGCTGAGGGCAACAGGCGCAAGAGAAAGCATGGAGACAAACAAAACTCCAAGCAACAGAAGGAATCGGGTATATCTGTGGGTAAAGATGCCCTGGAGTCTGACCTCAGTGATGATGGGCTTTACAATTTGCAGCAAGACGATAAGATGGCTAGATCGTTTTACCATTTCATGGACAACTACAATAATGATGATGCTGGTTTGATTCAGAGAAAACAACAGCCATTGAAAGATCCCACGCTTGGATTTGCCGTTGCAGAATCTAAAGGCTACGAAGGGAATGACGAGTTAACTGACTCTATTTTCAAGCTCAACTTTAACAACGACAATGATGATGATGATGATGCTGATGATGCTGATGTAATGAGGAACAAATCTAAACGCAAAGGTGGAGTTTTGGGTATGTTGAATCAGTTTTACAAACAAGATATCGGCCGCAATGTATAAATCGCACACTATTTATTAAAATTCCCTCTCTACAAAATCTATAAATACATTTATTAAGAACAAAAAAAAACCCACAACCTCAATTCTTCTTTTCTCCATCGTGTTCACCTTCATTCCTTTTTGCATCTTCCAACAAGAGCAGTCCAAACTCTCTGAAAATCCGCTGTAAATTGTTTCTCTTAATCGGCTTGGATAAAAACCCATTCATGCCACAATTAAAACATTCGCGAACATTACTCTCATCAGCAAACGCAGTCAAGGCAATAATCGGACGCTCATAATGCAATTCTTGACGAATCAATTTCGTAGCTGACAATCCATCAATTTTGGGCATTTGCACATCCATGAATATAAGTGCAAATGGATCGTTGGCTTCATTGGCCAATTTGACAAACTCAATGGCTTCAGCTCCGTTGCATGCCATTGTCAAGTTTGTAAATCCTTCGAGTTTCATCATGCGTTTGATGACTTCCTGATTCACTTTGTTGTCTTCAGCGATTAAGATCTTTAATGGTGTTATGTTGTCGGTCACGGATTCGAAATCGCTATGGTGAATATGTTGCTGTGAATGATTTTTGCCATTTGCTTTGATATCACCGTTATTTATGCCGTCACGCGATTCATGCTTGTCATGTGGATTACACTTGTCATCTTCGTGGTCCAAATGGTTGTCTTTGTCACTTGGATTCACGCTCATGCCTGAATTAGCGGTACCAGTTGAACCATGGTGGAGTAACTCTGGCTTTTCTGCGTATATGTTGAGCAAATTGTTTTTAGATTTCAAAGTCACAACTGAACGTTTGAGTGGTTTGGCATTCAAAGGCAGAACTGATGAATTTTGTTCTTCATCATCACCATCGGCATGTCCTTGCGAGGACTCATCATGCGTTGGATTTGTCGAAATTGATGCATCGCTTCTTTCAGCCAACGAATATGTTCCATCGCCGTGTGTTGATCCACTGCTTGTACTATTACTATTGTTGGATGTGTCCTTATCACCGACAGCACTCACAACGACAGCATTCTCATCAAATACAACTCTTCGATTACTCTTTGACATTGGATTAAACTCGTCATCGCAAAACATTTCTAAATCTTGTGGCGGAACAACAATTTCACCAGTTTGTGGTAACGGCAATGTCAAAGTAAAGCACGAACCTTCTCCAATTTTGGAATCCAAAGTTAAAGAACCTCTCATCATTTTTGATAATTGACGACAGATACTCAACCCCAACCCTGTTCCTCCATAACTTCGACTCAATGTTTGGTCTCCTTGTACAAATGGCTCAAATACTTTTTCTTGTAAAGCTGGCTCGATACCTGACCCTGTGTCGGTTACTTTGATTTGAACCACCCATGTTTTAGGTTTGTACATTTTCCTAATCTTGAATGCTTTGTTCTCCTTGACAACCTCATGGTTGGACATGTTTGCGTCAAACTCTGTGCGTTTGTCTAATGCGGGATATGCCTTGTACTCACTGGGTGACGACATTGGGTTGGACTTGTATGCTTGATCGTAGTTGACAGTGGTGACAGATGGGGTTCTGCTAGTTCGTGTAGGAATCCTTTCCAATGAGTTGCCTGGGCTTATGTTTGGAGTCATTGGGAGTGGCTTGTTGTGGAATTGCGACTCGTGTATCTTGTGTTCATATTGTACCGTTGCTAGGGTGATTATCGAATGCTTGTCATCGTCAGATACATCAGTGTTTGGTGTTTGCTCATTATCGTTAGTGTCATTAATTTCGTTATTCGTGGTTATATTAGTAGGAACTTGTTCCTTCTCGCTGAGTGCTTCGTGATTAGGTGGGTCAGTTTGTCCAGGAGCAACGTCTGTGTTTGTGGGACTGATTGTAGCTGCTGGCTTTTCGCTAAAGTAATCTTTTGATTTGTCAAACTCGAATACTGGAGACAAAACTGGCGCCTTTTGTTGAGGTGACACAGGTGACACAGGTGACACAGGGGAAGCGGGTCTAGTTATTGGAGACATCAAATTGGTTCTTCCCTTTGACGAGCGCCTAGATGTGCTTGTCGCTTCAGCTTTGTCGTCTAGTATATAAACGTGTTCAAAATTTTCCTTCTTTGATCTCTCGTAGTCATATTCTCCAATCATTTTGAAAGAAACGCTAACTGACCCATCAACGGGAGTAAATTTCAATGCGTTGGAGACTAAGTTCATAATGATTTGAATAATTCTGTTGGAATCGCCATATAGAATCAATTTCCTGAAAATCTGAGGCTTGACTTGCATTTTAAATTTAACTCTCTGATCTAAGGCTAGTTTGGTGAAGATTGAATGTATTTGATAGACAATTTCAAGGATTTGGAAGTTGGACTTTTCCAATTTCGATCTGTTTAATGTGTTTTTGGAGTAGGTTAGCAATTCAGTCAAGATATGTAGTAATAGCTCACCAGATCTGTAGATCAATTTAAGTGAATCCTTCAATCTATCCTGGTCGTCTTCTTCCATTGCAATTGATGACATTCCAAGTATACCATTCAAGGGTGTACGCAACTCATGAGATATATTGGCGATGAAAACTGTCTTTGCTTCATTTGCCGCCTCTGCTTCAATTTTCGATGCCTCCAACTCCTTTGTTCTCAATTTGACTCTGTCTTCCAAATGCATATACTGTTTTTCCAACTCCTCAGTCATTATGTTAAACGCTTCAGATAGTTCAGTGAGTTCATCTTTGAACATCATTTTGGATCTGGGAATCCTTGATGGTAACCGAATCCCACTCGAATGCACATTTTCCGATCCATTGGTGGACATCGAATGAACACTGTCTCTGTTGGACAATTTTTCATCGTTCAAAGTGTCACTAGAACTAGGAGGGGACTCACCCCCATTATTCAGCGTCTTTTTCGCTCCCTTTTTGCCCTTTCTGTACCTAGTGATTGACTCTGTGGCTTCCTTCAATCTAGTTATTGGTCGTATAAACCAAACAGCCAAGGTAAAGGTCACTGCACACATGAAGAACCCTACACCAATAGTCACCCCAATAATGATGTGCGTCATTTTGGTCACTGGTGCATTAAAGGATGATTGTTTTTGAGACGTCACAATCAACCACTCCCAGTTGCCGAATCGCACTTTGTAGTAAGCAGTTGATACTTTGACTCCAGTCACTGACTTTATATTTCTTTTGATCCCCAGTGAAGAATTTGAATTGAAAGCTGGACCAACAAGTGACGAGCTGTTGACGTTGTATAGTATGTCTGGTTGTATATATGCTCCATTGTTGGGGAAAACTGACGCAAATCCTATTAGGGAATCTGCGGTTCTGTTTTCAACATAATCAGTTGTGTTGTCGCTATAAACCGGTTTTACCGCGGTAGTCCAATAATCATTCGAGGTGGAATTTAATGCAGATGAGATAGATGATGCCGATGAAATAACAGAAAGATAGCCTATTATAGTGTCGGTTGCATTTTGATCGTAAATTGCCACAGTTAACCCAACAAAATAGGGGTCTTCTGTTTGCCCTGTGTTATTAGGCAATGGACCAGTATAGTAAAATGTGTTATTGATGTTTGTGTAATGGTCTACCACTGCCGGTAGAGGGCCTCCTTCCGGTATAGGATATAATTTCTCCTTGGTTTCTTCATTGATGATAACATATTCGTCGGTGGTTTCTGTGACTACTTTATAATCTTTGTCATAAAGTCTAGCGGATGCAAATTGGTCGGTAAATGTGTATTGTGTGAATAATGACTCTACTCCGTCAAACAAGTTTGACAGCTCATTGCCATTTTGATGTGACAGTAAAGGTTCTCGTATCCTCTCAACTTGTGCTAATGAAGACACCGTTATTTGTATAAACCCCACTGACTGGCTCACTTGAGTGGCTTTTAACTGTGATATAACCTCTAATCGCTCTGATCGTAGGCTTCTCAAGTTGTTGCTAAAGTATATACCTGTGACTAGACCAAGTATTAGAAGCGATAGTAGCGACGCAAAGCCCACAAGAACCATTAGCTGGGTTCTAATACCAATTTTCAATCTCCTCATGGGATGATGTACTAATGGAAGGGTATATAAAGCGCACAACCGTAGGGCGATGTTGTGAATAATCAGCAAATAAATAAGTTCAAGTGATGTATAGAGCACAACCGGAGTATAAACTAGTGTATAGAGTTGCACTATGAGTGATGCACTTGTTGCTCTTTAACGTGATGAGTGAAGTAAAGGGGAGTGTACTGGTGAAGCTGTGCACTGCAGTGAAGTTGTAATGAATCTTCTGAAGATGATGATGTTGTTGTTGTTGTTGTTGCAGGAGGGGCTGGGGTTTGACTGTCTAGATGAAAAGGAAAAAAAAAACAAAAAAAAAAAGAAATTGTAATTACAGGGAAAAGAAAAAAAAAAAAAATAAAAAGACAGAAACACAAAAAGCAAAACTGTCCACTATCTATGTGCTCTCTCTCTCTCTGTTTAGACTTTGAACGAGGCGTCAAAAAAAAAAAAAAATGGGTTACACTGGTTACGTCAGTGTGGAAAATTAGACAACGTTGCGTTTACTTATCATATTACAAACTTTCCACTGTGAAAATAAGAACACACTCTAGAGCACATATGACAGTGACAACTCTCACAACTCTCTTATGCTAGTTGAGGCAGGTACAGCTTGTTCAAGAAAAGTTGAAAAAAAAAAAAAAAAAAAAGAAATTTTAGACAAGGAAAAACTGCACATGAACAGAATGTAAGATAGAGGCGGTAATCTTTATCGGCTTTTTACAGTACACTTACTGCAGAGCAAGCTTTAAAGGAGTAAAGGAGTAAGTGTGAGTTAAATAAGTCATGTTTTAAGAGTATGTGTGGCAATATAACAGTGTCTAGTTTAAACTAAATCAAAACCATCTCTTCATACAACTAGTACACACTCTTCAACGATGCATTCGTTAGTACATATTTGTCCTTTGGATATTAAATGTACAAAGCTGCTGACATGATAGCGTTAGTAATCACTGGGTTATGTAGAGACTACACTTAGACAAGAATACCATACACACAGTGTATTCATGGTTGCAACAATTGCCAAAATTCACAGTGCGCGAAGACCACGCTCTTCACTCATCACGGAGAAAGAAGAAAAAAAAAAAAAAATTAAAACAAAAGAAGGGAAGACTAGCGAATTCATACCACATCGACCATGGCAGGGTCACAATTAAAGCAGCTTAAATCTGCATTGAAAGAAAAGGGTCTCATTGGACAAACAAACACAAACAAAAAGAAAGCAGCCAAGTCAAGAACATCAAGGAGAAACGAAGTTGATCGGGATTTACGACAACAAAACTTGAATGTAGTTCGTGATCAATTCAACAAGTTTGACCAAAGGATAAACAGAACCAAGCATGATATTACAATAGCTTCAAAAGACGGATTTGTCAAAGTTGGATCAAAGCAACATAATGCAGTCACCGCCAAGAATGGGGCCATGCAGAAACAGATGAAGATGCAGTATGATTTGGAGAAAGAGAAACGTGGGAAAACTGGTGGGATCTTGGATAAGCGGTTTGGTGAGAATGATGCTCATTTGACCCAGGAGGAGAAGATGTTGGCGAGATTCACTAAAGAAAGACAAGCTGCAGCAAGTGGGAGCAGGAAGAAGGGTTTGTACTCATTGCAAAGTGATGATGAGGATGAAGATGACTTTGAGGATGGCGGTTTCCAATTAACCCACTCTGGCCAAGCATTGTCTTTAGATGATGAGGAGACGATAAAATATGTCGACGAAGTACAAGGGGAAGAAGACGAAGAAGCTCCACCTCGCAAGAAATCCAAGAATGAAGTCATGAAGGAAATCATTGCCAAATCAAAATACTACAAACAACAACGTCAACAAACATTTGCCAAAGCTCAGGATCAGATTGATGCATTGGATGATGACTTTGGTGATATAATGCAAGATTTGAGGTCAACTCAAGTTGCTAAACCACAGTTTCTGCAAAAGGCACCTGAAGATATTGAATATGATAACAAGGTACGCGAGTTGACTTATGATAGACGTGCTGCTCCTGCAGACAGAACCAAAACTGATGAGGAGTTGAGGCGCGAGCATGAGGAAAAGATGAAGAAGTTGGAGCAGGATAGATTGAAGAGAATGGAAGGGTTTAATGATCGTGAAGTAGAGGCAGACGATTTGGATGGGGAGGAGTTTTGGGGAGGAGATAGTGACGATGAAGGGAATGGCTTTAGTATAAGGAGCGATGGTGAGGAACCCATTGTGGAAGAGAGCAATGAAGAAGGAGAGAACATAGCAAAATCGAGGACATCAAACAACCTGCCAGCAGTTTTAATGCCTACATCATTGGAGGACTTTATCAACCAAATAAACTCAGTTGAGATTGACCAACAAGCCAGTCACATAAGGAAAATCTGCGACGCTTACAAACCCAATTTGGCAATGGGAAACAAGGAAAAAATGAACCAATTTGTAAGCATTCTATTTGAGTATGTTTTACATTTGGCCGATACATTCCAACCATTTGAACCAGTTGTCAAGATTTTGAAAAATTTGGCAAATACATATAATCAGGAGTTGGTGGAACGCATGAGAGGTTATCTTTCCGATATTGAAACTAGAAGCGGTGGAGAAACCAAGCTAAAACCTAGTGATTTAATGTATTTTGTCATTGTTGCTTTGCTTTTCTCCACCTCGGACCATTATCATTTGATTGTGACTCCCAGTGTGATTCTTATGAACCAAATCTTGAGTAATATCATTTATCATCCGCGTGATGTGGGACAATTGGCTCAAGGTGTGTTGCTTGTTGATGTATTGTTGCAATACCAGCGGTTTTCCAAAAGGTATGATCCTGAAGTGGTTAATTTTATTGAACACCTGATGAAGATGTTGGTTCCGGGAGAACTCGACAGTGAGAACCTTTTGTCCATGGCTGATCCATCTGTCAGGTACAATGTTCTGAAATCAACCAAATTCACTCAAGATCATGTGTTGTCGATAAAGGAAATCTTTGATGGCAACTTACTGGAGGCTAAACTTATCATCAAACTCATCCATCTCATGGACAAGAGCGTCCAACTTTGGCGTGACAAACCATCACTCATTGAACTACTCAGCTCATACATTGCCATACTCAAACACATGATCAAATACACCTCAGTCGACCCCATACCACAACTCCTCACCAAATTCACCAATTTACAAACCCAATCAATCAAATCACGCAAACCTCTCACATTACAACACCACAAATCCATTGCCATTGCCACTCATGCACCCAAATTCGAAGAGAATTTCAACCCCGATAAGAAATCCTATGATGAGAATAAGGATCGTCAAGAGTTGAGTAAAGTGAGACAACAATTGAAGAAGGAAAAGAAAGCAGCATTGAAGGATATCAGATACGAGAATAGATTTGTTGCTCGTGAACAAATTGGCGAAAAGAAGAAAATGTATGATGAGTATCACAGAAAGATGGCTAATATTGTCAACACTATCCAAGCTGATGAAGGTGCTGAAAAGAATCAATATGAGAGGGAGAGAAAGAGACAAAGAAAGTGAAGAGTGGGAGGGAAGATGTGAATAGGATATGATATAGAAGAGAAAACGTATAGGTGTGTACGATTAACTTTATCCGTACGCTTGATCATCACTGAGTTATAGTAACACAACTCCTCGCCCCTCTCCCCTTGGATAACCATGAGCAAAATCCCGCTAATGTACAACAACACTCATCTGACCATGAGACCAAGAAATTACCAAATTCTTGGACCTGCGTACAAAGTTTGGGACTCAATTGTAGACGATGACATCTTAAGATGGTGAACAAGCAGCGTATACAATAGACACGCAGACGATGGATCAATTCATGGGCATGGTTATTAAGCGGTATGCAATCAACCACGTGCAATTTTGTGTCTCCATATGCATTGGTTAGATGCACAAGGAATTCTTGCTCGCATGGGATTAGTCGAGAGGCAATACTTTGTCTCGACCACAGCCTTGAGTTGAAGGTAGTTGTTGCAAGTGCTTAAAGCTTCACCATGTTGGAAAACCCCCATTTGGCCCAGTACATGAAATTCCATGATTCTGATGCAGAACATTGGTCAACAATTTTGTCAAGTTCAAACTATACAACGTAGAGATAAATAGTCTTTGGTGATATCTGTTTCGCCATCAATGTCAAACAGATATCGCCAACCATATGCATGTCATGTATTTGGGAACGGTGTGTCGCGACAAAGGCAAGACCGTGGATGGCTATGTGTTCGATATTTGAAAAAAAGCAAAGCATGGAGTAATATTCACATTAGGTAGCCTATTCGAGGCATAGCAAGAAACAAAACTCAAGTCACCGAAATTCGTTACAAGAGAATACGATGTACCACCTTTTTGGAACAATGATGCATTAGGTACATTAGGTATTAATAAGCAACTTGTCAAGAGCGCAAGCTTTCTAGTTCATGAAGCTATAAAGTATATTAACGACTACGTTGAAACAAAAAAAGAAAAAAAGGTGGGAAGGGGGAGGGGGAGGGGATCCGAAAGGTCTCATTAAATACCTTTCCCAATTAAAGACTGTTTTGTGAACAGGGAATTGGACCTATATGAATAATACATGAACTCGGAGTATTTGTCACTTTCAATTGCTGTAAAATTGGTGCAATACTCATTCTAGCGAAGTTGCAGATGTCAAAGAAAGTGTGTGGGATAAACACTATATAGTCAAGGTACAATGCACAGTATTGCTTATACATTGAAGAATAATAATTTACAATATGATGTAGAGAACTCTCAACTGTAGGATACTCCAGTAACAGCATTGAAGTTAAGGCTATGGTACAAGTTGCAGTTTCTGTGTCACGTGAGTATCACCTACAACAATTCTTCTATATAAAGAGAAGACTACACACATAAGCAAGGATAAGAAACTAAAAACGGATGTATTAAATAGAGAAAAAACGCCTATTTAAACTTGAGACATAGTTGGAACGCCAGTTCTTGGAGCAGACCTGTTGTACTTAGTTCCAAACAAACCACCTCTGAACAAACCAATGGCTGAAAACACACCAGCAGCAATGAAAATGAAAGCTGAAAAGTACAAGAAGGCTGTTGATGCTTGGGCTTTTCTGCATCTTGCCGATGATCCTTGGTTAATCTTGTTAGAGTCCAAATAGTCTTGATTTCCACATGAGTGAACCCTGATTCCAGCAGCAATAGCAGTAGCAGCAGCAAAAGTGAAAACAAAGTTCAAAAAGTCAAAAAGGAACAAAATCAATGGCCATGCAAGTGCTTCAATGAAAAAGGCCAAGACCCCGTAGAGGGATGAAGTGAGAATTCCAAAAGCTGCAGCAAAAACGGCGAAATTGACTTGTGGATTGTGTTGGGAGATGGTAGTAGCTGCCAAGGAACCGGTGAGCCCCAAGGCGATGACTAAAAATACAAAATTGAAGGACCTTAAGATGACGTCGCCGATTGCCAACATTGTTGTAGTGGTTTGTAGTGTCGTTGAAGGGGTATCGGAATGGATTGAAGAGGGGCAAGAATTGTAAAAAAAAAAAAAAGAATTAAGAAAAATAGAAGAAAGCGCTTCTCTTTATATATGAGCAAAGAGAAGAGGGATTGTGTATGATAGCAATTTTAATTAGTCAAATGACGGATAGAAGTATTATTTATTAATGTTTTATAAACGCCCAAAAGGGAAAGTATGACAAAGCAAGAAAAACTATTGTTAAAATAGTTTGTAGTTGGTAGCGTTTTATGCTACCGTTCCTTCCCATTGGTGGAAAAATAAAACTATTAAATCTCTATAGTTCCATGTTGTGATAGAGAATGACTTTGTGGTGTTTTCTTTCTTTGCTAGTCATTTTTTTGTTCTTTCTGACTCAAACTGTCACGATTTTATGAGTGGTTAGTGGTGTGTGTGTATGTGTGTGTGTGTGTGTGTGTGTGTAATGAACTCTCTTCTTATAGATTTAAGCGCAAAGACGTGATCACTTTTTAGAAACACAAAGACATTCGGAATTAATTTTTCTTTGCTTTTTGCTGTGACATCATGTGAGAAAATAGAATTGCAATGCACCCGGCATGTTTCGGCAATAAACACACACGCACACACACCCTTTGAACAAAAACGCAAAATTGAATAAATTTATCAAATTTATATACATCTTTGCTTCCTTGTTGTTCGTGTATATGTATGCTCTTTGCTTCTTTGTCATGATGTGTGGCTCTTCGTTGAGAGCTCTGCTCGTTCTGTTAGGCTTTGTTTTGTGTTTCCTTAATGCTTAAAGTTTTGAAATTGTCTCGATTAGGTTAATGTGAGTACTAATCGGGTAACTGCACATTTCACTATAAGTGCTACCACGTACCGCACAAAAAAGAAGAGAACAATTCATTAAGGAACAATATGGCCGGTATGAAATCTTAATTACGGTTACTTAGAGCCGCATATTGTTTACCTCTTTCCTTTGAGAGACAATGATGTAATTAAAGGGCACACTCCCCCCCCCCCCGTCGTCTGACAACAAAAGAATCATCTTCCTTAGTTCTTTTAAAAGAGAATTTGAAGAAGTAAGTGGGAAATAGAATCCCTATTTATTTTCTTCTTAAATAAACTTTACAGAGTGGGATGAAACACTCTTGTAGCCTTGCTGGAAACAGAACTATCCTCTGAAGTTCACCAGTGCATGGATTAGCAATATAGACTTGTTGTCATGTCAGCGCATGCAACACATTCCCACATTCATAAAAAATCATGAACACGCACGTGACTTCTCCACCACTCGATCACAAAACAAATTTTGTTGGATTCCTTGAATTCTACCATACTTCAACAACCCTTAGCACTCTCTCACAATGAGCTCAGATAAGTTTCCAATCCATACGGCAATCAAAGAGGGGAACTTCAACTTGGCGAAACAACTCATCTCCCAGCAATCTCCCAACAAATCCACACTTGTGAAAGATGACGATGACCGCACGCCACTACACTGGGCTGTATCAATCGACAATGCCGAATTGGTTCAATTCATAGTCGAGCATTTGCCCAAGGGCACTGACATTGATGAATTAGTTGATGGGTCCGGCTGGACCCCACTCCACATCAATAGCTCAATCGGAAACATTGAAATTCTCAACATCTTGATACACACCGACCCGCAACCAGATATAAACTTGCCCACGAATCAGGGAACCACCGCGTTGCATTTAACCGTATCCAAGAACCACGTGCGGTATGCCAGCGTGCTCATTGATGAAATGGGTGCAAACTGTCGAGTCAAGGACAAGAAGGGGTATACTCCATTGCATCGCGCAAGTTCAATTGGATCGATTGGTATATTGAAGTTGTTGATCAATCTGCCCAAGGGGGTTAACGTTAATGCAAAGGATAACGATGGATGGACAAGTTTGCACCATGCCTTAGCGGAAGGACACGGAGATGCTGCAGTTTTTCTTGTTAATGAAGGTGGTGCTGATATAAATGCTGAGAATAATGAAGGACAAACACCTATTCAAGTTGCTGTTGATGAAAAAGTTGCCAAGTATTTCAAGGAACACACGAGTATATAAGCTTTCTACAAATTAATGAAACATAAAACTACCTCTAGCCTGTATACAAATCACCCTAGTCTGACTCCGAGTCTGAGTCTGAGTCTGAATCTGATGGTGGTTGTTCAAAAAATGGCGCTGCAATAATCGTAGTTGGTAAACGATTCAACTCATTCACATCACCACTGTAATTTAAAGTGCCATGATGAAGTTGCAGTTGCAGTTGCAGCTGCGGTTGCGGTTGCGGTTGTTGTTGTTGCTGAAGCTGCAGTTGACCTTCACCAGGAAGGTAACCAAGATCGTCGTCCCTGGAGTTATAACCATTGTATATACTACTGCTGTTGTGAATCGATGAAGTGACTTTACGTACAATATTCGCCGAGTTGGAGTAGTGTTGCGAATACTCACGTTTTAACGATTCCAAATATTCTTGATAATCATTACTGACATTAGAAGCAGCAGCAGTAGCAGCAGCACCTGACTTTGTTGAATAAATCGATGAAATACCATTGGACGCCATTGACTGTTTGCGTTGATTCATACCATGCACCCTATCTTCCAGGTCATTCGACGACGAGGGGGTCCTTTCGTACCTGTGTGTTGATGTGGTTGTGTGCTTTGATTTGGGTGGTGCATTGAAATGCAGTGTTGCATCGTCAAAGTCATGATGTATCAAAAGATCCTCATCGTTGTCCTTCTCAGTTGGAGTCAATTCGTTGGAAGTCGTGGAAGCAGGTTGGTGGAGTTGGGGATTATCAATCAAATTATAATTACCATCCAATTCAGCATAGTTGATCTTTGTCGATTTAAACTTTTTCGAAACTCTTGCATTGGCACAATGAGCATACATGTAATCCACCTCTTCCAACTTTAATCCTTTGGTTTCATAAACGGTAAAATAAACAAATACCGTACCCAATGCATTCAAACTTCCCCAAATGAAAAAAATCTTACCCCCTAACCTTACTGTGTGCGAGCCAGTATCAATCAAGTACGGGGTAATGTATGCAAACACAAAGTTAACCAACCAGTTTGTCGCAGCCGTCAATGCCACACCTTTTTGTCTGATGGAAATACCATAAATGTCCGAACACAAAGCCCATGCACATCCACCCCAAGTACTGGCAAAAAACAAGATGAAAACACAAGAAAATGACACACACAAACTAGCGCTGACATGGGCCTCCTTTACACTTACTCCAGTTATGGCAATGATAAAATTAGATGCTGCCATACCAATACCACCCCAAAATAACAACGGTCTTCGACCAACAGTATCAATCAAGATTATACCTGGAACTGTGAAAACAACATTGACAATGTATGTAATCAACGACATGATATAGTAGTTCTTAACCCCAGCAGAATTGAAAAAGTTGACACCGTAATAGAAAATAAAATTGACGCCTGAGCACTGTTGGAAAAACTGTACGCCAATACCAGTAAACATCCTCAACCGTTGCTTATGTCTACCACCACCACTTCTAAAGCAGTCTAAAATTGTGGTCTTACCAAAAGATCGTTCATAATCAAAATTTGCCTTTATCTCGACCAACTCTTCAATCAAACACTCATCATCTTCCGGTAAACGTCGTAGTTTGCAAAGCGAATCAAGAGCTTTCTCCAAATTGTCCTTTTGCACATAATATCGAGGGCTCTCTGGTAAAAACAACATACCAGTAGATAAAACCAATGCCCAAAGAAATTGAATTCCCACAGGTATTCTGTACGACCCCGAGTTGGTGATTTTTCTTGTTCCTTGACAGACAGCACTGGCGATTAAAAGCCCCCAAGTGATGGCCCATTGATACGTAAACACAACCGAGCCTCTGACCCATTTGGGAGATGCTTCTGCTTGATACAAGGGGACAATAGCAGACAAGATCCCCACAGATATTCCCAGAACGAATCTCCCGACGCTTAACAACGCAATTTCAGTTGAGCAGATTTGCAAGACATTTCCAATATTAAAAATTATGCCAGCACTAATAATAATGGAAAACTTGCGTCCATAATTGTCGGAAATTAAAGGTGCCACCAAAGCGCCAAAAAACGTACCCAACGACAACGATGCAACAACAATAGCTCTTTCGTGTGTGGCAAACCCGATATGATTACTAGGGAAATGGGTATACACAAAGTGCATCTCTAGTAGGTCATTTATAAGTCCAGTATCGTATCCGTACATGAATCCACCGACTGCTGCAACCAACCCCACAAAAAAAGCTGAATTGGACGAGCTCTTCTGTCGCATTTTTCGATAGTACTCCTCCTCTATCGTATTGTCATACCATATCTGACCTATATAAGTCGAAAGCTTCATTGTCAAATGTGTATTTTTTTTTTTAATAGTTTAATAAATGAAGGGCGGAGCGGGGGAGGGAGAAAGGAACGTCAGTGTTTTTTTATACTATGCATGAAGTTGGAACAGCTAGTGAAAGATCGATTTTGTAGTGAAGTGTAGTGCAGTGTATGACTTTAGTGATGAGATTTGGTTCAAAGATCTAGGTTGTGAAATGGTTGTTGGGTTATAGATTTCTGGGGTATTATAACAATAGGGACGATTTGATCCTCCCTCTTTCTTCTTTTTTTTTCTTGTTTTTTTTTTTATTTTTTTTAATTTATGAACTTTCTCGTAAAAACAGGAAGAAGAATTTGTCTGTTCTTGTCTCCACAATGTATTGATCATTGAATTTACTCTACAATTCATTACATCTTTTGTAGGAAATGTTGAATCTGTTTGAGCCAGTACACCGAACTAACATATAGATGGAGTCCTTTACCACCTTCGGAGCTTCTGCTATTCAATACAACAACTCTTGGTAAAGAAGTTCACGAGAATGTTATCACTGTAGAGCTAGAAGTGTAGTATTCACAGACTGTTAATGTGAGGAATCACAGTTACCAAAAAGGATCACTGGATAATTGAAAAGCTTTAACAATAAGAGCAGGTTGTTTTCTGAGTTTGTTCCTTTTTCTCATTATTAATTTGGTCTCATTTGACTGCAAAAAAAAAATTACTACAATTACATCAAAAACTAATTCTATCAATTTATTCAACTCTATGGGTATCTTCACCTACAACTAGTATCTGCAAGATATACTATTCTGGAGAAAGATAATATGCGAGTCTATACTCAAAAATTGCCGTTCTCGTGATCGTTTTGTCACTGCCGTCAGCCGTCTCTGTCTTGGACACACACTTGACTGATGTTTTTATTTTTTTTTCTTCCCTCCTTTTTGGCTCACACTTTTCTTTTTTTTTTTTTTTTTTTTACAACAAAATACGTATCAGGGCTCCTCCATATACCCAAAGAATGTCTGCATTGAAGTCACCTAGAATCGTCGAGGACGTTAGATTCAACAACAATGGAGAAGTGAAATTGAAAGATGTCACCAGCGAAGCCAAGTCGAGACAAAAATTGACTAAAACTGATGTGGTTCAACCACCACCTAGCACAATTCGAACTGTCAACATTTTCACCATACTAATCCAGCTTGTGCATCGTTTTTTCACTGTTGGATTGGTTGCACTGGGTGCTTCAGTAGGCAATTTAATCATGTACTATATCAACCATTTGATTCTACTCAACCTATTCTTCACCATTGCCATTTACAAGAATGCATTGTTCATCTATCGTTCAATTTACTTAAAGTTTCTCACTTTAACTTACTATCCAAATAAATCACCGCAGGTTATTAGAGATGATGTGAACCAATTGTCCAAGATCCCCAAGTCAGTTTCGTGTATTTTAGATTTGAAAGATGACGATGATGAAAACGGTGGTAAAGATGGATTATATAATCAGATTAGTGAGTTGGCTGCTTGGAGTGTCAGTGCAGGGATCTCAAGATTGGTCATTTACGAATACACCGGATCAATAAACCAAAGCAGTGAGTCACTTCTTGATTTGAGCAAAATCGTTACTCGAAATTTGATTTCATATTTTGGATCTGAAGCTATCCCCACATTTTCCTTGAAAGTCCCACACAAGAACTTGATTTTGTATAGTGATGAATCTATTAGTCTATCGTCCACCGAAGCACCCAGAGAGTGCACTGTGGATTTGGAAATTGACTTGCTCAGTAGAGTGGATGGGAAACCAACAATTGTTGAATTGACCAAGACAATGAGTGAGTTGGCAGTCAATAAAGAATTGTCGGTGAATGACATCACGATTGACTTGATTGATGAGGAGTTGGTGGAGCTAGTTGGACCAGAACCTGACTTGTTGATTTCGTTCTCGCCATCATTGAACTTGGAGGATTATCCGCCTTGGCATATTAGGTTGACTGAAATTTATTGGGAACCGGAGAACAAGGATGTGAGTTATGCTGTGTTTATTCGTGCTTTGAAGCAGTTTGCTCAATGTAAAGTGAATGCAGGTAAATAGAGGGAGAGAGATAGAGAGGGTGTATGATGTGTCTGAGGTCAAAAGGTTGGCCGCATTTTGTTTGCTTTTAATTCGATACGCGAGGGCGTTAACATGATTTCGTTGATTCGTTTATTTATTTGTTTATACATGACTAGGGGGGTGGGGGGCTACTTTTAATACATATATAGAGAAAGTATCTATTTGCATGGTATGAGCTTCTTTGGTTTTTGTGGAGCAATCACGCCGAGACATAAAAACGCGTCTTAGCTTCGATGTCACATACCAATCACATTCGTCTTAATGACCCCCCCCCCCATTTGGGCTTCGTTAGTATACTCCTCTACAAGTCTGCGCCATATATGTAATCATTACCACAGCCCTTCTCGTGATGCGCTTTAACCTATCCCGCAGCAGTTGATAGTGGTAAGAATACAAAAAGGAAATAAATAGAAACAATCTTTTTGTTTGCTGCTAAAAAAGCAATTTGATTTAGTCACACTACCCTTATCATGACAAATATCTCTCATGATTTGATATCCTGCCAGAAGAAATCTATTCAGTGAAGCTTTGGGACAGGTCAACGCTTCAAGCTATCGCAATACACACAACTCCCACTTTTCCAGTTTCACCTAACCCTGTCTGCTCAATTGTGTAAATTTGTATGTGCAAATAATATCTCGCCTTTTCAATTTCTGTATTTGATTTGATCCATTCTACACTACCCTTGTAGAATTTTTGTTGTTGGAAGTTCAACGAAATCAGTTTTTTTCAAACAAACCACGTATCAAATATCTCCAAGAGCAAGTCAACTCAACTCAAATCAACACCAATCAATCAATCACTGAGTAACACAGTAGGTGTATCTTTTCAATCCATCGACTCCATTCTGCTTACTCAATCTATCTAATCATCGAGTAATACAAGAATATACATCTCATTTTATTGTTAGACTTTATCATTCTTTGAGAGATCACACACACATAATCACACATAGTCACACACACACACACATATATATTAATCTTTTTCTACTACTTCACAACACTACATACACTATCATCATGGGTTTGTCATTTTCAAAATTGTTTGCCAACCTTTTTGGGAACAGAGAAATGAGAATTTTAATGGTTGGTTTAGATGCTGCTGGTAAAACCACCATATTGTACAAATTGAAATTGGGAGAGATTGTCACCACCATTCCAACCATTGGTTTCAATGTTGAAACTGTTGAATACAAGAATATCTCGTTCACAGTGTGGGATGTTGGTGGACAAGATAAGATTAGACCATTGTGGCGTTATTACTTCCAAAACACCCAAGGTATCATTTTCGTCGTAGACTCCAACGATAGAGACCGTATTGCCGAAGCTAGAGAAGAATTGCAACAGATGTTGAATGAAGATGAATTGAGAGATGCATTATTGTTGGTGTTTGCTAACAAGCAAGATTTGCCAAATGCCATGAATGCTGCTGAAATCACTGAGAAGTTGGGCTTGCATTCCATCAGACAAAGACCATGGTACATCCAGGCTACTTGTGCTACAACCGGTGACGGTTTGTATGAAGGTTTGGAATGGTTATCTACAAATTTGAAGAAATCAGGATAGATTGTGAAGGAGGCCAAAGGGTGAGGAAAACCTCTAGTGTCTTTGCTTTTTCCCCACATCTCTTAACATATCTATTATCTAGTATGTACTGTGTATTTCTTAAACACTGTATAATAAAACAAAGTTCAATATTGTATTAGAGACGATGTGAAGTGTCGCTGTCTACCGTTGCAAACTGCAAGATGTCTGTGTTCCATTGCCTTGAAAGCCTATCGGCTTTGGAATGCACTAAACTGCGGTAGGGCCCACTAGGCGTAGATAAGAGGATATGTCAGTGTACCGATGGCGGAAAAAAAGGGGGTAATCAACTGTATACAAGCACCTACATGATGAGAATAGGGCATTTGCGTACTCCGCCCTGAAGAACAACTTGCTAGTAGCTGACAGCTGACGCGGTGTGCTACTCATCATCCCGTCTCCTTATGCATAGAAGTATATCACCATAAGTTTGCGCATATCCGCGGATTTCTTCTTCCTTTTTGCTTGCACGTGCAAGACATTCTCTTAGGGCTTCACTCGAATACAATTTTCTTTTTTTTTTGCTTTTCTCTGTTCTTTGTTGGCCAGTCGCACTGTCTGTGCAGTGCAAACACTAAAATAAAATTTTCAGACATTACCAAAGAGAAAGGTTACAACCGTCATCATCATTCAGATACGCATACACAATGGTATGTTCTTGAAGCATAGACAGTGGGATATAGAATAAACTAGAATAGAATAGATACACGTGAAAGGAGATACATGCACGTAACTGGGGCCATCTTTATTCAAGAAATATGGACAGAGTCATGTCCATCGGAATACATTTCATCAACAAGGCGCCACGATGACGACCCTAAAAGGCAGAATCACAACACACATATCACTTTTCCATGACAAGCAGATGAGCAAGAACTTTACGAATAAGCAAAACGGTGCGTATTCTGCTAACTCACGACACAATAATCCTGCCACACACTAGTACTTGCCTGATCTTTTTCTATACCACATTCACTCCCAATCAAACCAAATACTAACCCTTGCTTCTTTTAGGTCGCCATCAAAACTTTTGAATTAAGAACCAAGTCCAAAGAACAATTGGAAGAACAATTGGTTGAATTGAAGAAAGAATTAGCCAACTTGAAAGTCCAAAAATTACAAAGACCAAGCTTACCAAGAATCCACATTGTCCGTAAAAACATTGCTAGAGTCTTGACCATCATCAACTTGAACCAAAGGGAAAATGTCAAGGCTTTCTACAAGGGTAAAAAATACCAACCAAAGGACTTGAGAGCTAAGAAGACCAGAGCTTTGAGAAGACAATTGACCAAGTTTGAAAAATCACAAGAGACTGAAAAGGCCAAGAAGGCCAGAATCACTTTCCCACAAAGAAAGTACGCTATCAAGGCTTAAACTGACTTTGCTTTATTGATGAAGTGAAGCCGCGTTCAACGTGGAGGGTTCAGTTGAAACGAAGTGGAAATGACGGTTTCTAATATCTGTATAGAAATTGACTGTGTATATTTTTCTTGGAAGTATTATACTTAATATCGGGCATTTAGAAGGGGCATATTGTAGAGTAAATGTTATCCAGTGTGGCTATATATGTACATTGTCTATCTAGTCTGACATAACTACATCATCTCCTTGTTCATGCTGCTTCTCTTGTTTCTTTTGAAGCTTAAAGGCGGATATCTTGGCCTTCAACTCAACATCATCTTGAACATCCTCCAACTTCAATGGCACTCGGTTGAATGGGTCGGTGGCATCACTCAATAAATGGGCCTTGATGGTTGATCTATCAATACTGATTTTGGAAGATGGTAAAACAACGGGATCTTCCATCACGGTAAACATTAATGGATCCAAAAATTCATCTGGCACATCACCCAACTCCAACTCTTCACTCTCTTCAACTAATCTATTCTCCTCTGCTTTTGCGGCAAAAATTGCCAACAGGTTTATGATTCTATTATCAACAAATGTCCTCTTGGTTAAAATATCCTCAGCTTTCTTAAAGTAAGCAACGTTGAACGATCTGCCATCTCTTGAAACTGCAATGACAAACCCCTTTTGTAACGAAAGATTGACATAAACTTCACAAATGTCACTAAGTATCTTTTTAGGTTCAAACTTGTACTTTTCCGGTTCTGCAACTTTCAAGTTGGAGCATTTAGGACCAACCAATACCGACAAGTTGTAATCCAACATACCCGCCAACCTATCAACTATCTCCGGCAACACAAACCCTTGAGGTACTTCTTTTGTAAACAACTTGAACAACTCCATTGTCTCATTCGAAAGAGCAATGAGAGATTTCACTCTTCTTTCGTCTCCTTCCAAATTGCTATTCAACGTTTCGTCATTACCCATTTCTTCGTTTGGTTCATTACCAGTTTGACGGCGTTTCACTTCAACTTGGTAGTCATGAATCGAGTTTAACAAGTTGAAAGTCTCATCCAAAAGATATGTGGTATCATTCAACATTCTAGCAATAAACCGAATGAAAAAATCGACATTGTTTTCAGAATAATCCTTCAATTGCAATCGATATTGAGGGATCTTCCACAACTCTTCAAGAATTACTGAAATATAGTAACGACTGTTGAATTTGTCGTAAAACTGAGATGATGCACCAGTTTTTTCAACCATCACATAAAAATCAAGCAATGAGTACAACAAGTTGTGTGTAACCAACTCGTTTCTATCAAAGATGGAAACCATAAAGCCCGGGTGGCCATCTTGTCTAGGGAGCGATCCAATGTACAAAATTTCAACAATATTTGCCTTCATGTGTGGATTACCGATAAGCTCTGGACATCTCAATAATATAGTAACAAACTCAACAAACAAGTTCAATTTATCCTCATTCAAAACGAGTGGACATCCTCTGAAATTGGCTGAAAACTTGGTATAGTTGATAATGCCCTCCAATAAAAATTCAGGGTAGTACTTCCAAGGAATCGGAGTCTTGGTTTTCAAAAAATCATGATCGTCCAAATCCGAAACTTTGGAAATCTTGAAAATGGGGATCTTCAACTTCTTTTGTGGATAAGAATGGTTTGGGTCAATCAATCTGGTTATAAACACAGTTGCACCAATTACAAAATCAAATATTTCCAATTGCAAATCTCTGTAACTAAACACGGCGTTGATTGCATGCTGCAGTGATTTCAATGCATTGACCCTGCTGTGCATGATGGGCAATTGTGCTCTCATACGTTCTTGCATTCCTGGAGCTACTCCAGCACGACCTGCCTCTATTGCAGCAATTTGACTCTCAGCCTGGTCAATAGTACGTTTCATTCTATCAAATTTGATGAAAATACCACCAACACCATAGTGCAAATAAGCCAAAGTCAAGTTGAAACAATCAGAAATGAAATTCGTCACATCCGTGCCAAGTTCTTCGCGTCTCGACTGACCATAAGTTGTTGCCTCTTCAATAGTTGAATTAACTCGAGACTCCTCTTTGATATCCAACAAGCTGCTCTTTGTAAAGTACTCCACGTCAATCTTGTCGATTTTACCATACGCTGGGTAATCCAAAAATGGCATGCTCAACTTGATCAAAATGACGGTTATATTGAACATCAATCCATCGCTTGCCACTGTTTGGAAATCAACGTGACTACCTCTTCTCAAGTGACTCTTGTTGACTAATTCAGCCAACCATTGAATAACATCGGTCCTGGTCTCTGTGGATCCACGAATTAATTTATCAACAATTACAAACAATCGGTCTAATGCAACCTTGTACTCATTTTGAAGGGATTCATATGCGCTATGGATTTGTATGGGGGACATTTTACTCACCTCTTCTCCAAAATAAGGTCCCGCAGTATCAATGAGTGGCGATACTCGCAAAATCGGACCCAATAAAGACTTGAGTTCAAAATCCAAACCCAGCTCTTTTGAAGGTGGTTGAAATCCAGCAATTTGTGAAAAAATGGCAGCGACTGGCTTCACTGATACAAGTGTTTCAATAACCGACAAGTAATTCAAGTATCTTTGATCTTTAAAAGTGATGCCCTTTAATCTCAGACTCATGAATGGTAATATTAAATTCAAAAGTTCCAATAAAGTGTCCTCTTCGTAGCTTACTTTGACAATATCGACCAAGAATGATGACATGTCGGCAAAACGATCAACTAGTGTGTTTAAAGCTTGTTCGACGTTGCTTGAAAGAAACATGTCAGGGATCTGTAAGCCCATGTTGCCATACCTCACTGATAAATTAACAATCTGACTCAACAACGCCACTTTTTCATCATGAAAGACTGTTTTTATTGGAAGTGACCTTCGAACTTTGTAAGCAGCATGGTAAACTGAGTACAAGTATGCGATGGGTCTCTTTCCTGGAACACCAGTCTCGGACAATGTCTCCATGAAAATCGAGTCCAAGTAATTTTCATTGAGTTTGTCATTGGAATTTTGCAATTCGTGGGCCAAATTGGGTAAAAATACCAAGTTAGTTGAGTTTTGGCTAGAATCTAGGGTGACTTTGAAGATGTGCTTTAATTCGCTCAGTAACCATTGAGCTAAATGGTCTTCTTTGGATTGGGTTGGTTTTATGGATGCAGGTGGCGATGCAATATTGTTGTGGGTGGCAATCGCGGCCGATTTTTCGGAAACACCATCAGTATTTGTGGTGGAAGCAGGAGTGGGTGTGTTTCGATTCGATGGTGTGCTATTAGTCTCTCTAGTTGTAGCCAGCTGCAGTTGCAGTTGCAGTTGCAGTTGTGGTTGTGGTTGTGGTTGTGGTTGCTGCAGTTGTTGAGGGGTATTTGGTCTACTAGATCCGGCGAGTTTTGCCAATCTCTTAGCTCTAATCTAGACAAGATTTGTTAGTACGCAAAGGAGGTGAACACAAGGAAGAGGGGTTTCATTGGTTAGACATACTTCGTCCGCACTTGACATGAGTATCAGGTGTGTTTATGCTGACAGTGGTCTATAAAGGAATGATGATATATGTTCCTTATGGGGTGCTGCTAAAATTAACTATGTGCTGTGAGTACCGATTTGATTTGTCTCGTGTGTAAGAGAGTGTATAAGGTTATATGCAGTACATTTCTCTTACTCTCTCTCTTACTCTTTGACTCTCTCTCTCTCTTTTAATTTATTATGATTATTATTATTATTATTAGCATAAGCTACACAACACAAGGTTCTACTAGTTATACTCTACTTGAACTTTTTTTATTTTGCAAACCACACCTTCTCTGTGATATCCCCCACTCAAGGTCAAGCAACAAGCAATAAGGCTAAGAGTGACAATATAAAAGTCTAGCTTTCACTTCTGTCCCTACAATTTTTGATCCACAAGTTTAGTAAATCGGGAAAATTTTAGGTATTTGGCAGAAAGAAAAGAATTTTTTTACCAAAGAAACAACATACCTTGAAACATAAAATCCCACCTTCCATATCCCGCCATTATTGGAAAGAGAATAGAAGAGGAATATCAAAACATAATCCAAATCAAAGCACCAAGTACGCACCACAGAGAAGGAGTTCAATACCCGGCAATCGTTGCCCACCACCACCACCAACATCAACAACAACAACTTCAACTTCAACCTCAACTTCAATAACCCTATACACTCATCTCGATCTCTATCATGTCCGACATACCGCAGTCTATCATCACTGCTTTGACAAAGTACCAAGATAGACCGTTCATCTTGTACCTCGAGAAGGATTTGATCAAGTTTATCAAAAACTCCATACTAGGCAACATTAAACAACCAGAGTATGTGATTCAAGCACAATATTTGAAAAACTCATATTACAGGCTATTAAGTCATCAGTTATGCCACTACTACCATCTACAGCATTGGAACAATCAGTCAAATGAAATTGTTGTTACTCCCTTGGAAAATTTTGATTATTCTGCGTTTTTGATCAAAATTGAAGACGAATCAGGCGGTGACTTTGTCAAAGTTGCTGACGTGGCCCATAAGTACCAGCCTACTCACTCTCCTGATCCACCTAGTCAGAATGGGTATACCACCACCCACCCACAACAGCACCACCACCAGAATCACTATTCTCGTAATCGTGTCTATCATTCTCCCCTGTACAACAATAATCACAATCAATACTACCACTACCACCAGCATCCTCAGTATCTGCATCTGCATCTGCATAACTATCAACCCTATTCAAGCACGGAGCATGTAAATTCTACCAAAAACACAGAAACACCGCCTGTGTCGCATCCACAACCTTTTAAACCAAAAATGATTGTTAAAAAGATCATCTCCAAGCCTGTTGCGAGCCCTTCATCCAATACCACCACCACCGCTGCCTCTGATGTGACAGCTACTGCCGATAATAATGCTAACAGCAGCAGCAGCGTAGAAGATTTGTCAAGGTTGAAAATTGATGAAGTGTCCAGCAGTGCTCCACCTTCTGAGGGTTCTGACGAATCTTCTCTCAACACCACTTCATCTACGACTATGGAAAGTCAAAGAGCCACAAAAGAAGCATTATACAAAAAAGTACGAGACGAGATATTCTTAAAAGAGGATAATGAGCAAAATGGAGAGGAGGAGGAGGAAGACGACGACGACGACGACGACAACAACAACAACAACGACGAGCAAGTGGAGGAAGGAGCCGAGGACAAAGAGAGAGGTGAAAATAAAAGCTACACTAAAGAAAGGTATCCTAGATCAAACTACCGCAAGGGTCGAGAGTACACTCCTGGTCATCACAAGAATCAGCGTTACTCAGTGCCATACCAAATACCAATTCCTATGCAGTACCCACACGTTTACCACCCACATCATAATTCAGGTTCTCCAGCTATTCCTCAAGCAAACACAGTTCCCGTGTTGTACAATCCATACTACCCAACCGTCCATGCACCATTAGTCCCTCAAACGTATGCTGCAGCTGGCGCTGCACCACCATATGCACCAGCTTTCCAAGGCATTCCCACTTTTGATACTGAGACTGAGCGCAGGATTTTGAATAATCCGTACATTATATTACCTGGTGATTTGGATACTAATGGCCGGTCAAAGAATCCCAGCAAGAACAATCAATCTTTTAGCAAGACAAAGAGAACAATGTATCAGAATGGTAATGGAAGTGGTGCTAGTATAGGACGAAACAACACTGTGAACGCAGAAAAGCCTTGAGAATAGAGTAGAGGTTAAAAGATCTTGAGGAAGCTATGGTTTAGTTTCTTATAGGTATCTCTTTTGAAAACAAAGTCCTACAATTGCATAGACGATAAAACTTGAGTATATAATAAAGTAGCAGCTGAAGTAGTTGACGTCTTTTTTTTTTTTTTTTTTTGACGAGTCGGTTATTCAATGTGCATAAATCACATTTTGTGCACACTCTGTTCTGTTGTATTACAGTTTCTGTTTGAAGTTAAATTAAATTAAATCAAATTATTCTTTTTTTTACACGCAGTCCTCCTAAACAGATCAAACAAATATTTAACAACACAAACTTCCCATTTTGACAACGCTCGTACAGGTTACTGGTTTCCAACCCCACCCCTTTTCACAGCAAATACACACGTCTTTCAACTAAAACAATCACAACAACAATGTCAAACATAAACGACGACGACTTGGTTCCCGAAGAAGTAGAAGGATACACCGTTGGAGAAAAGAAAACCATTGACGAGTACAACAAACTAGATGCCGAAGATGAAAGTTTGGCCAAATGGAAAGCATCACTCGGTTTATCCGCAAATGGAACTCCGTACCCCGTCAAACCCAACGACAAAAGGAAAGTGGTTGTCACGGAATTGGCATTGGAGTTTCCGGAACAGCCCGATTTACAACCAATTAGAATAAACTTGGAAGACAATGAAGGAAACACCATTGTTGATAAGGAAATCAAATTTAGCATCAAGGAGAAATCCATCTATCAGTTAGTTGTCAAGTTCAGAGTCCAGCATGAGATCATCACCGGTTTGAAATATTTGCATTCTGTAAAGAGAGGTGGTTTGAGAGTGGATAAAGTTGAAGAACCATTGGGAAGTTATGCTCCAAACACGGTTGAGAATCCATTTTATGAACGCAAGTTCACTGAAGTGGAAGCTCCTTCGGGGATGATTGCTAGAGGTACTTATTCTGCTGTTTCCAAATTTGTTGATGATGATAAAGTGGTTCATTTGACTGTTCCTTGGAGTTTTGCCATTGTCAAGTGAAGTCATTATCGAGTGTGTAAAATGCATATCTTGCTGTTTTGAATATAGATCTATCTTCCAATTTAACACTTAATCTATTATCTGAAGCAACAGTGATCTTTGCGTTGACTTGGCAGTTCTGATACCAGTACCAAGTCAATTGTTTGCTACACTTTCCTCACCTTTTCACTCCTAATGCCGTCGACTTCAGCCTGCGCTGGGGGACATATGGTGGAGCTTTATTAGATTTGGCATTGAAAGCTTTGTTTACCGCGGTACTAGGAGCTTTGTTTACCCCGGTGTTGGGGGCTTTATTAATCTTGGTGCTGGACAAAAACACAACCGGGTCCTCACCTAGATAGCTATCATTTCTGAGATCACCCACTTGACGTTGCGATTGTGGTTTAGGTTGCTGTCTGATAAAAGGCTCCGCTTCGTAATCTAGTTTCCTCTTTTTCAAGTTCAAATCTTGACTCAACCCCAGCGCTTTTGCAAATCCAACCGACATGGCATCTTCAGGCAGTATAGTAGCCTCGAATGTGTCATCATTTGAGTAAATATCCCAATTTTTGGCGTACGATTGAAACAATTGCTCCAATTCACCATCAATTGAACTATCGTACGTTATTCCAAGCATCGAGCACAACTTCTGGAACCCCTTTGGCGTTTTTAATGCAGTCTGCACTGTATCAAATGCTTTGAGATCGTTTAGCTTTGTGACAAACCTCGACTCGCTATCTATTTGTTGTCTCCAACTAGAACTCGACGAAGCTGATTCTTTGTAGGCGGATATATAAAGCAACACCTTGGCTCTAGTGCATGCAACGTAAAAGCATCGTCTCTCTTCATCAACCGCGTCTTTGGAGTCACTTCCGTACATGGCAAACCCAGCAGGTAGTAACCCTTCGGATAATCCAGGCACAAAAACTACTGGCCATTCAAGACCTTTTGAACCATGTATGGTACTGAGGGATACTTTGGGCTTGTTCAGGTTCTCGTCATCCTTGTCATCGGTGGCGTATAGTCCAACAGATTCAACAAACTGAACAATAAAGTTTCGATCATCACTAGCTTGAGAGTCGTCAGTGTTACCAATGAAAGTTTCATCTTGGGGCTCAAACGAAACAAATTGATTCTTCACTTCTTCAATGTTTAATGCCTTCTCCTCGTCAGACAGAAACTCAACTTTTAAGCCAGACTCTTGATAAACAAGCTCAAATAATTCAATTGCAAAAGCGGTCCTCTCACGATCCGTGCAACTCGGTTCCATCTTGTTCAATATTTTCCTTGCTTCATCAATCATTTGCACATATTTGGCAACACTATTTCTTGCTCGATGAGGTAACTTCAAACTGGAAAGCTTATCCATAGACAATGCCTTGAGCGTTTGATATGCCGTGAATCCAGATCGCTTACCACTCATCACAATGTCGTCAATCGATTGAAGAGTCTTGTCCCCCAATCCACGTTTAGGGAAATTCAACGTGCGGAAAATCGATATTCTATCATTTTCATCACCACAAACGCGCAAGTAATCAATGATTGAAACAACTTCTTTCCGTTCCCAAAATGCTTTGCCACGAATCATAAAGTATGGGACTTTTCTCTTAACCAACTCGGCCTCAACGGCACGAGTTTGGAATGCGGCACGGAATAAGATTGCAATGTCATTTGGTTTAATCATTGAGTGTGGCAATTTCAACAAAAATTCAATTTGATACGCAATCCATTTAGCTTCTTGTTTAGCAGATAGCAAGCATTTGTAAACTGGCTTAACTGAATCTTTGAATTGAGAAACTAAATCCTTTACTTGTCGATCCTGTTGTTGTCTCATCAACTTTTCCGAAACTTGCAAGATATCGTTTGTAGATCTATAGTTTTGGTTCAATGCAATAACTCCACACGCCAAATCAAGTCGCTTGTAATGGTCTAGCATTAGTCCAAAGTTTTTCGCTTGTGCATCTCTGAATGCATATATGCTTTGATCTGGGTCGCCCACTATTGTAACATTATGTTGAAATTTAGGGTCAGTAATATTCCCCGTGGCAAATTGATACATCAAACGAAGTTGGATATCATTCGTATCTTGAAACTCGTCCACAAGCACGTGTTTGACAAAATGGAGTACGGGAAATTTCGTCACCAAGTTGTAGCACGTAAGTAAGCAGTCATCAAAATCGAGTTTCTTTTCTTCGGCGAGTTTCAGTTGATAAGCACTGTACAATAATTGCAAACATTTGTTGCAACCTTTCACGTTGGTATAGCTCTCCGGTGATATCCCTTGCGATTTCAATTTTGAAATTTGCCGCTTCAACTTGTTGATATCGATCCCATAGTATTTATCATTCTTTTTGTTGGATGCAAGAAATAGGATTTCCTCCCGAGGTGCATCCTTGATATACCCAATAGCCTCACCAGAAAGGTCCTTCTCCAATAACTCTCTCAAAAGATGGTCCTTGTCTCTCTCATCAGCTACGGTGTACCCACTAACACCAATTTTTGAACCAAATTTTTTGATAATGCGATAGCATAAGCTGTGAAATGTACCTACTAGCAAATTCGACACCTTGATCTCGGTGTGTGATTTCAACAAACTTCCTAACCTGTCCACTAGTTCATTAGCGGCCTTTTTGGTAAATGTCGTTACAATAATGTGTTCTGGTCTGATCTTCTCAACAAGGAGTAAGTATGCTACTCGTGAAGTCAATACTTTTGTCTTTCCTGTACCTGGACCAGCAATTATTTGAAGACGGCCACTGGCCGGTGCCGTCACTGCCTCCCTTTGGTTCTCATTGAGTCCGTCTAGAAACGTAAGATTTCGAATTGAGGTGGCAGTCATATGTAAAAGCCTTTCAAGTAGCTAAATGCAGAGAACAGGTCTATGTTTATATTTTCCTTTTCTTTTTTTTTTTTACTATTTTATGGAACTTTGACTAGACGCGTTGAAGCTTGAGCTACTGAGTCACTGTGGTGGCGAAGTGACACTGATACCACATGGCTGTGTAAAGTCACTCTAATATTGAGAACCAGTCCTTAATGTTAGGAATAGAGCTGGTTCTAGGGTGCATGGTTGCTTACAGTCATGGAGTCGCTTAACTGAAATGTTTAACGCTACCGTGTGCCATCATTTTTTGTTTCCAGTTTTCTGTTCCTTTTCTACTTTCCACTCTGTGAGTCCCCACCAGACATGTTGCAAACAGGTTCCACATGCACCAAATTATAGCTTTGATCGTTTCGTTCATAATATGTCACGTTGTAGCGCTAGGTGAAGCCAACTTTCTGACACTACTAAACCAAACTTCCACCAACCTAACAACATTGAATGACACCCTTGATGTTGCTATCAGAACTCAACGAGATATATCCAGACCCGTTCCTCTAGATCAGCTAGCGGTAACAGGAATGTCATTAACAAATATGTTTTTGAATGATGACTACAGCTCAGACGGCATATCAAGTTTACGAGATTTGCTTGACTCTGGAATGCAAGCCATTATGGTGGATCTATATTGGAATGAATTCACCTCAGTGTGGCAGCTATGTCCTGCTCCGTTCCCGCAGAACGTGACCCACAACCCGACTGACAAAGTGAATGTTACTTGGAATAACGTCACATATACTTGTCAGGTTGGCTTCACCACCGACAATATTATGTCTATAATCAAATCATACTTGGATGCATCAAACACAGACTTTGAGGCCAACTTCCTTCACCTCCTTTTCAACCTAAAGTCAATACACTACGACAAATCAAATCTAACCACGTCCCTCGAAAATATATACAGACCCAATTCACATTCAAATATAGTCGGTAACTCGACACTCAATGCCACAATTTCACCAATTGCTTCCTACATTTTCACACCACAAGTGCTACAGGATTACAGACTGCAAATTTTATCATCTTCGAGCCTGTACGCATCATTTTACAACCAGTCGCTGTTGGATATGCCCACATTGGAGACTGTGCTATTTTCACAGTACAAGCGAATGCTAGTGAATGTGTTGTCCGATGAACTTGTGCCGTCTCCAAGAGTTTATTCCATTACCGATACTGACAGGGAGTACATATTTTTCAACACTACGTTACCAACCTCCATCAGAACTGCAAGAGATGCTGAGCCGTATTGTCAAAACCTTCTTTCATTGAACCATAATCTAAGCACATATAACAACTTATCTTTGGCCACGCTATTTGACTACGTTGTTGATAGCGGCGATGACCAGTTTTCTCCAAATAAAGTGCAAAGTTTTCTAAGATGTGGGCTTTTGCCAATATTCAACGGTACTTCATACAAAATCGGTGATCAAGGTGTACTGGAGGTGGAAGATCTCTTTGAGACATTCACTCCCTATCTCTTCTGGTCCTGGCGTGCGGGCGAGCCTCGTCTTTGGACCAACCTGACCAAAGACTTGTCAACCGATGATAATCTAGACAGTGGTGCCTCGTATCGATGCGTGGTTTTAACTGCGGATGGTTGGAAAGTGGACGATTGTTACCAAAAGTATCAGATTGCATGCCAGAACAAAACCGAGCCCAATGATTGGTGCATACCACGAGATGTTGAGCAAACGTATTTCGACGTTAACAGGGGCCATTGCCCTGACGGGTTCAACTTCAGCTTGCCACGTCTGAGCACGGAAATGCTAGCGTTAATGACTGCGGTGAAAAATCAACATGCCGAGTACCCAATCTGGATCGACCTTAATGATATAACGATTCCCGACTGTTTTGTATCTGGTGGCCCCTACGCGCAGTGTCCTTATCAGAAAACAGTCACCACAACTAAGTTTGTGCGTATGATTGCACCTGCTTCTGTGGTGTGTATAATCGTTCTCATTGCTGTTCTTCTTGAAAAATTGCTCAGGACAAATCACATCCAATCTAACAGGAAGCGATATTGGAAAAAGGCGCTAGCTGAATACTACTCCAAAAACGATTACGAAGGAGTACCTTCATAGAGTGTGCTCTGTTGTGTATGTGTGTCCTGCATATAATTGATTTCCCTCAAAAAAGTTGGAAATTTGGTTTTATTTTTTTTTTCCTCCTGCCCGTCTCTCTACTCAAATTGCCTCTACCGCAATCGTAAAGCAATCAGCATCACCAAACTACCTACATCATCTATCAAATGAACGATCAGAATTGGAAGACGTTGTCCAACGAGTTGAGGCGTAGGGCTCAGCAGGCTCGTCAATCGGGTGGAGGAAAGGGCCCAAGAAATCCATTGGCCATCTTTGGTGGGATCGGAGGTCTTTTGGCATTGGGTGGAGTTGCCTTGCTTGCTGAAAATGCATTGTTTAACGTAGATGGTGGTCAGCGTGCTATATTGTATTCGAGGATTGGTGGAGTGCAACAAAAGATCTACCCTGAAGGTACACACTTTGTGGTTCCTTGGTTTCAAAGACCTATCATTTACGACGTTAGAGCAAAGCCAAAGGAGATTGCATCATTGACGGGTACGAAAGATTTACAAATGGTGAACATTACTTGCAGGGTATTGTATAAACCAGACATTTTTGAATTGCCAACCATTTTCAGGACGTTGGGTACAAACTACGAGGAACGAGTTTTGCCTTCAATTGTCAATGAGGTATTAAAGTCAGTCGTTGCTCAATTTAATGCATCACAGTTGATTACTCAAAGAGAAAAAGTCTCGAGGTTAGTCAAGGAAAACTTGTTGCGTCGTGCCTCCAAATTCCACATTGCATTGGATGATGTATCTTTAACCTACATGACATTTTCACCCGAGTTTAGTGCCGCTGTTGAAGCCAAGCAAATTGCTCAGCAGGATGCACAGAGAGCAGCGTTTATTGTCGACAAGGCCATCCAAGAGAAGCAACAGCTAGTTGTTAAAGCTCAAGGTGAAGCCAAGTCAGCCGAATTGATTGGTGAAGCCATCAAAAAGTCTAAAGATTATGTTGAATTGAAGAGGTTGGATACAGCTAGAGAAATTGCCAATATCTTGGCCTCATCTCCAAACAGAATTATTTTGGACAATGACACTTTATTGTTGAATACTGTTGCTGACAGTCGTAACAATAGAAAGTAAGCACTAGATGTAAATAGTTTTCTTTTAAAAGCATGAAATAAAACATATATTTCCTAATACCCAATTCTAACAAAAGACCTAAAGGATAGAGTTGACGATATTTGCACCAACTGATGCACCGGCACCAAACAATGCAGCCTCTCCGAAACGACTTCCATACTTTTTGAGATGTCCGTGTCCACTTGATTGTTGTTGCTGTTGTTCAGGGGCCACAACGACTTGCTGTGGTGGAGGTGGTGTTTGCTGGTATTGTTGAGGAGGAGGGTAGTATCCTGTTGAGGGTGGTGGGTATTGTGCATATCCTCCGTACGAAGGTTGATTCAGTAATGGTGGTTGATAGTAAGCTGGAGGACCATAAGAAGACTGAGAGTTCTGATGCGATGGTAAGGGGCGTGATGCTGCCAATCTGTTCTCTGATGATGTGAATTCCGCTTCTGAGATAACAGTTACGTAGTTTGATGGGAAAACTCCTGCCTTTTCGGGATCAGACCCCGCTTTGTACCCTTTCCACCAATCCTCAGATAAGTGTTCAACTACGGCCAATTTGTCTCCTTTGCTTAAGTTCAAATCATCTGGTTCTTGTGCAGCGTAATCAAACAGGGCAGTGCAGTATCCAACAGGCTTGGGTGTAGAACGGTGGGGGGCTGGTGGGTGATCTGGTGGTGAAATATGAGTGTTTGCAAACTCCTCAGCCAACTTGCTTGATTTTGCTTCATATGCTGGTGCAGGTGGTTCTGATGGTGGAGCGGAATACTTCTCTTTAGATACTGAACCTGTCAGTAAAGCATCCACATCCCAAGGCTTTTCATTCTTTTTATACTTTTGGGGCAAAGCCTCAACCAATTTGGTGTAGAGGGCATCAGTGATGACTTCCGAATCACGCAAGAATTCCAACTCAGTTCTAACTGTAGTTAGTGATCTGTTAACCAAGGCGGCAGACATGTTGCGATGAAAAGATCGTAGAATGAATGTGTGAGTACTTGGAACTAGGAGAGAACTAATTATAGAAATGGCAATGTCGCATTTAGGGAAACGCGCACACAGCCTTCCTTCCCCTTTTTTCAAGTTGTTTTAGAAACACCTACTTAATACTTTATCTTATTCCAGGACAGTTCATACTAACACCCTCTGCAAGCTCAATGATGTCGCTTCCGTAAGCCCCAGTGATTCTTGAGCTTGATGTTGGTGAAATCTCCACTGCTCTATCCCACAAGTGATAAATCCTAATTGTAGAGTCGTTGGTAGCCACACAAACGGAGCAAAAGTCGGGACTAGTTGTAGCACTGAGAATACGCAAATTACTAGTAGCATTCACTTCCAACAGTGGGGTCATTTCCGGATACGAATAAACTCGCATGAGATTCGATTTTGTTGACCCTCCGAATCCAAATGTTGCCACGATCTCCTTTTTGTATTTTGACCAAATCAATGACGTAATTTGGCCATCGGTGTAAAATTCCTTCAACAATGTTCCGCTTGTAGTGTGCCAAAAACGGATTTTACGATCCTTACTACCTCCCCCGGTTGCTAGTAAGGACCCGGTCCATGGACAAAAGCTCAACGCTTTGATAGCGGCCTTGTGTGGTAAAACAAATTTCAATTGAGGTGAATGGTAATCGGGTAAACTCCAAAGCGAACAGCAGTTGTCATTTGCACCCACGGCAACCTCGTCATTAGTTGCATTTAATGCTATTCCTACAAGCAGGGTTAGTAAAGTGGTGGAGGGGGGCATAGAGATACTATAGCCGTTTTATGCTTACCACAAATTTGCTGTTGATGGGCTCGAAAAGTCTTGATTATCTCTAGCTCTAAATTGGCTAATGTCTTAATTCGCATAACGTGTACTTCTCCACTATCATTACCTGCTAGAAAATGTTTGGAATCGTTAAACCAAGTGAAACAGAAAATGCACTTGTTTTCAGGAACATTGAATTCACCAACAACACTATTAACTTCGTTGCCTTGATCGATTAATAAAATCTTTCCATTAGCTGTCGCCACCAAAATCCAATATTCCTGGGAGCAGCTGACTGCTGTGATTAAATCATCGTTTTCATAGTTTATTTGAACAACTTGACTATCAGCTCCCCACAAGTACATTCTCGAAGCCAATCCAACTATGACTCTATTTGTCTTTGGTGACCAACTAATTAAATTTGAGTAATAGTCATTTCTCAATCCGGGTGCCTGTAGTATATCGGAAGCCATAACCGACTTCACTTTTAACTTTGGTTTCTTAGTTGTTGATTTGTTGATGATTTTCTCGATGGGGTTTGACATGTACAGGCCGGGATTTTTTGGTGGCTGGTGCGTGTAGATATTGTTGAACTTGAGCACTTTTGAGCAGTAGTTGAGGTTTAATGCTTCTGCAACCACCTCTTGGTGAAGATCATTGGGCTTCAAGACTGTTCTTGGGTGGCTGGAACTGCCTGTCGAGCTTGAGCTGGTGATTGACCTAGGGGACGGTGACAAGTTTGTAGGTGAGTGTATGACTCCAGACACAAAGGAGTCCTCACGAATAGAAAAACTAACCTCACTACTTTTTGACTGGTTTGTCAAGCTGTTTGAATCTTCTCCTGACAACACCTTGTACGCCAGCATAGATGATGATGTGGGAATAAAGCGATCTCCGTTCTGCAAAACCTTGTCATTGGACATCAAACCTGGACTAACAATAACCATGAGGTGCATCAGAACCTTACTAGCAAGAGCCAACTGTATTATAATTCTGCTCGGTGTGTAATACTGAAAAGTAGTAAAAAGCAAAGTGGGTTGTCAAAGGTTTGATATGTTTTGCAACCACTTTCCCCAGTATAATTTTTATTTTTATTTTTTTTTTTTTCGCCCTTGCCTCTGTTTTGAAGAAACTTTTTGTGTATGAAAAAGGGATTTTCTCTTCTTTGTCGATCAATTGTCAACAAAAATACACTTTGCAATGCCATTATTTGTACCTACTAGACTGACATACATTGAGTCTGTGGCAAAATACGTGTGTGTTTTGCTCTTTTTGATCCTATGTGTCAAAGTCTTTCTAAAAACGAGAGAGCTAGTTACTCAGCCTTTCATCGATGAGATATTCCACCTACGTCAATGCCAAACGTATTGTGCTTACAAGTTTGATCAATGGGATAATAAAATAACAACCCCACCGGGGCTCTATATATTGGGATTTGTGTATTCTAAACTCATTGAAGTGATTACTGGATTACCAAAACTATGTCAAGACTTCAATGTGCTACGGTCATTGAATCTAGTTGGAGGAGTCGTTATTTTACCAATTGTCTTGCTGAACTTCAAGAAATCGAATTCAAGACAATACTGGACAGTTAATGTTTTATCACAACCACTACTTTTCACATACTACTTTTTGTTTTATACGGATGTGTGGTCCACAATTCTCGTGGTGATGTCGCTCAGTTTGATCAATACTAGAGCACACCAATGGCCCATTCTAAGTTCAGTGACTGGGTTTGCTAGCTTGTGGTTAAGGCAGACAAATATAGTTTGGGTCGCATTCATTGCGGTTGTATATATTGATCGAAAGGTTTACAGAACCCAGTCCATCCTGAGTAGGATCCATTCCTTCATCACAACAAGTTTTAGTAACTGGTTATCATTGACAGGTTATGCTATCAACTTTGTTTTATTTGTTGTGTTTTTGAAGTACAACGGAGGTATCACATTTGGTGATAAGGAGAACCATCAAATACAGTTGCATTTTGTGCAAGTGTTTTACTGCTTTACATTCATCAATTTCTTCACATGGCCAGTGTGGTTGAGTCGGTCAACTATGTCCAGGTATATCAAATTCATTACTGGTAATTACGGATTGAATCTACTCTTTAATGCAGTAGCATTTGCAGGTATAAAGTACATCATTGACAACTACACGATAGTGCATCCTTTCCTTCTTGCTGATAATAGACATTATACTTTCTATATCTTCAAGAGATTGCTCAGTCAAAAGTATAGCAGTCTTGTGGCTGTCCCTGCTTATCATTTTGCAATGTACAATATTGTCACATCATTGGCAAGGTCTAGGAAGCTCAACTTGTCACCCATTGGAATTACAGCCTTTATCGGGGCCACTGTACTTACTATTGTTCCATCACCATTGTTCGAGCCAAGATATTACCTCATCCCACTTGTCATATTCAGGGTCTACATCGCCCCTAGCTATGAAGCATTCCATGTTGTTGAATTCATTTGGTTGAATTTAATAAACTTGGTCACTTCGTACATTTTTTTCACATACCAATTCACGTGGTTAAGTGAACCAAATTCGATTCAGAGAATAATTTGGTAGCCCGGAAATTCTAAAATACATTTATTGTCTAATATCTACTTCTTCTAAAGTTTTTTCAATGTCAGTAACCTTATTGTCGTCGCCATTGTCTACTTCAGCTCCCTCAGGGTCTGCTCTTGTAACTTCTTGTGACAATGGGCTCCTGTGGTTGCTTGCTTTCGGATTCACCCTCGGTGCAGCATTGGTAGGTTTTGGTACTGGCTTTTCCTCAGTTTCTTCATCATCATCATCATTATTGTGTGATGCATGTACGGTTTTCGCGTGATCCAACAAGTTCAAGTGTTTGGTTATAAAACTGTCAACTGACTGGAAACCTTTGTTATGTAGCGAGAGGATCGATACTTCATTTTGCTTCAACTCATCCAACAAGTCCTTGTTGAAATCCTCGTTTGGCTCATTTTCCAACATTGTCATCCACTTCTTAACCGCTCTTCTTTTCAATACTTCCAAATACGGCACTTCCACTTTGGCCTCTTTATCCACATAAACAATTTCTCCTTCGTTACCAATGAACAAGTCGCCATCGTTGTTCTTTCGGTTTGCTCTGATGTCCCAGTTGCCCATTTCCAAATCATTGGCAAATATCAACAAAAAGTCACCCCAGGTATCGGCTATCTGAAACTTAAAATCAAAGTCTCTTCCAAAAAGAATAACTTGTCCCCATTTCCCACCTGGAGGAGGAGAAAGATCAATTCCAATATAGTTTCCCACTTCATCGGTCACCAATGGAATCCACATTGGGTGAGCAAAAGTTTCATGGATTGTGTTTGGTGGTATTGATCTTTGCTTTGGCATTCCTTGGTGACTGTGTGATGATCTGCTTCCCGATGAATCCGTTTCATGAGAAGAGACTGAAGTTTGTCTCGACCGTGTATCTGTCACATCAAACGAAGCCCTTGCAGGAGGCAAGTCATTATTTGTACCGAGATTCAACTTCTTCTTGTACTGACTCGAATTAGCATGTGAGGCGGGTAATTTGCTTAGCTCACTTGTTTTCAGGTATTGTTGGCTTATACCTGTGTTTATATAATCAGCTACTTTTCTCCAGTTCTCAGTTTGTATCATTATATCGTCCAACGACATCAACTTTAGACCAAATATGAGACCATTTGTGTCTATATTCAACTGGTTGCCAAAGTTCAGTTGACCATCAGTAATTTTGAAAAACTGCAACACGGATTGTGGTAGTTTGATACGTAAATCTTTTTGGAAGTCCTCTAGATCCGACGTTGTGCATTTGCTCAGTAGCGAACTATTAAGATCTGGAGCATACTTGACCAACCAGTGTTTTATATGTCTCCAGGCTAATCTCATTTCGTGTACACCTTCAGATCCGTCATTTGGTTCGTTTGTAATTATGTTGTTGACAGAGTCCACCGATGAGTTGCTGTACACTTGGTGCATCCCCAAAAGATTCTCTGAATCTGGTTTGTTTACTCTGTTGAAGGACTTTCTTGAGTCAAACTCGGAGTATTTGTCGTCTGTGCTTAACGAGTATATGAATTCTTGAAACCGTTGACTAAACTTCATTGTAGTGGTGGAGATATCCAGTTGAGCAAATGCGTTAAAGTCTATAATCTCAATATGTAGAACTTCTTCCGTTTCTCAGGAGGCAGTACTTATATGATAAGATCCAAAAAATCAAGAAAATTTTATACTAAAGAAAGAAACGCGCGTTTTCTTTTTTTTTTTTTTTTTTTTCTCGTTCTGTTTCTGTTTCTGTTTCTGTTTCTTCTATTGTTCTGTCTAACAATTTTGACACATTACCCAATTGGGTTTAATTGGATTTACGAGAGTTACACCTGCCCTAACAAGGAACAAATAAATATCACCTGGGCATGAAGTATAAATTTCATTGATAATTCGAAAAGTATACGATAAACCAGGTATTTTAATCTAGGAAGAATCATAAAAAACAAAAAGTAGACAAGAAACAACACCTGCAACGGGATTCTCAAAACAAAAAAAAAAAAAGGGAAAAGAAGCAAAAGGGGTGAGGTGGAAAAGCCGAAACTCCTCCTCCAATCTCCCCCGCACTCCCCAGAGCTAAAGCACCAAAGTCAAGCACGACATATGTGTTGTGACTTTCGATTCCGAACACCAATTCATAAAAAAAAAAAGAAAAAAAATTGCTATGCAAGCAGGAACAAACAAGCCGGAAAACAAAAAAAAAGGGTGTAACGAAGGATCCAATGTCTTTAAAGGAAAAAAAAAGCGTATTGAAAGAAAACCTCTCAACTCGCCTGGAAACTTCAAGAAGTGACTGTAAGGGTTTGTGTGTTTTGAGGGAAGTGAAACAAATCACACGCCCCATAAACAACACGAGGTGTTCAGCTCCGATTAAGAAGCTTTGAATCTCTAGCGCTTCTCTGGACTTTTTATTATTTTATCGTTTTGATGGTTCATTAATTTGTTGATTTCATTAGTTCTTTTTGATTGTGTTTTTTTAATCACTATCCATGGTAATCAAATTGAAGAAGAAGAAGAAGAAGAAAGAAAGTGAGCTTTAAAATGGAAAATTTTTTTTGATCTTGATCTTTTGTCTCCTCCATCTCCATCTCGCGAAAAGTTGCATTGTGCAGGAGGATATTGGGAAAACTCCATATTCGCTCAATTGGCACGTTGGCGACAATTGCTTCGTCTACGACATCTAGTTCTTATTAAACGTTAATTTAAGAATGACAACTATGTAAAATACACGGTACCTCCCCCCCCACATATATATATAAAAATCTGTACGATTTTTTTATACAATTTTGTATCCGATCCACTTCTGATTCAGAAATTTCAGGAATACAGTCTTGAAATTTTATTTTGCTTTGTTTTTGCAGTAATATTATGAATCAATTTGTCCAATAACTTACCAGTTTGAAGCAGCGGCATCTTCAGCGGCTGGGGTGACACCAGATTCAGCCCAGTCAACATCTTCAGTTTCACCGGTCCATTCGGTTTCAGCTTCAACAACAACAGCTTCTTCAGCTTCTTCAGTAACACCTTCTTCAGCAGCGTTTTGCTCAATCTCTTCTGGGTCTCTGTAGAAGTACAAATCTGGCATAACGGACCATTCGGTGGTTCTGTCAGCAATGATACCTCTCAATCTCAAAACTTCTCTGGCCAACAACCACCAGATCAAACCGATGGAGTGTTTACCTTTGTTGTTACATGGGATAGCAACATCGACGTATTCAGATGGTGAGTCCATATCGGTCAAAGCGATAACTGGAATGTTGACGTATGATGATTCCTTGATGGCTTGAGCATCGGTTCTTGGGTCAGTAACAACAACCAATCTTGGTTCTTTGAAAGAACGAGTGATATAGTTTGTGAAGTTACCTGGGGTGAATCTACCAGCAATGGCAGTGGCACCAGTGTGAGCACCGAATTTCAAAACGGCTCTTTGACCGAAAGTTCTTGATGAACAGACGGCGACATCAGAAGCGTTTGGAATGGCAGCAATGATTCTGGCGGCCAAGACAATCTTTTCCCAGGTCTTACCAATGTTGATGACGTTGACACCATCTGGTCTGGTCTTGTAGACGTATGGTTTGTTGTGTACTTGAACGTTCTTGGCTCCCAAGTGGACGTTGGCAGCTAACAACAATTTAGCATCCTCTGGAGTTAAGTCAAATGAAGCGGGTAATGACATCTTTTGGTGGTGGTGGTGGTGGCTATGTGACTTGGTCTAGGTAGATATATCTAAAGGTTTCCTCCAAGTAGGTTGAAAAAAAATTTTGAAAATTTGGGTTGTTTTTTTTTTTTCTTTTTTTTCCCTAACACTGTGAGAGAGGGATTGGTGTCTAAGAAACTGCATGTTCTTTTTTGTGCTCGATACAATTTCCATTCCATGCGAGAAAATAGAAATGGGGCGAGCCGGCCAGTGAGATTTCTGGGATAAGTCTCGCTTTACAGGGCGGCAAGAGAGAATAACTCGCAGCGTGCGCGCGTCGTTACAGCGTAAAACATACTAAAATTGGTCACCACACGATTTTATTTTTTTGTGTTCATATACAATGTCTATAGCCCTAAGTGAAGTATTGCACGTGAGTGTATCAGAACAAGTTGATTATCTCGCCGCTGCCACCCTCCTGCCCCACTCTCCCTCGTACCCTTTTCAAGAGTGTGGTGTACCCTAGTGCCGTAAGGGGTAGAGGAAGTGTATACTTGTCTCCATCATTTGCTACTTGTTATAATGTGATACTAAAGTACAGTCTGCTCTTGCCTAGATTGAGATTTGCAACGTCATGGCTGCAAACTGAGCGAACTAACATACATTAATCTACGTAACATACTTCCAAATACTTGTGGTCTCGGTGTATTCTTCTGGTAACATCAAGTATAGAAACTTGAGATTATAATCATACTTGAATGAAATCATGTTGCCTGATAGGAAGTTTTTGACAAGGGAATGCCTAAAGTTCTTGGATCTTTGAAATAGCTTTAAATAGTTGATGAAGATCCCTCGGTATGTCAAAGATTTATTTGCCATTGATAAAGACGTTGTTCCCTTGTAGGACCTATTGTAGCTGAATTTGATACCTCCTTGTAGTCTCTTGGAGTTCTTCAATTTCAATAGGCACACGAATATAGGAGTGAAGTTCAAAACAATGGTTACATTCTCCAACAAATTGTGAGCCAGTAGAACAATGACGTGAATGATGGATAATACAAGGTAAAACGCAAACGTTGTTGGTAGAAGGAAAATCATAATCATGAACAATAAGGTGCCCAATAACAATTGATCAATTTCGAAAATATCACCATTTTCATAATTGTTTAAATTATCAATTCTGTTACGAAGTACATTGTACTTTTTCCCTCGAAACAATTGAAACAATGATTTGATAATTTCAAGCTGCCGTTTGTATAATTTACCGGCACAGTAGTAAAATGTGTAAATGTGGAATGTCAATAATCGAATGCAGTCAATGAAGAGTGATAGTAGAAATGAGCATCCACCTCCATAGCAAAGAATCTTGAAAATATTCAAGATTATTGCTTTATTTTTGGTAAGCTGCACAATCTCCACATAATCTCTCCAAAACAATATTGTCCAAATGTACAAATCACCGAGAAACTTTCCCAAATCTGTATTCAATTTGAACCCCGCTGGGTTTTCTGTAGACACCCAAGAAATCAATGAAACCAACTCATTGCACAAGTACTTTTCCAAAACTGTTGATTGGATAAATTTGAAAATCTCATCTTGATATTCGTCAAGGTACCCATAAACTGTAATTCCTAGTAAAATGTCATTAAAGATCAACCACAATGAATTGTACAAATTGATGTAGTTGGAATTGTTGATGTTTAAGTTTGTGTTAAAAATGGGTAGCTTCAAATTGTTGATTATTTGTGAATCCTTTTGATATAAAATTTTACGATCATAATAACATAGAAACTGGACTGGAAAGTAATTCAATTGCTTCAATCGAAGATCCAATTGTCGAAAGCACTTTGAAATCAGCACCAATGAGTAGCCGCGTATTGAGAAATTTATCATCAGAAGCAGTGTTATTAGTATGATCTGGCAATATTTCACAACTGGTATTATGGAATGTATCACTATCCACTTGCAAATTGTGTAAAAAGCTGTTGATGCAGGCAGTGTCGTATCTTGTTTGAAAATTGTTCTGGTTTTATATATCAGATTGATCTTCTCAAGGACTGTCTCGTCTGCTATTGAGGTTAGTTGAGACGAGCTTCCTATTTCTGGCTCATACACATCAAATTTTGACCCAAGTGGCGACGTCAACTTTTCAGGCTCGCCCATTGACTGTAGTAAAATCGGCTCTATAGAGAAATACTCCAAGTTCCTGAAGTTTGGCGGATCAAAAAACACAACTGTTGGGTTCAGCAGACACCAAATCCCGCCATCATCATAATGTAAGTTTATTGGATACTTCTTTGAATCATTGTTTATGGTCCCGACCACTTTCAAATCTGGAATATCAACAGAACAGTTTGGAAATTTTGAGCATTGCAAGATAACATACGAGTTGCCAATCTTGTATCCCAAAAGATACACAGACTCCTGAAAGTGCCGTTTCAAGTCATTGGGGAAGTATATTTGCACGGGAGTGGAATCATTAAAGCTCATTTACTGCAAACGAGTCACGACGTAGGAATTGGGAACTGTTGTTGTATTGTGAATAAAATGCTTCTCTCCGTAATTTGTGCAGACGTGGCAGGAACTGAATGGAGTCTTGTTTTGAACTGCTTGCAACGAATGGATAGGTATTGATGACAAAACGATCGACCAAGACTATGGTAGTGTAGTATAGCCCTGTGAAAATAACTAATACGATTAGGGCTCTGACAAGTATTGAAACGGGCCATATATGTGTATCCACCGTCATCAAAGCGTATGCTCTTTCCATGGCCACTTGGAAAAAAAAAAAAAAAATACAATGTTTTCATTTTTGACCAGATGCTACCAAAAATCTGAAATGCTTCTTGCTCCACTTTTGCAACCACACATTTATTTTGGGTATGTAGTGGTGTGTCCTTAAACCACGACAATTGCTTTGTTGTAGGTGTCTATGAGAAAGGAGGAGAAGGTAATTTAGTAGAGGCTTGTCACTCTCCCTGTAGAGATCGATTGTTAGTTGTGAGGTCCCTAGTGCCCTGCCCTCAAAACATCAATCAATTTAACAATGGCTCACTTTACGGTAATTTTCTTTTCGTAATACTAGTTAAATCTAGAGCTAGACATGTGTAGTGTAAAGTCGGCCCTTACTTACGAAAGACAAGGACTGTTGTGTTTTGAAATTCTACAGAATTTGCACCAATCTGCACAAAAAAAAAAATGAAACATTCTGGTACAATAAAGCCAATGGAAAGGTTTATATGTGTTGAAAGAAGAGTAGTAAAAAGCTAGTGGCCTGTAGTAAAGTTATATGACTGTTATGGTGGGCGAAACTACAATTCATTACGTCATGAGAACATGCCAAAAAAAAAAATAAAAAATAAAAAAAAAAATAAATATGGTTTCTGTTCTGTTCTGTTCTTTGTGTGTGTTGTACGTATATGTGTGTCATGAAATGTTGAAATGTGACACTGCAATAGAAGAATAGTAAAACACCAAGAAAATAAAGCAAAACACTTTTTTTGTTACTTAATATACACACTCACACTCCCACTCCCACTCCCTCTCCTTTTAACCTTCTGTCTGATTACTGCACGCTAACCAAAAAAATAAATATAAATTCCCGAACGGCACCAAAAGCGTCAAATCCCATTAAAAAATCCGCAATAGCGAAACTGCACGCAATTCCCGCAAATCTTTGAAAATACCTCTTTCCTCCAACAACAACAACAACAGCAACAACAGCAACACACTACTACTACTACTACTACTACTGCTACACGAAATCACAACTCTATTACTTCATTTGCAACAAAACACTTTCCACTTTTTTTCATAGCCTACTGCACAAGTCTCATATTAGTACTGCCCTTATTATTCCTTCATACGTTTATGTCCACAAGCAAGCTATCATCACTATCTAACCATGGTACTACCGTCTCCTTAAATGCCAACAGAGGATCTACGCCAGTTGGCAAACTCTTATTCCTTCTCACCAGCTTCGTCAGACTAGCCCACTCACTCCCGGTCCACATCAGCAGTGCCTCTTCAAAGCACGAAGTAGCCAAGTCTGTTCAAACCCCTGAACAGTTTTATGTCAACTTATTCACTTCCGCATTCCTTGTTTTGGCTGGGGGTGTGTTTGCCGGTTTGACTTTGGGATTAATGGGGCAAGATGAAGTTTATTTGAAGGTTATCTCGTCTAGTGGCGAGCCAAGCGAACAGAAACATGCAAGAAAAGTCTTGCGATTATTGGGAAGAGGTAAGCACTGGGTCTTGGTCACTTTATTGCTATCCAACGTTATAACAAACGAGACTTTACCTATTGTCTTGGATCGTTGTCTTGGAGGTGGATGGCCTGCTGTGGTTACATCTACAGTCTCGATTGTCATTTTCGGTGAAATCATTCCTCAATCAATTTGTGTTCGATATGGTTTACAAGTGGGTGCATTATTTTCTCCCTTTGTCTTGTGTTTGATGTATCTTATGTATCCAGTTGCATATCCTTGCGCTTTATTATTGGACCATATCTTGGGTGAGGATCACGGAACTGTTTACAAGAAATCAGGTTTGAAAACTTTGGTCACCTTGCACAAGACTATGGGTGTTGAACGATTGAATCAAGATGAAGTGACAATTATTAGTGCTGTTTTGGATTTGAAGGAGAAATCTGTCAGCAGCATCATGACACCAATGGATAGAGTATACACCATGAGTGCTGATACTATCTTGGACGAGAAGACAGTTGAAGAGATCTTCAATGCTGGATTTTCACGTATCCCAATCCATTTACCAGGAGAACCGGATAATTTCGTTGGTATGTTTTTGGTTCGTGTTTTGATTAGTTACGATCCAGAAGATGCATTGCCTGTAGCTTCCTTCCCATTGGCCACATTACCAGAAACCGGGGTTGACACATCATGCTTGAACATCTTGAACTACTTCCAAGAAGGTAAATCCCACATGATTATCATTAGTGAAACTCCCGGTGAGCCTACTGGAGCCATTGGTGTTTTGACATTAGAGGATGTCATAGAGGAATTGATTGGAGAAGAAATTGTTGATGAATCGGATGTTTACATTGATATCAACAAAAACATCAAAAGAACACAACCTGGTCCGTTGTCCAAAAGACATCTTACCTCCTATTTGCACAATTTGTATCAAAGAAGTGCTACTGCTTCAAAAAGAAACTCGTTAGATTCACAAGACCCGCCACCAGATTTACGATCGAGATTGGAAAGACAAGGTAGTCAAGCCACTGTTATTGATTCCACACCAAATAATAGAGCTGGAAAGAAGCACACTCAAGAGAGAACTAGTATGGAAGTGGGTGCTCCTTCTGGTGTTGTTGCTGGTGGTGGTGTTGCTGCTGCTGCTGCTGCTGGAGCTAAATGGAAGATTCAGAATCCCGCTATGGATCCATTACTGACAAACAGGTCGTTTGTTACTATCAAAAAGCCGGATCAAGGAAGAATCGAATCGATGGCAAAAGCAGCATCCCCGGCGCCTCTTGTAGGCCAAGTACACCGAACTGAAACAGGAGCGCTAAAAGAGGCAGAAAGACGAGAAACTGCTAAGGAAAAGAAAGAGAGAAAGATGTCTAATGGTTCTTCTAGGTTTTTGTTGCCCAATGAAAGAGAAGCTGATGTATCGGATGGTACTGCTGCTGTCAATATCCCTATACCGAATGGGTCAAGAGCAAATGGAGATGTTACCATGGAGCTCCAGGAATCTCGATCCTATAGAACTGGTGGAATTACTGAGCTGGTGGTCAATGTTGATGGCCTCAGTAAGACCATCATCAACGATGAAGGTAATGAAGAAAGCGTTTCTTTATTAAATGGAAGTGTGTAGATTTTCAGTTATGTTGACCTGTATGGGTAAATACATCTATATAGGCATTATTTGATATATGTTTTTGTCCTTAGCATCTTCTGCGAGTAATCAACAATTGAGTGATGCTATTATTTTTCGATTGTGATGTTGATCGGATTTAGCTGCGTTCTGGTGAAAGTGTAACTCCGGATGTGTTACGAGGAGAAGGGAGGGGGTTTTATGCGGGTAATCAGACTTGTCATTCTTCAGCGTAGTTGCTACATGTGTAGACCGTAATGGATATGCAGCTGACTATTACCGGAGGTTAAAGGACAAGTGTGCATCCCATGGGCAAGCTGTTTGCCGTTTATACCGAGGGTTGCTCTACCTCAAGGCTGCACGTGATACTCAACAAACATCTAGTTGCCGTATGATTCTTATGGTTTCGATCAAAATTGTTTCTCTGGGTAGAGCAAGCTGATGGCGCGGGAGGGGAGAGAGAGAGAGAGAGAGAGAGAGAGCTGATGTATAGGCATATATATGTATAAATCACAATTTGGAAGGTGGAAGTATTGGACACTCTCTAGCCCCTTAGTGTCAACTCATTTGTGACATTTTGATATTTTGAAATTTTGAAACAAAATCGTTGTCAAAAAAATCCGGCAAAGCCAGAAACATACGACAGAGTGATCATCCACCATAGACGTCAGCTCCACTTTCCATTTGATTCCAAGCTCATGTCACAGTTGCTATTCACAAAAGACAATTAACAGTACAAAATCATAGCTTCGTTTCGAAAATACACTTGACAAATCTTTTCACTGAAAAGAAGACACTTTCCCCACTCCACTGATCCAGAGCCAACAATTTCATTAAATCTTGCATTTCTTCTTCCCCCTCCCCCTCTCTGACGAATGCCATTTAAAAACATATTCAACTCATCTTCAACTTCGTTGAATGATCAGCAATCAGTCTCGTCTCACAGATCATTTCTTAAACTGCTGAAGAATACTAATTCACGGCTGGTTACACCTATCTCGACTGCTAGTTCGGTCGCTTCTAAACGGGATGGTGGTGATGCTAATGTAAATGCAGCCAGTGGGAGTAGGATTTCTCCACAACCACCACAGGGACAAAACAACACTACAGTTCAGCAGCAGCAGCAGCAACAACAACATCATCATCATCATCATGGTGGCATGCATCATCACAAGGACAATCTGCATCGCAATAGTCCGTTTTCGAACCATTCTTCAAAGACCCACTCGCCTTCGTCTTCAAACAGTGATACGTCCTCCAATAACAAGGAAGGAGGTGGTCCATTGAAGCGTTTTCTCAAAAAGTTTAAACCCAGTGGAACTACTCATAAACAATCCAAACATGCTGGCAGGCCAGAACCTATCGACCATGCTGCTCAATTGTTTCACAGTTACGGATTGCCGGGTAAATTATTAGGTACTGGGGCTAGTGGATCGGTTAACTTGCTCACGTCAAAAACTGATCCTAGTAAGATATATGCTGTGAAGAAATTTAGAAGCAGGTTACCCAATGAGCAAGAATCGGATTATACAATCAAGGTACAGAATGAATACAAGGTCGGTGAATATCTCCATCATCAAAATATCATCCATACATACGAATTGATTAAAGATTATTCAAAAGTTGGTGGTAAAGTTATTGATCCAGATTACTACATTGTTATGGAATACTGTCCTTATGATTTTTTCAATTTAGTAATGAGTGGACTAATGAAGGAGAATGAAATCAACTGCTATTTCAAACAAATTGTACAAGGCGTCCATTTCTTGCATGAAAACGGATTGGCACATCGTGATTTGAAGTTGGACAATTGTGTGGTAAACACCAGCGGCATTTTAAAATTGATAGATTTTGGATCCGCGGTACAGTTTGAGAAAGAAGTGCCCAATGGCTATTATGTTACTGAGCATGATACCATGTTGGATTCGAACCATAAATTGATTTACGCTAGAGGTGTGGTTGGATCGGACCCCTATTTATCTCCCGAGGTGTTTGAACCCATGGGGTTGGGAAATGGATATGACCCAAGAACAGCTGACGTTTGGTCCATTGCCATCATATATTGCTGTATGATTTTGAAGCGGTTTCCTTGGAAATTACCCAAATTGAGTGACCCTTCATATAGGTCATTTGCCGGACCTCAATTGAACCCTACTGCCAACCTGATTGAAAATGATATGAACAGTATGCATATCGATCAACAACAAACGCAGCAACAACAACTACAGGACAGGCATGCGCATCATGGACCTCAAGGGCCAGAAAAGTTGTTTCGTTTGCTACCAGCGGATTCTCGTAACCTAATAAAAGGTATGTTGATCTTGGATCCCAAACAGCGGTACTTGATGTCTGATGTGGCAAAGGATCCGTTTTTGCAGAGTATCAGAGAATGTAAAGTGATTGGCGATCGTAACGACCAGCACACAGTGTCAAGCGACAATCATACGCATCATTTGGTGACGGAGGAGGATTTGAAAAAAATTGAACAAGAAAAAGAACGATCGAAAAAGTTGAGAGAAGCGGGAATGGGATAGAAGAAAAAGTGTGTGTGTGTGTGTGTGTAGGGGTGTAGGTGTAGTTGTAGGTATGGACGGGTGACTTGATGTCTAGAGTATAATCAGAGAAAAATTGATCTCATTCGGTTATCTCTTTCCTCTTCTGGTGCAACGGAAAACAAAAATACTTTGTGATCACCAAACATTGATTGACTTTACTGACGTTTTGACATCTTCTCCACCAAGAACAAGCTCACCATACCGGCCCTTTTTCAAATATGTCCCCACTACAGCTCACCAATTTTAACATTGACGATGGGTCGATCCTACCGCGTTGGGTCATCACCATATCCTTTTACTCATCACTAACGTCTGCATTTATAATCTCAATAAGCATTGTACTCCATCTCCTCAACTATCGCAAGCCATTCCAACAACGACTCATGATTCGAATACAGTTGATCGTGCCATTATTTGCTCTAAGTTGCTACTCCATGTTAATCAACCAAACATCGATATTCAATCGGTTCCTATTGGAGCCCGTGCGGGAAATATACGAGGCCTTTGTCATTTACACGTTTTTCTCCTTATTGACTGATATGTTGGGTGGTGAACGGAATATCATCATTATGACCAGCGGGAGGAAACCTGTGCCCCACCCAGGGATGATGCGATATGTCTTGTCTCCCTTGGATATATCTGACCCAAAAACATTTTTGCTGATTAAACGAGGTATATTGCAGTATGTGTGGTTAAAGCCTTGTATATGTTTTGGTACCTTGTTTTTTGAATTTATGGGATGGTACAATGTCAATGATATGAGTTTGAAGTCGATTTATTTGTGGATGACGTTGATTTACAATGCCAGTGTTACGTTGTCATTGTACAGTTTGGCGATATTTTGGAAAATCTTGTGGGATGATTTGAAACCTTTTAAACCAGTGGGGAAGTTTCTCTGTGTGAAGTTGATTATTTTTGCGTCTTATTGGCAAGGGGTGATTTTGGCAATACTCAATTTCTTTCAGGTTCTTCCTGGAAGCGAAAACAATACCGGTGGAGACGGTAGCAGTGGTGGCGGTGAGAGTATTGGTGTCGGTATACAAAATGCATTGCTTTGTGTTGAATTGATTGCGTTTGCCATTGGCCATTGGTACTCGTTTTCGTACTTCCCGTTCACAATCTCGCAATTGCCATGGGGACGATACAAGTTTTACTATGCTTTAAAGGATTGGTTAGGTTTCAAGGATTTGCTTATTGACTTCCGCAAGACATTCAAAGGTGACCATTATAAGGATTATCGACAATTTGACTCTGTCGAGGCAGTTGTAGCGCATCCGGAATCGAAGGGAAGAATGAGCCGGATACATCAGGGATTACGGTACCATTATGATGGCAAACACAAGCATTGGCTACCTGATAACCTGAGTTTACACAATGGAAACAATGGGCATAATGTGCCCAGTACTTCTGAAATCCACGCTTTGGACAATGCATCATTGTTGTCGAATAATACATCAATGAGGGCCATGTATCCCCAATCTCCCACCACGTCACCACCCGGTTCACCCTCAATTGGAAGCGATACTGACGAGAATACAAGCTTGGACGGAGTAGCAGCAGGTGCTGCTGCAAATGCGCCTACACTTGAAACTACGATAATACTGGATATTATCCACTCCGACTCCATACTTTCGACAATTGATTATACACAAGAGCAATTTGACCGCGATGAGCTGATTTACGAAGGGGCCATACATGAAGTGGGCAACTATGCATTGGAGGATGATGATGTGAAGCGACTTTTGAATTACCCCATTGTCGATGGTGTTTTGGATAGTCATGTGTATGGGTACAAGGTGCAAAAGTTGCGGCAACGGCAGGATTTGCGTAAGCTGAAGCAACGCAAAGAGTCAATTTTGCAGCTGAATCAAAGTTATCGATATGGAAGCATCGTATAGGGGTCAGAATTCCACTTTCTAAAGAGATGGAGAGTGTGTCTTAGTGAAGGGTTGTGTGTTTAGGTGCTATGTCATTCCTACTATGTACAAATTTATTTAATCCTCGATTTTGAACAGGTATAATGCATCAAGATCTTCTTCGTCTTCTGCTTTCAGTTTGGACTTTACTTCGTTAGTTCTGGGTTTTTTCTTCTTCTGGCTCTTTGCCACTTCATCCACTTGCAGTTTCTCTACTGTCTCCTTTACAGGCAGCAGTGCAGTGGGCGTAATTGAATAAACAACCTTGCTTTCAACATCACCTTCCATTGTCCACTTACAGTCCAACGAATTCAAAATCTCTTCCAACGACAGCTTCACTTTGTCCCTTCTTTTCAACTCTATTTCCATCATCTCATCCACTGATTCATCAGAGTTGTTGTTTCTGAAAATATCGGTGATTTTCAAATTGGGTGACTTTTTATTATGGATCAAATAAATGACAATTTTCGACTTTTCCTTACGTAAACGATTATCGATTTCCACTTTCTTTTGATTAGTCAAGTCATTCAAACTGATGGACCATTTAATCATGATCTGTTTCTCACTTGATTTCTTTTGCTTAGCACGTAACTTGTTGTCTAAGGCTTTAATGGTTTTTTTGGATCCCATGGTAAGTAGTTCCAATTCTTTGGCTTCCGCTAGTTCATCGTTGTACGATTTGAGCATTTCTTGGATCTTGATTCTTTTGATCAATGGAATAGAGCCAGTTGTGGATGCTGATGCTGATGCACTGCTGTGTTTGTTGTTGTTGTTGTTGCTAGCTTCTCTTTCAATCAATTGGAGTCCGTGAATACTCAAGTCCAACCCTTCGAGAACTTGCTGAATGGAACACGTAATTAGCCCCTGTGTTGGAGACACGTATTGTACTTGTTGATTCAATGGTTGTAGTTGATGAATCCGAGAAAGGATCGATTTCAATGCATTTTGAGCAGTCTCGGAGCCAGTGTTGAAAATCTTTTGTAGATCAAATGTGTCATTAGTGTGAGTTTTCAAAGGCTTGTCTCGGCGATTATGATGCGAGTGGTTGTTGCGTACTGGTCTGTAACGATTATTCCGGTGGGAGTAGTGCTCTTGAAATCGGTTGGATGATGAAGGCTTTGATTCGGTGTTTGATGTTTTCGAAATGAATGTATTGTAGTTGTTACTGCTGTTGTTGCTGCTGCATAACTTTGTGGTGGTAGCAATAAGTCTTTTGTTTATCAGGCGTTGTTGCAAAAGTAAACGCAGATGTAGTAGTGACATTTAGTGTGTTTAACGAAATGACGTTTTGTAGAAGAGGCTATGGAGATGAATTTTTCAGTGAAGATGACAATTACACGCATATGAAGAATTCAACATTTGAGTAACGACACGACCAAGCAAAGGTCCATAGTCAGGCAACGCAATACATACCCATGCAACTGAAAGAGATAAACATACAATTGAAGGTGTTTCACATCGCCTTATCAGATTTCCTTTGCAAACGTGTGCTCCTATGTAAAACGGTGCCTTTTGATAACTAATCATAAACAAAAGCACTCATTTCTCCTCCCCCAAACTGATCTCCCCTCATCTTTGTTATTCTTATTTCCGATGTTGTTTGTGTGTAAACTGGGGGGGGGAGATGAAATTCCGAAATGCAAGTACCAGCCTCGTATGCAATAGAAGTTTTGCTCTGAATAGTTCCTTTTTGGTATTATTTTTGTATTGTTTTTGTTTTGTAGAACTGAGATTACCACTTTTGATAAAAAATGACACAGACATAGCAAGAGCACAACAAACCCAATAGATGGCGCCTCTTTTAAGATTATGACTGTGCTAGAGGGAGAAGAAACAGCTTGGAAGTTTTGATATTCTCCATCTCGTCACATTGATATTGCTGGAGTTATTGTTTGGCTTTGTGCAACATTTCTCTATTTTTGTTTTTTTGCAAGTTTTGTGTAATGAGAGAACAAATTTTGACTTTTTTCAACAGGCACGGCACTAACAATGCACACCTATTGTGTTAGTCATGTTTATCTGAAAATTGATGTGAGTGGAGAGGACTAATGAGAGAGTAAGAGACGTGGTGGTAAATGGGTTTCACCTAGCTCAGGATGCTCCAAACTTTTATTATATTTTCTAAATATAGTCCTGCTATATAAATACAAAAAACTTACATGATGATGTTCTTGTCTAAAAAGTTGTAATCCAATGCAATATTGTCAATAATGTCCCTTGCACTTATGATATAGTTGAAAGATACACGACGGCCATGTCTGTCAACTTTTGAAGCGCTTGTAGTAGTAGTAGTAGTAGTAGTGGTAGTAGTGGTAGTAGCTATTCTTGTTATGGTAGTTGCTGTTTTTAGTGAGTTTTTGAGAATGGGTTTCAATTGTTGTGCCTTTGGTACTTGTGATTGTGGTGGGTCCATTTCAAATAGTGACGATGAAGTTGAATCCTTTCTTGAAGCAAGGCTGAAGTTCGAATCAATCGACATGTCATCAGCATAATCACCATCGTCCATACCTTCCTCTTCCGCCAACCTGTCTTCGTCGTCATCAGTGAACACCGCCTCTTCATTATCGGCAAACATTGACTCCAATACAAACGGCTCATTCTTTGACTTATTGCTGCTCTCCTTTGTGGTTTCTGTTTTCAACTGGATTGAAATCTCACTCGTGGAGTTGTCAGATGTTGTGACTTTTGGCGCATACAACCAATTCACATCAGATTGTTTGTCCCAATTGATGTTGAATGGGTTTATGGTATGTAGTTTGTGGTGATTTTTCCAAATTCTTCTCCAGCATGAGTTTTCTAGTCTTTGGTAGTAGAATTCGTTTTGATTAATGTTTGGGTTTGCTTTGATGAACTTTAGAAAGTTTGTCAAGTTGGTGTTGTCACTTAGGTAGCTGTTGCTGTTGCTGCTGCTGCTGCTGCTGCTGTTATCTTTAAGGTTTATGCTGTTATTCTGGTGATGATACGGACTGTTGTGGTCTGGTTGTTGGTGGTGTGGAACATACTCCAAGTAGTCGACATTTGAGTCGTACTTGAATCTGTGGTAGTAGTGATAGTTGTAGTTGTAGGAGTCGTCCATGTTGAAAGTCACCTAATCTTTGATAAAGGAAGATACTTGTGGTTGTAATAACTACAGTGGGTGTAAATGCTTTTATATATATATATATGTGAAATCAGAGTATTTTTCAGATATTGTTACTCTTCACACAAAAGAACATAAAGTGCCGTACAGTCGTAGAAGTAATTACAATCTTTGTCTTAGTCATTGGAAATAATATTATGTACCATTGGTTATATATTTCCTTATACGCATAATCACACAAACACAAAAGAAATAAATTAAAATTGAAAACAAATTGTCACATAAAGCATTAGAAGAACAAAAAGTTAAATAATAATTAAATTTTATTCTAAATAAAACCAACCCACAAAAGGCAAAGAAACAACAAGAGACGCCTGTGTGTAACTTCAGCTGCAACACATGCACTAATGCAAACACTGTCATACAGAGTACTACTACTGCTGTAACACCACTGCTGTTGTTGGTGTTGTTGCTGTTGAAAAGAAGTTGGTAGCTAATACTCTTCTCACCGTTTCATCTTCTATCTGTATAATAGCGCCATTAAAATAAAATGCATCCAAACAGTACTACTCAAGATCTCCCCCTGTTTATTCCTTCCCCCATTCACTCTACATTTAGTTTCCACAATAAGTAACAGTCGTCTTTTTCGTCCGTTTATTAAACGCCAGATAAAAGAAAAACAAAGACAATAGAAGGAAATTGGTTAGAAGACAGCCTCCTCCACTTTGTTTGTCACTAGTTTCCGGGAGTCCTCCCTTCAACATGCATGCACATTTCCACCTCTCTACTAAAATAAAAAAGAAGAATAACAACAATACTAAATGGTACACAAAGTAGCAAAGAAGAAATACTTATGCAGAAGAAGAAAAGAAATATCAGAACAGGTTAAAAAGCATTTGTCATCTTACACTACCTCTCTTTCTTTTTCTTTTTTTTTCCTCACTCTATTTTGCCGTTGTTGTTTATCCCGCGACTCTACTTTATTAAACTGAAATACAACACAACCAACAAGTCAGTAGTAGCACGCTAAGCTCCATCAACATCCCGAAGGTAGTTTGGTCACCTTCTTAGTAAGTATGGTTAGTTACTTTTAAGCTACTTTTTTCTTAAAAACGGAAAGCAAACGTATCCGGATATTTTGCCCCACTGTTACATCTTGCGTAGATCTCTTTTTCCTTCCCCCTCCTCCCCTCCCCCCACACTAAAACTCAAAAATAAAAATAAAAATAAAAATAAAGAAAAATGATGAGACCAGATCTCCCTGTTTCTTCCGCAAAGAAGATTTACAAAATTACAAAGTTAAACAAAATGGTGCAGTGTCATCCACCAACAACGTACACACACACACACAATGCTACATTACATCTACTTTGTGTGTCATTGGCTACCTTTAGACACTTTATAATCGAATTATATTGTTTTTTTTTGTTTTTTTGTTTTTATTCTCCTCTTCTCTTCTCAGTCGTCCGCTTCTCGGGAACGAAACCGAATGCTCTTCCACAGAAGACTCTCCTCACCTGCATATTGTTTCTTTCTTCTTTGAGAGAAACAATACCCCCAAAGTCTCTCTCTCTCTCTCTCTCTCTCTCTACATGGACCAAAGAGATGCAAATTGCATTTTATGCAATAGGCGNTCTCTCTCTCTCTCTCTACATGGACCAAAGAGATGCAAATTGCATTTTATGCAATAGGCGGGTCATGGTTTGGTTTCACTTCCACCCTGTAATTCAATAGTAGGAAGGTGATCTAATTGGGTAATTTATCGTCAAACACATCTTCCTTTTTACACTTTTGTTTATCATTACTGTTTTAGAAGATACCCATAGAGATTGTACCGGGAACTTACTCCGATCTGATGAGTTGAGTTGAGGGGAGGAGGAGGAGAAGCTGTGCATCCTGAATGATGTAATGATCCAGATCGCAAGTTTTTCCGATATGGTGAAAAGGTACACGACAAAAAGAATTGTAAAGAGATGATGGTAAACGTTTACCGGATAAATTTCTTTTTGTAAATTACCTTTTTATTTTTTTCTTTTTCTTTTTCTGTTTTCATCATTGTTGGTGCAGAATGCACACACAACGTGGAACGCATAGATCCGAGTGGAGTGTGCATACTACGCTGAGATGGGAGAGTCCACTGTCCCTACCCACACTGCCAATGTGACTACCAAGAACAATCGTACATTTCCGACTAGGTGTTCACACTTCCTGCTTAAGCTAAGAAATTGGCAGTGTTGACTTCCTTTTCTTTGTAAGTCATGCTTGGCACACAACAACCACACAGCCATTGCATCCAATAGTACCATCTGGTTAGATTTGAAGAAAGCTGAGAAAGTAGTTTTTCCGAAAGGTGATAGAATTACGAATCGAAACCAACAAGCAGTACAAAAGTCGAAAGTATCATTTTTCCCATACACAAAGTATCAAGTGCCAAGGACTTGATAATAACAAAGCTTAGCTTTCAAAACGAGAAGGACGCCCATAAGACACAAGGAGAATTCTCCATGGTGGCTTAGCGTAAAACAATCTGCAAAAAGTGCCTCATTGCATCATGTCCTGAGTGATTGTAGAGGGGTTTGTACTTGGACCAAATGCCATTTTCTCTCTGTTCTCACTGTTCTCACTATTATCTCTTTGTGTGTGTGTGTGTGTAACAGTCATTATAAAAAAATAAGAAAAAAAAATCATTTCTAGCTGGTTCACTCTCATATACACACGGCACTTCGGGGACTTTCGCAGTAAAACTCTATTGAATGCATAAAACAACGACAAGTTTGTGCCATTTATGTAAAAATTGCCTTATCGAGTTTACTCTTTTGTTTTTTTTTTTTTTGTTCTTGTTTAATGATGGTTAGAGTTTAATCTTCACCCACAAATCGGCAATTGCACCATAAACCTGCATAGTGCAGTGCGTTCTCAAAAGAAATTCTGCGAGAACGACTCCGCCACAACCTAGTTGACACGTATACACAGCACCCTGTTTACGTCTCTATGAAAGTATGGGTCCATTTCGTGAAGTACATCCACATGTGGAATCTCCCCCGGTTGTATTTAGCCTCATGTAGTGCCTTTGCCTGTTGTCTTTTTTTATTTTTAATTTTTAATTTTTCTGTCGCTAAAATATTGTTCCGGTTTCTCTACCACAATGCTCCCCGCCTTGGGTTCGTAACCGTCGCCTCGATTCACCCTTCTTCACTTCTCCTCCTCCTCGCATTTGAAACTATGTTTACTGGTCTTCTTTTTCCGCTTCAGTTTGATTTTGGAATCCCGCCCTTCCCCCTTCACCCCCACTTTTTACGTTGCCTTGCTTTATCTCACGTGTAGAACTTGAACTTGAACTTGTTCCATTGCCAAACATAAAAAAAAAAATTGAGGATGAAAGACAGACTTTGTGAGCGCAAGTTTTCTCTCTGTATATACGTGGAGCAATGCAAATCACATTCCACAGCCAAACGGTGGTTATAAATATTGGTCTTATTGGGGTACATATAAGAAAACACAATCCTATCTTCTGTCAATCCTTCAAAGTTCTCATACGATGTATTCTCTTCGGGAGTCATCTTTGTCTCCCTAAACCGGATGCGTTCATGTTAGATATGCCAGTACACTGTAAAATACAAGCAAGTAACAATACGCAGATTGCCAGTTATAAAACTTATATTTTGACGACTTGGAGAGTTTCCAACTATATAACACCACTACAGAAACACCGATAAAGTTTGATTCGGGTCGATGTAGAAAAGCAACCTGCACAACCGTCGATTGCAAAAATGCAAAACAGACCTCGGTGATTCGCCAAGAGACCTTGCAATTGTTGCAGTTGAAGTGAATCAAATCTTTGCAATGCCTTCCTATCAGTTGATCGCTTGATAGAATTGCTAATCATACTTTGCAAGGACAATACATTTTTGCAACCTTCCGTTTTATTCCCGCATACTAGTGCGGCACCAAATACGGCCCATAATAGAAAAAGATCCCAACCACAGTAATTGGTGCAGGCGCGTTTTATTTTTCCACAATTTTTCAAAATTTCTCATCGTACATAGAACAACACTTTCAAGTGACAACCAAGTGTCAAGCTCCAAAGCTCGAACCATGGCACAGTCAAATAACGGTAATTCTGCTTTTCAGAACCATGATAACAACTTGCAACAACCAGACATCAATTCGGTGCATTCACCATCTCCATCTCAATCTTATAGAGCACCAAACCCTACAGAGTCAAGTCCTCCTCATTCTTCATCACACCGACCCCTGGATTCCGCAGCGCAGCCTCGTCCGTCGATGCCATCGTTTAATTCGCACGAGTCAAATGGATCAAACCCTCAAAGTTATGATGAGCTGATATCGCAACTAAACAATACCCAATCAAACATTGATTTGAAAACTATTGGTAAGCATTTGGTTAGCCCTGAAGAGAGTTTGAAGCAACCAGGTGGAGACATTACAAGGAGGATATACCACCAAATGGAGAATGTGGCTGATGATTCGCACCCAAATGGTATCAATATTCACAACCCAAAAAGACGCACCCGAAGTACTTCGTTTCTGCAGTATTTGGATGAAACTAGACGTGGATCAACTGCAAGCGATATAAATGTGCCTGGAGGGTTCAGAAGAGAATTTATCATTCAAAACTCGCTAAAGAAGAACCAGGAACCACCTAATTTCTTGACTCAAAATTTTATGGAGTTTTTAAGCATGTATGGACACTATGCTGGAGAAGACTTTACCGACGATGAAGACGGTAAAGACGGTGATGATGATGATGATGATGATGATGATAATGATGAAACTGAACAGATGGATAGGGGCACTGATGCGTCGCGAGATTCAAGTTCAAATTATGAAGATGTGTTTGATGAGGAGTCAAGCTTGTTGGGGAATCAAAGACGCTATGGAGCAGCAACGCATCAAATGCCTAAGCAATTGCCTAAAAGGCGTAAACAACCAAAAGGCACGGCATCCGTGGCCAAGACTTTCTTTTTGGTATTTAAAGCACTTGTTGGATCCGGAGTGTTGTTTTTACCGCGGGCTTTCTATAATGGTGGTTTGTCCTTCTCCATTGTCACATTGAGCACATTTGGATTACTCACTTATTTTTGCTATGTTGTTCTCATTCAATCGAAAGAGATTTTAAAGTTGGCGTCATATGGAGAATTGGGATACAAAACGTATGGCAAACCAATGAGGTACGCCATCTTGGTGTCTATTGTGCTAAGCCAGGTTGGATTTGTGGCCACTTATATCTTGTTCACATCCGAAAACTTGATTGCGTTTCTAGGGTATTGGACGGATCAACCAAAATGGCTAACCCGTGCCAATGCCGTTGTCGTGCAATGTTTATTGTTGATCCCCTTGGTTTGGATTAGGAATTTGACCAAGTTATCATTGGTCTCGCTTGTCTCCTCGGTCTTTATTGTCATTGGACTATTCATCATCTTTTGGTTCACTGGCTGGAAGATTTATCTCGACGGTGTTGGACCAAACATTGCCAATTTCAATTCCAATAGTTGGACAATGTTGATCGGGGTTGCTGTTACTTCTTTTGAAGGAATTGGGTTGATCCTCCCGATTGAAGCATCAATGGCACAACCAGAAAAATTCCCCATGGTCTTGTCAGTTAGTATGTTTGTTATCACGGCGATTTTTGTTTCCATTGGGGCCGTGGGTTATACTGCATTTGGTGATAAAATCAAGTCAATTATAATATTGAATTTACCCCAGAGCAATGTTGCTGTACAGTCGATTTTGGTATTGTACTCAGTGGCAGTTTTCTTGTCGGGCCCATTGCAGTTGTTCCCGGCAATCAAAATAGGTGAATCTTTGCTATTTCGACATAAGGGGAAATCAGGGTCAAAAGACAAGGATGGGAAATTGTACCACCATTCGGGCAAATACAATCCACAAGTCAAATGGTTAAAGAATATATTCCGTTCTGTCGCGGTTGTTGCTGTCTGCTTCATTGCTTACTTGAACGCTGATAACATTGACAAGTTTGTGTCGTTCAATGGATGTTTTGCATGTATCCCATTGGTGTATATCTATCCTCCATTGATTCATTTGAGGACAGTTGGTAAAAAAATTGAAAAATCAAGATTGGATAGGATTCTACCAATATGTGACTACGTATTGATTGTTGTTGGAATAGCCACTGTGATCTACTCCACCTATCAAATTGTGTTTTTAAACTGAAGCCACCGTCAGTTTCAATTAAATTTTATTTTAGAGTTATATAGATTATACATGCCTACGTAGATTTCCTTTTTGTTTATGAAGTCCTGGGTCTATGGTAGCGAACTCGACGGAGTTTTTCTTTTTTTTTGCAATGAACGAGAAACATAAAACAATCACAATGTTCCCCACCTGGCATAGCATCCCCAATTGTTTTGGTTTCTTCACCAACAATGCCAGCAGAAAAGAAGCGGAAAGTGGATGTCAAGAAGGAAAGCACTTCAGAGGAGACCAACACATCTTCCCCAACCTCCACCGAAACAGTGCCAACACCACGCAAGAAATTAAGCTGCCAGCGCTGTCGTTCACGCAAGATTAAATGCGATGGAAACAGTCCTTGTCTGGCATGTCTCAAATCTTCTTCCGAGTGTGCTCCAACTGTTCGTGATTTACGAAAGAAACGTATTCCGCTCACATATGTCCAGAAACTAGAGACCCAAGTGGCTGACGTCAAGAAATTTATCTCCGATTTAAAGTCATTGGAAATAGGAAAGCAGCTTGAAAAATTGAAGGAGACTGACTTGGTTGATTTGATAAAGGATTTTCCGGAACCACCTGCTTCCCCCAGGGTCCCTGGTCAAGATTTGCATGAGGATGTAGAGGAAAATAAAGTCATTTATGGTCCAACATCAGTTTATGATAACCACATCGTTGACGGTAGCGAGCGTACACCAAAAAGAGAGAATGAGGTTGCCATAATCAACAAATTGAACAAAGATCCAGACATTATCAAATGTATTCAACTATTCTTTACCTGGCAGTATCCTGACCACAATATGTTTATCTTTCGTGAGGCTTTCTTGATTGACTTTTTTGATCCGAAACCCACAAGCATATACTGTTCAAAGACATTGATTTTAAGTGTTTGTGCTCTTGGAGCAAGGATGTCCGATGAAGATAGAATCTACCGTCGATCAAAGCAATTTTATCAAGAGCTGAAGTCGATCTTGCTTAGCACACTTAGTCAGCCGTCGATAGCGTCGCTCCAAAGCTTTATGGTGCTCGCATTCTTTGATATTTGTAACGGTCTGAACTCAAGTGGGTGGATGCTTCTGGGTAATGCAATGAGGATGGGGTTCGATATCGGATTCCAATTGGACCCAAAAGTATGGTTTGTCAAACTCAAGGAAAGTTTGAACCCATTGGATGTTGAGATTAGATCACGAATATATTGGGGGTGCTACATGGCTGATCACTTCATCAGCTTGGTCTTGGGTCGACCTTCAATCTTGAAAATGGCTGATTCTTCAATCCCAGAAACTGCTGATTTGCCTGATTTGGAATGGATTGAGAATTTTACTTATGATGGATATATCAGAAAGAAAAGAGGTATAGCTGCATCCAAATCCCCAACGGTTTCATACATTGGCGACCCATTGAATCAAATAATCAACTTGATAAACATTTCTGATAACATGTTGAATGATATTTTTACAAAGTCGGATGTTGAAAATGATCAAACTAATGATGAAGAATTGGATTTGGCATCGAGATTGGACAAGTTATTTGCGTATAATGCTCAAATCATGCAGTGGAAGCAGAACCTACCACTGGATCTACAATGGGATAAGGATTCATTGGCGAGTAGCGGAGAAAATCCTACATATTCAGGTATCCGTTACTACTATTACATATTACTACTTTGCTTAAATCGACCGTTTGTTGGTCTTGAATCTGAAAAGCTTACCGATAACCAACTATCTCCATTGACTATATGTCTAAACGTTATTGAAGATCTTTATGTGTCGATTCAGCGATTTGAACAGTTCCATGGATACAGGCGAGCATCAATTTTCATTGTTTACTCATCAATCTTGTCAATCTCTATAATATTGTTGACCAATTCGAGTTTAGCTCTGGTCAACAAGCACGGAGAACGATTGCAATTTTTCATGTCGGTTTTGCATGGGGCATCGAAGACTTGGAAGCTAGCCGAAAGGTCATACAACCTCATCAAGAAGAAATTGAAACATCGATATCCCACTACTTCCGCCACCACCACTGACTCAAAGAACCCCACAACTGCAACAACAACTGCAACAACAACTGCAACAACAACTGCAACAACTGCAGCAACAACTGCAACAACTGCAACAAAAGCAACAAAAGCAACAACAACTGCAGCAACAGCAACGACATCTGATGGAGATGCAACAACTACTGACAGTAGAAACAACGAATCGTCAGTTCCTATAGTCAGGGAAATTCCACTGCTCAAGGAATCGCCCATGTCTAGTGTTGATTCGCTGAATTTTGGCAATACTGATGTGTTGCTCGATGACAACATTGATTTCCTTGGTGGTCCTCCAGTTCTTATGACATCTGACTTATTTAATGAAGATTGGGAAGCACTATTCCCAGATTACATATTCCATAGTAAGAATTAGATTTAGATCATACAATCAAGAAGCTATTAAAAGACTTGAGAGCTTGTGAATTTGATAGGAGTATCTAGGAGGAGATTGGGGGTGGGGATGCTTATAATCTTGGTCGCGTAGTTTTTGTGTAAAGAATTCTTTTTTTTCTTTTTTCTTCAAATAACGAAGCGGTAATGAGCTTTCTGTATCTATCAGATCAGAATTCAATTTATCTCAACTACTCACACAGCTACAAATACTTAACCATCATTAGCCTTGGATGATTTTTCAGCTTGTTTCACCAAATTTTCTGGAGCGTCAAGAGTATCCAATTTGAGTTCAATCAACCTTGTTTTATTGTTCTTTGCAAATTCTGCGTCATTAAACAAGTCTGTAATCTCTTTGATATTCTCTGCTTTGTGTGACTCAATGTTTTTACCTTTGAACACCTTTAACAATTCTGTGTTTTCCCATTCTTGGATATCATTGTACACGGCAGTCTTTCCATGGATCAAACGTTCAATTGTGAACCCATTGTTGTTTAAAACAAAGATGTAGATATTGTTATGATGTCTCACCATGGTAGAGAGCTCTTGTACTGTCAATTGCAATGAACCATCACCAACAAACAAAATGACTCTTCTATTTGGGTCAACTTCTTCAGCAGCAATAACGGCTCCTGAAGCAGCACCAACTGAGTATCCAATAGACCCCCACAACACTTGACTGATACCAACGGACCCCTTTGGAAACCTTGTTTGAACAATTCCGAAATTGGAAGTTCCAGTTTCAGTCACAATCACATCATCTTCTCTCAACCATGAGCCCAAGTTAGACCAAAGCCAAGCTTGAGTAATCTTGTGGTCACCTGGTAATTTAATTGGTGGCATTTGATCCACATCAAAAGATGGCGGTTTGTGATTGGCTGTAACTTTTTTCAACTCAGGAGACGAAATCAATGCTTTGAGCAACTCCTTCATTCTGATATTTGGATATTGAGCATTCCTGATCTTAGTGTAGTCTGAATGGAACTCAACAATCTTTGAAGTATCCAACGAGTAAGAAAAAGATCCAGTGTTGAAATCTGATAAAATGGCACCGAGCGACAAAACCAAATCGGATTCTTCAACCAACTCTTTGGTTTTGGGATACGACAAATCACCAACATAAACACCAACAAATTTGGGATCATTTTCGTCAATATCCCTTGCTCCCTTTGCCATGGGGGTAACAGCAAACTTGAAGTTAGTCAATTGAATCAATTTGTTGGCTTCAAAGGTGGCATTGTGTCTACCGCAACAAGCATCAATAACAACAACTGGGTTCTTAGACTTGGAAATCAATTCTAGAATGAGACCCAACACCTCTTCTTGAACCGTTGGATCATTTGGAGGTGGCTTCAAGTCCAATGGTTTTTCCAATCTACTAGCTGGTACTTTTACATTGACCAAATTGGATGGGAAGCCCAAATAAGTAGGTCTTTGGTTAACAAAGGCAGATTCGATAACCCTATCAACTTCATCTGCGGCGTGGACTGGGTCGTCCAAAACTGCGGTGGTTTTACTAACAAAGGATGAGATCTTGTGGAAGACGGTGAAATCACCATTTCCTAAGGTATGGTGCAATAACAACTCCTCCTTTTGAGACTCGATAGATGGAATACCAACGACATGCACTAACCCAACGTGCTCGGAGTATGCTCCGGCAATTGCATTTAGTGCGGAAAGTTCTCCAACACCAAATGTGGTAACAAGACAACCAATAGCTGATCCTTCTGGTGTGAGGGAGTTTTTGATTCGTGAATATCCATCGGCTGCATATCCGGCATTTAATTCATTGACACTTCCAACCCACTTCATTCCCTTAACATCATCGATCTTATCTAACAAAGCCAAATTGAAATCTCCAGGTACACCAAAGATGTTTTTGACATCAACTGGCTTTTGATTGAGCCTCGCGAACAAGTAATGGCCTAATGAAATTGTTTCTTCTGGCATTGTGTATGTAGTAATCTCTGAGGAGGGATCTCTCTAATTGAAAAGGGTACGTGTTATTCTAGGCAGTATTTATAGTATAAATCTCCATAGGAGCCGAGGTGGTTACAAAAACGGAATTTCTTTTAAAAAAAAAAAAGAAAATTGTTATAGTTGCTATCACAAATGCTTTGATTGACGGGAGGGGGGGGGAGGGCGGCAAACACCTATGCACGGGTTTAGTTTTTTTTATTTTTACGTCTTTTCTTTTTTTTGGGAAACTGTTGGGTGGACATGGCGAAGAACTATTGCTCTTCTACTGAATGTGGAACAACACGTTCAACTTAGAACAAGGTCCTCTATCTTGGCCGGATCTTACAACGCAGGTTAAAAACACACACAAAATCGAAATGGAAATGAACGGAACTTTATGAATAACTGGTGTCACCTTTTGTACCTGACAGCTGATAACAAGCACTTCATTTTGAGGAGGAAGTGTTGGCCGTGAGTTGCAAGCATGGTCAGCGCACCTTAGCTCACATTGGCTAGAATTGTAAGTATCCATTCAATAGATACCTGACTTGGATAATTAATTATGAAGTCGTACCTTTATCCTCTCTCTCCCTCAGCACCTTCAAAATCATCTCAGTGTAGTCCCTAGATACAATTCGTTGCTCTTTTCTCTAGTCTGGCTTAAACTATCAAATTCATCACCACTTTACTCGTAGGCACAGCATTTTCTACTTTCGTTTCTATAAGGTGCAAACAAACTGCAAGAAAGGAAAAAAAAAAACAAAAAAACAAAAAAAACAAGAAAATAATTGTGGTGTATCAACGACAACTCAAGCCCTATCCACCAATTGTTAGTTTAAAGTTTCCCCCTCTTTAAGAGGAAACATTCAAACTGCTTGATAAAACAAAAATTAACAAAAAGAAAACGACAAATTCGTTTGATTTTGCCCAGGATCGAACTGGGGACGTTGTGCGTGTTAAGCACATGCCATAACCAACTAGACCACAAAACCAAAAGAGAATCGCATGATTCTGCCCAGGATCGAACTGGGGACGTTATGCGTGTTAAGCATATGCCATAACCAACTAGACCACAGAACCACTTTTTCACGACCTGAAAATTTTTGTAGCATGGCAATTCTGACAGAAATAGGTCAAAATATGGACCAAAATGTGGGTTGAAAACGGCAGTTTCTGTATTTGGTAGGTTCAACTGTGGTTCAGAAGTGCTTTAGATGCTATAATTATATGTTTGTTTGCTTTTTTTTCACTCGGTGTTTCTAGACGTGGAAGCAAGTTCAAAATTCTGCATTGTTGCAAAAAATTTTTTGCAGAAATTTCAATTAAAAAAGTTAGTTTTATAGGTTTACTGCTGTAACTATGTACAATTTACTCACCCTCAGTCCATAACTCTTCATCAACAAAATAGAGCCACGAGAAAGTGTTCCAGCTGCTTATCACACCTATGCTGCAGTAGACACTGTATATCATCAAATTCAAGAACTCGAATTTCTTCAAAATCGAAAACATGTTCAGCAACATGTCAGTGACACTGGTGACTGAAACGACAAAGATGAAAATTAGGACATACAAATTAACCAATCTGTCGATTATGGACCCGCTTGTCTTTTTCGGTACTCGGGTAACTTTTCTAAAATTGAAATAGAAAATAATGTACCAAAGTAATGTGTAAAGGATCTTCACCAACCATTCGTTACAGGTGTAAATGAGTGGGAATAATGATCCATAACCACAAGCAACGAGTAGGTTGTATACGGGTAACAATCTCTTGTCACGAGACACAATCAAGGTCAAGGGGAAAATAACAAGCAAAATGGCCTTTTCATGTACATGCCACCCAAATAGAAACGAGGCATACCCACATAATGTCATCGCTCCAATGAACCTGCGGTAAGTTGGTTGAAAGAATAACGGAATGAGGGCCATTACCTGGTAAAATAGGGTCAATAAAAACGTAAGTTTTGGGGTGATTTCAGGAAGGATGAAAAACTCAATGTTACCAACTATTCCTCTTGTTGATGTTTGCAACAAGTCATCTTGGCTCAACAAACCTTCATTGAATTGAAACACACGTCTTAGCAAAAATCGCGATACCGGGATCCTTTTATAGATTTGAATCAAGACTCTATCGAAAAAGGAGTACAAAGCCCACATGTTAGGTGCCCAATAGGCATGTGTAAGACCACGACTGAATGGAAATAATCTGTTCACCAATTGTGGCAAGGTGCTGTAAAATGGCAAAAACGCAACAGCAAACACGGAAATCACCACACCACCAAGCTTGACTGTATTTTCCCACTGCACGATTCTGACCAAGTTGGCAAAGGCATTGCGTTTCTTGCTCCAACTAAACTTCAAACAGTAAGCACGTAGTAAAAACACAAATACTGCTGGCGCCAAGTACAAGTAGATATGTTTGAAGCAAAGCAAAACTGCAAACCAAAATCCACACAATAAATACCTTTCCAAACGAGCACTGTTCAAACAAAGCAACAATATCCCATACATCATCCCATTGTATTGGAAATGTATATGATCAATCAACATCAAACCTGGCGACAAAGCGAGACTGGCAGTTGCAACGTACATTCGTCTTCGAAGTGCATGCGTGGAAGAAGTATCGATTATCCACTGCAAAGCCACAAACAAGACCACCTCACTCAAAATGACTGTGGCTCTTTGGAAATATACAGTGGGCAACCCATACTGACCTGTCTCCACAATATCCAAACATCCATCCTTGGCCACTACCGGCGGCACAAATTGCGATAATGCCCACTCAAAAAATGCAAAGAATGGCGGGTAGTCTAATGTCCATTGTGAAGTGTTTTCTGTATACCATTGAGATAGTGGGAGCTTGTTGGTGATGGCTAGCCAATTTCGGTGTACATCAAAGTCGGTAGAGTGGTACCCCACCATTAATAGGAGTTTCATGGCAAGTGAAACCACCCATATATTGAATAGCGAGTACCTCTTCAAGGATTGAGCCTCTTTTGCAGACTTGTCATGCTTGAGTGGAGTGGCCATGGCCATGCCTTTAGTATAGTGGAGATCTGGGTACAATTTCTCAGAAGAAAAAAAGAAACAAAAAAAGAAACAAAAAAATAAAAAAAAAAAAGAAAACTATAGCCGTCTCGTTAACTTTTCACCACTGATTCTATAAACCATCACCACTCTAAAGTTTGCATTATCCTATCTCTTCTAAGAAACAACTGTGTCGCCTCTTGTTCAGCTTTGACCTTGTTGAAGTAAACAGAGCAATCACGATTGACACAATTATGAGTGTATTGAGAGGCAGAAACACCCGAAGCAAACACATTTTGCAGACAGTTGCGACAAGTATTTTCAATCCCAACAATCTTTCTTTGCTTGTCGGCACAGCTCATGATCACATTCGTCACCAATTGCTGCTCATCTTGTGAACATCTCAGACAAACATACTCCCTGCCATCCAATCTGCGGTCACATACCAAGCAAGAATCACTGAACGCGCTAATAATGTTGGATCTGGTGAATTTGGGTAAATCCTTGTACCACCCTCTCACGTCAGCCCCCATCAAGTTGAAAATTCTCTCCAATGGGGGGATCAATACCCTCGTTATGTAGTATTCATAGTCCAACGTCAACGGCTCGGACGTACTCAATGTCTTAATAAAGTCTTCAGGAAACATTACTCGATCTTTGATTCTAACTTTAGTTGAGTCACGTACAACAACGTAAGGCACCCTCTCTTTGTATTGTGGCTCTTTTCTCGGATCATCTTCAACTGCCTTGCTTGCTAAGAGTGCTCCAGGTGGTAGGTATCTTTCGTCCTTGTAGTTACCATACCTCACCTCCTTTGCAAAACAGAAATCATTGATAGCAATTTTATTGTTGAATATCTTCAAAAACTGCTTTAACGTATACTGTTTCACTTTTGACAAATCCTTGGTCTCAAACAATATTCTCAATGCTTTTTCAGTTATTTTTTGCTGAGCTGGCATCCCATCTCTACGAACAGTTTCAATACCTTTGGCGTCAAACTTAGGAGCCACTTGATTCTCATATTCAAAGGAATACCCCACATACCTCTTTTTTGCAAGTAAAACACATGGATGGTACACTTTCTCAAACTTTAATTGGATGGGATCTGGGAAATGTTTGGTGATCATTGTCGCAATCTCTCGGCCCAGTTTGAATGCCTCTGCTTTTGACTTTGCTGGGAAATATACAAACAAAGAGTCAGTATCACCGTAAACAACCTTTGCTCCATATCCACCAGCCTCAATCATTTCGATTGATTTGTCTAAAATCTCTCTTCCCGTGGACACTATCGCATCGGCAATATCCGAGTTTGGCATTCTGCCGCTAAATGTCGCCGAAGTATACCCATAAGTCACATTGGCAATCAATTTCAATGCAATCTGTCGTGCATTATAAAGCTTGGTTAGTTCTGCATCATCTTTGAACAATTTCATAACAGACTTTGTCTTGATACGAATATTCAAAATTTCCTCCAACATTTTCGCCAATATCGACTTCCGTATATGACTTTTAACAAATGCAAATCCGTTTGGAGAGATATTGACAGCATCGTCTTTGGTAAACAAGTCAACTATGCCCGGAGGAAGGTTGAGATTTTTTAAATAACCAATGTTGTTCTTCTTTGGCTTGAAATTGTGTAGCTTGCCAATTAATGTTGAATAGCAGTAATTGTAAGCAATCATTATCGATGGATACAAAGATTGAAAATCTAGCACCACCAATGGTGACTTATAAAAGCTGGCCTTGGGTTCCAATATCAACGGGATACATTCAATTGGTCTCATTTCATGCACTTGGATTTTGGAGGGCGAGTTTAGCAAAACATTCTCTGTCTTGGATATTCTTGACAATATTGACTCTACCTTGTATTGGGAACCACGATAGAAATTGGAGTTGAATTCAATTCCAATCAACCTCGAATGCTCAACGTTTCTCGTTATCAACTCTTGAACCGAAATAATCTTTAATGTCAATTCTATCCTTTTCATGTAGTACGAGAGTACCACCTGCATATCCTTGAAGTTATCACTCTTTAGCCATTGTGAAAGTTGGTGAAGCAGGTACCTTGGTAGTGATCGATGTAGCAAATGATAACACACATTCTCCAATGTGTAGCTGGTCAAAGCCAACTCTGATTTCAAAATTCTCCATACGTTTAAAATGTGTCGCCCGTTAATTTCAATATTGGCGGTGTGAGTGTACCCCCATCGGTCACCAAGCTTACCGTTACTTCGATGCGTTCCTCTACTCAAGTCGCTCATGACGTTGACGCGGAAAACCTCGCGGAATCGTTCAGTAATGTAGCCCCATGACATCGAATTGACTTCATAGCCTGACAATATATCCGGATCAAAAATTTCGACAAATTCAACTAGCTTTTCCACCATTCGTTTTTCGTCATCGAATAACTCAATATATAGCCGCAGGGATTTGCTCAACCTAGAGAAGAATTCAACATCGTATTTGCTGTTGTTGAACACGAGGACCCCAGTTTTGAATTCAGAAGTAACAAACATTTCATTAGCGTCATCAAATGAATAAAATATAAACAATACAGGATCCCGCAACGGGTCAACTGCCAATTTTGAGTTTGGCGGACTAGCATGTATCTCCAAATGGAAGCTTGTCAAGTAATTGAATTCGTCTGGCTTGCGTGAAACTTTCTCTGAATTATAACTAAATTTGAAATCATGCGATTGAGTCACACCTGGTTCGATTTGAGACTTGTATTTAACCCGTTTCTTCATCTGTTTTTTTTCTTCAACCCTGAGCCATTCAGTAACAGATTCTTTGCTGGGAGGCTCGATAGTATACCCCCATGTGCGAACTTTATTTCCTACAAGATCTTTCTTACCCATTGAATTGGCCACATTCACTGCATCCAATGTGGGCACTGTCAGGGCATTTCTCACAGCAACATTCATTTTTTGATTGGCAAACACAAAAGGCTTTGCAGGTAGATCATCAGCCTTGCTGTAAAACGGATCAGGGTAATATATCTCAACCACACCCGAGTCTTGGAGGGCTTTTTTGTAACTGTCTTTCTTTAATTGATCTGGTATGACAATTTCAAATTCACATGCTCCTACTTGCATGTTCGTCAATGGCGGAGTCCCAGACGGTTGACTCGGGGTAGGCGTAAATGAAAAGTCCTCAATCGACGATAATACATCAAGACTGGGTAGCTTTGACGCCAAGTTTGGATCAGCTTTTGACCGATTTTGTGTCATTGATCTCATGATTGATACATCAAACTCCTCAGCTGAATCATAAGCTTCAACTTCGTCAACGTCCATTGAGTCAGGTGACTTTTGATGAGCTCCATTGCCGTTACTCTTTACTGGTTTCGTTGTGGAGGGCGTGTCCGTTTCATTTGCAAATATACCAGGCGTATCTTCCTTTCCATTAATCTTGTCAACATTTGGGGGATTACTATCGGAGTCTGAATACTCCTCATCTGTGTCAAGCACTTCCATATCGTTTTGTACTTCTTTATCTGGGCCCTTATCACCAGTATCTTCATTGGAAGATGACTTGACCTGTTTAATCCCCGTAGATGACACACTTGCTCTTTTCAACAAGTCTTTGATTTGTCCCCATATGAGTATGTCTCTACCAAATTGCATTCGCTGATTGTGAAACTGCAAGCTCTTTTCAACATCAACTAGACCAAATGACGTGGGGAAGTTCCTAAAGATCTCACGTTCGGACACACTGAGTACAGACCCCTTGTCAATATACTTGGCAGCATATCCATCAAATCCTTGACTCGAAACACCATTCAACTGCTTCATGTATTGCAAAAGTTCATCCAATTGTTGTTGATTGGACCACAGGGTAGACCCGGTACCAAAATAGCAGCGCTCAGCGGACTCCAACACGTCCACAGAAACATCAAAAGTGGACTTCCTCAAGTGGCATTGATATTTCAAGTCATTGTAAATGTATTTCAATGAAGAAAGATAGATTTTGGGAGTTCCATCAAGTTCATACTTGTACCCATGCTTAGGTTGCCCACCTAATTCCAAGTCAGACTTGTATTCATCAAACTGCTTCCGCTCAACAAAGCTATTGTGCAACTCTCTTGCGGATAGCCAAGTGCGATTGACGATACTAGCAGTTGTAATATCTAGCTCCAACATCGACTTACCAATTCGTTTAAATGTTTGCAAAGTACCACCGTCGACAAGTACATTATCAGACAAAATATACTTTTGTAAATAACTCGACAATGCTTGCATCTGGGAGTGGGTGTAAACTTGGGGTCGTTGTTCATTTAATACGGGGGTGCGAAAATACAAACCCTTTGTGTTGCAGCTGTTGACCTTGTCACGATCAACAACCAACCAGCCACATCCATACAAGTTAAAATCAGTTAAGAATTGCAACAAGAACGGAAGATGTGCCTCATAAACATAAGCTGGCTCTTTACTCTTCTTCACCTCACCTATTTGATCAAAGTTGTCCAAATTGATTTTGTTTTCCTGAAACATCCTTGCCAACCGGTTCTTGTACAAAGGCGAAAGAAGGGATATTTTGTAAAACAATTTATAGCCAAGCTGAAATCCATATATGGGGACAGCTTTGCATACAGAAACATTAGCAATGTATTTGCGCAACTTTGGGTGTTGGTGATTATCCTCACCATTTCCACGTAGTTCTTCTCCTTCACTTTCTTCCATTTCCGTGGGATTCTCCAATTCCTGCTCTTCAGTGCCTTTTCTTCCCCGTCTACGTTTAAAAGACTCCTTGACCACCACTTCCAAGTAATTGATCAATTTGTCCAAATACTCACTGCTTTGTAGCTTTTTGTAATCTTGCTCATGGCAGTCCACATAAAAATAAGGGTAAAAGTTGTGAACGTGAATTAAAGCGTTGTGTACAGACGATTGAGGACTCGTTTGCTGATGCATGTCTACAAGTCGCTGCTTCTTTTTCATCGGAGACAGAGTTTGCGAGAGAACGTTGTCTTCAAAAGATATAGACCCATAAATGCGTATGATTGGAACTTGCGACACCTGTGTGTATAATTGATCCAACTTCGTGGGGTATGCTTGGTACGTGTCATAGTCATTGATTTGTATTCTCAAATGCGATGTTGAATTTGAATGCGTAGACCAGTTGACTGAGCTCACATTAAATGTAGAGTCAATATTCGAGCTATTATGATCACCATGATTCATAGATTAGTCATTCACAGGTTGTTGAAGTGGTTTTGGAAGGATATAAGAAGTGATGAAGAATGAGTAGCAATCATAGTCCGCAATACAAGCAAAATGCTCTTTAATTTTTTTCTCTCTTCTTTTTCTTTTGCTGCAACATATACAGTGTAGGAATACAAATTATAGTAGAGACGTTGTGGTTGTCTTTCAAAGGAGATCCTATCAGAGGTAGTAGTGTAAGAGAACAGCTTCCACTGTTTTTGTTGGCAACTGCATGACGGACAATGATGGTATTCTGGTTGCAGAATCAGAGTACTCTCGTAATACGCATTATCCACGGAGTCTCATCCAGTTCTGAGTCACAAACTACGATTTTAACTACAGGGCCTATTTTTGGTGCTGTAAGACTTCAATGATGTCACCGCCTTGTCGCTTTCCCAGTTAAGCTGAAGGAAGTACAACAGATGCCGGGCCCTTTGATGTCTGGTGCACAACTCTGAACCCGATAACTGTCTCACTTTCGTTTTTGCTTGAGAGACAAATATCCTCGGATATGGGTATGCATGAGGAACGTTTTAGTGCAATCAGGGAACACAATCAACGGGTCGGATAGGGTATGATGGGAAACTCAATTGGTACTGGCATTGAGCATTGAGAAAGATACCCAGCTCCACACAGCTCTACATGCATGAAAGTGGTGGACTCAAAAAAAAAATTTACACTTTGTTTAACACGTCCTACGCCTCTCCAGCACACACCCTTCCTTTTCACCTGTCTCGAAGAAGAAGCAAGAAACATCCTTGATATGGCTGAAACGTTTTCTACTGAAAGTGCGGAACTTAACGGAAAGAGAGAAATTAAAACAAACAAATCCCGTTTCCCAACCAACCCCACAAAATTCCCAAAATTTAAAAGCATTACACAAGTGAAAAGACCAGAACAAAAGAGGAAAAACAAAAAAAGGGAAGGTTGAGATAGAGAGACGAAGTGTTCAATTATTTTCTTAACCCACTGCAGCATATAACCATTAGCTTTTCGGAGTTTTTTTTTTGGTTTTGGTTTTGGTTTTGTTACGCAATATCAAACGCCCCGTCATCGGACTTTCAGGACCAAGAGAAAGCAAAAAAAAAAAAAAAAGAAAAAAGAGTCAACACAGAGATTCAGAAAGAGGTTTAGAATGGTTGATTGCGTCACCACAAGTTGACTCTGGGCTCTACAAAGAATGCTATGACTTGGCGCTACGCAAGTCAATAGGTTCGTAATGAGAGAAGGAAAGTTGATACGAGTTGTTGGTAACTACTTTCCTCGATAGAATTTTTTTTGGCTTTAGACAAATGAAACGATTGGTATTATTATTCTTATCAAAGTCGTATGGGTTTATGGCGTGTCAGGTCTTTCTTCTTTTTTGTATGCCACTACATATAGACCCTTGCTCCCTCTCCCTTCTCCAAAGACAAGAAAAATAAAATAAAACAATAAAAACATCATACGTTACACAAACTGCCAGATTATTTATTTTTATTTTTTATTTGTTCCCACCCAATACTTAAGTCCAGTAGGTTAAAAATAACACATCAGCCAATGACGATTGGTGTGCTGTAATTTATATTGACTACAACTCAGGTTACAGTTTATTGAGTGAGAAAAAAAGGTGTATATCAACTAGGTAATTTGTTGTGTAACTGTGTCACAATGGCGTTATCGGTGTTCACTTTTTACGCCAATTACCCCACAAAAAAAAAAAAAAAAGAACGTAAAACGACACCAGATCGGGCCATCTCTCAAAAATTAAAGCCATAGATGAGCCAGATAGACATTTGGACAACTGCGTATCAAGAATACTACAAGGCAACTCAAACTTCCATAATCGTTTAGTTCAGTTTGTACAATACGCGGAAACAGAGAGACTAACCCTCTTCTCCTCTCTTCAAAAACATCATATCTGGATCAAGGGGGACTTTTGAAATTGCATCACTTTTAATGAAGTTGAAATAGACACCGCGCCGTCAACTCTTATTATATCTCTTTGCAAGAGCTAGCTCCCGCAAGGTTGTTCTCATTGGAACTCTCCAAAGATGGAGTAGCAACAAATACATCCCAGAGCTTGACAAGGGGACTGTAGCCAACAAAGTGACAAGTTTCTCTGAGAGTAGAGGGGAGCGCAAAGTGAAGACAGCAGCAATGCTTGTGTAGAGCTACTGCTTTCTAAAATTGTGTATTACCGTCTTCTCACTACCAGTGTTGCATGGCTGTGCGCTAAGGATCTAGCGTTTGAGAATACTATATATTGTTCAAAAGTTGGTGATCCTTAATAGTTAACTCAGTTTACGATGCAAAGCTCTATTTGTGTAAACTTGGGGCTTTTTATTGTTTGTCTTTTTGTTGTGCATAGTATTTATTATTGTTAATATTATTTTTTTTTTTTTCTTGAAAACCCCCCCTCCCTCCTCAACAAACAATATTATTACGAAACCCAACTCCACGGAGTACACATCTCTACTTTCTCTATGTGTTATTTATTTTTTTTTTTTTTCTTTTTCACCCTACTCTAGTCTGAAAAAATGGGGTGGTGTCCGGTTGGGGTAGTTAAAGAAAGGGGAGTGGTGACAACAATTTTATTTTTCATATAAATAAACAACTACATTTCCTCATATTTTCGGAGTACTACTTTTACTTCATCATCACTGAGTTTTAACCAATTCACAATCCTTGTTTCTAGTGTGGTAACTAACTATCCCATTAACTTAGAACAAGACTCACTTGTACACAGCAAACTCAAATATCTTGGTACTGTGAAACAGGCGCTTAACTTTATCAATTTTAGCTAAACGTTCCCCACACACAGACACACACACACAGACACACACACACGACGTGAACCAAAAAAAAAAAATAAAAAAAAGCACGCACACAACATTTTATAAACAGACTATAAATTTCAAGTACAATCGCCAGTTCCGAAGATATAAAAAAAAATGCCTGGTGAAACTAAACACTCACACATTACGTTAGACCACGAAGCCATGAACCAGCCACCAAAGGGCTTTGTCGAGAGATCCAAGTCCAAACCAAACTTGGCTGATTTTGCAGCTTATCAAAAATTGTATCGTCAATCCATTGAAAACCCCAGTGAATTTTTCGGCGAACAAGCGAAACAAAACTTGGATTGGTTCAAGCCATTCGACTTGGCTAGATTCCCCGTTTCTAGTGAAGACGATTTCAAAAATGGTGATTTACCAGCTTGGTTTGTCAATGGTGAATTGAATGCTTGTTATAATGCCGTTGATAGATGGGCTATCAAGAACCCCAACAAGCCTGCCATTATTTACGAGGCTGATGAAGTCAATGAGGGGAGAATTATTACTTATGGAGAGTTGTTGAAGGAGGTTAGTAAATTGGCCCAAGCTTTGGTTAAGTTGGGAGTCAAGAAGGGCGACTCAGTGGCTGTTTATTTACCAATGATTCCTGAAGCAATTGCTACCTTGTTGGCCATTACTCGTATTGGCGCTGTTCACTCAGTTGTCTTTGCTGGATTCTCAAGTGCTTCTTTGAGAGATAGAATCTTGGATGCCGATTCGAGAATTGTTATTACTGCTGATGAATCCAAAAGAGGTGGTAAGACTATTGAAACAAAGAGAATTGTTGATGACGCATTGAAGGAATGTCCTGATGTTCGCAATGTTATTGTTTTCAAGAGAACGGGAAACTCTCATGTTCCATTCACTAAGGGAAGAGATTTGTGGTGGCATGAGGAATTGGCCAAATACGGTTCATATTACCCACCAACACCAGTCAATTCAGAAGATCCTTTGTTTTTGTTGTACACTTCGGGATCTACTGGTAAGCCAAAGGGAGTCCAGCACACCACTGCAGGTTACTTGTTGGGGGCATTGCTCACAACCAAGTATGTGTTTGACGTTCATGAAGATGACATCTTGTTTACCGCTGGTGATATTGGTTGGATTACTGGTCATACTTATTGTGTTTACGGTCCATTGTTGAATGGTGCCACAACTGTTGTGTTTGAAGGTACCCCAGCATACCCCAACTTCTCAAGATACTGGGAAATCGTTGACAAGTACAAGGTCAACCAATTTTATGTTGCTCCTACTGCATTGAGATTGTTGAAACGTGCCGGAACCAAATTTGTTCAGCCATATGACTTGAGTTCATTAAGAGTATTGGGTTCAGTCGGAGAACCTATTGCCGCTGAAGTGTGGCACTGGTATAATGACAATATCGGAAGAGGTAAAGCCCACATTTGTGACACTTATTGGCAAACTGAGTCCGGTTCCCACTTGTTGGCTCCATTGGCTGGTGTTACCCCAACCAAGCCCGGATCTGCTTCCTTGCCATTCTTTGGTATTGTCCCCAAGATCTTGGATCCAACCACTGGAGAAGAATTGGAGGGTAACGATGTTGAAGGTGTTTTGGCTATCAAATCCGCATGGCCATCAATCACTAGAGGTATCTACAACGACTACAATAGATTTATTGACACTTATTTGGCCCCTTATCCAAACCACTACTTCACTGGTGATGGAGCTGCTCGTGACTTGGATGGATTCTACTGGATTTTGGGTAGAGTAGATGACGTTGTCAATGTCAGTGGTCACAGATTGTCCACTGCTGAAATTGAAGCTGCATTGATTGAACACGATTTGGTTGCCGAGAGTGCCGTTGTTGGATACGCCGACGACTTGACTGGTCAAGCTGTTGCTGCGTATGTTTCTTTGAAGAAGGACAAATTGGACGACAATGCAGATATGGATGCTATCAAGAAGGAGTTGGTTTTGACAGTTCGTAAAGAAATTGGACCTTTTGCTGCACCAAAATTGATTTTGTTGGTTGATGATTTGCCAAAGACGAGATCAGGAAAGATTATGAGACGTATTTTGCGTAAAGTCTTGGCTGGTGAAGCTGACCAATTGGGTGATACTTCAACTTTGTCCAATCCCCAAGTTGTGCAACAGATTATTAAGGTTGTTGCTGATGCAGTCAAGAAGTGATTTGGAGCAATACCTTTTTGACAGATATCTAGAGCATTTGATGGATGATGTTTATACGTTTCCTTTTATCATGTTCAAAAACTATAAATTATTGTATCTATTTATATTTATTTATTTCATTGAAAAGAAGAAGTGTGTATTTGTATCAATAATAATCGTCTAAATAAATAAAGAGCTTTGGATTCGTATATACAAGATCATCCATCCATTCCTCAATCGCATTTGAGTATCCCATGAATCAAACTCGTAGCATCAGGCTTTGCAGCAACGACATCAGGAATTAATCCGCTAGACAAAAGATACTCTTCAGTAGTAGGCCCAATGCTAGCCAACTTCCACCGTCTGCTCCCGGCAAACTCATCTATGCTCCCATTTCGCAGTTTCAAATATTGCACAATATCTCTAGTTCCTTGTGGACTGAAAAACACAATCCATCCATCCAACGAGTCGCTACCCCCATTGACAATAGCATTAAACTTGTCAACAATATCATTGCGCTCACAGGTACGATACATGACAAACTCTTCAAACTGGGTGAATTTGCCCACATCGACCAATTTCCGAGGAATGATGTCCTTGCGTACTTCACCAGTGAAAAAGGCAATTTTGGTGTTTGGCGTCAATTCATCCATTATTAGATCGGCCAATTTCGACCCGTTCCCAGCATCGATACCGCCTCGTACGTTGACGAACCCCACCTCTCTTAAAATCTTGTGAGTTGCTGGACCCACGGTGTATCCCACTTTGGTCAAAATTTTCTGCTGTATACCATGGCCATTCTCATTTTCCAATTTGATCTCGTCGATGCACTCTCGCAACATCTCAACGGCACGCTGAGACGTTATTATAAAGTAGTTCGTATCGTCAATGAACTCCTTGGACTTCAAGTAGGCCATAGTCTGTGCTTTATCTTTATGTGTATGGTGAAGTAGTGGTATGAATTGAGGAATATAAGACTTGGTTAGAAGTAGTTCATGGTATGGGTCAGTTGGTGTGCTGGGGTTCTTTAGTAGGATGACTGTTTTGTTACTCATTGCTTAAAGGTGACAGAAAGGGACAAGTTAAGTTCTCCAAAGACGGTTTCCGATTTGAAATTGAAGAGTTGTGATACGATGGATCTGAGTTTTCTCGCTGTATGATGCGGTGAGGTGCGGCTCTGTTTATTAAAGTGTATCTCGCTACCAATCCAAAAATTTGTTACACACGACCTTTTACGTTAAGCAGTTTTGTGTTTCATCTTTTGCAACATCGATCGCAGTCTATTTCAAGATTTATATAAACTCTTGAACATTCTCTGGATGTTTTTATATCACTTCTTGCCAAAGCAAGCTCATTGAAAATTTAATTCATTATGCATCTCATATACCCTGTCATATTGTAGTAGCATCTATACAAGAAGTTTCAGCTCTAGGATCGTATTAATACTTGACCATACAGAGCTCAACAAGACAAGTGTGACATCTTGCTTTGTCGTACTTTCCCTTTTAGGCGTTTATAAAACATTAATAAATAATACTTCTATCCGTCATTTGACTAATTAAAATTGCTATCATACACAATCCCTCTTCTCTTTGCTCATATATAAAGAGAAGCGCTTTCTTCTATTTTTCTTAATTCTTTTTTTTTTTTTTACAATTCTTGCCCCTCTTCAATCCATTCCGATACCCCTTCAACGACACTACAAACCACTACAACAATGTTGGCAATCGGCGACGTCATCTTAAGGTCCTTCAATTTTGTATTTTTAGTCATCGCCTTGGGGCTCACCGGTTCCTTGGCAGCTACTACCATCTCCCAACACAATCCACAAGTCAATTTCGCCGTTTTTGCTGCAGCTTTTGGAATTCTCACTTCATCCCTCTACGGGGTCTTGGCCTTTTTCATTGAAGCACTTGCATGGCCATTGATTTTGTTCCTTTTTGACTTTTTGAACTTTGTTTTCACTTTTGCTGCTGCTACTGCTATTGCTGCTGGAATCAGGGTTCACTCATGTGGAAATCAAGACTATTTGGACTCTAACAAGATTAACCAAGGATCATCGGCAAGATGCAGAAAAGCCCAAGCATCAACAGCCTTCTTGTACTTTTCAGCTTTCATTTTCATTGCTGCTGGTGTGTTTTCAGCCATTGGTTTGTTCAGAGGTGGTTTGTTTGGAACTAAGTACAACAGGTCTGCTCCAAGAACTGGCGTTCCAACTATGTCTCAAGTTTAAATAGGCGTTTTTTCTCTATTTAATACATCCGTTTTTAGTTTCTTATCCTTGCTTATGTGTGTAGTCTTCTCTTTATATAGAAGAATTGTTGTAGGTGATACTCACGTGACACAGAAACTGCAACTTGTACCATAGCCTTAACTTCAATGCTGTTACTGGAGTATCCTACAGTTGAGAGTTCTCTACATCATATTGTAAATTATTATTCTTCAATGTATAAGCAATACTGTGCATTGTACCTTGACTATATAGTGTTTATCCCACACACTTTCTTTGACATCTGCAACTTATGATGTTGGTCATGAAAAATTCAACTACAAGCTTCGCATTAAAGTAAAACGTGTCTTTATCAACGGTAAACTCTAACAACACATTGAATATTACAAAGCTATACACTTTTGATCTAAAACAAATTAACATAATCATTTCACACAATTACTTCCCGTATCGCAGTAGTACCTGCACTCTTGAAAACCTTGGCAATACGTTCATTGCCAACCATAAAATTACCAACCGTGTTTCGCACCCATTCCTTGACATAGTCAAGTTGTTCGAAATTGTAGCCAACAACATAAACCATAAAGAAGAGTGCAAAAATCACAACCAATGCGGGAATCCAAAAAAACACCAACATCTTGTCATGCTCAACTGGCTTTCTTGGGTGGTTAATGTATGTAACCACCATGTCCTCAGAAGAGTCCGACGCCAATCCAGCATCAATATCGGTATCAGTAATCTTGGAAGCAGTTGGTTCGAGATCAGCTTTTGAATTGGAACTTGATCCTACCACCTCAGTTGTTGAGACTTCTTTGGTTTCTGAATTCATCGACTGCTCGAGTGCACTCTTTGGCTTGGCGGTAAAAGTGGAGGAGGGTCCAAATGGGAACAAATCGTCGTATTGCGGTAAGTCGCTATCATCGTCTTTGTTAAATACATTCTTGACCTTTTGCCACAAGCCTGGAGAAGAAGGGGGCTTTGCTGACTCTGTAGTGGTAGTGGTATCAACAGTTGCATCTGAATCTACACCAATGTCTTTGTTTGGAGAGTCAACTTCAGTCTCTTCATCAAGACTCACTTCCATGTCATCACTATCGCTGTATTCATCATCACAATAATCAGCTTCCTCCTCATCATAATCATCTTCAGATTCGAATTCAGAATCGGCAAATTCTGAAGAGTAGTTCTTGTTATCGTCCCAAGTAGAAACTCCACTATCCTGCTGATCTGGAATATCTCTACCCTTCTTCTCTTCGTCTTGAGACATCTTTGAAATATGGCGTCCATAATCATCATTAAACATTGAATCCAACGAATCAAAGGAAGTTCTCTTTTTGATATTACTAGAAACACTAACTTCTCTCTCTGGTGGAAACTGCTCTAGCTGCAGTTGTTGTTGTTGTTGTTGTTGTTGTTGCTGCTGCTGCTGCTGCTGCTCACATGCATTGAACATGTCAATGACATTCAAATCACAATAATCTCGCAAATACTTATCATTCAGCAATTTCAAATTCCAATTGGACTTGCACTCGATAAACAATTGAATCAATTTCCGATGTCCACACATTGAAGCCAAAAACAATGGCGTCAAACCTTGATTATCTTTAACGTCAATTTTGCAACCATGAGTCACTAAAAACTTGATCAATTTACGGTAATTCTTCATAGTGGCCAAATGTAGCAACGTTTGGCCTTGTGAATTGGCAAGTTGCCAATTTGGGATAATTATTGGACAATTGGGCAAATCCACCAAAGATAAGAGACGCACCAAAACCACTTGTGTAGATAAGCCAGAGGATGTCAACTTCTTCAAAGAAGCATGGGCACTGTGAAACCAGTCATCAACGCCACCACCACCACCACAATCAGGGCTGTGAGACATGTTTGTAGGTGAAGTGGTCATTGAAGTTGGAGCAGTGCCATTGTTGTTGTTGCCACTGGTGCTGCTGTCACTACCAACAATCCTCTTGGCAATATTCTTTGCATCTTCCAACTTACCATTCATTTTCAACCCAACTATTTGCAAGGCTAACTCAATCAATTGCCGATCGGTATCGTCAGTGTATGTGAAGATTTGATGTTGTGGAGGACCGCCGATTATTGCCGAGTCTTCATTCTCAAAACTAACCAAAACCTGACCCGGCTGCAGCGCTGGCGGCAAGTAAGTCACAATTGTAGTTTCAGACCAACAATGTGTAGCCAATGCTTGATTAGGGCCAAACTTCACCGCCAAGCCTGGTCTAAAGTTGAATCCCAATAACGTTATTTCAATTCCTCCACGAACAGGGCCCTGAGCAGGAATGATTCTTTGTATTGATGGTAAACGTTGCATTGTTTGTTGAGAGGGTTGAGGGGTTTGCATTTGTTGGAATTGTGGATTTGGTGGCGGATGAGTAGTACTAGGAGCACCCATCGGAGACAATGCAGCAAACAGTGGTTGTTTCATGAAATGGATATTAGTTGAGGTGTTGGTGTTGGTGTCGCTATTGCTTAGTGGCGAGTAGCCACTAATACTTCCATTGAACATGGGATTTCCTGAGGTGTTGTATGAGTCATCAACAGACAACTTCTTGCGTTTCAAACCTCGACTGGACTCGGCATCAGTGTTTGTATGTACCTCAGATGCTGATTCATCCACAGAATTTGGAGACGAGTGCTGAGTATACTCATTATTTGAATATTTGTGTTCATTTTCCGAGTCTGAGTTTGAAGGTATTCTTTTCTTTTTGCTGGAAATCAGCAGGGTATCTCCCAACCCTTGAAGATTGAGTGATGAGCCAGCAACTGAGTTTGGCATCGAGTCCTTAGTCAAGGGGATATTTTTCTTTCTATCCATGATCATAATTGGCGAAGACAACTGTTTCGCCACAACTTCGCCCTTGTTGTTTTTTATCAACATCAAGACTCTAAACCCAGTTTGTTCCTTATGATGTCTGCAATAGCAAATAATTCTAGCCGACAACTCAACTGACTTTGAGTTGTTGTTGTTGTTGTTGTTGTTGTTGTTGTTTAGCCCTGACGGCGACGGAAATGAAACAATCTCTTTACAGTTGAAGATGATGGCCTTTTTCATCATGTTTTCATCAGACCAACTTGTAGAGTTGTTTTTAATTGCTGGTGGGATCTTGGAGGTTGAGGATGGGGTGGGAGTAGAGGCGGGTGCGGGTGCGGGAGCAGTAGCATTGAACTCATCCATTTCACCAGCGGCCTTCCCTCGCGATGCTCTTTTTTGTTCCCTCTTGATACACCTTGTACATATGTTACACGATTTCAGCAAGTCAGAAGTGAGCACATAAGCATCCAAATACAACAAATTGTCTTTCAATCTAGGGTGCAAATTTTCAACAGGATCTGCCAAACAAAATTTATTTTTGGATATAAGATCTTGTGGCACGTATAGCAAAGCTTGATTGGGTGCTGGACTCAAAGCAATATCACATCTAATTTGTGTTTCAACTCGAGAATGACTAGGCAATGCTGATAATGTCATTTTGTGTGGCAATTTCTTCATAGCTTCTGGAGAGAAATCCAAATACGAAGGATCCAGTATGTCGACAGTCCTTGGCACTGCATTTATACGATGACAGCCAAATTTCAACTTGCTCAATTCCTCTCTAACAAATTCGTACTCAGACAATGAAGTTGGATTTGATTGTATAGCAACTCCATTGGAAGAAATCGACATCATTCTCTCATCCATGGGAGATGCCATACCATTGGGAGTTTGGTACATTGAGTTTGTGATCGAGTTTTGGTGTAAACCGTTCACTTTTGACGAAAGCGGGTCCTGCGAAGAACTTGAGTCATGTGGCAAATCCAAATATAAACACTCGTTATCCTGGGGGGAAATACCATCGAGATTTATATTGTTGCGAAGGTCATTATTTTTACTGTCGTTGCTGTAGATATTTCTATTTTGTAAGCCTGAAAAGTGGGCAAAACTGTCATCATCTAGTTTGTTTGCCAAATATTTGTCTTCAATTCTAAAGGCATTAGAATCTTGTTCATTAGTCAAAGCGTAAAGCGAGTTCATCAACGTATCTCCAGTGAGCTGCTGTTGTTGGGTTTGGTCTTGTTTGCATTTCAAATTGTCGTTGTTGTTGGAGTGGTTGGGAGTGGTTGTTCCCATTGAATCGTAAACTCTTTGGTCCAAGAACTCATCTAGTATATCGTGGTTTTCGTCTAAAAGCTTAGTATGTGAATTGTGACTGCTTAGTATGTTGTATAAGTCATTATTATTGTCGTTGTTGTTGTTGTTGTTGCTGTTGTTACTGTTGATGTTATCACTGTTGCTAAAGAAGTCATGACTTGATGCATGCTCCTCGTGTGCAGCAAAACTCATTGTAGGTTCGGGAGTGAGTAAACTTGATAGTCTATATTGTTCGTGGCAGTGTTGTTGTCTCAGACTAGTATCCTGTGTTCACAGATACATATATATATATATATATATGATTTACTGTAGCAGTTGTTGTTACTGGTATTCAATAAAAATTCAATTGAAATATAAAAGAAAAGAAAAGAAAAGAAAAAGGAGAAGAAAAGAGGAGAGAGAAAATAAAAAAATTAAAGACTCTCAATTTTTCTGTCTGTCTGTCTGTCTGTCTGTCTGTCTGTCTGTCTGTTTGTCTGTTTGTCTGACAAAGACTTTGTGAGTGTCTGACTTATAATAAGAGGAAAAAAAAAATAAATAAAATAGACAATCAGACCTACAGAGAGTATGAGTATACACTGTTAAATTAATCCTCAACTGGTTACTTTCTCTCAGTACCCCTTCATTCCAACCCTTAGCCTGACTAGTCTGATCTCTTTGAGTGTGCATGCATCCCTCTCTCCCTCCCTCCTGTTTCCTTTTCTTTTTTTTTTTTTAAAAAAATTTTTGTTCACTAAGGCGGTGGCTGATGGGTTTTGTACACATTAGGAGACGAGGAAACGTTTACATTTCGTCGTTGCTGAAAGCTCTTTTGATTGCTTATATCAAATTACAAAGGAAGCCTTTTCCCTGTTGTTGTAGCAACTTGATCTTATCTTTATAAATCACCCAACATCTGACTGAGATCTAAGCCATCAGATCCTCTTCCTCACTCTTTATGTCGTTTGTTTTGTTTCTCGTATTAGGTTTCACTACTTCAGAACAATAGAGGACTAATCGTTCGGTTGTACACAAAATTTGTTTGTGAATTGTTTTATAGTTTAATTTAATTATTAATATTCTTTTTTTTTTTTTAAGAATAGGAATAGAAGTAGTAAAAAAAAAGGGGGGGTGTGGGATCTCATGGTTTCGTCGATGGGCGGCGGCAGGATGACAGCTGCTCAACCACGAGGATTGAAAGCATGCCGTTCTCCTCGAACATATGAACAACCTCCCTTCTTCCGCTTGTTATTTTTGTAATTGACAATCTGTTCGCCTCTTTCTTTTTTATTTTCTTTTTACATTATTTTGCAGTCACCCACTACTTTCTTGCTTCCATGTGAAATTAGTGTAGTAAAGAGAGATAGCTGAACTTGCTATCTGGAGGTATCTATATACGAAGATGACACGTATACATAGTTCATACCAATACGTCACATATATGAATTGGTTTTAAATCTATATATGTATCAATTGACTGCAAAAATGAATGACAAACCAGTTACTCAACAATTGACATTCCTGCATATTAACACAATATTTAGATTTGTTGGGGATTTTCTTAATATTACATAATATATTACATAATACAATATGATTCTTATTTCTTTTTTTTGTTTTTTTTTTTTTTTTTGCAACAGACGCATTTTTCTATTATTGGAATTTTTTTCAAGAAAAGATATGGCCATTCAGAAGAAAGGTTATTGCTATATCTTCAAGATGATTCCATCCTCCCACAGAGCTTCTTCATAAGGATCAATAGAATATGCCATTTACTTACTTTACAGTAGAAGTAGAACGTGAAACAGTGGAATAACTTCCTCGGCTCCTGCTCCCCCCCCACTCCCATACTCCCATCTTTTTTTGCAATTAATCAAAGAGTTGTTTGTTGCCGTTGTGGCTCTCCTCCATCAACATTCTAGTCCACTTACCCCTCTACGCAAATTGACTCCTTCAGCTTTCTTATGCGATTCTTAAAGAGACTACATAATAATGTGCTAGTTGTATGTTACTTGTCGATTGACCCAGATTTAAACCGCATTGTGATTCCGAAAGTCTGTTGAATGGATTTCAGTTCAACATTTTTCCTATAAGTAGGCCAGGATTGCTCTGGCAGCTCTAGAAAGTTCAGATCCGATCCAGATTAAGCAGATATTAAGAGATCCTAACGGCATACATCAACCTCAACTAGCTATTACCTAGCCAAAACAACAATTGTGGCCGTAAACCCAATCATTGTTCAGGTACTGGTGCATTCAAAAGCGAACCCCAGCCAAGTATATGTTTGATTGATTTAATATCTTACACGTAGGGTAGTGTAAATTGGCCAAAAATGAAAATTTCTACACACGAGAGCAAATGGAAAAAAGGAAAATCATAAACTGGTTCGACAACAGTCCAACCACCTGATCAATCAACGAACCCAAAGCTTATACAATGCCCAGAAACACATTGTACGTGACTGGATTCACAAGAGAATCAAAGGCTGTTGATTTGGCACCTGAATTTGAAAAGTATGTATTTTGATCACTTATTTTTGTCATGATGGATTCCACCTACTCCCATACACTCATAGTGGGTTGTTCTTTCCTAAAACAACTATTTTGCATATTCATTGAAACATAGAAGAAAAAAGAAAGAACGATTAACTCATCAAATGGTTTGTTTTCCAAGATTTCCAAGATAGATTTTCATCTTATCCGCCTTCCCCACAAAATCTACAACAGATTTTCATCTCGTTGCATATTTACTTCATTTCAGTTGAAGTATTTTGGCAATTTCCTTTCATAACCAGCCCTACCCAGCTATTCAATTTTCCAACAAGTTCCTCCTTTCGTTCCCTCTTTTCAATGGTTGACCCACTTTTTCCCCATTTTGATTATTCCTTCTTTCTTTCATCACAACTCACCGTCCAAACTCAACTTTCAATTTTATTGAGACCATTAACCCGGTTCAATGCGAGTCAACTCCTATTCCCTTCTCATCAATTTCATGACAAGTTTCATCAAACTTCGTTCTTTTCCCTCCTTCCTTCTTCATTTTTTTCTTTTTTTTTCTTCACTTCGTTTACACTTCACATTATTCTTCAATTTAGTCATTACTTTACTAACTTTTAGTTTTCTAATTCATTTCTTTCAAAGCTTGGAAAATCACTAACAGAAACAACCAATCAAAATCATTGTCCTTTTTTCATCTATTCAATTGAATCAAATTAACTATTGCAAATCACACGATCCACAAAGATCCTTCCATTTTACAAAGTATTATCAGTCAAACTAACAATTCATTTTTTTTTTCTTCTCAAGGTATGGTGATTTAGTCAGATTAGATATTCCTCCACCAAGAACATCTGATGGAGAGAAGTTTGCATTTGTTGAATATAAAGATGCTGAAAGCTGTGAACGTGCTTTGGATATGGACCGTAAAGATTTCCCATTCACACTTCCTGGTGGGTTAGTTGTGCAAGTCGCCAAATCTGACCCATTCCCCGCTAGAGAGAGAGGTGGATTTAGAGGAAGGGGTGGATATGGATACGGACGTGGTGGCCCAGGCGGTGGCCCAGGTGGCGGCTACGGTCGTGGAAGAGACGGCTACGGATATGGTGGTGGAAGAGGTTACGACGATGGATACGGAAGAGGTTACGGCGGTGGTTACGGTGGAGATAGAAGAGGTGGTGGATATGGAGGCTACGGAGATAGAAGAGGTGGTGGATATGGAGGATACGGTGGTGGTGGTGGTGGTAGAGGTTACGACGATGGATACGGAAGAAGAAGTGGCGGTTTCTCCTCCGGTGGTAGAGGTGGAAGAGGTGGTTATGGCGATTACAGAGGTAGCCGTGATGGTAGTCGCGAACCACGTGATGGCTATAGAGGTGGAGGAGGACCAGATCGTGGATACGGCAATGGTGGTGGTAGTGGTCATTTCGAAGATAGAGAGTACAGAAGAGGCAGCGACACATATGAACGTGAGCCTAGGAGTGAAGAGAGGGGCAGATACAGCAGATCTCCATCTAGATCTCCTGTCAGAAGAGACAGATCAAGATCACCTGGCATGTAGAAAGAGCGAGATGCTGGAGAGATTTATGCTGTTTGATCTACCATTCAATACTCTTATCTTGATGGGAAATAAATTGTCGTTTGTAGCGTTGATATAAAAATCTATATATAGCTCTGAAATTTAACACGATGGATAATGAGATATCGCAATGTGTATCTCCCTCACAACACCGATAACCCCACAGTCATTAACCCGAAATTGGGAGCACGTCCGATACTGGAAGCGCCCCTCATCATTGGCGTTCCGCTTGACATATTGGCATTCTTGGCATTGACTTCTCTCAAGGTGCTCAAAATTACAGTCAAGACCAATGTGTCTTGATCTACCCACAAGGTGCTGTTGAGGAAGGAATCGTTATCAGGCAGTGGAGTAGGAGTAGGAGTAGGAGTAGTAGGAGTAGTAGTAGGAGTAGTAGCTGCTGTTGTTGTTGGTCTTGGTGTGCCAGGAGTTCCCTGTGCGGGTACTGTTGCAGCTGCTGCTGATGCTCCCACTGGCTGCAAATCCTGATAAATTTCAGCCTTACCAATCTCATAGTACTTCTTTGGGATAAACCCGCCATCATCCTTCTTGTACAACACCACATCCTTAAAACATCCAAAGGGCGGAAGTTCATTTGGGATAAACGTAGCGCGCCGATTACAACAATTGGAAAACCCATCCTCTTCCACAAACTTGTTATTCGGGATTGGGTTAACAAAAGTCTTGGGATCATTCACATCAAACTCGACATAGTCCTCCTTTGGTGACGATTTCTTCAATTTGAGGAAGCCGGAAGATGGCGGTTTCTTATTCACAGTGTCATCGCAAAGCGAAGGCTCGTCATCGTCAATCACGAGTAGTCGCATGTGGGGATTGTACTCGCAGACGAGCCCCGTGGCGATCGTGGTTCCAATGACTCTGAACCTGGTGTTTTTGTAGATAAAGTCGGCAAAAGGTTTGAAACTTGACTGGAACATGACGATTTTGAAACTTGATGGTGTGTTTGGGTAGAATTCGAATATGAATCGACGATAATTTTGCGAAAACTTCAGGTGTACAAAACAATAGTCAAAAGTCTCGAAATCTGTGTCGTTATTGTTATTGTTGTTGTTGTTGTTGTTGTTGTTGTTGTTGTTGTTGTTGTTGTTTTTGTTTTTGCTGTTTGTGGTAGCAGTAGTTGCGTCTGCTTCTGGATTTGGTGGCGGCGATGGGATCTCTTTGAATTTCTTGAAAATGAGATACGGGGTGTTCTTTCGAAACGTAGACAACGTAGGCAGATGCATTTTCAAAAGTGGCAATCCTTGCCCCTTGATCTTGTAACTTACGGGGATAATGTGATTCCGTTCATCAATCACTTCACCACCGTCGATATTAGCCCTTGATATTTCATTCTTGTTCGTCCCATTAGGTAAGGAAGTGAGTTTCTTGATATTGCCATTGGCATCATACACAATCATCGAGCTTTTCCTCTCCTTTTTGATATTGGCTCTTAGTTGTTTGAAAAGTTTGAACGAGGCCGAGGACGTGAATATCAACACATCATTCTTCAATATGCCTCCGACAAACACAACCAGCCGTTTATAGTTGTATGCAGATAACCTACGTTCCATTATCTTTTGATGGTCAATTTGGTACTGCTCCTCGGGTGATTGACTGTCGTTAAAAATAGTCGACAAGTCATCATCCGCAATGGTGTCATTTTCAGCATCGTAATCCTCGTCAAAATGATCAACGGAGGGCACATTACGAATACCACCACCACCGCTACCACCGCTACCACCACCGCGACCAGCATTAGCGCGAGCCTCTCGCCGACGGCGATCTTCGGCTTGTTGGCGATCCTCGGTTAATCTCATTTGCCGTAGGACAAACGGAAGATACATTGTAAAATTATCGGTGTAAATGTCCTGTAATTCAAGTCGTTGCTTCCGCGTGGCGCAAAGGGTGTCTGTTTCTGATAATGCTATTGAATGATTGTCGCTGCTCTGTTGTTCACTAACGGGAGCAGAAGTCAACGGAGACAAGCAATCGTCACTGTCATTTGGCTCGTGAGTTGGTGTTTGTCGAACTGCAGTTGATTCCTTCTTGTCTTCCCCCTTGTGAAGAATTTCTACGTTATACCGCGGCAGAACTCCATCGGTGGTGGCTTTATTGGTACTGGATAACGTGGTACTTTGGGTGGATGAGGACGTAGATGATGATTTTGATTTCGTTGATTCTTTGGAGTTGTGTCGATGCGGCTGAGATGGGCTTAGGTAAGACTGTGGCGGTAACAACAGTTGTTGTTGTTGTTGTTGCTGCTGCTGGTACTGCTGTTGGTGCTTTTCCTTAACCCCATGCTCCCTTTGGCCTTGGGGTTGGGATTTACGTCTTCTGAAAATGTGCATTGTTCTGGGAGGTATTTGCTTTGTAAAGAAAGCGAAGAAGAACTGAAAAAGCAGTGGTTTTTCGTATCTCTCTCTCTTGTGTAGAAAATCTCTCTCCTTGTACAAAACAAAACAAAACAAAAAGACAATTTATGAAATTCGCTTCAAAATTACACAATAGCAAACATAGAACAATTTGCGGGATTAAACGAGAAAGAGGATACACAAGGCGTCGTTACTCGTAGCAGAAGTACATAAAGAGTAGACGAGAAATAGGCAGTCCGCTATACTTTCGTACTCTGTTCTTTTGAGTAGTCTAATGAAGAATGTGGCCCTCCGGGTCTGTAGCAATCAGTAAATCACTTCTCAGGACATTTCGAAAACAATTGCGCGCAACTTCCATTATCTTGTGCCAAGACATAATAATACTATATAACTGCATGTCAAATCAGATTACATCTTAAAAGAAATCTCCCTTTACTATTCATGAACTAATACCAACTATCTAAATAGAAGTAGCTTATAGCGTTTGAACGATATCAAAACAAGCTCTTGCCTTCTTTGGACCCACAGAAAAATCATATGCACCAACTTCATTCTCTTTATCCATGGTCACGTCACTGTCCTGACTATGTATTCCCATTGAGCGTTTATACTCTTGGTCCATGGCAACATAGTTTGTCTTATTGACAGAAACATTCACTTTGGCATTTGATTCCACCAATTTCCGCAATCTTGAAGATTTGGAAAAACTCTTGATTATATGATCTTTGTCCTTGATCGTTTCCTTAAGCTGCATTATTTCATCCTCCTGCTCTTTGAGCACTTCCATCAACTCCTTGTTGTCTGAATTGGTGGTGCTACGATGTGGATTCTTGGTGTATGCAATCTTCAACTGCTGTTCAAGGCGAGCAATGTAATTGTCATATTCATTCCTCTCGTGGGTTATTCGCTTATACAACTCTTCAATGTTGGCAACGTATATTTGAGCGTTATCGGCACCAGAGCCAATAATATCATTGAGCGCACTATCTTTCACAATCACCGTTTCTGTTTTTTGCAAATCGGTGAGTCGACTGAGATAAGTGACCTTTTCCATTAAAACTTTATTCTCCGCTTTTAATGCATTGTCCAACACTGATGTGTCCACAGGAGATGAGGTATCCGTATATCCACTCGATTTCAACATCAACAATTCATGTCGCTGCTGTTCAATTGTATTGTTCAACTCTTGAATTAGTTTTGATGTTTCTGGATCAGTTACCTCTATGCCTCTTCCAACATTTTTTTCAACATTAATTACAATATCCTTTGCCCTGGCAGCAAACCTCAAAGTCTTGTAGGTCTCGGAGACAGTTTGCTGTGCAGTGGCATTGCTTCCACAACCCATATGAATTGTACACAATATCAGTACCAAACTTCTACCACTTAATGCAGGCTGCAATATTCTCGTCAATTTTGAATCTCGGTAACTTATATGATAATCCACAACACCATGCGATGATGCTGAAAGCTTGTTTATGACATTGCTCAAGGCTAGCAATGACTTGTTGATGTATGAACCTTCTTTTCGTCTTTCCAAGCTTGAAGACGCTCTCTCTGAACCTGCAAGGTCGCACAATGACAATGTGGATGTCGTTTCACAACTGGTAATCTCATTCACAATTTTGAGTCTAATTTGCAATATCGAGTGTGATCTAGAAGACCTCGCATTGAAATCGGTGGCGCTCGTTTTTCTATTAAGGTCACCTCTTCTGATCAAGGTTAGAAGTTGCTCTTTGGAAGTGACTATAGGCGTGGTCAATCCCGTTACTTTGACGCCAAACTCTGGATCGTCTCTAATCTTTAAATCGTTGCCATTAATACTGCCATTGCCAGTATTCAACAAATCAATAATGCGTTCATTGTATATTTCAAGATATGATACATTAATTTGATGTTTCACCACTTCTTCTCCCAAACTTCCAATCTTGTCAAAGAGATCATTCACCGCCATTTCGACAAACCCGGACTCCTTCTCATTACCCTTCATACTGTACGTTTTCCCCGACCCAGTCATTCCATATGCAAAAACAGTGCCGTTGTAACCTTCATCAAGAAATTTCTCCACAATGGGCTTGCATGCTTTCAAGTACACTTGGTAATTGTTGTTCAGGTACACGTCATTGTCAAAGACGTTATCAAAGACAAAGCTGCTCCCATCGACATGAGATATGCTGCTATTATACGAGTTTATGTACCAATTTTGTTGCGCTCCTTGGGTAAATGATTCAGGGTTGGGGCGAATAGATACAGTTATGGTACCAGTATAGGGTTCTTGACGACAGTAACTTCCCGAGTTAACGGGGGTCCCAGGGCGACTCGTGCCAAGGGACGATCCTGGCCTTGACCTTGGCTGTGATTGCTGCTGGTGATGATGATGTTGCAATACAGGTGAGGACGATCTAAGTACTGTTGGCCTTGACGGAGGACGAAAAGTTGATTTGGCGGATGAGGATGGTCGCGTGGGTGTAGATAATGATGAAACAGACGCGCTAGACGAATTACCCAAGGACGACCTTGTTCTCATTGGTGTTTTAAAAGACATTTGTGGTGAAAACGGTATCAGTGTTGACTCTGGATACTTCAATGGTGACGGCTCTGTTATCTCCTAGCTTTTCTTTTTTTTTTTTTTTCTTTTTCTTTTTCTTTTCCTTATGGCATATGTATATTTTATTTTGACGATAAAAGTGTCTTTTGCGTATTTGACATTTGTGTTTACGTTTGATACGAATTGGGAAAGTATATTGGATACACAAAACACAAAAAGGCATGCATAGATTATTTGATATCCGCCTACGTAACAAACTCTGCAACCTTCTTGAGCTAAGTTATTCACTTCCCATGTGGATACAGACTCAACATTAATTACAATGAGGAAACTCCTGCGATATTAGAGATTACGCTTATATTTCTTAAGCAAATAAAGCTAGACACGACTAGAGCACAAAACAAGCACGATCAGTGATATCTTTACCATACCAAATGGCCCAATCTTTATACTTGTGATGCAAGGTGGTGCCAATTGTCTCAAATTCAGTTTTGGCTTTGATTGCACATCTGATATCGTAGTAAAACACACTGAAGCTTAACTTCCTTGATATAACACTTCCAATGTCCATAACTTCTCCAAACTGCTCAAAATCTTCTCTGATATTATGAATTTGCAACTCTTGAGAATAATGAATCTCAGGTTCTGGATAAAACATCTTGTCACCGGGCCTGATTTTTTTCCCAATAATTATCTTGGAAACAATTAAACACCTTCTACATCCGCTGGTTAATATATCGTGGTAAAGGGCTCTGGGTAAGGTCAGATGGGGGTCTAGAAACAGGCCCTTGGAAGTAGGCTTGCTGTTGTTGTTGCTGTTAAAATTGACCAGTGCGAAATTATTGTTGTGATTTTCAACATCCTCCTCTACCTTTCTTGGTGTCTCTTCACGATAATCATCGTCTCCCCAACTCACACTCAATCTGATGCCATTAACCTTGAGCAACCCCGTTGCGCTTCCATATTGGTAAAACTGTTTGGCCTGTTGTGGAAATATGAAATACAACTTTACCCTGTGGCTGGAAACTCGCACCACTTTCTCCAAAGGTCCCCCGCAAACTTGTTGAACGACTGAATTTATTCCCATTGATGAATCCAAATTTGACAAGACAACACATCTTTTCGTGCCGTCTTCCATACCCCTTTGTTGATGTTTTCTTCTGTTGAACACTTTACCCAACTTATCGACCCGTTCGCCCAATCGTTGTTGACCCATATTTTCCAAACTAGGATTACCAGTGAGAGGGCGCTGCTGCTGCTGCTGCTGCTGCTGCTGTGCTTGAAGGTTTGACAACAGGTTCTGTGCATTTTGATTCGGAGTCAAGTGCTTGTCAAATGCAGCAATGGTTTTTACCTGGTCGTAAGTCTCATGAAAATATCTAGAATCTGGTTCTTTCACTGATACATCCTCTGACTTGACCGCTGCTCTTCCATTACTTCCATCAATCTTGGAAAATGGCCAGGAGCAAACCTTGAGAAAATTTGTCCTTTTGCTTGAAAGGGCATTGCCATTTGAATCATCTCCGTTGACTCCAGCTTGGACTGTTGGATAGCGACGTTCTTGAGATACCACTCTGGCAAAGGTGAAGCTGGGAACTCTCAAAGAACCAGTGGACTTTTTGGTGACTGGATTTGTTAGTGTCGAATTGGTCGATGGCGTCGAACCATTCAGACTTTCAAGCAAGTAATCTGGCTGTACAAACTGCTTCAACATTCTGAAAGTTAACAAGGCAATAAAGAACACGCCAAGAGCGAAACTAGCAGTGGAGATTGTGTGTATGTAAGCGACTAGCAAAGTTGCCTGTTGGTGTAGCTGAATGGAGTATATACTTGGAGTAGCATCAAAGAATTTTGATTAATGAATCCCCCATATCAAACAGTGCCATTTTCGCAGTCAGAAGTTGCAGTGTTATATGCAGTATGCAACATTTTTCTCTTCCTCTCATCACGAAATTTATATATATAAAAAAAAAAAAATGTACCCACCCTATCGCTCTATCTACGAACAAGTGGATGATCAGATATATTCGCCACAGATTACTAACTCCCATGGCAGAACAGGTTAAAAGAGCAGTATCTCATGAAGATCTTCCAGGAGCGAAAAAGTTGAAGCCAACTCTCATTCCTGCGCTCACGGAGGAAGCTGTTGGTATATTAAAATTCATCAATCCAAACTCTGTGGGATTTCAGGGTTCTTTGAAAACATTGCATTCAGATTTCCAAGTTAACGAGATTGAGCCCAGCGGCCATGTTGTGTATTTGACTGACCTTGGAATTGATATGGGTAAATCGAGAAAGGAGAAGAAGCTTGAACAAAAAGCTAAAGAGGCACAAGAATTTGCAGGAAAGACAGATGAGGAAATTGCCAGCATAAAAGCAGAAAGGGCCAAGGCACAAGAAAATGAACCAAAGTATGAATTGAGTGAAGAAGACCGAAACGAATTACTCGCCTACATCAGTGAGGAGGAGTTGAAACAAATTGAACAATTGTTCCACACTGGAAACCACATGGAGACAAAAACAACCATTGACGATAAGGAGAAAAGGGGAAAATTGCATCAGCTATTACGGAAAGCATTTCAAGGCAAATTAGAGAGTACTACATCATCTGAAAACACATTTAAAATAGTGATTGCCAAGAATAGAGGCAACAATAGACGTGGTGGAGATACAAACATCATGGACAGTATGCACCATGTGGATGAGAATGGAGTCATAAATTATGGACTTGGTCCGTTCAAACCATATTTACATTTTGCCGTATTCAAGCAAAACAGGGACACGATGGATGTTGCCAACAATATAGCCAAAATGTTGCGTATTTCTCCAAAGACAATCAACTATGCAGGAACAAAAGACCGTCGTGGCGTCACTTGTCAGAAATTCTGTATTCTGCGTGGTAAAGTACTTCGTGTTAGTGCGTTGAACAAGATGAAGAATTCGAATTTCAAGTTGGGACGGTTTACGTATGAGGACTACCCTTTGAAATTGGGAGATTTGGCTGGGAATGAGTTTACAATCACTTTGCGTGATGTGAAGCCAGCTGTTGATGAAGGTGCAGATGCCGACTTGCGCACGATTGTTGCGCAATGTTTTGATAGCTTGGACAAGCATGGGTTTATCAATTACTTTGGAATGCAAAGATTTGGTTCGTTTTCGGTACCAACTCATGAACTTGGTATTGCGTTGTTACAAGAAGATTGGGAGAAATGCGTAGAGTTGTTATTGTCAGAGCAAGAAGTGTGTTCTCCAGGAACAATGGAAATGAGGAAAATATGGAAGGAGAAACGCGATGCCAAGGAAGCTTCAAAAGCATTACCAAGACATTTTGTAGCTGAAAATTGCATCTTAAAAGTGTTGTCCAGTGAACAACAAGACTCGGACAAGAAGTACAAGCGGCACTCATATTTGAAGAGTCTTTTGGCTATACCGAAGAACTTGAGAATGATGTACGTTCACGCTTATCAGTCATATGTATGGAACTTGGTTGCGTCAAAGAGAATAGAATTGTTTGGGCTTGAAGTACAGGAAGGTGATTTAGTCTTTGATGAACAAGGAAGCAACAAGGCTACTAGTGTAGATTATGATGGGTTCGAAGAAGACGTAGCTGTTTCCAATACAGTTGCAGTGAGGGCACTAACCAAGGAGGATATTGACAGCGGAAAGTATTCAATTTTTGATGTTGTTTTACCAAGTCCCGGGTTCAAAATCGAGTATCCTACAAATGAGAAATTGAGACAAGTTTATATCGATACCATGGCCAAGGACAATCTCGATCCATTCAACTTGATGCGAAAGAATAAGGAATTTTCGTTAACTGGTGCTTATAGAACCTTATTGTCCAAACCAAAAGATCTATCTTATGAGATAATTGAGTACAGAGCAGATGGCAAGCCTTTGGTGAAGACAGATTTGGAGATATTGGAGATGAAAAATAATGGAGACGACATAGAAGCTGTAGAATCAACCTTGTCGGAGAGAATAATCAAACACCACAATAATGATGCTGATGATGGTGCAGCTGATCCTTCTGCCGAAGCAAAATTTGCAGTTGTTTTGAAAATGAAATTGGACGTGAGCTCGTACGCTACTATGGCCTTAAGGGAATTCATGAGAATTGACACGTCCAGATACGCACAAATGAAATAGTACTTGTATATACGATAGAAAAGTTTTAACAATCTAGATTTCGTTTCCCTCGTATTGAGTTTTGTAGTTGGCGTCGTTTATGGTGACATTGTTCCGATACGAGAACGCGGCGCGCTCGCTACGATCATCGCTCCCGTTATATATATATATATATTATTATTTTTTTTTTTTTTCAGTGTTCTATATGTAAATGCAGCAGCCGACCCCGACTTCAAACATAAATGGAAGGAAAGTAGACAAGCAAGCAATGAGTACATTGAACCCAGTCACCACACATAGAGAGTTTAATGGTCTTCCCGGGGCAATTGGTATCACTTTTGGTTTACCCCTTGTCATCTTTTTTTTTGGACTAGTCACTAATCAATACTATTCATTACAAGGTGTCAATCTTCAAATAGACAAAGTGTTGAGCCAAATACCTTCAACACAATCACAATGGGCCGATTTGTGCTTTGACAAATATGTTTGGGGTGCGTACTTGGTCTGGTTCTTTGGTTTGGTTACATTGGACCAAATATTGCCTGGTACAACTATGCAAGGAACCAAATTGAGAGACGGCACTTATTTGAACTATTGCATAAATGGTATTAGCATGAGTGGAACATTGTTTGCCATTTTGGTTGCGCGTTGCTTGCAAGTCGACGATTTCAATTTACCTGAATTGCAATTTATTTACGATAATCAGTTGAAATTGTCAGTGACGTGTATTATATTTTCCTTTTTGTTGGCTGTCTTTGTTTATGTACTTTCATTTGTACCGTTGTTCAAAACGAATGGTTTTGGAACGAGGGAAAGAATATTGAGCGTCAATGGGAACACGGGGAATGTGGTTTACGATTGGTTTATTGGTCGTGAGTTGAATCCAAGGGTTGGTAATTGGGATATCAAATTATTTTGCGAGTTGAGACCGGGAATGTTGTTGTGGTTTCTAATCAATTTGAGCTGTGCCCATGAACAGTACCATCGATTGGGCTATGTTACCGACTCGTTGATATTAGTTACCTTACTACAATCATTTTACATTTTCGACGGGGTTTTGAACGAGACTGGGTGTTTAACAATGATTGATATCACAACCGATGGGTTTGGATTTATGTTGAGTTTTGGTGACTTGGCCTGGGTGCCTTGGGGCTACACCTTACAGACGAGGTATTTAAGCATACCCGGAAATGAAGTGATACTCGGGTGGTACAGATTTGCAGCCATAGTAGTGCTACACTTTGTTGGGTTTTACATTTTCAGGGCTTCTAATTTACAGAAATCCAATTTCAAGAATGGCAAGTTGCAGCATATGAAGCATATCAAGACTGCTACAGGGTCTAAATTGTTGATCGAAGGATGGTGGGGATTGTCGCAACACATCAACTACCTTGGAGATTGGTTAGTTGGCTGGTCGTGGTGTCTCCCTACTGGGTTCCAAACCCCCTTGACGTACTTCTATGTGATCTATTTTGCCAGCTTGTTGATTCATCGACAAGTGAGAGACGATATGAAATGTCAGGCAAAGTATGGCAAAGACTGGGAAACTTATAAACAATTGGTTCCGTACAAAATTATTCCTTATATATATTAAGACGAAAAAAAAAAAACATTGATACATGTATATCTTATTCATTCTTTTTATCGAAGTCAACCTGCTTCTCAAATGAGGCATACGTGATTTGTAAATCTGAAAGCCAAGTCAAAGCACCATAAAGAATCAATAACAAAAATCCAGACACAATCAATCCAGACCAAATTCCAGTAGTGAAAAATTGATAGTTTGTGAAAAGATTGTCGTGTTTGACTGTGGTTGAATTTGAAGGAATATCTTCCAATATGGAAACTGGTTGGTCTTCCTCAGCAGCTAATCTATTAGCCTCAGCAAAGTCTGCATCAATATCTTGTTCTACTGAAACATCTCCATTTTTCTCTTTCCTAGTCACCTTGTCGTTGAGATCGTACAAATTTTGCAATTTCTCCTCAGCGGCAGCATCTACCACATCTGTTTCTTTCTCCTTATGGTCGGGTATAATTTGGATAACATAATCGTCATGATCATCCGTATTGGCTCTTTCAAGCGCTTCATCGATTGCTGCGCCAGATAAGAGCTTTGGCAATGCTCCACGACTCTTAAACTCATTGAAAACAGGCTCAGTTCGATCAGAGTATACAACGTTGGCAATGGGTAATAGCTTGCCACCAACATTTCTCAGCTTTGAGAACCATTCAGATTTCCTGACCTGGTAATAGTTGAGAGGAGCTTCTGAAACCTCACCAAGGTCGTGTGCTTTGAACTCCGTTGAAATCAATATGTCCACATCGCTGAATGTTTTGTATAGCCATTGGGGTTTGTCGACTAAGCCCGGTGCGTCGTATCTGGTCCTTATAAAAGTGGGAGCGGTATTTGCAAAAGCTGCAATTGTTCCAATGAAGTATGCCAAATGTGCTATGAGCAAGCTCAGGAAATGCATCTTGTAGGTAAGGGTATGGTTTGTGTATGTGATGAACTAAGAGACCTTTTTTCGTTGGAGTTGTGGAATATTAATTTTTTTGCTTTTTGCTCTGGTTGAAGAGAGAGAGAGAGAGAGAGAGAGAAAGAGAGAGAGAGAAAGAGAGAGCGAGAGAAATTGGTTCAGTTAATCAATTGTCGTTTCTTATTTATAGTCTCTACATACAAATACACAATTGACAAACATAATGGTTAAAGCAGATATTCCAAAGTATGTATAACATACCACCGCTGATGATACGATTGGCTTTGCGGTTTTACTAACGTTCAAACTTCCCTTTTATTTTTTTAGATCAGTGATACAAAAGTTGATGATTTTCACCGCATTGATGATAATAGTGCCCCTTGTTACATTCTTTACAGTACAGTATTTCACACCAAACAGTATAATAAGTGGTGGATTGAGTGCGTTGTCTGCCAACATTGTCTTGATTGGGTACATTGTGGTTGCATTCACCGAGGACACGTCATCGCTACAATACGAATCAGAGAAGGAGAAAAAGATTGACTAAAGAAGGAGGTAGGCGGTGACGACTCAATGAGGAGTTCCTAGTTAGCAATTGACTCGTGTAATTAGTAAATAACGAATTTTTGATATAAGCTGCGTCGAAGCACCTGTTCACTATAGTTGTATTAAATCCTTTGGGGGACCCTTGTTACCGCATAGACAACGCCGCATGAAAAATTTCGTAAAACCGAATCTGTCATCAAATAGTTTCCATATACTCTCCATCTATACACTCTCCCGCCCCCTGTCCTGACATCCCCCATGGTGCAACAACTTTCACTCGTTTCGTCAATTCCTCATTCGAACTACCTACAAACCATAACATCCCTACAAGCCATAACCGGCATTTTACAACCACAAAAGATCTCCACCTACTCATTAATAACCAAACCTAATCATGTATTCAAACCCATATTCGAACCAGGGAAAATCAATCAAATTGAACAGTATTATATGAGATGCAGCACAACCTGGGAAGAACCCTTGAAAAGTCAGGGTGGCAGTAGTAGCCAATTAGATATCGCTAAACCTATTTTCAAAGATGACAAGGAGAATCCCATATTGGTGAAAAAGTTATTCCATAACGACGACAACAACAACACCATCACTGCTGATGATGGTGTTGACCGTGTGTGGACTTTGCAAATTAGTGACATACCCATTGCTGGCAAAAACCAAACTTGCTCCCAACAGACAATTTATGAAAGCACGTTGGTGCATACTCATGTTGGAGTGGATAATGAACCAGCAAGTGATTTGGATGATAAGATGGATGTAGATGCGGACGTGAAGGAGGAAAAAGAGGGGAATGTAGGAACAGAGGCAATTGAGGTTAAGAAGGTGGAGGACATGACTGCACTGAAAAGTGACGATGCTACGATCAAGAAGGAAGATGGAGCTGAGACTGACGTCAATATGGAAGACTCAAGTACAAAGGACGCAATCAAAGACGTTGATACCGACAAAGGAGCCAGCATTGAAGTCACAACTACCATAAAAACAGAACCAAAAGAGGCGTCAACACGTACTAAAAGTACACCTTCTCGAAAGACCCAAACCGACTCCTTTTTAATCTTTCTCAATGATCTCGGGTACGAAGTAGTCAATCAATACTGGGTAAAAGGAGTACGTTTCTTCTACAAGGACATTGTGATTGAAATATACAAGATATTCATCCGTGACGACGACTACGAGGGCAAAGACGATGACGCAATCAAGTTGAAATTGCTCGACGAATCAAACACGTTTCAAGTTAAATGTTTTGTCAATGTGCCCAAGACAACTGATGTGGAGTTGATAAATGCCGGGGCCAAGGAATTGACAAAGTTGCAGGAGTTTGTCAAGAGTTTGTTTCTTTTGGAGGTTCCAGATCGGATGTCTATGGATTCGAGAGTTCGAAGTTTGAAATAAGATTGTGAGTGGAGCTAGAGTACACAAAAGTGATTCCTTCACGTTTTGAAAAATATCTACAGTCTAAAGATAATACACGTCAAAACTCGCAAACCATCTCTTCCATTAATTTACATACTCTGCAACTGCTTCTTTTTCTTATCCAATTGCTTCCTCTTTTTCGCCAACTCCTTATTTCTGGTCTCCTTCTTATCAATACCGTATTGCATCTTCTTGTATAACTTCTTTTGCTTATTTGTCATCATAATCTTGGCCAACTCCTTAGCTTCATCGTCTTCATTGACTTTATTTGAGAATTGTTTAGTTTTTTGTTTCTTTGATTTAGGTTCATCTTGCTTCTGGTCGGAAAACTTTTCTCCAGCAACTTCCATTTCCAACTCCTTTTGTGCTTTGAGATCCTCATCAAGATCCTCCTCGTCTTCCTCGTCTTCGTCTTGATCTTCGTCTCCAGACTCTACTTCAATGTCCTCCTCCTCCTCCTCCTCCTCCTCCTCGTCTTCTTCGTCTTGTTCTTCCTCGTTGGCTTCACCTTCGGCTTTTTGTGCTTTGGCATTAGCATCGGCATTTGGATCATATCCACCAGCATCACCCCATGGCGATAAATGTGGAGGTAAAGTCTCGCCGGGAGCATATGGCCCCACACTAATCAACTCCTGTTTATTAACACAATCAAATACCCATTGTGGCTGAACATAAGTCCTACCGGGAACCTTGGTCAAGATCTTGTTTCGATCACAAATTTGATGAGTTATCGAATCCAAATTCAATTCATTGTATGCTGCAGGGTCATTCAATTTCAAATCATCAAGACTAATCTCTGATATTACTGTTCCTCCACATGACAATATGACAAATTCCAAAATGTCCAAGGGGACTTCTCTACCAATGTAGAAAATGAATTTGGAAAATAGTTGGGAAGTAGGCGAGGAGAATTTAGATGGTTGAATCAAAGTGTCGGCTGATTGGGTTGTTGAGTTGTCTTGGAAAGTGTCCAATTCAACTTCTTCAACTGCAGCACCAGCATCTTCTTTTTCAATGTCCTTGTCATTGTCGACTTTCTCATCTGCTTCGATTGCCCTTTGGATTTCCAATTGAGACAACTCTTTTCCAACTTTGCCACCAACATTCCCTTCAGCAGCTGTTGCTGCCTGTTGTTGTTGTTGTTGTTGCAGTTGCAGTTGCAGTTGCAGTTGCAGTTGCAGTTGCTGCTGCTTCAACAACAAATTGCCATTCTTCGAATCCTTTGATTGCAAAACATAACTAGTCAATCCACCAACACCCTTCAACTTGGCCGTATCAATACGAGGAGGATAAATTAAACCACTCTCGTTATACAACTTGTACATGACAAAGTTCAACAATGTCGAATAAAACTCCAAGAACGTCAACATGATTCTAAAATCGACATCAGTGGGGATGTTCGTGGGGAACTTGTATGGAATCAACCATCTAATCTCTTGGCCCTTGACTGTAGCTTGGTAGTATACTCCCTTTATACTCACAAACACCTTTTTCAACAAGCGTTCCTTGGCAACGTATGCCAACCACTGATTGCACAATTTTTCAGCATCACCGACAACTTTGGTGGATACACGGTCAGTTGCGGGCATGTTACTGAACAAAAACAACATATTCAAAGGGTCGTCCAAATCTCTCAAGGCATCAAGAAAAGTGGGGTATCTCTCCTTGATGATGTGATTTAACTTATACTTTGGACGGTTCTGTTCCAATTTGGAAGCACTAGAAATCTCACCTTTACCCAATGCCCTTTGCAATTTCTTTGCAAATGTCTTGTGCTGTCTGAATTTGTCCAATACCGGTTCATGAAGCAAGTACTGGATGTCTTTGGTATAGTAGAACGTGACGGGGGCAGTTGAACCTTTGTTAGCTTTCTTTTTGTTTCGTGGTTCTCTTGGATATATACCTTTGAAAATACAAAGACGACGGAAATCAGCTAAGGAAATCTGCAATCTCTTGATTGCTTGCGTACGAGTTATGAAATTTTTGGCATTTCCTGATGTTCCTTTTCTTTTGATTCTAGCCATTGTGGATGGGAAGAGTTGTGGATAGGAGAAGTGACGGTTTCCTTTCTGGTCCTTGTGATGCAGAGGAGTTTGAAAAAAACAGAAGAAAAATTCCTCATCTCATCCCTCTTCTTGTCGTGGACCTTTCAATGTCGCAACAAAAAAAAATAAAAATAATCTACGACAATTTTAATCACAGTGTATTTATATGAAGATACATATCACAACCAGTTGTCTAATTTACAGACCAGACTCTATGGGAGTGAATCTTACAGAATGGAACTAGAAGGTGCTAATACTCTCTGCCTGCTAGAGTTATATACACTCTTACAATATTTTTTTTTTCTCAATATTAGGCGAGTTTTTATTAAAGGTTTTGAAGCGTCTCCTGTCCACTTCCTCACAAAGCTATAGTATACACATATACAAATTAATCTTACTCCCACCCCACACAGGCACTATGGATATAGCTGAAATTAAATATACTTTCACAAAATTTTCTCAATTCTTGCTTCCAAAGTATCCACCAAGAACTGCAGCAAGAATAATGATGATAATAATGACAATAACCAAACACCAAATCTTCTTCTTTCTGGCAGCTCTGGCACTCTTGACTGCTTTGTTTGTGTGACCAACACCTTGTTCTATGTCATGTTGAGCAGTTCCAACTTGTTCCTCGATTTGTTGAATTGGTTGATCTTGTTCAATAACCAACTCTTCCATATCATGAAACAATTGAGTCAATTCAGCCATGGTCTTTTCCAATTTCAAAAGTTCTCGGTGTCTAACTTGGACCTCACTCAATACCGAACGAGCTTCACCTCTTCTGTTGCTTTGCATCAAAGCTTGTTGGAAATACTGTTGAGATCCATCTTCAACAACAGCTCTAATTTCCTCTTGTGTGGCGTCTGGTTTGATAATCTGATATTGTCTAGCAGCTTGCTCCTTGGATGATTCCTTGTTTTTAGCCTCAACTAATCTATAATCTTGGATAAGATCCAAAAATCTTTTTCTACAAGTTTCAGCTTGGTCAACCTTGGTTTGGTCTTTTGAGTGTACTGCCTCAACTTGGGCATTCTTTATCCTAGCTTTTAAATCTAGTTGCAACGACTGAGCTTCACCAACTAAACTATCAATTTGTTGAGAACTGTATTCGGTATCCTCGTCATTCAAGTCGATATTGTACAAGAAACTCTTTTGTTTATTGTCAATTAAGTTGATGATGTTGGAGTAGTTGTCCAATTGTGAGTTGATATCTTGAATCTCATTCATAAACTGGACAAAGTCATCCTCATTTGATGATGAGTATTGTTTTGTAGCAGCACTATTTGGGCCCGCAGAATAATTGTTGTAATTGGTGTTGCGGCCGTTGTTTATGTCACTCAACTCATATGAGTTCTGGTTCTGAGCCTGGTATGGCTGGTTCTGATACGGGTTTCTGCTCATGTTTGCAAATTCAATAGGTTAAACAACAACAACAACAACAACAAAACGACAGTAGTAGTGCAAAATTAAAACAAAAAGTAAAAAAAAAAAAAGAAATACTTAATCAAAGTCAAACTAAAGTGGGAATGTAAGGGCAGATACAGCAGTGTTTGTTGAATGATGCTTGTAGTGTGCTATGTGTATATGTGATCTATAAGGGGGGTTGTATTTTCTTGTTCTTATATCCTCCTGACTCTTGGTTGATTGGTTTTAGGTCTGAACTTTATTTGGGAAGTTTTCGTCTCTTTTTTTTTTTTTACTTTTTTACTTTTTTGTCGCTGATTCTCTCTCTCTCTCTCTCTCTTCCTCTTTAGTAAAGCCTTAAATTCCGTAGTTAGTAAACAACAGAACGTTAAAAATAGCGCGTTTTATTTGTCGTGAAATGTTATAATGCGACACTCTTAAAGACCTGACAGTACTGCGCCTCTCCTTCTTACAAACACTGATGTGTTTTGTATTGTGATTCAACAAGGTTCATCACTCTTGCCACTTGTCACTAACTCGTTTTCTTTTTTTTTTTTTTTGCCATCGTATTATTAGGCTGTGTGTTGATCATGAAATAATGAGAATTTCATAGAGCTTTTTGTGTAGAAGGTACGTAAGGTACAAATTAGATGCATTTGTGTGTGTATGTGTATGGAATGTGTCTATACGGTGGTATGAGTCTGCGCTTGGTCTATGAGTTTCTCGAATCGAGGCTTTGGGCTTGAGGATGGCTTTGTAAGGAAGATTTTCACCAGTGTACAGAGATATGCACATATTCATTCATGCGTAAATGTCATTACCTTTTGCACAACCAGTTGTAACGTGGCATCTACCGGATTTTACAACAGTTACCAATCTAAGCCTCGATGCACACCTACAAACCAGATGGTCCGAATGATCATTCTTGGAACACGGAGTATACCGAATCGTGCTCCAAGTGCTATGGTAGCAGCATCGGCTGCAGCCACTAATTCAATATTTTTTTTTTGTTTTTTTCGTCCCAAATAGGCAAAAATCAGAGATCATAGTGGTGTATAATTACGGATACAGACACGATTCATGAAGCAGCTGAGCAGCTCCTTATCGTCGTTCAAAGCTTCAGAGCACCAGGCTGCTGGTCACTATGGCTGCATGACACTGGACTCCCTATTTATCAAGCCCGCCACACGTCAAGAATTGGATTTTTACACAGAAACATTGAGACGAGATGCCACTAAAGAAGGCATTCTCAGTGAAGAAGATCTGGAAGGTATCGCTTTGGGTTCTTTAATATCACATTGGATGTCAACGTTTTTGGGTAGCTTACAAGAGGGCGAGTTATCGAACAAACCGATCCTGGAACAAGACTCGCTCACATCAACGTCAACATCCAAAACTGGTACTCAAACTCAACACGATAAAGAATATATTGTGCTTCAGAATCTATATCATGGGTTTAAGAGCCCGAGCATATTGGATATTAAACTAGGATCCAAATTGACTGATGATTCAGTAACTTCCGTAGAAAAAATTAAAAGATTGCAAAATGTTAGCGAAACTACAACTAGTGGAACCCATTCGTTTCGAATATGTGGCATGAAAGTGTACAATGGAAATAGTGACAACAAGCCCAACGAGCTTTTTCCGGGTATGGATGAAACGATAACTACAGTTGATGCAGGAACCAATGACGATTCGTCATCACAGGGGCATTACTTGGTTTATGACAAGATTTTTGGTCGGTCGTTGAATTCAACTACGATTCAGCGAGGCTTGGAGCTCTATTTTCATTCCATCGCTTCAAACAACAAGCAACAGTTTCTTTGTCTCGTTAGTAATTTCATTCATCGTTTGCAGCTTTTATACAATTGTTTATTGGACTACGAAACAAGACTGTATTCAGCTAGTCTCTTGTTTATCTATGAAAGTGATCCACAGGCATGGGAGAATGTTTCTGTTGATAATTATGACTTGCGCGACCCATTGATTAAAGAATTTGAAGTAAGTGATAATGATGATGAAGAAGAGGAAGAAGAAGAAGAAGATGATGATGATGATGATGACAACAAAGACGGTTGGACATCGAATGACTCTGTTGCGATTGAAAAGCAGGCGTTACACAATGTAGCAACAGCTTACAATATAGTCAAGCAATCGCAATCAAACGATGTTGAAAAAGACCCCAGAAGTGTTCCTCGTCTGGTTCCATTGAGCAGTTTACATTTGATAGATTTCGCTCATTCCAAGTATGTTGATGGAGAAGGGTATGATGAAAATGTGATTGAGGGCGTCGAAAACTTGATAAAGCTTTTCGAAGACATCAAGCTGTCCTACACTTAGGCTACACGCAGACAACATTTAGACATTAGAGTACAGTTATGAATTTATGAATTTTACTTACGAAAACGTTGTAAATCTTTCTTTTCTTTTCTTTTCTTTTCTTTTCTTTTCTTTTCTTTTCTTTTCTTTTCTTTGCGTTTACTTTACTATGTAGTTATGGGCTAGATACTCTCCTCTACCAAAACGTCTACTTTCCTCTTTAATCTATTTCAACAATTTTGTAATCTTACCAATAGCAATAGTGGTACCTTGATCCCTCAATGTAAATCTTCCTAATTGAGGATAATCATTATAAGTTTCAGCACAAACCAATTCATTACACTCCAAAACGGCAATAATCTTCATACCCTTTTTAGCGAATGCTGGCGGCTTCTTGGACTTTCTATTGGTTCCCTTTTCCAACTTGTGCTTCAATTCAACAAATGTAACTTCTTCAATAGCAGTATGTAAATGCATAACACACGAGAACCCATTAGACAAAATGGATTTCAATTCAACAATGGCAATTTGTGCTTCGAATTTGGTGACTGTTTTGACTGGGTTTTTAGGTGAAGTTAACACATAACCCGGTTGCAAATCTTCCTCTTCGACCCCCTTGATCTTCAAACGAACTTGTTCTCCACTGAATGCAGTATCACATTCTTGTTCAGTTTCATTGTAGATTGTGATAACCTCAATAGGTGTCTTGTTCGGCATCATCAACAAACTACCCCCCTTTCTGATATGTCCACTTTCAATCTTACCTTCAACAACAGTACCCATATCCTTCATCTTTCCCGAAATTGGCAACATAAATGGCCCATTGATTTTTCTATGAACAGTGCTCATGTTGTCCAAAAATTCCAATAATGATGGACCAGTGTACCATGGGCAATCTTTGGAGGGGACTCTATCTTTCAAACCAGCACCAGTGTATCCAGATACGGGCATGAATATGATATCGTCCTTGTTGTAGCCAATTCCCTTCAAAAAGACACCCAATTTGGTCGTACATTCATTGTACCTTTCTTGTGACCAGTTGACAGTTGGATCGTCCATTTTGTTGACAACAACAACAATCTTGTTGACACCTTGCGTTTTGGCTAAAAGTGCATGTTCTCTAGTTTGACCACCTTTTTCAAACCCAGTCTCATACTCACCTTTTCTAGCACTAATAACCAAAATACCAACATCTGCTTGTGAAGCACCACCAATCATTTCAGAAACGTACATCTTGTGACCAGGTGCGTCCAATATGGTGTATCTTCTCTTGTCAGTTTCAAAGTATGCTTTCCCAACTTCAATAGTTTTACCATCGTTTCTTTCCTCCTTGTTGGTATCCATGACCCACGACAAGTACCAACCTTGTCTACCGGCATCTTTGGCTTCTCTTTCATACTTTTCAACAGTACGCTTGTCGACAGAACCAGTCAAGTACAAAATGTTACCACCCATGGTGGACTTACCAGCATCAACGTGACCCATAAAAATGATTGACACGTGGTCTTTTCCTCCAAACATATCCTTGACAACTTCTTCATCGACCTCGTCTTCTTGCTCCTTGGCTACCGTGTCAGCAGTTACTGCTGCTGCTGCTGCTGCTGATCCCGAGGCTTTTGCTGGTGCAGCAGCAGATGAAGATTTTGATTTTGTTGCTGGAGCAGGGGTGGTCTCCTTTGGTGTGGGTGTAGATTCTTTACTTGGCTTTTCTGCTGATTTATCCACTGGTGCTGAAGCCGAGGCGTTGGCAGTCTTGTCAGTCGAAGCACCAGTTTCCTTCTTGGTCTCCTTACTATCATCGGTAGCTTTCTTCTTCTTCTCATCTACACTAGGAGCTGGTGATGATTCTTTTGAGGCAGCAGGTGGAGTTGCATTAGCGTCGTCTTTCTTGCCCGAATTGGCCAATTTGATACCCGAAGAAGGAGCCAATTTCAAAGTCTTCTTGACTGGTTTGTTCAAAGATGATTGTTGAGCTGATTTTTGCTTCTCAAAATCTGCCAATGACATACCAGTTGGTTGTTGAGGTGGTGCCTGCTGAGGTGCTTGTGGGTTGTAAGCTTGATATCCACCACCATATGATTGCTGTTGCTGGTATCCACCATATGGTTGGTTTTGCTGATATCCTCCATATTGCTGGTATCCGCCTCTGTTATTGCTGTACTGCTGATAGCCACCTCTGCTATTGTACTGTTGGTATCCTCCTCTGTTGTTGTATCCACCTTGTCCACCATTGTAAGCACCATACTGTTGCTGTTGTTGTTGTTGTTGTTGTTGTCCTGGCTGGTAAGCTTGGAATTGTTGGTATCCACCAGATGGGACAAAAGCTTGGGCCTGGTTGGGATCATAGTAGCTCTGGTATGGCTGCTGTTGCTGTTGCTGTTGCTGTTGCGATTGTTGTTGTTGTTGCTGTTGAGGCTGGTTTCCACCAAGCGATGCGTTTTGGAAATCCTGGTTCAACTTGTCTTGGTTGTACTGATCCGACATTGTATACTTGCTGAATTGATACGTCTATGTGTATTCCCTTTTAAATGGCACTAGTTGGCACTACACTTCAGAGATGGTTCAATGCTAAAAGTTCTTCAAATCTCCCTACTCCTAGGCTGTTGCTCACTCTGAAAAAAAAAAAAATTAAAAAAATTTTTTTTGTGAAGAGCCGCTCTGAGTCTACACGTGACTGGCGAAGAGTGGACAGCAGTAGCTCCTAGTATACGACACATTTGAGACATTGTAACTCAAAAAGTCACCTTTTTAGAATTAACGTGTCTGTGTGTTTGATTTATTTTAAGTCTCTACTAAAGGCAACGGGGAATGCAGAGGCTTTCTTTCCCTTAAACACAGAAACATTCTGTATGTATTCTTTTCCAGTTATACATGTTGGAGAAATTATTATTCTTTGCTTATCAAAAAGAAAAAAAAAAAAAACTGTGTGGAGAGGAAAGTCACACAATTCAGTCAATTCAAATAGTACGTCGAACCAACAATATGCCCATATTTGGAGACCATACTCTTACTGCAGTGACCATCAAAGTGAATCAGCTAGTAGAGCACAAGAATGATGAATTGGAAGACGCAATGGAACTATACTTGTCCGATCTACTTGGATTGATCAATGTTCAACGCCAATCAGGTGCAACAGAGGCAGCCAGAGCTATCAGGAAAAAGATCAAATATGGTGATAGTGTAAAAGAACAGATCCGAGCGTTACAGCTATTGGAGCTTTTAGTGCTCAACTCTGGTGTCAAAATTGGTCCCATAATTGCTCGTGATGACAAGTTGTTGGATGTTTTGAAAGGAATTCTCAATGGCCATGGTAAAACTGGCTCGGGGACCAGCTACAACCCGAAAGTAGGGAAAACTGTGACCAGCATGGCAGTTGGATGGAAATCAGAACTTGATGGCTTGAAAGGGTACGAATATATGCAAGGCTTGTACAAGGCGATTCCTGGTGTGAAGAAGCGCTCTAAAGCTTTGTCTCTGTCCAATAATGGCGGATCTCAACGTGGAGGTGGTAGAGCTGATGAAAATGAAGATGGGTTTGACGATGATTCCGATCCTTATGGCGACGACCATGCCCTTGATGATGACCGTTCAGTTTCGGATTCGCCTCAACCGCGAGTGAAGTCGCCAAAAGTTCCTCCTCCACGTCCTACTACAGCATCACCATATTCAGTTAATAATAAAAAGACTTCTAACAAGAAGGACAGGTCGAAAAATAAGAAGAGTAAAAAGAAGAGATCGAAGAATGGGATTGTTTACGCTGATTCCGAGTACGGTATCCCACAAATAAATTACAAATTGGAGGCACCAAAGATTAGGAAAGTATTGACAGAGTGCAACGACAACTCGATAACTTTGAACAACCAATTGTTGCAACTTCCACCTGACACAATGCCTCAAGACGATGACGAGATTATGGCAACATTCCAGAAATGTAAAAAGAATAGACGCAAGGTTTTAAAATATTTGCAATTTGTCGGTGCTGGTGATCCTCTGGAGAAATCACTGGAAGTCGCAAAACAAGACGAAGAATTTTTGGCCAAGTTGATATACGCAAATGAGCAATTGGTTGAGACGTTTAAGAAATTTGATATTAAGGCTGGATACTCACAAACCAACCCCGCCCCTGCTGAGGAGGAAGAATTGAGTGAAAGTGACGAAAGTTACTATTCAACTGATGATGACGATGAAGAGATGGACGAGAACGAGCTTCCAGGTGAGGATCTGATCGCTGCTAGATTGCAATCTGTCACTTTAGAAAATAAACGACCACCTCCACCACCACCACCATCACTGCAACATTCTGTGTCCCAAGCCTCGAAATATACTGGCCCAGAGCAACTTGAACTGACCAAAGAGCTCGCACGCCCAGGTCTCGCCAAAATGGAAACCAGCGAATCCTTAGGGGACCCATTTGGTGATAAACATACGGTTGATAAAGTTGACTCTGTGTACTATTAGCATTCATATATGCATTACCAAAACTTGGAGCGTATATAGATGTGAATGTGCTGTGGCTAATATTTTCCATAGTCGTTTGTAAGAAACTGGTAGCCTGGTAGAAACTTTTTGATCTCCAGATATTTTTTTTTTTTTTCACCAACTCCACAATAACACGGAATCAGCTTGCCTATAACATTAAAAAAGGATTTGGGCACTTGCCTATGTTGTTTAATAAATGTCCTCTAATACGAGACCCGCAACGCTGAACTCGAAGAATACTCCCAATAGAGCAAGATCGAGTTCGGTAGTAACTAATTGGAAAAAGCAAAAATACAAGCGGTATCGACCTCATTTTCTACAACAAACGTCAAACCGTCTGGTTCCATTACCATCAGTGGAGTGTTTTCAACTCGACTACATTTTGAACAATGTACTTTCTCAAGAGTCAGATCAGGTCATCAACGACCTACTAAATGTCACTATAAACTTTCAGCAAGATTTAAGGAAAGAAATAAAAACCAAACTATCAACTGAGCAGAAGATTCAGCTCAAGAATATCACAATATGCAAGGAGGCTAATAGCATAAATCAGATTATTCATCAACGGAGGAAGAAATTGAAGAAAGTGTTGACTTCCTCAAGTTTTGGTATAGTTAATGATACAGGTGAATATGACGAAGGGGAGGTTAATCACCTCTTGAAGAAAAGTATAGAGGTTAGTGATCGAGTCAAGAGCTCAATTTCCAAGATACGTGATATGGAGGAGAGACACAGACCAGGTCGTGAAAGTCTAGTGAGCATCAAGAGAGAAAAGTACCCCAATTTGTACAATCTTTTGAGTAAACAGAGAAAAGAAGTGGAGAATGACGGCAATGTGGAAAATGACGGCGTTATCGATAAACACCTGGAAGTCACCAAGAATCCTGAAAACGGTGCCAAGACATTGGATGCGTATGTTTCCGTGCAAGAGTCTCAAAGTGAGCAGAAGCATGGTGGTACACAGGTGGAGGAGTCGCCTTTCCTTGTCAAGAAAGAAGATGACATACGGAAACGCCCCAATCCAAGTACGGATACCCCCGCATCCCCCAAAGATGAGATAATGGATCCGTCCGAGTTCGAGCTATTCATGTCAAATAGTATAGTCAAGTACAGAGAACAACAAAACAAAAGCATAAAAACCATACATACTAAAGGTGCTAGTATAAACTCATCACCAACGAATTACAAATCAGGTGGGAATCCATTGAATCTTCTATATTCTCAACTAATATCCAATCCAAAATATCTAGATCAACACCATTGTGAACAAAGTGCATCAAATTATCCATTCTCATCAATATTATCTATGAAGTCAGCAGCAACGATCAAATCAACTCAGCAAAGTTCACATTTCAAAAAATTGAGAATCAATGGAAGCCCTCTAACATCTGAACACTTTCGACGAGAAAGAGAAAAACTACAGCGCAGTGGAGAATCCGAAGAGGATAAAACTGCCCAAATGTTGAATGGTTTGACCCTCGATCAAAATGATGATGTTGAAGCTACTGACGAAAGTGAGGATGTTTGGAACTCCTCAGGCATGAATACAGAAGACGATGAGGAGCTGGAATATGGCGAAGATGGTAAGAGTAGTCGGTTCACCACTGAAGGTGACGCAACAAATTCAAATGATACCTCGTCGCTCTCATCGTCAGAGCTAGATTCTTCCGATTCGGACTCCTTTGGTGATTTAATGAATCTCCAACTCGCATCCAACAGGTTCTATGCGAATTTGAGGAAGGATGTGAAACAGAGGCGACGCAATCAAAAGACCAAAAAGCCAGCGAACCAAAAGAAATACAGAATACAAGTTAAAGAAATGTCGCCCACGCCAAAGCACCAGCCATCGCATCATATACTAAAACCAAAGAGCTCGATTTTGAAAACGAAACCAACTTCTCCAATCAAACAACGATCGTGTTTGCAAGGTCCGAATCTGGCTGTAACCAATGATTATGACCATGAAGTAAGTGCACTTTCCGAAGTGAACAATGCATATGGATCGAAAACTGACAATTATACAAGCTCTTACAATGCATGTGGGACCATTGTTTTGAACCACGATAGTAATAGAGCACATGGTGACCACAGTCTGATCGGTGATGGTGGTGTCGTATCTGATGGGGAGGGCAGTCCCCGCTCAATATCAATTTTGAAAAGCTTTATGCAGTAGATCAATCTTATAAGGGCAGTGTTATTTTGAAGGATTATTGAGCTGCGCAGATACATATGTTGCTTCCACAGTTTTTGTATTAGGTTAATTATAGAATAGACAAGTATTTACTATGGTTGGAAATTATTAAAATTATTCAGTTCGTTTATATCCAATGCCGTTTTGTATCAAGGGAGTCAGTATCTAACTTGTTTTCACAGAATCGTTGGTAGATGTATGAATACTATCCCAATGACTCAAAGCAGTAGATAACCACCGCAAGACCCCTGCATCGTTACGTTATCCACACGTAGAAGAAAAATAGTACGACAATGCCAAACACAAGTAACCACATTTTCCAACTGATTCCAGCCCGCTGACTCATCACCACCATCTTGTTATATGTATTTTTCAAAGTAACTTTCCCCTTCTCGAATCCGTTTGTTATTTCGTCATTCAACTTGACAGACTTGTTTATTTCAACCCCCATTTTCTCACCCAAATTTTTCAACATGTTGATCTTGGCCCCCATTGTATTCAACTCTTCATCATTTTGTGATTCTAGTGAAGAAAGCAAAGATTCATCAAATTTCGCATTGGAAGACGACGCCCGTGGTGTGGGGTCGTAGGGAGACGACATGTTTGATCGCAGTGGTGGTGTTTGACTGCGCAGTGGACGTATGCCTGTGAAATTGTGAGGTCCTGGTGTGCTGAATAGCTGGGTGCGTAAATCTCCTCTTTGGTGAGCGCCGCCGGCGGCTGAATATCTAGATGTCATGGTTTTGATAGACTGCTGTAGCTTTGTGGATGGGTTTTCCTATTGATGTGTTGTTTCAATGCAATTAGAAAATTGTTGTTCTATGTCGCATAAATCCGTGATGTCTTTTGTATTAGTAAGTTCTCCTACAAAATCTACAAAGTCTACAAAAAAAAAACTGCAGAGATACGACTACAGTACAGACGAAGAAACGTACTCTACTCATGTCGCAAGAAGTTCCAAAGTCACTCAACAATGTCAAGCATGTGGTTCTAATACTTTCAGGTAAGGGTGGTGTGGGAAAGTCCTCTGTAACGACACAAACGGCACTTACCCTAGTCAACAAAGGTTTCAATGTGGGTGTGCTAGATATTGATTTGACTGGCCCTTCGCTCCCGAGAATGTTTGGTGTTGAAAAGAAACAGGTCCACCAGTCCACTCAAGGATGGGTTCCAGTGCAAGTGTATTCGAAATCAGAAACGTTGTCAGGCGGTAGCTTGAAATTGATGTCCTTGGGGTTTTTGCTAGGTGATCGAGGTAACTCAGTTGTTTGGAGAGGTCCTAAAAAGACGGCAATGATAAAGCAATTTTTGAAAGATGTTGTATGGAGCACTGATGAGCCGCTAGATTATTTACTCATTGACACTCCACCGGGCACTTCGGATGAGCATATTGCGATTGCGGAGGAGTTGCGATATGCTCAACCTATCGACGGCGCTATTATTGTGACTACTCCACAACAAGTGGCAACGGCGGATGTTCGAAAAGAGATTAATTTCTGCAAAAAAGTGAATTTTGATATATTGGGGGTGATTGAGAATATGTCTGGATTTATATGTCCGTATTGTTCAGAGTGCACTAACATATTCTCCAGTGGCGGAGGTGAGCAGTTGGCCAAGCAACTTGATTTGAGATACTTGGGGAATATTCCGATAGATCCCACGTTTGTTGAAATGATTGAGTTACAAGATGACAAAGACAAAAAGTTGATTGATTTGTATCAAACTTCGGAATTGAAACCGATCATGAGTGATGCTATAGATAAGATTCTACATTTGAATTTGGAGTCGAGGATTTAGTACATTTGAAGGTTTATAGAGCCATGTTTATATACCATTTGCCTTTTTCCATTTGTTGATTCTTCTCTTCAAATCTCCTGCCGATTGCTGGTAAATGTTCAATTTCTTATCCCACTTCATCTTTTCGTAATCATCGCCATACTTTTCATACAACGACTTTAACCAATCGCTTTCCCTATCGGAAAGATGTCTCTCCTTTTTGACTTTACTGTGCTGCTCTGCGTATTCTTCTAGCTGCTTAATGACAGAATTATCAACCTTTTCGTCATCGCTTTCTTCTTCTACTACTTTCATTGTTCCGTAAATGACCTTGATCACTTCTTTTGTTTCCGGGTCCCTTATAATTCTGGCCTCCCCTTCTGGTATCTTGGAAGGATCATCAGTATGTTCAATCTCGTCTATTGTGACTGCATCACCTTTGTCTTTATTCTTTTTCTTATTCCTGAGATCGGTCAAAGTCTCTACTTTCTTCTCAACACCACCAGCCATGTGGCCCAACTTTGCCCTTAATCCCAAACGTTTATAGTTCTGTTGTAAGGTCAATGATTTGTCCCAATTTTTGGCAATGATGGGATTCGAGTACACATTTATGTTACGCTGTTTGTCCTTGTTTCTCCTGGTGTTTTTCTTAACAGATGACCTAGCCATCTTTCTCTTCCTTACTGATACCATGGTGATATACGGGGTAGTGTCTTGTTTACGGCTAGCTTGATGGGAAAGGTTGCAAGTGAAAGAATGAGATGAGGAAACTTTGTGTCTCTCTTACTGTATTTTTTGTTTTTTATTTTTTTATTTTTTTTTTTTTTGACTTCAGTCAAAATGCGACAAGAGGAATCTACGACACTAGAAGAGTCAATGCAGTTCTTACATTTATAATCAGCATACCCTTTTCCATCTTACTAATGGGAAACATACACTATTTAGATCGAATTACCTATATGTTGGCAGAGTAATCCATACCCTGCGTACCCTCTGTCTCTCTCTCTCTCCCCCCCCCTTCCTCCTCCCCGCCTCATGGACTTTAACATCTTCATCACATATCATCAATTAATGATCTAGGTGTATCCATTAAATCTTCGCCATCCTCAGGGCCACTGGTTCCTAATGATCCATGACCTCTTCCCCTGGCTCCACTTCCACCCCTGCCCCTACCTCTTCCTCTTCCTCTACCTCTACCTCTACCTCTCGTGCCATCTCCTCTTCCTCTAAATCCCCCTCTACCGCTTGATCCTCTCTTTTTGAATCCAGGCAAATTGGTTCTCTTTGGCGTAACCCGAATTTCCCTTCCCCTGAACTCTTTCCCGTGCAATTCTTCAACGGCTTTGTTCACACTCTCGCCCTTTTCAAACTCAACATAAGCGTAACCTTTGGGTAACCCACTGAATTTGTCAAATAAAATGGTAACCCTTTCAATAACCCCAACAGCATTGAAAAACTCTTGCAATTGCTCAGGTGTAGATTGATAATCGACATTTCCGACGTATATGGACCTTGAATCGACTTCCTCTTGTTTCGCCAATCTTTCGGCTTTTTCCTCTTCTGTTTCTTGAGACCTGGACGATCTTCTCTCAGACAATTGTTCCTCTGACATTATCCGTTTGGTATCGCAGTACTAGCTTCTTTCTGTGTTTTGAGCGGTCCTCTCTTTGTAATAATCCTGAGGCTATACGTAACTCTCTCACTTGTCGTATCTTTCTCCACGAGGGGCTTCACCGAATCTATAATGTGCTGATTGGTGGTTGCAGGTGGTTCTCAATTGAATCCGAAACAGTTACTTAGTCCAAATTTTAAAGAATTTATCAGCTATAATCAACGTCCAACTTTAAATACTGTCATGGTTTTAAATTTAAATGTAGTTATGTGTAGTCTCAAAATAAAGTTAGTTCAGTAGTTAACATTGCAATTTTTTCTTGAACAAAAAGTTTATTATGTAATGCTTATGTAGTTAAATATTTTTCAAAAATAGGCAATGGCAGTGAGCGTTCCAACCAAGCACTTGAAGCGGCAAACCGCCTGATCTCTTAATCCAATGCGCTACAAGCAAGGATCATAAGCTGTGTTGATAGGCGATACTTGAAAGCACGTGTCTAAATTTTTGTGAAGGACGACCACGCAAACGTTTTCAGCTTGTATACGACTCTGTACTCCAAGAGTCGTAGATGAAGTATAGCTATGCTTATATAGTACAGTACGGAAGTATTACTCCTTGCGGCTAGTATCCGAAGATGAATATTCTTCCATTGCATTCTACTATCAAAACGTTACATTGCGCATAGATTAGAGATGTTTTCGTTCCGTTTGTAACTCCCATAAATCAACCCACTTTTTGTGCATTCCACAGTTTTTGCACTTCCGTTTTTTTTTTTTTTGTTTTTTGTTTTTTTTGCAATTTGTGCCTCCTATATTAATAAGCAAACAACAGCAAACACAGTTCATTGCTTCATTCATCCTGAAATTTTGCAACATTATAAATAGTATCCTACAACTCCATTGTCTTGCGTTCTTTTCTCCAGATCTACAAACAACACCACAACTCACCCAAATTGAAACAATGACTATCCCAAAAGAAGTTTCACCATCAGACGAAATCAAAGGCGCTCCAGCTGTTCCATACTACACACCAAACCAACCAGTTAGGGCCGGTACTTTTTACAAAGATGAGACAAACCAAGACCAGGAACCACCTGCTCTTTTCAAACCATTGAAAGTCGGACCACTCACATTGCAAAATAGAATTGGTGTTTCACCAATGTGCCAATACTCTGCCAATGAAAAATTGGAGGCAACTCCTTACCATTTAATCCATTATGGCGCGTTAGTGACTAGAGGTCCAGGTATAACTTTTGTCGAAAGTACTTCGGTTAGTCCAGAAGGTGGATTAAGTCCTCATGATTTGGGAATCTGGACCAAAGAACAAGCTGAAAGTTTGAAGCCAGTTGTTGAGTATGCTCATTCACAACATCAATTGATTGCTATCCAATTGGGACACGGGGGTAGAAAAGCAACTGGTCAACCGCCTTTTTTGCACTTGGAACAAGTTGCCGATGAGTCAGTTGGTGGATGGCCCGATAAGACTGTGGCTCCATCGGCTGTCGCGTTTAGACCACATGGTAATTATCCTGTGCCTCACGAATTGAGCATAAAGGATATCAAGAGAATAATCAAGGAGTTTGGTGATGCTGCAAAGAGAGCTGTGGAAATTAGTGGATTTGATGCTATTGAAGTCCATAGTGCTCATGGATATCTCTCCAATGAGTTTTACAGTCCTATCTCGAACAAGAGAACTGATGAATATGGTGGTAGTTACGAGAACAGAGTGAGATTTTTGTTGGAAGTGATTGACGAGATCAAAAAGAATATTGATATCAACAAAACCCCCATTTTTGTTAGAATCTCTGCTGTTGAAAACAGTCCTGACCCAGATGCTTGGTCAATTGAAGATTCCAAGAAATTGGCTGACTTGTTGATTGAAAAGGGCGTCAGCTTGCTCGATGTTTCTTCCGGTGGAAATGACTATAGACAACCAGCAAGAGCAAACATTGATTCCAAGCAAAAGGAACCAATTCATGTACCATTTGCCCGTGCATTGAAGCAACATGTTGGTGACAAATTGGTTGTTAGCTGTGTCGGTGGGTTGGACAAGGATCCTCAGCAATTGAACCGTTTTGTTGAAGAAGGTGCATTTGATGTCGCATTGATTGCTAGAGGGTTCTTGAGAAACCCTGGTTTGGTTTGGAGTATAGCCGATACATTAGGAGTCAGATTACACCAAGCATTGCAATTGGCTTGGGGATTCTGGCCAAACAAGCAACAAATTGTCGACTTGATTGTTAGAACTGAAAAGCTAAGCGCAAAGGCTTAAACAGTGAAATCGATTTAGAATACATAGACCATTTATAAAGCTTGCTTTTAAGATTTATCATATAAATAAAAGGTAGTTTATGCCTCTACGAATGCTCTGTACGTGGTGAATTGTTCGTCACCATCATCAGCAATCAACTCAATATCTGTGTTTGGTGCAACGAAAAACACGTAACCAGTATCAATCTTTTCCGATTTCTCACCACCTGCAACTTTAATTTGACCGGATCCATTAGTAGCGATAATGATAGATGGGCCCTCAATTGACTTATAGTTCTGTTTACCTCCTCTTCTATCAAAGACAGTTTGTAACACGGAAAACTCTTCAATTGGTGGATCAAACAAGTTGACAGTAACGGCGTCACCAGTGGATCTAGGGAACTTCTTTGGCTGCATCTTTTGCTTCTCTACCGGTTCACTTGCATAAGTCAACATATCAACCAAATTCTTAACATCTTTGAATTTAGGAGTGAATCCAGCACGTACAACATTATCTGACGCGGCCATACATTCAATGATATCACCACTAATGTACGCATGAGGGTCCTTGGCTTGCAAAAACATGGCTTCACCTTTATTCAAAGCAACGTGATTCAACAAGAGACATCCGCAGAACAAACCTATGTCATTAGGGAATTGTTTGTTCAATCTTTGAATCAACTCAGGTAATCTTGAGTCAAGTTTAGTGAATGTTTCTGGATTCAGTTTGCTGGATTCTACCAAAGAAGCAGCTTGTTTATTAACCTCACTTTCCTCAGTGTTCATCAACTTGCTGAAAATCTTTTGAATTAAAAGACGATTGGTTTTATCATCTTGTGTGCCTACTTCAGCATTGGGTTTGATTCCAGCGACAAACTCGTTAATCAACTCACTGCCAATAATCAGTTTCAATTCAGGAACAGTTTCCAATGTTGAAGCCAACTGGTCAACTGGCTTAAACCCACAAAATCCTTCAAAATCAGTAACAGCAATAGCCATTTCTGGTTTGTGGTTATCATCAGGGTAATTCTTGGGGTCCTGTTTGTGCAATTGGGCACCCAATGCTTTATCTGGATGTGCCTGAATCGACAATACCTTCTCAATACTCAAGACTTTAAACAAAAATGGCAATTCTTTAGATGAACCAAATTTCTTAATGATGGATTCGCTCAATAATTCATGAGGATGAGCAGTGATCAAGTCACGTAGAGTTTCATCAAAGCCAATAACTTGAGATGGCACTGAAGGATGCGTTCCCATCCACAACTCAGCATATGGTTTGGTTTCATCAATGGTGACTGAAGGGTCTGATTTCTTGACAAATTGAGCCACGGCTGAAGACGAGCCGATTTTGCCCCAGTCGTAGTTCTGGTATCCACATTGAAGTCTAAATAGTTTATCGGACATTGCTTAAGTAATGCTGCTGGCAGGTAGGTCTTGAATAAGAATAAAGCACTAAGAAGAACTGAGAAAGAAGAACGTCACAATCAAACAGGGGAAAGAGAAAAGGGGAAACACAACGTGGCTGGATTCGGTTGAACAATTTTTTTTTGTTGTTTTTTTTTTTTGTTTTGTTAGTTCGAGATTAGTGACACAAAAAGAAAATCAATCTTTACTTTTTCGGAGAAATTTTTTTTTATTGTGTTTATATGCAGGATGCTTTTATTTAAACGCATTTTTTTTTATTTTTATTTTTTTATTTTTTATTACGCGTCTTATATGGATCAGATGATACCCCCATTGGTGGTTATCATTCAAAATGACAAATAGCCAGTATCTAACATGTGCAGACAATCATTAGAGAGACCAACTCTACAATCTCATAACAGCACAATTTCTGTTCATTAACTGTCCTCTTTCCTTCTTAATCCTTATTCAGTTTCTTTGGTAAAAATGCTCCATTATTAACTCCAATTATACCCCGTGATCCATTCTTGCGTCTTCTAAATCTCATAGGTACCATCACCAATGCATACACCAAGGCAATGAGTCCCAAGTACCCCACAATTCCAAAATCATGAACGTAATTCATAAAGTATAGTAATCCACCATATGGCGATCCAACGAATTTCAACTGCACCTTGTTATCATTGTGCAATAGAGACACTAGCACCAGTTTGATTTGTTTTGGTTCGTTTCTCAATTTGTTATTGTTGAGATCAGTGTCCCAAAAGTATCGATGATCTTTACTCACCACTATGGCGTCACCAACTTGGTAATTGTTTGGATTGATTTTCCATCCACGCACATACTCAAAGTTTTCCACTTTGCGTTTGTTTATAAATGTAAACACGACATCGTCATTATTGAATAAATGAGGAACTTCTTTCCTCATTGCCGTCATGATTTCCATTGTCTCTGCATTCTTGGCCTTCAACTTTTCAACTTCAGCTTCTTTCGATGCTCGTTGCTCGAGGACTTGGTTAAAGTAGAAACTCTTTTTCAAGAAATTGTATTCATGGGCAACAAGCGACAACTTGTATAAAGCTTCATCAGTTTGTTTCAAATCATCCAAATCAACAAAGATGATTACTACTTTTGCACCTTTGACATCGTCAACTTGATCGTAATCAACAAAATATGTCGACACCAATTCAGGAGTCAACTCTCCAATGAATGGGTACTGTGCACGTTCAAGGAATTTTTCAATCTCGTCATATTTTCTCATTTGTTCAAGAGCAAAATTTTGATAAATTTCCGGAATCAAGCAATTGTCCTTCAATACGATAATTGTAGGCACATTGGTGATCGAAGTGGCGATTTGCATAGCTTCGTTGAATTCATATTTTTCCAGCTCGTCGTAGTTGATGTATGGAATCAAGTTTTCACCCAGGGTCTGAATATTCTCAAGAATCCGCTTATGTTTACCCTTGTATAATTGGATATTGAATGGTGACTTCTGTAACGTACGCAACATGTATGGCAACACTGCCTCATCCTCTGGAGTTACATTATCCACATCAAAAAAAAACACAACCGTTACTTTACTCTTTAATGGGTAGTTTTGTGCAAATGGCTCGTGTCTCAACACTTTTGTAAATTCCATAACCTCAGTAATGCCTCTTGCTGAAACAACCTCGTATGCACTATTGACAAATAGCTTGTTGACCCACCATTTCATCTTGTCCACATCTATTGGGCCATCGTAATCAAACCTTATAGTCATTCTATCCTTGGGCAAAAACATGATGAATTTCGGCAATGACCTTTTTCCATTTTCAAACAGATTTAATTCCAATTTTTCACAAATTTTGGGATAGTCTTGACATAGCAAATGACCTGTATCTGCCAATGAAACAATCTTGTTGCTCAATTTATCCCACAGCTGCTTGGATTCCAAGCAGTCAACACAATTCTCGCCAAATCTCAATTTCCCTCCAAGGTCGACACTGTCCCACTGTTTTTTATTTGCTTGCCAGAATGAGACAAATATGGGTTTGGTGATTTCTCCACTAATAGCTTTCAACATTTCATCTACATTCATCTCTTTTGAAGCCGAGGGCATACTGGATGAAGCTGGGTCGTAATCAGCTATTGATTCCTGGATGTAGCTGAGTAAATTCGGTTCATTTTTTTCCAATGTCCTTGGAAACGAGCCAATGTTCTTTGATTTGCCGGTGGGTTTGCCATCCTTGTCCAAAATCGGAGCATATAAGAGAATGTTTGGGTAAAACTCAATCTGTTCACGTTCACACAAATCACCATTTTCAACACAATTCACTTGTCGCATGTCAGTATTTGAATTGGCAAATTTCGATTTGAATGTCCGGTACGCCTTTTGCCATGTGGGGAAGAAACTTTTGCAATGGTGGCAATATGGCGAGTAGAATTCGACAACGGTGAGCTTTTGGCCAGTGACTGCATCAAATTCTGCTGTGTCCAAAGTTGGTGGAAGTTCAATATTGTCTGGTGATTTTTCAACTGGTGGAGCGCCCGCTCCACCAGCACCGGGCTCGGCTGAATCTGGCGATCGCTTATCTAGGTGTACGTTGCCGGCTAGTATGGTGCTTGCAGTAAAACATAGCAAGCTCGGGCCCCACAACTTCATATTTATAGCAAGGATAAAACGATAGCTGAAGGTGACAAATGAAAGGTTCCGCTTTTATTTTGATCTTTTTGACATATTCGCTCAATAAATTTTTTTTTTGAACAAATAATTTATCAATGGTACAAAATCGCGAGCACAGAAATTTCTAAAATAATCATCTATGGTTTTTTACTTCTATAGATTTGCTGCGGAATATGTACGACATACATGCTAAAATTACCGCTCTATAAATGAGCCATCTTCCCTGTCTTACCACCAATCTCCAACAAGTACGTTTTGAAATATTCAAAGCTGACTAGCGTAACTGCGCTTGCCGGGACAGTTCTAATCAAGTTTGTAACGTAACCGGCATAGAACCCACGTAGACCCTCCTTGTGATATATATGTGAAATAGTCTTCAACAAAGATCCCTTGGCATTTGCTTTTGCAACTTGCTTTTGACCATTCTTCCTCATTTGTAATCTAGTACGCAAAATCTCATGAGGGTATGTAATTGTACTAGCAATCATCTTGGATATGGATGACGCGGCAATGAGTCTCCACAAAAGTCCCGGCACTTCATTTTGCTGGTCAATAGTACTGCAATGTAACCAGGACTTCATTTTTTCATAAACTGGGAAATGGATTCCGACATGAATCAACCCAAACAACGACGGTATCAATCCACTATAAAATACGCGGATACCTTCTTCTTGATACATTGTCCTGAACGCATCAATGGTGCCCTTGTATACCACATCAGTGGGCGATGTTCTTGTATTTGATTGAATCATGAGTCGAGTCTTGACGACCCAAATCGGATTAACGGCGATTGAACTAGTCATTCCTGCCGTTATTGCAGAGCAGAAATGGTTCAATGTAGGACTGTCTATATCCCAGTGTCGCTGTATAAAATGTGGGTAAAACTTCTTAGCCCTTTCGTATACGGTGAAATAAATAGTCCATGTGGGGAGATATCCTATAGTGATGGGCACCAAACCACGATATAGCCCAGTTATCCCTTCAGTGCGTAGTATCCTTGTTAACATTTGTCGAAATCCTAATCTGTTTGCCTTGTCTTGCTGAGCTTGGAGTCTAGTTTTGATGACATCGAGGGGACACACAACGACTCCTGCTAAAAACCCCGATGCTGCACCTGCTATCGTGACAAGCTGTGTATTTGAGCATCGCGATAATATGCTCGGTGGTGTGAATTTGCCCAATACTTGGAACTTGTGTCGTACTGGAAATGGTTTTTCGTGTTCATGTCGAAACTCGAGATCTTCGCCGTGTATTATGTCGGAGAATGCAGGACTGGTTGAATGGTCGGTTGTTTCGTGGATACCCGTGTCACCTGTCATGGTAGTAGTATCAGTAGTTATTCCAGAATCTGTGTGTGTGGGGGGGTGGTAGTGGGATGAATTGATACAATGACAAATTCTTCAATTAAAAAATGAAAGGTGTGTGGTTTTTCTTTAAAAGTTAACGGATGTGTGGAGATGCAAGTGTTTAGCTTATCGAAGCAGCATGTGTAAGTTGTAAGCAGATGGTGAGTCAGGTACACTTAACAAGCCTGTGAGTAGCAAAGTGATAGGAGTGGTGTATAACTGTGTGGTCCAAATATACAATTCAATTGTTTATCAGTAGAAAAAGAGTGCAACAGTTTTAATTTCCATTGGGTGAATAATCATTTTTTTTTTTCTGTTTCTCTCTCTCTCTCTCACTTTGCTGTTGCTTTGATTGAAGAAATTGCAAAACTAACTGTCTCTCATATACACACACATTCCCACTCAACCACATCTACTCACCTATGGTCAAGTTCTTACTTAAAGTATTCGGTGAATTGACGAATGTCACCGATTTAGAGCCAGTTGATACACCCCAATCACCCTACGAATACACCTTTCAAATAGAATGCACCAAATGCAGAACCGTCCACGATAAAGAAGTGCACATGAATCGATTTGAGCACCATGAGATCAGTGGGTCTAGAGGTGAAGCAAGTTTTGTGTTTAGGTGTAAAGAGTGCAAGAACGAGCATTCTGCAAGTATATTGAGAACTGGCGCAAAATTGGAAGCCGGTGCTAGCAAAGCTGTGAGTATATTGGAGATTGACGCAAGAGGGCTCGATTTTATCAAGTTTGTACCAGATGGGAAATTCCAAGCTGTGGGTGAGGAGACAGGGACTAAGTTTGATGAAGTTGATTTGGAGGATGGAGAATGGTATGATGTTGATGAGAAGACAAATGAAGAAGTGTCGATAGTTGACGTCAAGTGGACCATTTCGCGCTCGTAGAGGAAGTAGTGGGGAGAGCAAGAGCGACGATATGATTACGAGTGTGTTGAAAGAGTAGAGAATTGATGAGCTACATGGAGTGCAAGAGTGCATACTGTGAGAGTGTACCTTAGATTGTGTTTTCATATTCTTTAGGATGAATAAACAACTCGATGAATCATCTTCCTCGTAACCTTAATCTGGAGATAACGTCGACCCGTAAATAACTCCATGTTGAAAAGCAATATACACTATGGTATTGTGCTGATGACTCAAATTTTCGGTGATACGTGGTAGCGTCGCGTACCCTTTTGCACGGCTCTAACGCGACTACTTCCCAATTGGGAAAGGTAGAAGTTTTGCAATTTTTATGAGTCTTGTAACAAACTCTTCTTCACCGATGTACAGAGCACCAAGTGAAAGGACGGAGTAGTAATGTTGGACTCCATTATAAATAGGTCATAAATATCCCACCATCCTTCCCGTCCCCTTTCACTTTTCGAAGTTAAAAACCTCAAAGAAAATATGTTGACATATATTTTACAAGCTAAAGCTGAACTTCACAATGTTGCCAGGGTGCAACCGGTTGATGACGAGTCTTATCCCCATGATTACAAGTTCAAGTTTCAATGCAATGGATGCAAAACGATTCATCCGAATCCAGTGCAAATAAACCGGTTTGAAAGTTTTCAAGTAACGGGGTTTCGTCGATTAGCCAATGTATTGATCAGGTGCAAATCATGCCAAAGAGAGCGGTACGCCATTATTTCAAAGATTGGTAAAGCGTGCATTCAAGATGAAGCTACTTTTGGTGCTGGTGTTGTGGATGAATATTGTGATATTTTAAAGATTCATACCCATGGAATGAGGATCTTGGAATTCGTGGCTGATGATCAATTCGAGTGTGTTACAACTGCTGGAAATTTAATTCAAGGCATAGGGTTGTTGGATGGGGAGTGGGAAGAGATTGATGAAGAAGGAAATGAATTGAAGGTTTTGAACGTTGATTGGAATTTGAAACTTGTTTCTGAAAAAGATCCAAAGTACAAGTAAGAGAGAGAAAGAGAGAGAGAGAGAGAGCTGATTAGTTAAGTAGACCAATTGGTGATGCAGAAGTGTATGATGTCATATATTGGGCTAAAACAACCGGAGATATTGTCATAATCACATCTTTATACTCTGATGAATTTCTATAGCAATCGAAGTTTGTGTTACTTTTTGTTTTTTTTGTTGCCGATGGAAGAACAATTTTTAAATCCGAGTAATCAATCAAAGGAGCTTATTGTATCAACCATAATGGAGTTTTTGGAACCGGTTGTGTTATATTGAAGTGATGGTGACTCTCGAGACTAAGTCTTGTCTCTTGTAAACTCAACAATGCAGTGAAAGAAACCTTAGGTAATCTAATTACTTTGTCTTTTTATCTATGCGTATGAGTTACGGTAATTGCGGTTATTAAGACCTCCGTGAATTGAAAACACAAAAAATATATTCTAAATTCTTCTTAACAAATATATAGATGTAGCAATTTCATGTCATCCCTTTGTTCAAACTCTCTTCGGAGTAATATTTAGTCCAATTCAATTGATAATTTTTACACAACTTCTTTCTTCTTCAAACTTTCATACACATCTATATTCAATCCTCACACAATGGCTGGTGGTAGTATAACTGAAGCAATCACTCAACCAATCAACGACCAATTGCACAAAGCAGCAGACAAAGTCACTTCTGGCGGCAGTGGCAGTGGCAGTGGCAGTCCAACCACATCTTCCAAAAAGGGTGGAATTGTCGAATTCACCCCTGAATACTACGCTGCTTGTACATTGGGTGGTATCATTGCTTGTGGTCCAACTCATTCAGCAGTCACTCCCTTGGACTTGGTCAAGTGTCGTCGTCAAGTGGATGGCCACTTGTACAAGTCCAACATCCAAGGATGGAAAACCATTCTTAAAACCAAAGGTGATTCCATCTTCACTGGTGTTGGCGCTACATTTATCGGTTACTCATTCCAAGGTGCTGGTAAATATGGATTTTATGAATTTTTCAAAAAGACATATAGTGACCTTGTTGGACCCAAATGGGCCAATGATTACAAGACTGGTGTGTTTTTAGCTGCTTCTGCCTCGGCTGAATTCTTGGCTGATATCGCCTTGTGTCCATTTGAAACTATTAAAGTCAAGACCCAAACTACAATCCCACCCTATGCCAGTTCAGTGTGGGATGGATGGAGCAAGATTGTCAAGCAAGAAGGATTCGGTGGCTTGTACAAGGGTATTGTCCCATTATGGTGTAGACAGATCCCATACACAATGGTTAAATTTGCCAGTTTTGAAAATATCGTCAATGGTATCTACAGTTATTTGGGACATCCTAAATCTCACTATAATTCATTGCAACAAACTGGTGTTTCGTTCACTGGTGGTTATTTGGCTGGTATCTTGTGTGCTATTGTGTCTCATCCTGCTGATGTCATGGTGTCCAAGATTAATTCTGATAAGAAACCAGGTGAAACCACTGGACAAGCTTTGGGTAGAATTTATCAAAAGATTGGATTTGCTGGATTGTGGAATGGGTTGCCGGTGAGAATCTTTATGATTGGTACTTTGACCGGTTTCCAATGGTTGATTTACGATTCGTTCAAGGTGTATGTTGGTTTACCAACCACCGGTGGTCATTAGTAGAAGAAACGAAATGATTGTAGAGTAGCTATAGAGATACAATAAATATAAAGTAAATTAAAGCAATGGATTTAGAGATGAGGAAGGACGTACGTTTTGTATGATGAAGATGTAGTAAATCTAAGCTTAGTAACAAGTGTGAGACATTAACTCCATACATTCTTGAACAAATCATCATCCAAACTGTTCATGTTGGATTTCGAAGTGGCTGTATATGACGAGGATGAGGAATCATTCCACTCTGAATTCCATGGAGTTGAGGCAGAGACAAATGGTTTAGCTGCATTCAATGATCCTGTAGATTGAGCTTGTGGTTTGTTATAAATGGAACCACCATTGTTGATATTCGATGTTGAAAGGGATGGTTGGAATTGAAGTCCTGCCAAAGAATCAGATAAGGAGTTGACACTTGTGTTTGTTTTGTTTGAGTATTGTGGTGATTGTTGTTGTGATTGTACAAAACTGTTTGATGCGGAAGGCGATGCATACAAGGAAAGAATTGATTTCTTCAAGTCGGGTCTAGAATTGCTTGAGATTGATCCTCCTGTGGATTGTGCTGATTGTAATTGCTGTGTTGGTGGTGGTCGTGACTCAGCTGTGGATACTGGAGTTGCTGATGCTGCTCTTGCTGTGGCTGTGACTCCCACAGGGGGAGTACGTGATGGCACTGAAGTTGAAAGTGCTGGTTTGGACGTCTTGTGCGAAGTGAATAATCCAAAATCGTCGTCGAGTAGCGATCCAGATTTAGTAGCAGGCGTAGTTTGACTCTTTGTAATCCCATTGTTGTTGTTAGTCGTAGATGCGGTGGCAGTCTGAGCAGAAGCAGCAGCAGCAGCAGCAGCGGAGTCGCCACTGTCCACTAATGTTGTTTTCGCCTTAATGCTAGCAGGGTTGGGAACCGTTGACGACAAACTCCACTTCTTCAAATCATATTTCGTTCTTATAAAATTTTCAATCTTTGATTGGTCGGGCACATAACCCTCAGGCAATTTAGCTTCCCAAAATCCATTACATTTGGCATTGCCCCATTGAACGATATTTTCAATCTGGTCATCTGTCCATGCATCCAAATCTACCGATTTGACTTTTGAGATATGTGTGCCCATGCTTCTATGTATTCCTGAGCATCTGATGCAGATAAAACAACCAAGATTCCATGACGCCCATCGGGGATTTTTGTTTACTTTGCAATCGGCACACGAGCGATTGGGTTCTTCTTTTAATAGTTGCTTTAGTATCTGTTTGTGGCGTTCCAGATGCGTCTTCTTAGATGATGGTAGTGCTGTGGTTGATGTGCGATAGCTCATGAGATGGAAAGAGTTTGTGAGATGCTTGTATTTTGAATGATCTATGGAGGTTAAGGCAGATTAAGATATTTATATATATATATCTGTGTGTGTGTGTGTGTGTTTGAACTGTTTTACGAGTCAACGAAATTTTGCAAAAAAAAAAAAGAAAAAAAGAAAGAAGTTACCCAATTAGTGTCGCAGTTTGTATTTTCGCGACAATCGAAGATTGAAACTCAGCTGTGTTACACAGCTGATAGAGAAATTGGTTGTTAGAAGTTGAGCTAGTCATTTCAACCATATGAAAGAAATATTGAAACTATTAGAATTGGTGCTGAGCACTACTTCGCTACTCTTTTTGTGTGTACTGGCCATAAATAAGAAGCAGGCTTATTTTTATGGAAGGACAATTTGGGTTACACGGAATCGAAAGACAGTGATGATCAAGTTAAGCAAGTCCAAATTTGAAGGTTGCAATAGAGTCAATTTTTGTGTGGTGGAGCGACAACGGGCATAGCTTATCTTCCACTTGACAAATATTAACATAGAAGGAGTAATTCTCATTTTGGCATATCAAAGAACGGCTGCAATGTGCGCAAAATAACCAATAGTAAAATACTGACTGTACACGACCTTCATCAATACATTTTTTGTGTAACGCAAAGTAGCATTTCTCACTCTTTTTAGCCAAAGTAAAGGTAGTGTACTGTTGGATAAAAAGGCACTTTATTCTTGTTTTATTTCAATGAGAGAGAGAGAGAGAGAAACCAGTAAAAATATCAATCAAAGACTTTTCCTACTCTACTTTTAAAACCCCCCATAAAATTTATACACATCTCAACCTCCTTCTTTTCCTTCAACACATTTCAACATAGTCACAAGTGCTTGTTCATAGACTTCCCGTCACCACTCGCAAAGTTTTACATCATCTATCTAAAGCACAAGCAACCACTACTGTGCCAAGCGTTTTCTTCAAGTGAAAAAGACTTTGAATTCTCCACCACCACGATTGCAACAGCACCAACTTTAGTCACTTTGTATTGGACTAAGAACATACACACGAACAATTACTGCAAAAATTATAAACATTCTTACCAATCCACATACCATCAATGTCACGTTCATCTAGGCGAGATTTTTCCCTTGTCGAAATCAAAAAACATGACCAACCTACAGATTTATGGATGGTACTATATAACAAAGTGTACGACGTTACTGATTTCTGCAAGTACCATCTAGGCGGAATAGAAGTATTGTATGATTGCGGAGGCTCAGATGCAACCGAGGCATTTGAGGATGTTGGACATTCTGATTTCGCAGTTGAAATGCTACAGCCGTATTTAATTGGCCAAGTTGTTGTTGATGAGCAAAAGGAGTATCACAAATTTGCTAAAGAGGATGATTCACTTGGGTCTGACGTTGTGGAATCGATCAAATTTGACGATTCAAAGAGTGAAGGTTTTACCGAATACTTTTTGAGACGAGTTCAAGAATCGACCAATGTGATGGTTTTGAGTGTTGTTGCTCTTTCATCATTTGTTCTACTAGTTTTGGTACATTTGAGTAGGTGATTGTCAAAGTTTATTGATGGAGGGAGGAGGGCTTGGCAGCATTACTTCACCCTCGTCTGATGCTATCTTTCATTAGCATTTTAACTGCCATTGTTTATCATTGGTCATGGTTATGCTGGCGTAACTATATTTCAATTCGTGTTTCCCCTTTTTAGAGATGTTCTTTCTTGCTAGCTATCTTTTATAATCTAGAAGTTCTTAGAGTTTGAAATTCATGTGTGTTTAAAGTTTACGCAAGCTCCTTTTTAGTCAATGCCGTGTGGTGTAGATGAGTCTCAAAAAAAGGAATCTACTCAAGACTTTTGTCAATAGTTCACCTACAAGGCACCTTTGAACTACCCTTGTCCTCCCTCCGCCTCCCCCTCTCACTAAATATAAAAATCACAATTCGCAATTCATTTCTCGGGTCTTCATCATGAGCCGAATTCTGTAGCACAGTAGAGATTCATCTAAAGATAGAACAAAAATTTGCGGTGTATCAAAAGGAGCATTTTATTTCCTCGGCGTAGAGTTTATGTAAGTTTTGCGCAAAGTCTAATTTATTATATCTTTGTGTGTCTTTACCCAAGTTTATATTTTTCGTGTCCAATTTTTTCTTCGGTTCCAAATGCTATTGCCGTGAGTGGGGGAGGAGGGGGAAAGTTGATTGCTAGAGCCGCTATTAGAAAGAGTCATCAACCTCACCTATCATCGTGATTTTGGGCAGCACCCACAGAGAAGCTGTGGAAGGTTAATGATTGAAATACTTTTCTCTTTTTTGGTACAGTTAAGCGGAAATTGGAACTTTTTTTGCACAGTATCCAATTTTAACTCCATTTCGCAACCAAAATCTCAAAAAAGAAAAAAAAAAGAAATAAAAATAAAATTGACTTAAGACGGCAACACAGGGTCAAAGTTTCAGCGAGTTAAATGTGAATAGAGTTCCATCCAGTCACGAGCCTTTTCATAAAGAAATTTGCACTATTCGCCCGCAGCAACACATTTAGTGTATTCCATGTATTTGTCTATTCCACCAACGACGCATACGAAAGAACTTTCACTTATTGTGGAAACAGGGCATTGAATCAAATACTATGTAAATCAATGCACGTTTGTTCACAATATTTGGCCTTGGATATGGGGTAGTTATTCAATCCTCATCACACTGCTTTCACTATTGTGTAAGGAAAAATCCAGGTTTAAGTTCACCCAATAACCGTTACTGTTTGGTTGAACAGTACTCGTACGTTTTACGCTAGCAAAACCAAGTGCACGTTCTTTTACCAGAAATTCCGGGATTAACTTTGAATTCGGGACTTGGTTGAGTACTCTGTGATATGCTTCTTCGATGCAAAAAAAGAAAAGAAAAAAAAATTAAAACTTAGCTCCCTTGCCGGGAATCGAACCCGGATCTGCTCGGCGCAATCTTTCGAAGTTTTATCTTCCAAATGAGAGCGAACCGTGATAGCCATTACACTACAAAGGATTGTAATACTAAGTTTGTGAAAATCTCCCTTGCGGGGAATCGAACCCCGATCTGCTCGGAACTTGCAATTGTAGTAAACCAACTGAAAGCGAACCGTGATAGCCATTACACTACAAAGGATGTTTCACGACTAAGAATTTTTTGGTGCCTATAAGAGAAGGAAAATGTGGTCACGTTTCAGACTTAATTCATTGCTAAATTAGGTCGATTTCAGGGCTCATTTAAGATGAATTGGCATATAAGTGGACTGATAATTACTTTATGCCTGTTGGATTGTTCTCTTACTACATTCAATTGAGATTGAGATAGAGTTGTGGGTGGTATGAAGCAGGAGTAGTCATTCAATAGTTGATGGAGTTGTTTGAGCCAAAAAAGATAAGAATATTCTATAGNGAGTTGTGGGTGGTATGAAGCAGGAGTAGTCATTCAATAGTTGATGGAGTTGTTTGAGCCAAAAAAGATAAGAATATTCTATAGCACAGCATTAGATTTCCAAAATGAGCACTGATATTGATACATGCATAATTATATTGTACTTCACCTTCAATACTCGTTTGTGAATTTGTATACAACAGTGTTTGCAAGTCCATCACTCTAGCCATTCTCATGATTAAAGTGTTGCAACCTAGTTAAAACGGTTTCAAATATTTTGATTGAGAGAGCTACATTCAATCTGGACCGGTCACGAAAAGAACTACGCACTCCCCTCCCCCCCTCTCCTTTCCTCCCTTTCCCCCGTGGTTTGAAAGAGAATCATCTTGGAATCAAACTCGTGTCAATCAAGTTAAAATTGCAGGTGCGAAATATCTGCAAGCTTTAAATCAGATTCAAAACTGGTGTTTCCACATCTAAAGATGTGAAATGCAATGCCGTCCGTATTACAGTACTAAACACATTTCCTACGTTTAGCACTTCTCTTACCTCAGTTTCTTAATCATTCCTAAAATAAATGGGAAACAACCAAAAAAAAAAAAAAAAACCACATTGAGAGGGAAAAAAAAAAAAATAAAAATAAAACGGTTAAACACAACTGACGTACGCCGCTCCATTCGTTCATCACTTATCACACATATACATGTCTGACGAAGAGTTGTTCTCAGAAGATTCATATGAATTCGAGTTTGAAGAAGACGAAGAAGAACACACCGGAGGTGGTGGATCAGGGGATGAGAATAATGCCATTGATGAGGATGGGGAAGATCAAGGGATAGTATGTGTTTGCAAATACAGCAGAAGCAGGAAAGTTTTTATTAATACTAACTGAATGGATAGGAGAATCGATATTATATGGCCAAAAGTTTCAAAGACGATGAGGTAGAGAAAGCCATTGTTGAGTTTAAAAAGATTATAGATTCGTCAATTGATGATGGCGATAAAGATGGCAACGAGTGGGTATTCAAGGCATATAAGCAATTGATCAAGTTATACTTGAGTGAGAGCCAACTAGATAATGTGTTGACGACAATGCAACTGACATTGTTGCTTTTACCACTACTAAGCAAGTCATATGTTGAAGAATCATTGTCGCGAATGATTGTCCGGTTTGCCAATGTACCCAATTCTCAATTTGTTACTCAAATGTACCGATTGTTGTTGAGTCAGGAGTATATTGACAAAAATGACAAACTATGGCTTAAAGTGAATACCAATTTGCTTGCACTATATTTGGAGACTGGTGAATTGGACAAGATTCCTCATTTATTACAGATTATTTATGATAAATTTCCAAGTATACCTGAACCAATTCGGAAATTGTTTACGTTGGAAATAATTGCTGCTGAGATTGAATATCTATTCAAGATGGAGGAATTGGATATACCAAAGTTAACTCAATTGTACAAGCAAAGCAGCAATTTCACCACGGCAGTAACCCATCCTAAGATTCTTGGAGTTATTGCTGAATGTGGAGCTCGTGTTCAATTTTTCAGAGAGGATTATGAACAAGCACGAGCTGAATTTTACAAGAGTTTTAAGAATTATGATGAGGCTGGTGCCCATGCCAAGAATAAGAGTTTGAAATATCTTGCCTTGTGTTCGTTGTTGTGTAATAGTGATTTGGACCCGTTCCAGTCACAAGAAACTCGAACTTGTGCGCAGCTTGCTGAATTTGATGATTTGAAGAGGTTGATTAAGGCGTATAAGAATATGTCTGTGGTTGAATTTAATAGTGTGTTGCAGCAGCAACAAAAACAGCAACAAAAACAGCAACAAGAAGGAGAAGATGAAGATGAAGAAGGGAATGAGTTTTTCAAGGATGAAATCTTCAAGCAAGCAATTACGCAGATATTGGAGAATTTAAGAATTCGCGTATTGATGAAGAACATTGCGAGTGCATCTACGCCCTTGCCATTTACGGAGTTGTACAAAGTCTTGCAAGTTGAAGGAGATGAGTTTTGTCAGTTGTTGGTGAAGTTGATGGGTACGGGAAGATTGATTGATGCCAAGATTGACTTTGAGAATGAAGTTGTTGTTGTACATGAACCAGCCACTAGGTTACTTGTACCCACTACATCCAAGGAAATATACTACAATGTCAAACTATTGGATACACTAACCGTGACACAAGATGATAGTATGGTTATTGAAGAGACTGGGTTGTTGTTTACAGGAGATCAACCACCCCAGAATCTTGACCTTTTATCAAGAATGTTTTTTGTTATTGATAGACCAAAAAAGCCTCAGGATTGGTTTAAACCGATTGAATCTTGGTATCTGTATGTGTTGTCATTTTTGCCTCGCACTTGTCAATTGGAGGTTAGTCAGCATGAGCAAGTACTTGATAAGATTGAGAAAAGCAAGCAAAATCAGGATAACAACAACAATAGCAGAAGTAGCGATGCTGTGGCGAATGAGTTGGCTAATTTCAATACTGGTTTATTAAATTCAACTTTACAAGATGCGTATAATGATGATGATGACGAGGATATAGACGCTGTTGATGTTAAGAAGGTGCATTTGTTGCAATCCTGGGCGAATGCATTAAAGAATTGAGTAATGAAAAAGTCGTTGTTTCCTTTTTGTTGTGGTGGATAAAGAAATAGAGAATACACATGTGTAGTTACTTTCACTTTATTAGACCTTTGCGAGATTGAAGAGGTCGGAGGAAGACAAGATAAAATAAGATTAGATAAGGCAATACTATGGTTCTGTTTTTATTTTTATGTTTTTTTTTTTATTTTTTTGGGGGGAGTGATTTGTATAATCCACATATGAAGTTATTGTCAGTCGTCTGGCTACTCTTGTACTTTCCTAAAAGGGTTAAATTATTGAATGCAGCTTGACGCGTGTTTTAATTTTTTTTCTTCCTTCATCGTCTGAGGCAAATGTCGAGAAGAATTCGAAAATTTTCTTTTTTTTTTTTTTTCTTCCATCTTCCGTTTTACTTTTTAGAAATTACAGCCCAGTTTACAGTTTACATTCGATATTTTTTTGTTGCATTCACAGTGTGGGTTAGAAAATGGATTGTTTTTGAAGTCAGTTGTAGATTGATGACTCTGTACATTCGAAAGTAGGTGTGCAATTCGTAAAGGCGTCTTCCTCTGTTTTAGAAATATTTTTTTGTTTTTGTGTTTCCTAACAGACAGACACAGACACAGATACAAACAGTAAAGAAGGGAAAGAAAAAAAAAAACACTTACGCTCTTACATTGTTATTGTCGAGTCAGACAGCCAGCACACAGTTGCACACAGTTGCACACAGTTGCACACAGTTGCACACAGTTGCACACAGACAGTCTTTTTAAGATATACTTCTCGTACCATTGGTAGAGTATAGTGGCTAATATTGAAACGCTCTCTGTATTGATCCATTTGAGAGGCAAAATGTTGGGGTTTGTTGTGTTAAAGTACACGCGACGTAAAAGTAGAGATAGAAGCCACCCCCTTCTCTTTCTTCTTCCTCCCCCCCCTAAGAAAAATAGATATTATATTTCCTATTGTTGAAATGTCTCTGCTAGAAATAAAATGAACCGAAAGGAGTTAAAATCAGAAAAAAAAAAAAGAAAAAAAAGAAAAAAAAAAGAAGTAGAGATATTTCAGACAAATAATCTCTTGACTTTGATCTTTCTTCCATAGTGTATGTGTATGTGTGTATATGTGTGTATGTGTATATGTGTGTATGTGTGTGTATATATTTGAAAAGAAGAGACCTATAGCTATGGAATTTGATTTAGGGTGGATGAGTTTCAATACAGACACGTTATTTGATGATTTATTGAATTGAAATTCCAAGGAAAAAAGAAGAGAAAGAATTGCTTTGGCAATAGCAATCCAAAGATCAGAGATTAGCAACTCTTGTACCATTCAGTATCTTCATATAGTATAACCAAGTGTGGCGTATGCCAAATATAACATAAATTGTAGGCAGTAAGTAGTAAGCCATCACATTACATTACCCAATTGAGAGGTTATTATTATTATTGTGTATACTTTTATATATAGTGGTTTTGTGGTTTACTAACAAATATTAATGTATAGTTATAGTTAATATTTATGTGTATGTATGTGTTATATTGTATTTATTTTCTTCTTCTTCTTCTTCACAAACAAAATTTCATCTCTCTCTCATACACACACTCATATGTTGTCAACCTCATATAACCTTTCCATTAAAAGAGAAAAAAAAAAAAAAAGGGGGGGGGGGAAAAGAGGAAGACGATAGACTCTTTCACCAATTCTTCTTCTTCTTCTCTCATCTTCCTCACACTTCGTTCTTTCATTCCTACAAAGGTCAACTTTTCCCACTTATTCTATTTCACCAACAACAAACATCAACTTTCAACAAGAGGGATCCTCTGCTGACAACATTTTTAGTATCCGTTCGTTCGTTTTTTTTTATTTTTAATTTTTTTTTTTCATTTCTTCATCTTACACAGTCCATTAATAAAGTTATAGAGATAGAGACATCTTTCTCAGTCTTTTCACCATCATCAATAGAAGCCCAACTTGCCTATAAGTGTATCTAATGCCAACAGAGATACTTGTGTTCAACAATATGCCTGACCACTCATCTGCTCAATCATATGTCACAAACAACCATCAACTTCAACAACACCCTTATCCGATGCAACAAGTCCCACCACCACCGCATGAGGTAGTTCAACAGCAATACCAACAGCAAGCAGTGTCACAACAGAATGGAGAATATCAAACCCCTAGCTATCAAGTAAATCAGTTTTATGCTGAACAGAATCTGTATCAACAAATGCAATTGCATAAAATGAAGGTTGCACAGGAACAAGCCAGACTTGAACAACAGCAACAACAACAGCGGCAACAGCAACAGCAACAGCAACAGCAGCAGCAACAACAACAGCAACAACAACAACAACAGCAACAACAACGGCAACAGCAGCAGACTCAGCGTACAAAAAAGGCTAAACCCGTTGTAACAATGACGCCCAAGAAGAAAAGAGGAAGACCACCAAAGCCCGACTCATTTACTCAAAAAATCACTAGTACAATGAATATCAATGTTAATACTTCTCCCTTGAGCAGCAGTCCCGCGCAATCGAACTCCAACTCTGCCGCCAAGCAGGGTGCTCCAGATGTTTTCACTCCTTTGATGAGAGTCAGCCCTTCTTCCAAAGCTTCCAAGAGAAGAAGAAAAAACTCAACCACGTCAACTACTTCCGACCCATCACCTCGTTTGCCGAAAAAGGCCAAATCGTTTTCCCTTCCTTCAACTACATTGGCAACACCATTGTCAGCTGTTGGCAGCAGCTTTCCCAGCTCCATTGAATCACAGTACCATCTCAATAAAAACACCTTGGACAATATTTCAATGATTACTCAACTGCAACTGCAACATCTAGCTGGTTCAGCTGGTTCAGCAGCAGCAGCACCTCATTTACATTTGAAACCTATCAGGTCTCAATCTCTATACAATACTCCTCCAAGCAGCTCCACAGCACAAAAAAACGAGAACTTCATGCCGCACCATCAAAACTTGGATGCAATGAAATCACAAGAATATGTCAATGCTTCACCAACTAGAAAGAAATCACCAGATACCAATCTTTTGCCTCCTGCTTTGTTGAATGCACCTAAAGCAGAGAAAGACACAAAATCGACAACATCTGATGATTTCCAATTGAAGTTGGTTATAGATGAGCTGGGTAAGGCGGTGTTGTCAAGCGATATGTTCAAACCTACTCTTGCGCCGGCTCCAACCCAACAAGAACCGCAAGATCCAGAACAACAGGAGCAACACCAGAAACAGCAACAACAAATGCAACTACCACCACTACCATCACCACCATTGGTTCGTACAGCCAGTGATTCAATCGGAGAGAAACCATCTACATCAACTCCTTCTCGTGGAATTTTACGCAGATGCAACTCAGATATCACTGGCACAGTAACCCAACCCAAGTTAGAGTCACAATTGGCCACAGTTAATGAGAATTTCATGACAAATCCCCAAACTCCAAAGGACAACTACATGTATGTATCTACCGGACTCACACCAATTTTCAACTTGACTCCCCAATTCAATTCGTTAATGAACTCAGTAATGAGTTTGAATTCACCCCAGTATAAAAAGGGTATGAATCCATTCTTGGTGAATCAAGAGATTTTCACCAGTGAGCTGCAGAATCTGCAAATGCCACATCAAATCCCCATTACCCTTTCCCATATCCATCATTTGGAGAATTTGGCCGAGCACCCAGAAGAGAAGCTGATGGCAGCACCAGAGACGGTGGCTACTACTACATCAGAGCAGAGTCTTATTGATGTGGATCACGATGAGGGTCATATCAATTCTGATGATTCAGGGGATGCCAGACTCGCTTTGAAGCGAGTCATGTACGTTCCTAGAGAATAATACTCAACTTTCACATTCCAATTTTCAATTTTCAATATTCGTTTTNTTCAATATTCGTTTTGCTTTCATTATTTAGTTCTGTTATAGTAATAGTCATAGTTAACTAGTAAAGACATTGTCAGTGTTTACTTCCCTAATCCTGTATATAACAGGTAGTGCACTCTTGACTGATAAATTTTCAGAAAAAATTTTTTTTCCCTTTTCCTTTTCCTTTTCCTTTTCTCCTTTCACTTGAGAAAAAGTGAAAATTTTTTTTTTTTTCAATTCAATTCACTTCATCTTACTCTTCTTTTTCCATTATTCCAAACATTCGATTAAATCATGTCTCACAGAAAGTACGAAGCACCACGTCACGGTTCATTGGGTTTCCTCCCAAGAAAGAGAGCTGCCAAGCAAAGAGGAAGAGTTAAGTCATTCCCAAAGGATGTCAAGTCCAAGCCAGTTGCTTTGACTGCCTTTTTGGGATACAAGGCCGGTATGACCACCATTGTTAGAGACTTGGACAGACCAGGTTCCAAGATGCACAAGAGGGAAGTTGTTGAAGCTGCCACTGTTGTTGACACTCCACCATTGGTTGTTGTTGGTGTTGTTGGTTATGTTGAAACCCCAAGAGGTTTGAGATCATTGACCACTGTTTGGGCTGAGCACTTGTCTGAAGAGATTAGAAGAAGATTCTACAAGAACTGGTACAAATCCAAGAAGAAGGCTTTCACCAAGTACTCTGCCAAGTATGCTTCTGATGCTAAGCAAATTGAAACTGAATTAGCTAGAATCAAGAAGTATGCTTCAGTTGTTAGAGTTTTGGCTCACACTCAAGTCAAAAAGACTCCTTTGGCTTCCAAGAAGGCTCACTTGGCTGAAATTCAAATCAACGGTGGTTCAATCTCTGACAAGGTTGACTGGGCCAAGGAACACTTTGAAAAGGAAGTTTCCGTTGACTCTGTCTTTGAACAAGATGAAATGATTGACGTTGTCGCTGTCACCAAGGGTCACGGTTTCGAGGGTGTTACCCACAGATGGGGAACCAAGAAGTTGCCAAGAAAAACCCACAGAGGTTTGAGAAAGGTTGCTTGTATCGGTGCTTGGCATCCAGCCAATGTTAACTGGACCGTTGCCAGAGCTGGTCAAAATGGTTACCACCACAGAACCTCAATCAACCACAAGGTTTACAGAGTCGGTAAAGGTTCCGATGAAGCTAATGGTGCTACTGAATTTGACAGAACTAAAAAGACTATTAACCCAATGGGTGGATTTGTCAGATATGGTCTTGTCAATAACGATTTCGTCTTGTTGAAGGGTTCTATCCCAGGTACCAAGAAGAGAGTTGTTACTTTGAGAAAGTCCTTGTATGTCGACACTTCAA